TACACTGAGAGTATATGTTGTGAGTGCCGCATTTCTACCAAAACACGCGTATACGCTGCAGTGCATTATATTTTGTGGTTAAGGTTTTTTTACACATTGTTATTTGTTGTTTACGCAGATCAATCTTAGTTCATGTCATCGATCGCAGGGGGTGTTAATTAAATGCTCAATACACTCCGAGATGAATGCACGTCGTTAGAACACAACCCTAATAGAAATAAGGACACATATAGTGATATCTTTTATGCGCTATATTTTAATCCACATCATAAAACGGAGAACGTATCAAAATTCAATGGTCTACACGGTATGTGTGGTGTTGTCAAACGGAAGCACCGCATTAATATTGTATATAAACACTGAAGTGTCTTTGATTCTTGCAAAAGCGCTAAAGCGACACTCTTATGAAAATGTCGAGGTACATAATATTATATGCATGCGTTTTCAATGTGTACTCAATAATTGTAATATGTTAAAACGCGCGTAAAATAAATAATATATGCACAGGGAAGTCTGAAAGACAGAAGAAAGGTGTTAAATTATTCGCGTGTCCGACATTTTACTATACATTTCAATATATATATATATATAGATATTTAGGATTCCTCTCTGTCAGACACAAGTGCGGTGATTTTTTAAGCCTCGGGCGGAAACAAAACTTCACTGTAAGTTTCACTCGTTTGCAAACGGTGCTTATATACTATATTATAATACATAGACATAGTATAGATTTATATTCAATAACAATAAATTCGGTATAATTTATAATCCAGTATCGAAAGAATCAAAATAAAATATTATCTCGCCGAGACATACAGCATGGAGATACCGGGTTCGTTTGATAAAGTAATATTTTGGTTTTGATTTAGGTCTTGTGACATGTGTTACTCCAGCAGAACAATGACAACATAATATAATGTACTATACGGTACTTACAGCGAAATTCCGAAATATGAATAATGTAATATGAACACTCGATATGGGCGTGGGATGATTTAGTGTTTTGAGCATAATATTATGAAATTTTTGTTTTCCTCTAAAATAATATGATTTACGTCTTGTGGTGATGCGTTCACTGCTCTTATGGGAAACATTTTTTACTGTTTTTTTTTTTTTACTTTCTGTGTTAGAAATTAGTATTAAATGTAATAATAAAAATAGTTTTTTTTACCGGGCTCGGATCAGCGGTTGTTCCAAAAAAAAAAAATAAACAATTAAACCTTGTCTAAAGCGTCTTTTGAGATAATTTACATTATAAATTTGTTGACTGTGGCTTTTATTTTTCGTTAGAAATTACTCAATTGTTTTTTACAGAAGTTACTTTTTGGTATGCATGTACATGTATTTAGTTAGGTACTTCATGTGCAGACGTTATTAATTTTTCAACATGGCTCGAGCTGTCGAGGCGATTATAATAAACAAATGACAATTATGTGTATTCTTATTGTATTTTTACGCTTTATACCTATAAAAACCGACGCATTAGTTTCTCGTTTTTCCCTCATTGGTCACACAACCATACCAATATAGTCCTGGCGACATCTCTTATTTATCACTTTACCGGTTCGATATACAATAATGTATATATATACGTCTCGTGGGGATTGGTATAAGGATAGATAGAGGAGAGGAAAAGAAAAACCACCTTTCACCGTATCAAAGCCACTATCTTATTACTCGGTGAAAACCCTATTCACTGCAATATCAGTATTCCCTATCTGTTTAAACGTCCATTTGAAACTCGTGCCCCTAGCTGTAACTTATTTCTGATCGTGGGAAACCGTTTAGTTTAGTAGGAAATCGTTTTATTTTTATTGTCTCGGCTCTCTAAAAAAAAATGCTAATATTGCATACCTGAAACACTTAAAAAAAACCGTTTGACAATCGACGAAAATTATTGTAAAATAAAATAATCCACAATATTTATAATGGCATAACTGTATGCATTCTACTTATTAAAATTACTAACAATATATACTAGGTATTTAACATTAGTTTATTTATGACCTAATGTATATAAAAATTACATTTATTGGTCTTTTCCAAAATTAGAATAAAGTTTGCTCCATTAAGCAAAGCATATAATTTAAATTTAAATTCTGATTACACATTAAAATTATATAGAAATCCAAAATACACTCCAGCAGCTTATAAATTCTAGGAACTATTACTGAGTCACACAAAAAACATCCTTGTTGAATAACAATTCGTTAAACACATAAATCGTTAAGGAAATGAACCAAAAACGTTTAATTTTCAAACTTTTGGTACGATTGCCTTTCCTAAAAATTAGCTATTTAATCTTATTGTGCATTTTAGCTAAACCTCTTCGAACAATGCTAATAATAGTATATAGATAGAAATATGTAAATTCTCCTAAATAATGGGCACTAATTTTATTTTGCGCTTATAAATGTATAGAGAAACAATAAAAGTTTCCCTGGAAATTATTCATCCACGTTTTACCGTATAATTTTATTATATTTATAATATAATTAAATCCTATGTAAGTTTGTTTTTTATTACAACTAATGAAAGACAAATTAAAACTCAATTTGAAAAATAAATAAAATATGCAATTAATTTATAATAAAATCCGACTAATTTTAATATTGAACGAGTACAAATCACTTAAGTGTTGGTTGAAAAGATATAAGTAATGGACATTGTTCAGAAAACAAAAAATGATAATTAAGATAAATAAAATTCAAATAAATATTTTTTTATATACATAATGTATTTAATTTATATGTTATTAAATTTTTTAAAATCATATTGAGACAACAATCAAATGCCCAGCTTATTACAAATGTGAGCGATATATATGTATTATATCGATACAAATAAAATTAAACTAATATTTGTTTTTTGTACTAGTAATAGAATTTGAAGATAAAACAATTTTTTTTAAAGAATCACTTGTTCGGTATTTCTTACCCCGGGAAAAAATTTCGACTTGCATTATTTAAAAACGAAATAAATAGCAGTAAGTCTGAAAACTTTTTTAAACATATTTCAATATCTGATGAATAATACATTTTTTCTTAAGTCAATTTCTAAATTGGTTGGGATGCACGTGTAGTGGATAAAATAAAAAAGTACAGTGAGCTATATAAGTGTGGGTTAAGTATAGTGGATAGACAATCAAAGAAATTTCGATAATCGATACAGCCATAAGACCTTTTCCGTCGGTGTTCACATTCAGGTGGACAAAATTCCTATAAAAGTAATTTACGATCAAGATGACTTCGCGTCTTCGTAGAATTTTATAACCTTTTTCATCGCAAAGTGCCATAATATGTAAAAGTTGCTAGTGCTTAATGGGAGTTCTCATTTTTGTTTACCCCCCCGAGGGTTCTATATCAAATATGTAATGTCACCAAAACCGTTGAACCCACACATTTATAAGAACATTAAAAAAAAATCTATAATACTCGGTCGCGTTTATGTATTTATCAAATGTAAATTATTATTTTTCTACTCTATTGAGCTAATTGTTTTCCAACGCTCGATTAAATTTTTATGGCCGCTCGTTCGCAAAAAGATAACCCCCTGCGATATACTGCTCCAATGGCTATTGCAGGATTAGGCAACGCAAAACGTTATACTGATTTTGATTGACACTTTACATATATCACAACGATAAACACCGTTGAAGTGCTCCGGGTGAGTTTTTGAACCCCCCAGAATTAACCAATATGCGAAAAAAATGTCAATCATTTTTTATTTATTAAGTATAATATTTAGTTTTTAGATATAAACAAAAAATATGTGTCATACCTATATTTGGGGTATACATTTATATATATATATATTTTTTTTTTAATTATCGAGAACAAATAGTACTTACTATATATACTGCCCAAAACATACATTTGTACATATGTTATAAAATAAATATTTAATACTAACTTACCCTAAATTATATTTGTTTAGCAATATTGTGTACGGATTTTTAAATTTAATGTCATTTTTTATTTTTACATACTAACCGTCTTAAAAACATGAGAATATATTTGTAATGTAGCGTGTATATACTTAAACTACTTCCACACGACCATATAATATTATAGTTTTCTTAAGTTTGTGTGACAATTCCAAGTTTTGTTAATTGTCCGCGTATAAGTTAGAGAAGTTTCTATTTCCTTCGTTCCGAGATATTCTCGAGTGTTGTTTAGAATGAAAAGCTTTTGAGCGCGATTTCACGGCTGAAGACTCGTTTTGGAGAACATTGCTGGGTAAAAAAAGAAGGTGCCTTTTACAAAGTCTATTGACTGAAAATTGGTAAAGCTAGCGCAGGTGTTGTACAACAATGACGCCACGCTAAAAAGTAAACTTCTCTTACTAATATAATACATTTTCTTAGTACGTCATTCCGTTTTCGTGCTGGTTTTATTTCTACCTACGTCGTACGGTCTAGTTTGGATAATTCTATGAGAAATTGTTTAAAAACAAAATTCGTTGAAATTATAACAGCTTATTTTTATACATTTTATACATATCGTATAAAGGACAGTACTATTAAAATATCATGTAAAGCTATAATATACAACATATCTACTCGAAACCCGTTTAACATACATTTCAGTTGTAAAAATTTGTATAAAAGCATTGCTCGCTTTAAGGCCAGCGCAACCCGGCATAGAATCTATAATAGCAATAAAATCGTATCAATTTATTTTTGAACCATTTAAACATTTTAATTTTCCTCGAGGTAAACTAAATGCTTGTGTTCTTTAGATAAAATACCAAAATGTTCATTTTGTGCATTTGAATATACGATAACGTTATGTACATAAAAACATTATATGTGAATACATTATTTACTGTTTAAGTATGCAACTTTAAAAAGTTATGTTCTACTCGAACTACAGTGCAGTATAAATTATTTATGATTGAACATTATTAAACATTTACGACTGCGAAACGGATAAATTGTTTTTAATTGCATGTCGAATAATACAATAATTAAATATTACATACTTACCTTTATTTTGCAGAACCCCGAACGGACATAATAGGAGGTCCTGAAATTTTCATCGATCGAGGAAGCACAATCAACTTGACGTGTGTTGTTTTACATAGCCCGGAGCCACCGTCTTACATATTCTGGAATCATAATAATGCTGTAAGTAATACTTGTGTGTAAATAATAGTAACAATATCACATAATATAACTTTCAAAGTTTTCCATAATTGATCATCATATCAATTGGTTATTATTAACAGTTGGAACAAGTGCGTAACAATTAATAATAAACATATTTTACTGTAAATATATAGCTATAAGTATATGGCTTGGAATTACAATTTAAATTATATTATATTTTCATTTTACTCACTTATATTTTCTACGTTGTACTGAAACAGTCTGTCTGTAACAATACTTTAATATTCTATAAAGCTGACTGGAAATTCGCAAACAAACATATTACTTACATTTTTCCACGGGCCTATAATATATAAAACTTATATGACCATTGTGTATACACATAAAATGTGATATGTGTATCTTATGTCATATAGAAAGAGTTATTTTTATAGCTTACAATGTTTTAGGTATTTGAATAGCAAAGTTACTTTCCATCTGCTATTTGTGTTATTTTTATACCGAATGTATTATGAAAAGTTGTAAGGTAAAACGTTGATACTTCCCAATATCAAATTCACCAAATTGTTACCTCCAAAAATATAAAGTGTATATTGTTGTAATATTATATTTACTTTCTGTTTTTCTATTTTGAGTTTTGCTTAATATTTCTTTATGTTTTTTTTTTGCATCACAAAACTTTTTTTTCTATATTTAGTTGAACGTTAATGCTTAACGTTATCGGTTTGATTATTATTAATCAAATGAGTGATTAATTAAAGATAGACAATTTAAGGAATAATGTATACCTATCAATGAATAAATACATTATTATTTATAAATTATAATTATTTTTTTTTTTTTTATAATTTAAAAATTGTGTCTATTATCTATTACTATCATTATTTAAATATTTACAAAAATACTAAATGAAAAAAATTAATTCAAATAATGTTTACAAATAATAAACAATAAATAATTTTTTCTTGTATAATCCAATAATAAATTATGAAATAAAAGGTAATTTGTGTCCATCGTCTCATTTAAGTAAAAATCTAATCCAACTCTATTTACAGCTAAATAATTACAAGAAATTATCATGGAAAATTAGTTTATACACAAACGTTTAAATATAAACACATTATTTTAATGTTATAGGCAACTATACATATGTAACTGTAAAGACAATATTTTTTAATTACTATGGAATTTTTTTAAGACGTTGTCTATACACAAGCTCTTAAAAATAAAATAAATACGTTTGTTTATTACTTATATGGCCTTGATTCTATTGACTCGAATAGGGGTTCTGTATGCTTTGAAATTCAGACAACGTATTGGTTATCAATTGAAGCCAGAATAACAGAAAACTTTTCAACTACTTGATTTGTTTTAGTGAAAACTAATTGAGAGACAGATTAATCCATACTAATCTTAGAAACTCGATAATAAACTTCAATAATATATTGGCCGCAGTTTATATAGTTTTCAAGTATAAACCTACAATAAAACCACTAAAACTGTTGTGATTTCACGGAATAAAATTTACAACCGTTATTGGCTACTAAGTTTCATTCAAAATATGTTATTCATCAGTCGACAGACAAAGTGTCAAACGATGTTTCTAGGATAACTATTTTTTATTTCTACCTAACCAAGCTATTACAAGACACAATCAGTAATAAATAGTAATAATAGTAAATAATAAGTTATGTTAGTAACAAATAAATTAAAAAACTTATATAAGCCGCTCATTATAATATGACGTGAATTGTTTCATTTATTTGTAAACAGTTACCGTAAAAGTATTAAAAATGATTTCATTTGCGTACACAAACAAAATCTGATATATTTTTGGTCTTAGTTATGTTATGTCAGACGTCCACTGAGTCTACAAAATTAAAGCAGAAAAAACGGTACCTTTTATTACTGTTTCACAATTTATTTGTGAATCGACTTCTTTTTTTTTATTACAGTTGACTCGGAAGATATATATTTATGTACCTAAGCTAAAATTTACCTTCAAACTTCTTGGGAGACCTAACCATTCCCTACCGTAGACACACGTGGGCTCCGGGAAACTTGATTGTTTATACACTGTTTAATGTGCGAATGTATATGTGCACGTATAGAGAGATACACGCCGTTATTAGTTTAAGACGGTGACCGTAATAGTATAAAGGGCGAAACCCACAGGGGAGATCTTAACACCGCTGCCTACACAACTTAGCCTCGATTCGAAAAACCACCGATAAAATATATTGCTACAACACATTATACAACTCTGAATAGTAACTTCGGAAGTTGGCAACATTTTCTGTGTAATTTGCGAGCCCGACATTTATTCTACACACTAAACATATTATAAGCCAGACGAATTAAATTGTTTTTTCCGCCAATAAAACTTAACATAATAAAATAAAGTTATATTTCATATATTAGCAAACAACCAATGAAAATTAAATTAAAGTAATTTTAATATGATTTATGTATGATTCTTTGCGGCATCTATTTGCTCGGCAAGATATTATTATGAAGAAATACTGTGCTAAAGTCAAACCTATGTATCATGTTGGTATTGAAATTTTTGATCACTCTAAAAATATATTGTCATTGCCTTAGAAAAAATGTTACAGTAATACACTTTCAATAGCCAACTAAATATTGATAAAAAAAAAAACTATACAATTTACGCTTGTCTTTTAATCGCAATGTTGCGCAATTCTATAACACACACAAAACATAACGCATCTAAATTATTTTTATGTGAAAAGTTAAGAAATAATTGTCAAAATTCTGAAAGTTTGTACATTGTACAAGTAACAATCGGTTTATCATTATCTTAAAAAATAAATAAAACAAAGCGATTTCTCATAAACCCACGATACGATTTTTTTATATTTATTGACCAGAGTTCGTTGATATTAAAAAACAAAAATAAAAGGGGGAAAAAACGATTTTATCGTTAGCTGCTTATAAAAGGCACAAAGAACTTCGAGTTAATCGAACCTCTTTGTAAGCGTTATTTTTAATATAATATATTTTTTTTTTTACAAACATAAAACGACTATACGTAGAACTCGCTTTGTTATTTTAAATAATCCGTAGCATAGAAGTCGTTTAATTTTTACAATATCGACACCTCGAGCGAAACCAGTATTTTTTTTTTTTATGGGGGGGGGAGGGTTGTTAGAAATTAAAACACATGGCCAATATACGTATACTAAAAAACATAATATACCAAATATTTATGTACAATATGATCTTAATTTTGAATTCCAGATAATCAGCTACGATTCGCCGAGAGGTGGAGTCAATGTGGTGACCGAAAAGGGAGCGGTCACGACCAGCCACCTTCTCATCCAGGAAGCTCGTGTCGAGGACAACGGCCGGTATCAATGCAATCCGTCCAACTCGCAACCGAAATCCATTAACGTGCACGTGTTGAACGGTAATTTAAAAAAAAAATCGACTATCTTAACACAAAATATCACGCTACAAATGCACTGAACGCAACATAATAATTATGGAACGCGTATTCAGATTGAAAAATGTCCCGACCTGAGAGGCAGCCATTTTGTGCACCAACTTTGTAGGAAGAAAAAATGCTACGTTACAAATTTTAGGTTAAGTGATGATATCATGATGATAACTCCGGCATGTATTTGTCTTGTTCACGGTTCTAAGTTGATGACACAGTCCACAGTTTAATTTGTTCGTCAAATCTTGTTTCACACACTTTTTTTTTTTTTTGAAAATCTGTTTCTTACAACTTTGAAACGTTATGTTCTTATCGGATTTGTAGTATTTGAATGCAAGACGTGTACTATTTAGCTCCAAAATGTTTTTTCAGAGTGGCGTCCACTTGAATATCAGTCGATCACCGGCAAAATTCCTCATGTGTTAAAACCTATTTACTAGTAGGCAGTAAAAATAAAACTATTAAATAAAACAACTAAACAATGGCGTACTTGTAATATTTTTTACTAAGAAATATATCACATTGGATGTTTTTTTTATAGTAAAGAATATGTTTTTCTGATTCCAAGGACACCAACAATAATTGTTTGATGAGTTTTTTTGCAATAAATGATTTCTACTATATCGTTTGTTACTGTTACTGGTTTGGTAGCTGTTATAATATTTGACTGTTTTATTACAGGTGAATACCCGGCGGCTATGCAACACGGCGGACAAGCCCACCAGCGGACTACTCATATGTACTGCCTGATATTTTTCGCTTGCATGCTTTTACACGTTTAATCTAATGGTATTATGTTATTATTTTTGATTCAATGTTGTTTTGACCACGTTTACGATTGTCCGTTTTTTTTTCGAGAGGGTTTTCTCCTATTTCTATCGGCGATCAACGAAACTGTTGTAATTCGCAATCCGTTTTTTCTAACACAAGGCACGTCGATTTAAAATGTACTGTGTTAGTAATACCAATGTCCTCAAAACAAAATAAACAAAAACTACAAACCTGTGTACATAATAACATAAAATAATGGTGTGACATACGGTAATTATCCATTTAACATAAGACTCTCGTTTTCTCTGAAGTTAACTATGTTTTTGTAGTTCTTCTTATATTATTTTATAGTATTATTAATAAAATATTAATCGGTAAATTCTAGAGTTGCATAAACTAATGCAACCAAAATGGCAACTTAAAATGTTAAATAATGTTAATATTAAATAAATACGTTATCGTTAAAGTTTTGAAATTTGATAGAGCTCTGAAAAATACCAAAAAATGTGAATCTTTAGTTATTTTATAAGTATTATAAAATAACATAATCAAATATTTTTTGCAAAGAAAAATGAATAAATTTAATTATTTCAATATTGAGTGTCTTGCGTTAAACGGATCATCCTGTATATAATATAATATAGTACTAAAATTATTATCGGAAAGCGAGTTGAGTATAAAATGTATACACTATTTTAAACAGTATCGAAATGATGAACGGCATTCGGAGATGACCGATTCAATGTAATTTACTAAACTCATCTTACATTTTTTTTTCATCTTCTCCTGTCATTGTTGTGATGATAGATTGAGAATTATAATTTTGATATTTAATCAACGGGTACATAATATTTAAATACCTTCAAATGTTTGAAAAATTCATAAATATAAGAATATGCCGTTTGTTACAGAAGGAAATATTTATTACGGATAATGTAATACTTGTAAATAAATAATTAAATATAACATTTTAATGAATAGCTAGCAAGTACTACTTTAGATGTTCCGTAAAAGGAAAAAATAATAATTTTCCTCCGTTTTAAATGTGTAAATATAATTTGTAATAAAATATTATGTTATGAATAAAACGTGACAAATAAAAAACATTTTACCGGTATTTCAATACCCATTATGAACAGCCAATAAATTATTTATATTTTTCTTTTGCAAATATTTCACTCTCCGCAGAAATAATATAAATTTAATAATAATTCTCATAAGAATAACTGTCACAATATGTTTAACACTTTCGGAATAATAATTATACATCGTGTTTTTGCAGGAAATCAATATCAAAAAACACATATGTTTCAGTAGTACTTCCTTTACGTTATTAATTTAATAATCATCAAATATTATACTTAAAACATTTTTTTACCCATTCTGTCAAACAAAATATATTTATGTTGGCAATGTTAATATCCTGAAACAGAGTCGTTCGTCATTTTTTTTAAACATAATTTTCCTCTTAATATAAGTTAACCTTTATTATTGAAAAAAAATTTGTATTAATATTAATCAAAAGTAAATTTGGTTTACGTGCCGAAAATAGATTCGTTATACTAGGTATACCTATCTGTGTTATCTTCCCATTTTGTTGTGATAATGCCACTGATATACATAAGACGATAGAACCTGATATCTTATAAAACGCGCAAACAATACTTTTTAAGTGTACCCTTCCAATTGACAGCTTTGGATTTATTTGATGGACAAAAAATTTTTCCGAAAAAAATTCTATTAACACTTATGCATTTAATTTATCATATTATATACAAATAATAAAAAAAAACATTAATTTTTAAACGAATAACCCTAATGTTGAGTGGGATATAGATGACAAATATTAGAGCGTTTTAATCAATTCGTTTATGTATTTACGAAAACAATAATGCATTACCTTCATCAAATACCGTTAAAAAAACCGTCATGGTTTAGACGGGTGATTTTTATAATCTGATATGTGTATAACTAAAATAAAATAATCAAAAGTAATATATTATTCGTAGTATTAGTTTTAGGATAATTTTAAAATATATTCATAAATTATTGTAAAATCGCAAACCCATATAATATAATACCTGTAAATAGTTATATATTTTACATAATACAGCAAACTAAATTCAATAAAGTATACAAGAGAAAGTGATATTATCAATAATATTGACAGTTAACGATATTCCAAACACAAATATTGGAAAATAATCATCCGGATCCGTTTATTTAGATTTCATTAACTAAATACATATTAAATTATTTCACGTTAAATATATTCCATAAGTTGTAAACATATAAAAACAACCCATAAAATGTGTTGATTAATGTAAAAAACATTAATGTGTTATGTGTTATGAACTACCAATTTAACTGTATGGCAAATGTGTATATCATTTGCCCACAGTTATATAAATATTATACATATATGTACATTTCTTTTTTGTAATTAAACAATTGTACATAGTGAAATTATTGTCATACGCTAATAAATTTGCCTAACCAAAACCTAATGTTGTATTTTTAAGTTAAATAATGTATATGAAAAATTTTAATATAGTTACCCGTTTGAGCTAAAATAGCGAGAAGAACTTGTTTTTTGTTTTATTATTATTATAAATATTGTTATAATAAATAATATATTATCCATATACATATATACATAACTTCAAAAAATATTATAAAATTAATTAATGATAATTATTATTATTTATGTAATTTGTAAACGTACACGTATGTATTACTATTATTATTAATACTAAAATATAAACAGTTCAATGATTATTTGTTTTTTCTGTATTCACACTTTTTGATTTCTTGTCAATAATTATTGTAATAATATTATTAACGATATAAGCATATATGATCGGTAAACCACTTTCTAGACAACTCTACGAAAAATTTAAACTAGGCCACTAGGCGCTCTTAACTAACATCGATTAACTCTTATGTAGTCGAAATTTTGTCCGGCTTTTAAGTCTAAAATAAACAAAATGGCCGCATGCAAAAGCTCAAATATCTAGAAAATATTTTTTACCCTAAAATTATTTTCTAACAAACGTGCATTCTAATATTAAATACTCGAAATATATGGTACAATAGCAGAATAAAATAATATTGAAATAATCTGCTATGCTTAATCACATATTTTATAGACAGTTATATTTTATTACTTAAAACCTCACAACAATTCGCCTCGCTTTAAATTACCGCTACCTCCACAAGTGCTCCCTTCACAAGTTCATGTTTGCTAAACACACGTTTGTACTTACTTTTATATCACGGAATGGGTTGTTTTGGGAAATTACTAATATTAGTTCATCGTCCGATTCAACCATGAATTTTTCACCAAATCAGCGCCCTTTTCACCTATCATATAAGCTGGTGCCATAGTATGCCCACCGGTAATTGTAGGCATAATCGAACAGTCGATCACTCTCAGGTTGGAAATTCCGTACACCTTTAGTTGTGCGTTAACTACTGCGTTACGGTCCCATTCCGGGCCCATTTTACAAGTCCCACATTGGTGATGCATTTGCATTGTCATTCTCTGAATGCAACATGACCAATAATCGTCGGTACCGAACTCGACATGTTTACAACCGGGCATGGGTCGGTCGTGCAGCCTCGAACCGTACTTTTGAAACGGCTTGGTCTTGCTGAGATTAATGACCATCTTGATGCCTTCGACGAGCCTATTTAAATCGATAGGGTCGCTGAAGAAATTGGCATGTATCACGGGTTTTGAACGAGGATCGGCGTCGAGTAGTCGAACCTAAAACGTACCTATTCAATATACAGCTAATTTTATTATTTATTGTATAATTTGTGTTTACCTGGCCCCTACTTTTAGGGTACGTCAACATTGGCACAATTGACCAAGTGTCTTTGGTCATTATACCTTTGTACATATCGTTGAACAAGTCGTCGGGTACACCCATTGATCTTCGACCAACAGTTCCACCTAAACCCCCTTCGCCGGGTAAACTCGTCGGTATGAATATGTATTCTATATCCGGTAAATCGCCTTCCCAAGTATTGTACTTAGTTTTAACATAACCAACAGCCTCACAGGGCAGCGTTGACGAGATACTTATCCCTTCGATATTTCTAAAAGTCTCGGTTATGAATTTTCGATAAAACCGGTCGGGAACTAACGATATAGTTTCATTAATAACGAAACTCAAACCGGCATATGCAGGGTGTTCTTGCAAGTTATCGCCGACTCGCAAATTCTGCAGCACTTTGATTCCTAGTGGCGCTAGGTGTTCTTTGGGTCCAATACCGGATAACATTAAAAGCTTGGCCGAGTTGAACGTTCCCGCTGACACGATCACCTCTTTTTTAGCAAACGCTTTTCTGTTTTTCTTGTTCTTCACAAACTCCACTCCATATGCCGCTTTTGTGTTCGGATCAATCAATATTTTCGTGACCGTAGCGAATTCGACAATATGTAAATTGCTTAAATTTTCTCGGAGATACGCTTTGGCAGAAGTCACCCTTCGACCGTTCAACGTGGTACTTTGGATTCTGGAAAACACGACGTTGCTGCCGGGAGCGTTATAATCGCCAGTTTTCATTCCCACTTCAGGAGCAGACTCCAAAAATGCCTCCACTAATTTACTTTTAAACGGTATGTAACTTATAGGCATCGGACCGCCTACGCCGTGATAAACAGACCTTTTTAGCTCGGGCACGTTTATGTCTTCGTTTTTCAAAAAATAGGGTAGAACGTCGTTATACGACCATCCTGGATTCCCGTTTTCCGCCCATCCGTCAAAGTCTTTCACATTGCCCCTAGTGTACATGTTGTTGTTAATAATCGTACTGCCTCCAATACCTTTCCCGGCCGGCCAGGGGCAACGTTTGTTCACCAGTCCTTTGCAAGCGTGAGGCTCTTCTTCGGTCCTGTAGTCCCAGTTATAGTTGGTGAATTGCAAAAAGTGAGCAGTAGCAGGAATAGAAGTGATCAAAGATTCTTCTCCGCCGGCTTCTAACAATAAGACTTTCCATTCGCCGATTTCGGCCAGACGCCGTGCCACTGTCGCTCCTGCAGCTCCAGCTCCCACGACGATGAAGTCATATTCGTTTAATATGGGTTTGTTACCGAACTGCGGGTCTTCTTGAAACTGTATGAGACTAGCCCGATAAGACCGACCCAAAAAACCAAATATATCTATTGTCATGCAAAGACTGACTGCTTCTAAAGTAATTCCAAAAGTTAAAAGAAATTTGATGGCCATGTTGACTGAATATCTGAATGTACAAACATAAAAATATATTATAAATAATAAACACAATTACATGATAACAGCAGTATTTAATTTCTTAAAAAAAACTACTGGCTTTTACATGTTCCTATCTACTGTATAGTGGATTGTTCTCAGAGTTGTACAAAATTTAATTATGATAATAAGTAATAAATAATTTGACGATTTAAAGGTATTTTTTATTCGTAAATAAATAAATAAAGTTGCAACTTATTAAATAGAAAATAGTTAGTTTATTTATTGCTTATGGATAGATTATGATTTTAAATATTTTTTTAAGTTTGTTTAAAATCAATTTTATAAAAAATGATCTTTAATTATATTTTATTATGCTAATAATGTAATTTTTACATCTTATAGAATTGAAAAAAAATTGTATTTATTATAACTATTTAGTCATTCTAGTAAATATTAAGTAAATATGGAGTACATAAATATTATTTAAAAAAAAGATAATTTAATTAATTTGTGGCGTCATACAGATGAAACATTATTCGAATGATGTCCAATTCTAATTATGTTATAATATTACAAAAGATGGATATTCTCTAATCACGTCACATTGTCTCCTAGTCTTACTGGCCTATCATAAACAAAACAATGGGGACAATTAAGTATGATCCTCTGGACTATATTATTTGTTAATTATTAATTGTAGTTTAAAATATGTATTATAATACCACTTACTTTTAAAATGAAGTTAAAAATTCCGTTTTAAATCATCTAAAATGTGGAGTAACACTGGAGATAAATTATCATACAATAAAAATTTAAAAAAAATAACAGAAAATAACGTTCCAAGTCCTCAAAACATTACTACGCGACTAACAGAAATCGGCGTATAGTTAGTATGGTTGTGCTCTTTGGCACGTGGACTTAACAGGTTGGCCGTCAAACTTTGACGGTCAAGAGTAATGACATTAGATTTTAACTCCAAAATATTTCAGCTAAGCGATTGACGGTAAGATTATTTATAATATAGTATGGCTAGCGATAACCGTATCTGTGTATAATTAAAAGTGCCTTAGTAAGGTTATTTATTACCTCCTTCCTCGTTAGCTCATATTTACAAACAAAATACACAATAAAAGACTTTATAATTTGAGAGAAAATAACAAGTAATTCGTCGATTTTTTTTTTTTTTTAAACTATTTATTTATTTACTTAGTAGGTTTTTTGTTTTGAATAAACAAAATCTCAACATACGTACGTCCAATTCAAATATTTATCGATTTAGGGGGAAAAAATTGTTAAATTAACCAACAAGATAATAAAATAATTTATTGACTTCATAGTTCACGAGGGAACTCAACATTTTTTTAACTGAAGGTAAATGATGCTACCGATTTCTGTAACAGTACTAATAAGTTTTCACAATTTTTAAAATAATCCTCTTAACCGTTTTAGAATAAAGCCGATTATAGTGTAAATAAACTCCACTTTTAATTAACTTGTAACGGTCACATTTAGCTTTTACTAACGTTACAGAATAGGATTTAGGATTAATAATTTTGACTGTCATGAGTACCTTATTTGGTACTCATATGGCTTGTAAAAAATTAGCTCGGTAGACAACTTGTTAGTACTTAAATAACACGTTGATTAGAATACTTACATAAGATAGAAATAATATAAATCAACTAATGAATTTTTTTTTTGTTTAACCATAGAATTATTTTCACTGAACACATAAACATACTTATATAATCATAATATAAATCAAATTTTATATGCTTATTAACGCGAAACAACAAAATTAATTATCGTACTACACGAATAATTATATGTATTTAATAAAATAAATATATTTTATTTTATACAATTGTTTATACTATGTATTCAGAGAAATGGGAATAAAAACAAAATAAAAGACTAACGTCTTCATAACATTGAGCTAATTTTTCACACCCAAGGTTTCTATAAAGCTATTAAAAGTTTCTAGCGTTTCCAGCAAACATAATTGGTCCATTAAGTACCTGGTGTAAAACATTACAGGCCTTAGTCCAATTCGAACTTTCTTCGTCGAACTTTATTAAAATAAGTTTATAAATATGATTTACAACACCAATCATTATAATATGAAGCTCATATAGTTCTATTGTGTTAAAATATATTAAGGTAAATGGTGGTAATAACTGTTAAAACATTTATTTCAGCCAACAATTTGTATATTTAATATAGAAGTAATAATAATCGTTTAAATTATATGATTAATACTAAAATTGTATTATTATTTTTGGGATAAGCCCGTTCTTTAGCTAAAAATAATATTCTTATCTTTAGCCAATAATTATGATCTAATGTACATACTGTAATTATTTCTCACTTTAAACATAAAATTAACTAATTAATTTACCAAAATGTTTGTTAAATAAAACAAATATTTCTTATTAACGATTTATCTTTTTAATTTATTTTTAATTTAACTTTCTTATTTTTATAACTATAAATGTTCGGTTAGACGTGTGTATAATGATTAATATAGCCGTGTTGGCTCAAAAATGTGAAAAACCTTTTGAAAAAAATTTTAGAACGAAATTCATACTTCGATACGAAAATTCAGTAAGTACGCCATTACTGATTTTCTAATTGTACTAATAATATGATATTACAGCACCTAACTTTTACAACAATCAAAAACCATTTAATGTGTATCGAGTTATAGTAGTATAACATAAGGAAATCAGGTGATAAATTAAAATGTCGTTATAACCCAATCAACTAATGGTCTATAATTGGTGACAGTGAAAACATATTTGATACGAAATCATGAAATAATTACATAATAACGAATTTTAACTAAAAAATACCATCAATATGTTTAACCCTTTTTACAAGTGATTAACTATTGTTAACAAAATACATTTTCATTGACTCTAAACAAATGTTACAACAACACATATTTTCGATAGCTAACCAAATGTCAATAAAATATACTATATATTATATATTATGTTACTCGATATTTCTTTTCCTCGCAGTACTTTACAATTTTTAGATGTAAAACACAAAAAAAAAACCTTACGCATCTGAATTATATTTATGTGAGAAGTTAAGAAATTATCGTCCAAATGCTAAAAGTTTCTACTTTGTACAAACAACAATTGGTATATAAACTTGAAAAAACAAAATAAACCATTTTCGTTAAGTAAACCTCAGCAGTTTGATACGATTTTTTTATTTATAAACCAGAGTTCGTTGATTCATTGTTGATATATATATTTTAAAGGTTTGTTCATTGTTTAAATAATATTAAAACCACCGAGTTCTTTGTAGTGGCACAAAGAGTTTCGAGTTCATCGAATCTCTGCGAGCGTTATTTTCAATATTTTTTTTTTTTTACGCGGGTACAAAATAACGTTTATAAAGTAGGCATACAACTTTAGCTGCTCGCTTTGTTAGTTTAAATATTATCTGTAGCATCGGAGTCGTTAAGTTTTTACAATATCGTTTTACCGCAGTCGACGTCTGAATAAGAAGTGAAACGTTTTTAAAATTATTATTTGTTGTTTTCAAAAAAATCTCGCTCAAATCCAAATGCACGGAAATATAATAATATGTACAATACATATTGTATTTCCAGATAATCCAGCTACAACTCACGGAGGAGTTGAGTGAATGCGGTGTCGCCTTGTAAACTGTCATCAAGAAATCAGGGTCAAGCATAATGGCCGATATTAGTGCACTCCAAACGGCTCACAACCGAAATTGCACGTGTCGATGACGATGTTGAAGGCCAAACGATGGTAATGGTCGATTGGCGGTATGGCGGACGTTCCAGCAAGGCTACTCCAGTGGATTAATTCCCGCGAGTCATCACAATAGGAGATGGTGGCTAATGGATTAGAATATTATAATACATTTTTCTTGAAGAAACGCATCAGTGTTCTTGGGGCATACTGAAATTAGCTGGTCAGTGGACTCATCACTGTGAAAGAAAGCGTTCGTTACGGTTAGGCGCAAGTCGACGGTGAATTTCCCGATTCTAGCAATGCATACTTGTTTGAATTATATTATGCAACACAATCTGGGGACATAGGGCGTCTCTAAACCGTTTTAACCTTTTTTGTTGGCATCTCTTGGGAACTTGGTTGAGTTTTGAACGCCTTTCCCATTTTGATCACGTAAGAATAAGATGACACAACAAAAAATGTCTAATCTAATATAAGTAATGATGTAAAGTGTGCACGAGGAACACGGTGTACAATAATAATCAATAACAACTAGTACAGTTAATCTAACACTTTAATAATTCTATTATCATCCCATTAGACGGGATTGGTTTTTTACAATAGAAAGAATATTTCTGCCTGAACCCAGAGATATCAATATATCTATTTTTAAAGTTTACGCTTAGATGGTTTACCCTGTAAGCGATAGCCCAAATGGTGAATTTCAGCTTCGATTGTAATGGTCATTAAAGTAAGCAATTTATAAAAAAAAATATTTGAATAAATATCTAACTGTTGACTTATGTTGATTTTTTTCAAACAAAACATAACTATTAACTAACTTAAGATAGTTTTGAAAAATGTAACTTTGCCCAGTTTTAATTATATCAATAATTTGCTTTTTCCTGTCTTCACACAAAAACTTTTTTTTAAATTTATAACTAATAAAAGTCTAACTTTTTTAAGTATAATTTACTCATTAGTTTTCATTTGGTCATTGATGCAGTTATTAACTGGTATGCTTCAAAGACAATTGGTGAATTTATTTCAAAACAAGGTTACATTTTCTTTATTCTCTACTATTCTCGAGTGGAACATTTCCCATCTAAGTACATAGTTTAAAAACAAAGAATGGTCGATGATTATAAAAACTACCAATTCGTAATCCTTGGGAAATGTCTAAAAGCACGAATTTCATTAACGTTCATTATTAGAAGCGAAATAAGTCCAGTGTTTTTTTAATTCATATTACACCTAAGTTAGCTGGAAATGAATAAAATTTGAGAAGCATGATGGTCGTATTAAAAATTTAAATTGGTTTAATAAAATCGCCTGAATAACTAGCCCAAAAAATACAGACTAAAGATTCAAGTCGCAACTATTTATAGTGAAAATGATTGATAGATTTTCAATACATCTTAGACTGTGTTTTGATTAAGATATGTTTTGAATTAATGTATTCGATGTAGTTCCAATTTGTATTTTGTACAAAACATTAGTTGTAGAATCGTTTATCAAATTCTATTATTTTACAAGTTTTTCCAATATATTATTATATTTTAAGTGAACTAAAATCAATTGTTTTGTTATCTATTAGATTTTGTACAACTAACTCTACTTTTAGCTTCAATACGAAACCGAGAAGGTATTCTCTTTTAAGGAGTTAACAACTTTGTATTTTTAAAAAGGCATTTGTAACTTATTTTATTGAGAACTCATTTACTCCATTATTATAAGCCATATAAAATAAATGAACTTAAAAAAACGTAATTCAGTTTTCCACATAATATGGTAGGGATTTCAATTTTTGTTTATTACGTCACATAAACGTTTAAACTTTTGGTTTTCATTTATACCTAAAGGCTAAAGACCAGAAATCAAAACTTTTTTTTTTAACATTACAAAATGATAAGAGACTATAATATGAAAAATTTTAAGTGGCAACAATTGGCAAATAAAATGTATACTATTATGAGACGAAATAGACTGAGAAGTAAAGCAAAAGGTTATATAAAAAAATCTGAGTTTTGATGTTTTATGAGAACCCGTGATGTCTATTAACGCAATGACTACTTAGTAAATTCCTCCTAATTAGATACAGTATCAAAATGGAAGTTTATTTAATAAACATATTTTTTTTCTATACTTTAGGTTGCAGTTTTCATCTGTATTTACTTTGGATATTTTATACAAAGAATCAGATCTTCGGACTTTAGATAGTTCGTCTTTACGTGTAACGGCAAGCTTATTTTTGTGATTAATATATATTTTACTGCAATCACCGTGAAAAGGGTAGCGTTATTTAGAGTTATTTAGGTCAATTTTGTAGAAAACACGCCATCGCTACGTTTAACACAATTAGCGTAAATCTCATAAAATGGTTTGTTTCAAGAGCGCATACAATAAAGACAAGATTAAGAAAAGTATAACTTGTTTAGCTTTAAAAAAAAAACTGATGTATAATATCGACTTTACGTTATTACTTATTTTCGTTAAACATATTTTATTAGATGAAAATAAATTTAATTTAAAATGTATTAATTAAATAATTATAAATTTAGCATTTCAGTGTGCAGATGATCACAATGTTGTTTTCCTCGTTTCTATCTTTTGGTAACACATAGTTATAGACATTTTATCGCCATTATATATCTTTGTCCGGTAATAGCTGTAGTTTCGATTGTAAATTACTGATTAAATAAACTATAAAGCTTCCACGCTATGTATTGAGAATGTACAACATTTTTATGGGATTTGAGAAGTCTTCTCAAATACCATAAAAATGTTTTCAGTGTATTGTAAATATATTATACAATTAGTGGTTGGCAGTTATTACTTGTTTCTTTGTACATATAATATAATATATATATATATATATATATATATATGTATATATATATATAGTCGTTTAATGATAGCAAGTTAATATATGCCCCGAGTTGTATTAAACATAGGCACTATGTTATGGTTATAATGTTAACTTTTCTTATAAAACAAAGTCCATTTTTAAAATCCAATAAAAAAGAAAGGTATCATTTCAGTAGCTCGAGACAGCCACTGTTAAAAGGTACGTTATGGTTGTGCAATCCATCCAAAAACTACATACATACATTTCACTTATAATTCAAGAGCGATAAAATAGTATTTTTTTTTTGTACAGCGTCCACATTTTATTTAAAACATTACAGTAATATTTCTTTTTAAATAAATTAATCAGCAGACGATTTTGGACAACGCCTTTTTCTAAAAACCCTTTCCCGTAGTATATGGTCACAATAATATATTAAAAACAACGGATACTATTTTTTCTTGTTCTCATAATAATTCAGGCGTTTGTTTTTCGCTCTATATTTATAACAGTAGTACCTACCCTTCCAATGATTTATCCCTAAATATGTTTAGTGTCTACCCTACCATATTAAAAAAAAAACTCGAAAATTATTGTCACACATAAAAATGACCTAAATTATAGTTTTTAGCAAACTGCGTTAAAAAAATATTATATATATAAACATAAACTATAAAATAATTATCATTTTGGCATAACCAAAATACCGAGTTCGCTTAAATGTATATATTTTATTTGATATAGTGTTCTAAGGTAAAATTAATTTTTAATATAGTAAAAAAAAAATTAATAAATAATCAAATTCCATAGAAAGCGATTAATAAACAAACACACTATTTAAAAAATAAAGTTAAAAGTTATAATCTCAAATAGTATTCTAATTAATTCTATGAATGTATAATTGCTTCAATAAATCTTTGCACGTCAATATTTTACTAAAGAACCTCAATCCAAAAAAATTCAGTCGACTATTTTAATTGGTAGTCGGCACACATAATTACATTGGAGATAAAATATTGTACTTAAGGCAATAAGTCTCATCACGTCGATGTCATCGCATCAACGTCTGAAAACAAACATTAGCAGCTGGTTGTTTAAAGTTGCTTACCTGTTATTGTTATTATTTTTATTATATAGTAATTACTAATTATATAGTTTTGCTATGAAAAGCGTGACACGACGTTTAAGGGATTACAAGGCTGGTAAAATAATACTCCTATAATAATAATCACAATAAAGCATATTGCCAAAACACAATATCAGAAAATTTAAATGTGTTCCTAAGTTCAAACATTTTTAGTGTATAATATATTGGATTAATTTCTTAGACTATAGACACAATTATATTCAACTATAATAGCTAACTGCGATAGGAAATTTTATGTTTAACAGCTAGCCTGATTAGTAAGGTTCACTCGTTCCATAAGTTAAAAATGTTTTCTCTCCAAAGAAAACCATTTATAAGGACAATTTTCTACCTTTTACAACCATTGTCTTGTTATCAAAAATGTCATCTAGATATTATCACGAACCCATTGTAAATGATTTGTAAGAAACAAAAATTAACATTAGGCTCACGTGTACTGTAAGAAAACAATCATCGTTATTATTCCATTACAGACTACTGACTAGTGACTACACGTACTTAATTAACAGGTGTGGCTTATGTAGATAAACTAACCATTTATAAAACAAACAATAACCTTTTCAGATTCAGTGCATCACTCAACTATAGGTAAACAGTAAGTTAAAATGAAGTACATAATTCCTTGATTATAAATTATGAATTCTTGTTTCTTACAAATAATTAAATAAATATATAAAATCAATTATACTAAATAATGTACTTATTACGTAGTGGAAATCACGTACCTACATGTAAGTACGAGTATAATAATTAAAATATTTAAAAAATACACAAACAAAAAACTTAAATAACTAATTCATTTAAAACAGTTATTGATCAAATGTCATACAGACTAAAAAATAATACTAAAAACTAATTAGTATAATTGAATAACAAGTATTAAAAAATTTAATTTACTACAGAAGTTTTACTATCAATAAAATATTATTTAGCTGGTCTACATAAGTATTGTAAAAATGTTTTCCATAAATAGTTCATTTCGATACTAAAGATTTGAATAGTATAGCCATTATAGTACAGCTTTAATAGTGAAATTTTCTCATAATAAAATAATCTGCTAAGCATAATAGTATATTCCGCAAACAATTGTATTCTATTACTTACTTATTTTTTAATTATTTAAATTAATTTTAATAGCCAACAATTTTGTATATTCATTGTAATATTTTTTTATCTACATCGATGGTACTACTAATTTAATCAAATATAGATATACATAATTGTTGTTCATTTCTTTACAAAAAATGTCATTAATTATTGTCTTAATTCATTATGGTAATACGTTTTGAACACTTACAAAACTACGTGTGTCTAATACACATTTAAACTTAATTTGATATCACAGAATTTGTTGCATCGGAAATTAATATTATAAGATTAATAAATTGACCGATTCAACCATGAATTTTTCACCAAATCAGCGCCCTTTTCACCTATCATATAAGCTGGTGCCATAGTATGCCCACCGGTAATTGTAGGCATAATCGAACAGTCGATCACTCTCAGGTTGGAAATTCCGTACACCTTCAGTTGTGCGTTAACTACTGCGTTACGGTCCCATTCCGGGCCCATTTTACAAGTACCACATTGGTGATGCATTTGCATTGTCATTCTCTGAATGCAACAAGACCAATAATCGTCGGTACCGAACTCGATATGTTTACAACCGGGCATAGGTCGTTTGTGCAGCCTCGAACCGTACTTTTGAAACGGCTTGGTTTTGCTGAGATTAATGATCATCTTGATACCTTCGACGAGCCTGTTCAAATCGATTGGGTCGCTAAAGAAATTGGCATTTATCACAGGTTTTGAACGAGGATCGGCGTCGCGCAGTCGAACCTAAAACGTACACGATTTAGTTAACCACCTAAGTTTATTTTTAATTGTATAATTTGTGTTTACCTGACCCCTACTCTTCGGGTACGTCAGCATTGGCCAAATTGTCCAAGAGTCTTTGGCCATTATGCCTTTGTACATATCGTTGAACAAGTCGTCGGGTACACCCATAGATCTTCGACCAATATTTCCGCCTAAACCCCCTTCGCCGGCCAAACTCGATGGTATGAATATGTATTCTATATCCGGTAAATCGCCCTTCCATGTATTATACTTTGTTTTAACATAACCAATACCCTCACAGGGCAGAGTTGACATGATACTAGTCCCTTCTAATATTCTGAATGTCTCGGTTATTATTTTGCGATATACCCGGTCGGGAACTAACGATAAAGTTTCATTTATGACGAAACTCAAACCGGCATATGCAGGGTGTTCTTGCAAGTTATCGCCGACTCGCAAATTCTGCAGCACTTTGATTCCTAGTGGCTCTAGGTGTTCTTTGGGTCCAATACCGGATAACATTAAAAGCTTGGCCGAGTTGAACGTTCCCGCTGACACGATCACCTCTTTTTTAGCCAACGCTTTTCTGTTTTTCTTGTTCTTCACAAACTCCACTCCATATGCCGCTTTTGTATTCGGATCAATCAATATTTTCGTGACCGTAGCGAATTCGACAATATGTAAATTGCTTAAATTTTCTCGGAGATACGCCTTGGCAGAAGTCACCCTTCGACCGTTCAACGTGGTACTTTGGATTCTGGAAAACACGACGTTGCTGCCAGGAGCGTTGTAATCGCCAGTTTTCATTCCCACTTCAGGAGCAGACTCCAAAAATGCGTCCATTAATTTACTTTTGAACGGTATGTAACTTATAGGCATAGGACCGCCTACACCGTGATGTACAGACCTTTTTAGCTCGGGCACGTTTATGTCTTCGATTTTCAAAAAATAGGGTAGAACGTCGTTGTACGACCATCCTGGATTCCCGTTTTCCGCCCATCCGTCAAAGTCTTTCACATTGCCCCTAGTGTACATGTTGTTGTTAATAATCGTACTGCCTCCAATACCTTTCCCGGCCGGCCAGGGACAACGTTTGTTCACCAGTCCTTTGCAAGCGTGAGGCTCTTCTTCGGTCCTGTAGCCCCAATTATAGTTGGTGAATTGCAAGTAGTGAGCAATAGCCGGAACTGAAGTGATCAACGATTCTTCTCCGCCGGCTTCTAACAATAAGACTTTCCATTCGCTGATTTCGGCCAAACGCCGTGCCACTGTCGCTCCTGCAGCTCCAGCTCCCACGACGATGAAGTCATATTCGTTCAATATGGGTTTGTTACCGAACTGCGGGTCTTCTTGAAACTGTATGAGACTGGCCCGATAAGACCGACCCAAGTGACCAAATATATCTATTGTTAAGCAAAGACTGACTGCTTCTAAAATTATTCCAACAGTTAAAAGAAATTTGATGACCATGTTGACTGAATATCTGAATGCACAAACATAGTAATGATAGAATATAATAAATTTAATTTTATAAGTATGTATCAGAATTACAGTATTCAGTGGTGTTTAAACAAAAATTTTCAAATAAGAGCTCACATTTTAGATTTAAACAAACCAAAGAGTCTACTGAGTCATCAGAATCTAACGGGGTGAGGCCGATGACCCCGTGATTTGGCGTGGAATGCTCCATATATGTACATATATGTGTTTGTTTTTTTACCAAATTATTTAACTTCAAACGATACAATACAGAACCACGTTCCAATGTAACGCTATTAAGTGGTAAACTAATATAATCTGAATAATTACGTATCTAGTAATGTCATGGCAATTATATTGGTCTATTTGTAATCGATAATAATGTAAGAAACGTGAGCAATTAAATATAACCGTAATGGACTACATCATACCTTGTTACCTAACGAAGTGATTTAAATTTCAATAAAGATAGGAATGTTTTAAACATTAGTATAGACCGTTAAAATAATGCTTGTGGTAAATTTGCACATTTGCTTTTAATTGCTTTTAGGACCAATGTATAGTTTTTATTGAGATTTTATTATTTTTAACTTTTGTGAATATGCTACATTAACGCGTGGTGTGACCATATCAGACGAGTTAAAGTATATCCTACTTGGACTAGGACTAGGCGAAGAAGAAACGGAAGAAAAATAATTATTTACAATCTAAAATTTAGAAAACATTGACATAAGCAATGTACCTTTCATTGTAAAATACAATAAAGCCAAGGACAAAAATTAATAATCACTGATATGGTAGGTATGTTTTTAAATTGTTAAAAATTACAAACTAAATACATTTAAAAGTTATATGATTGTTAATTATGAATTGTATATTTTTTACTTTCGTTTAAAACAATTATTATAATACCACTTACTTTTGAAATTATGTGGAATATTCCATCTTCAATTATCTAAAATGTTGACAAATAATAATGTTAAGTAATAATGTAATAAAAAACTATGATACTTTTAACATAAAAAAACGTCTTATGTCGCTAAGATGTTTCTATTCAACTAAAAGAAGTCGTCGTACATAACTGTACGATGGCAGCAATGCTCTTCTACTCATGGACATGAAATACTAAAACCAGTTTGACGGTCAAGAACAATGACCTTAGATGTTCTCTCCCTAAAGTAATGCCTAACGGTAGGTTCTGGGGCCATCTGCGATTCAGCAGAAAAATAATAATTGTTCAACAAGACGCGGAAATTATATAGAATACCATATGGATAACGAAATATTATAATGAAAGGGCTCTGGTAAGGTAGTCTATTACCACCTCCTTCCTCTACAACATAATGATGCACTAGTCCCGTACATTGGGTAATACATTTAAAAATAATAGTATTATTATTTATCATAATAAAAACTATTATTTTAGTGTTAAAACTATTTCGTTTACACTAAAATTGTAATATAATTTACTATGTACTAAAACTGTCTTACTTTAAACATAAAATTCATTAATTTACAAAAATGTTTGTTAAATTAAACAAATATAATGATTTATCTTTTTAATTGATTAATTTAATTTATTTTTTATTTATTCGTATGGCGTTAATTTAAAATTGATTAATTCCTATCTCTAGTTTTACAAATTATTTCTTTTCTCGGAACAAAGCTCTGTTTAATATCCCAATTTTTGTTTTTTTTTTTTTTACTGGTGATTACTACCGTTAAACTAATTGCCCGCTCAGATCCATTGAGCCAACATCCTCGTTTTTTTCTTATTCTTATTCTTTAACTATTTTTTTACAATGTAGGAAGATGCTTCGTCAGACGTGCGCGTAACAATTTACATAGTGAGGCACAAAAATGTGTAGTACCTATTTAAAAAAAGTTTTAGCACGAAATTCGTACATCAGTACAAGATTTCAGTATAGGACGCCATTACTGAATTCCTAGTTCAGTTTACCCAAATTTGTTTACCCTTTACACAAGAGATAAACTATAGTTAACAACACATAACTGTCATTGACTCTGAACTTATGTTAGAGTAGTACATCTTTAAGAAATAAATAAACCTATACTATACAATCTGTACAGCTTAAAACTGAAGTCGTAAACAGAAATTTTGAAACGTACCTAATAAAAACCTAATAGCTTTTTTAGCTGTGAGCTGTGATTAAAAATAAAAAGTTATTAGGAGTTTTCACATTAAAATTCTACGTACGAGATTTAATAAATATAAATATCCATTATTGCATTTAGAAAGTCACGTATTTTATATGTACAGGCCAAGCAAAAACATTTTGATAAGGTGTCGGATAAGATACGCGTTACGTTGTTCACCTCCCTTCGAGTTATCGGACAATTTTTATGACTTACAGTAGTTGCATTTGTCGTGTTAACGCTCTCAGTATTGTTAACATTTATTTGTCTTATTTATTTGACTCATGAAATAATAATGTACAACAGTTTAATTCCAAACACGTACTTCGGTGAACTCTGACATTTCTATACATCATTTGATATGTTGTTTATGTATACATAATATGTTTTTCTCAATTGCTATTGAACTAATGGCAATTAATTAATCGCTTAAAAATTGTATTAAATGTAAATATTTTGGGTGTTATATTATTATATAATATATAGATTGTGCGTGATTCTATAAATATCATCTCATTGATTTACCTTTTTCAAAATTATTTATTGTTACGGTTTTTAATTAAGAACTTATTCAAACCATTAAAAAAAATTAATTAAAATAAAAACTAACAACTAATTTTTTAATTCTACCGAAGTATGATCAGTTATTTTCGTTATTTATTTCAACCCACCAACTCATTAACATATAAGTATTATTTATTTTATGATATTTTATAATGGTTATTTTAAGATGAAATAAATTCATGTTTTATATTTATGTATAAACAAACGTCTTTTAGTTATCTGTAGAGATCCATCCACGAGATTCTACTTAGTGAAACGATTTTGCTGTCAGAACTTATGAAACGCCTAGTGTTCAGTTCGGGGTTTGATGTAAACATAATGAGTATTTTAAATGGATTGTAGCCTATGTTTGTTTTTTAACACAAAAATAAGATAACACTAAATAAATCCAACTCTTTTTTATACTCCTATTCATTCCACTTCTTATAGCCACAGAATGCTCAGATCGGCGAATCTAGTGTGGCCTTTGTCGATTGTCAGCTGTTAAATTTGTATTATCATTATCTTTATGTTATGTCTATTTTTATTTGTTATCCTTTGTTTAAATTTACTTTTAAGTATTATGTCAACTATGTAACTTAAAACAGCCGATTGGCGTATATATTTAAAATAAATATATAATTATGGAAACTATAGAACAAGGCAATAATTGAAATAAAAAATAATATTCTACTCAATAATAATCAATTAACATTTAAAAAAAAATGTTTTTGAATAATTAAAAATATAATAAAATAATAAGGTACTAGGTAATAATAATAATGAATAAAACTTAATTTAAATACGTTTTTTAATCCCAATAAATGGCTATTAAAATAATATCAAACTGCGACTATAACTATTTCTTTAAGTATGTTTAGTTGCCTAACGTTCCGAGCTTGAGGCTTTTTCTTTGTTTTATGGTTTTTTCCGTTTTAAATAACGTTGTAATACTGAGCACATTTGTTTTTCTTAAAATAATGTTATACTCAATTACCTATAACAAACTAATAGAATCTTTTTTAATAACTCCATTTCAATTACACTTGATAAATATGAAACGGTGTGTATTTTATTAAATTAAAAATGATTTATCAATTATAATAATTATCCGTTGCGTTCTTTAAATAAATAATTAAAATATGTTTATAATAATCAAATATGAAATAATTTAATTATTATAATAAGTGACCCAATAAAGATATATTACATGGTAATGTATATAAATAAATATAACTCCTTTATACATTTAACGATGCGTCATTGGTTGAGAAACATATTAATAATAAATTGGCAATTCAATACATATTTACTACCTTTATCGAATTGCATTATTTAATTATAAATAAACAAAAGGTGACAACAAAATAGTTATTAATTACATAAACACACACAGCAGTTGGCTACTGGATTCAATTATCTGGAATATAACATTGAGTTTTTCCTAAAAAGTTACTGAGGTGGTGTTAATACATATAATTACATTTGAGTGTAATATACAATGTTTAATATTCTAGTATAGCAAAATACATAATTTGTCAAGAAATAACTATTTTTTTAACAATAAATACTGACTTTAAATTATGTTTTTTAGTTGTTGAAAGTATACTTTCTTAAATGACTTGACAATATATTAATAATTTATTTGTCAACACAATAATTAGTATTTATTATACGGCTATAGAGAATTTGTCAATCAGAATATCAATTGTCATGTATTAAAATAATAGCTAGGTATAATGTTGTTGAACTTACAATATATAATTTTGTCATAACGACATGTAGTATACTCGTAATAGTTTACATAAATCATAGTCTATTCATAAGTCATCTTTTCCATACAGTCATACTTATTTAACTATGAATCACTGGGTGGTTCACTAACTGTGAAGTTAATTTACACCCAAGTCAACCGGTATGCTTACCGAAGGGCGTAGCTAGACCAAATTATCGAAAGAGTTTTTTAAATTTGTATCTTACTTGTACATCAATAATAATATTTGTTTTAAAAACAAATTTCGGCAAATAGTTGACTCGAAGGAAATCTAGAAAGAATTTGACCACCAAAATAGTCGCAAAACATACGACCTTGTGTTTATTGATCAAACATTATATTTTATAAATTGTCCAATTAAAATATTTATGTTGCAGTAATTCTTTCAACTAAAAAAATATACCAAATAAAATGTTTATAGTATTTAAATATAAAACAAAATTTTTATATAGTGTAGTAAAATATGCATTTTGTTTATTAACTGGTAAGCCTTGATACTAATAATAATATTAAGAAACAACATTGTTTTTAAATTATTTTGTAATTTGATTTGTGTGTTTAATTCATGTACACCAGATGTAAAGCGATTTCTTCATAATTAATTATATGTATTATTCATTTATTTTATTTATAGATCAAAAATCTTTCGCCATAAGTAACCACCAGAGTATTTTTTCCTTTACGTGTTTGTGTATTGAATTTATCACGTATTTTATATACTTAGCCAATCGGGAGTTTAAATAATTCAATCATTTTAAAAATCATGATGAATAAAAAAAATGTTTTATTGAATAATTTATCATTCGGTGTTTTTTAAAATTATTTATCGTATGTTATTCGTTAAATATAATTGTTTATAGTTTGCTCTAAGAAATTTGAATACTTGTATATTATGTATAAGAGGCTAATATTTAAATTATCTTAAAAAAAACAGAATATCACATTTTGTATGTAATATCTTATTTATGAAATTTATCGAAATATACTTGACTCGTCTAAGATGGACTTTGTCTATAAATAATAAATATAAAAATTATCTTTTATCGCTAGAATTATATTATTCGTCGAATCAGGCTCTTAGTAATTCTAATATTGCCAATCTTTGCTCTGCACCCGCTTCCCAAAACCGTTTTAAAAAACAACTGTTGAAAATATGTTCAATTCCATCATTTTAACCATTCTAGCTTGGATCATTCAAATTATTTTTACATCCAAACAACTCGTGTACCGGATAGGCGCTTAGTTCGCATTGTACGCATAAGTATACTACACGTGATTTAATAATGTCTGTGCAAAGCGTACGGCCGTATTTCCATCTTCGGCATTGGTACAACTGCAACAGAATCCCGACTATTTTTATTTGGACCATTTATACCGGGATACCGAAACCGAAACCTACTTAAACGTGTTGGCAGATTCCGTTTAAGCCGTAAAACGCGTTACTTTCAATATCTAATAATATTATATTGTTTTGGCGAGCAAAACTAGCGATTCTGTGGGAAACGATAACACATATTATAAGATTTTCACGGTTATTGTAACGTTTTTATTTTTTTGTGAAATCTCCGCCGTAGTGATCATGTCAATCATTCCGCGGTTTTTTTATTATTATTATTATTATTATTATTATACTTATGACCGAAAAATCGGTATCACGTAATACGGCGGGTATACCTTGCAGAGACAATAATAATATGACCACGTGTAGGTAATGGGTTTGAATACGTGATGATCAAATGAAAGTGAACGCACCACTACCGGTTTGTGTACTTAAAAACAGCAGCACCGTTGTTGAACAACAGCTGCTGCTACTCGACTGCGGGACGTCCGAAGTCCTGCTATCGTCTCCGTCGCACTCCGTAGGATATAACATAATATGTCGAACGTTATTTTACACTATAATAAGATACAAAATACTATAATAATACAGGGGCAGGTGGGTGCTCGCTTTGGTATTCATACTGCGATCGGATTTGGACCCGTTATACGCATTTCCTATATTGTATTAAAACTGTGATATTAATATATGAAAACTTTGGGGTACTCCGAAAAATCGTTCATTTTTATCTTTTTTTTTTTTAAATGATCCTTGATTGATTTATTGGTCGATCGACGGAATTCAAAGACAGTTCTGTGTCGTGTAACTTTAAAAAATTACATCTCTTCTTGTTCAGTTCAATTATATTTTCTGACGTAGAACCATGGACGAGGCTACTGTACTTTACTATAATTCGGTGGTTCGTGACCAGAAAATATGCCGCGTTTTCCAAATTCACCTATGGTAAAATAGCCGTGCAGAATTGGACAAAATTCAGATATTTAGAATTTTGAACATCCCAAAAGCCTTTTATCCCATTAGTTTATAGCGAAATGTTAAGGTTAAAAATTAGGTTTACCTTTTGAAATATCATACTTTTTAAGTATGACTATTAAAATTGTTTTAAATGAGATTTCGCCCAACTCTGTGGCTTTCCTGTAATACCCTTTTTAAGTCACGTGCTTACCTGGAATAGTGGACAATGGACAGAAACCCTTACGGTCAAAATATGTTTAAGAGTGAAGAAAAATGTGGTCTGCTTAGGCACCAACAATATTATAAAATTCCTCCGGCCTATCAGAGCTTAAGGTTTGGAACGCAAACAATTTTAAGAGTGCTAATATCAATACTAAGAATTTTTAGCACAGCCTCTCAAATTACTCCTCTAAAAAGTGCATTAATGCTTTGCAGAGCTATTAAAATGTTTGCATTGCATCATAATTTTATGAAGTACAATAACTTTTTATAAAACAGACTTTAAGCAATATGTTTTGGTAATTTATGAGACAATTGCAATCAGTGGCTCTTTATATGTACACACATTTATTATTTTCAAGAATGGTGACGTTTCTAAGAAGTAGATGTACATAACATTATTTTAACAGCGAAAAATTAATATTTTATAAGTTTGATAACTGATAATAAGCAATCCATTATTTATGTCTAACAACATAATAGACATTGTCGTTCACAACAGAATCTATTTCGTTGGATGGTTATTGAACAAACTATATTATCCGAATAGAATCGCAAAACTCGTTTTTTGCACCATCGCAATAGTGTAGCATTGTAAAAAACATGTATTTATTAAATAAATAATACTGGGCTTTAATAAAAAACGTCTACGGGGGCCCAGAGTTAGGGACTATAGCAAATGACCATGTATAATTTATATGGATAAAGATATATTTTACAAATTTATTTGATTAAAAAGTGCTAAAAAAAAGTTTAAGAAATGTGTCTACGTTTCAAATTTTAAACAAAACATATTCTGTTATTATTTTGTTAAAATTATATTGTAACGTAACCTAACCTAACGTAATAGGTGACTTACCTCACGGTCTGTTAACTTTTTCCTAGTAGAGATTGAATATAAATAATATTATATTAAATTATATACTTACAGAACTCATCCGAACTACCTTGAAGTAACCTCGTTAATAAGTATAATATTACACGCCTGCAAAAATAGTTTTCACAAATAATGGTACTAAAAAAGTAAATATATATAATATACAAGCTGTCCCAACCCGGCGTTGCCCATGTATTAAAATAGATACACAATCAGCTGATCGGATCACTGCATCCCTGTGGTATGAAAAACCATAGAGATATATTGATAACTGTTGATACTATTGATAATCATAGTAAATCATTTTAATTAATTAAAAATTAAAAACATGTTCTATCGGATCAAATTGTGAATCTAACCCTTTCTCGAATCAACTTAATTGCGCACACAAAATTTCATAAAAATCTATCCAGCTGTTTAGAAGGAGTTTGCATACTTACACACGGACAGAAGAAATATATATATACATATAAAGATATAAATAAATAATTTTCCTAAAATACTTATATTGTATCTTGCATCATTATACGTGTATGTTACTTAACCACGTAAAGCTAACCTAAGTTGAAGTTAGACAATAAATAGAAATTGACATTGCGTTAAATGTAAGCTCCAATAACTGTTTATAAAAAATAAAAATAAATATGCGTTGGTCTATTCAAAATTAAACATTGAAGACTAAAGTACTCTTATATTAATAAAAATTTAAGACAAGAAATGTGTTTTTACCATTTTTTTTTTTACTTGTAATTAACTGGTATATAACTTCATTTAAATCAATAAACATATGTTACCTATATAAAAATCATTGATGACTTCCACGTTCTACGTATACATATATCAATCGAAAATGGTTTAAGGCTACAGTTACTTAACCGCGCTATAGAAACTGTGCTATAGACTTATTTTTTTAATAATCCGGTTTGTTAGGTAACGGAAGTTGGCACGGCTTACAATAAATTATATAGTATACTAAGTTTACACATGTAATTTATAATATTTTAAAATCGTTTTTGTAGACTTACTGTTCGTATAACAATGTTTTTTTTTTTTAGGTATGCATGAAGATGATTTTTCTGTTAACAACTTATGGCTTGAAACAGGTTTACATGTTGTTGATGTTCGTAGTATATAATATGCAATATGACCATGATTCAATTTTCAAATGGCAAATCTTTTTGCGATGCTTGTAGTGGTGAAAGGCAATATAAAGTAAACACCTTTTGGTCGTCAAAAATGCACTTACAACATTTTTTAGTTATGTCATTAGAAATAAAGAAGAAGAATAAGAAAATAAGAATAAGAAGAATATGGAATAATATATTATTTTGATTAGACGCAAAAATATCACTATTCACGAAGTAAGTGACACAAAATGCCAAAATATGCTGTATAAATATTTTGTTACTAATACGAACTGTGAACAATTATCAAAAAATTTTATATTTTTAAATGCAATATAGTTAATAAAATATAGTATTGCTGTGTAAGAAACTCATAAGAGTTTATCTATTCGTGTATATATGTTATATATATATTGCATAAACTTTTTTTCGGTGAATTTGATGGTGGTATAGTATACAATATAAAGACAATAATATATTAACATGAATAGTTTTTTTTTTTTTTAATCACGTGTAAAACACATTTTGATATTAACATGGTTTTATTAAGTTGTTATGTGCTAATAAAAAATTTAAATAGTTTTTAGCGGCGACTATTCTGTTCGACGTCGAATGAACTTGAATACATTTCGTTCTGCAGCTTATATGTGGTAGTTGAATACCTTGCTTGTAAGGATATTGAGGAAGATAACCCATATGGGAATTTTACCCACCCGTTCCACCTTATAACGAAGAAAGCGCAAGTACTCGGAACGGTTATGGTATATCAGACACGTTCAGTAACAAATCGACGTTCTACCGGTGTTTATAATTTTTTGGCGCGTGTAAAATATTTGAATCTCGCGTTAAATATTTACTATATTTTTTAGTCAAATGTACATTAGTTTCAATCGAACCAATTTCACAGCAATATAAAGACCGATTATTTTAACCTATTAGTGTTTTGGATAAATACGTTTTTTTTTTTGTATGGAAATAATATTACACTGATGCTACAATACGACTGGAATGGTTTAAACACTAAAACCATAGTATTGTCTTAATATTCAGGTAATACTTTCATAATTCTAAATATTAAATTTATATTTAGTTACTTTCAATCTCTATTAATTGCAATATCATTTAAAGCATAACAAAATATATGAAAACAATATCACCCAAATTCGTGCTCTTATATACAAATTAATCAAATCAATTTTATTAAAAAATAAGTTATAATTAATTACTCAACAAAACAGTTTGTAGAATTTTAGTCAATCAATAATAGGGACATATGAAAAGGTGTTCCTAAATCATATTTACATACAATACAAATATATATTAGTACTTCTAGTATGAATAATATACCTATGACAACAAATAAAATAGTGCAAAATAACTAATAAAAAAACTGATCGATTTTTTTTCATCATAACCCAAACTAAAATTGTATATTTAAAAAATATTATAGTAATACCATCAAAATATTTTAGATTATACTGTGGTAATAAATTTAATTTTTCATTGATATTTCTTATGTATTATACATCAACTATTTTCAAACCTTGAAATAAATGTCATGTTTATAATATTTTCCACTAATCCCCTAAAAAAGTAAAATGAGCAACTTTAATATAGTGTTGTGATAAAAAATTAACTAATTTAAAATTATTTTTTAAAAGTATCAATATAAAACCAAAAATAAATCGTATGTTTGAAAGTCGTTATGATTTATGCGATTTTATGAGAATATTATTGTTTAATGATAATAAAAGTTTCGATTAAAAAACTAGTTACATTTTTATACTCATAAAAAATTGTTTTATTTATGAACGAGAATTAATAACATATTTATTTATAAAATTGGCACACACAGAATAAATTGCAACAGTTAGTAATCAAATAAGTAAATAGTAGTAAATAGTTTTCTACGAAATATTGTAATTTGTATAGTTTACTATTAACTATTTGCATAGTTATAGTTGGCCATGCTAAAATGAATATAGATAAATATAAAAGCAATATTTTTAAAAAAAAAATTATCGTTTTTCATCACAATCCCAATTTAGGAGGTCGAATACAGCCTTTCGTAACAACATATTCATTGAAAAATGAATTTAATAATGGTTTATGCAATTATAAATGTTATTTTTATTGTTTTATATTTTTATTGGTCTAAATGAATACATATTAGCACTGTGAGATTTTATAGCTTAACATTAAGTAGTGATAACTTAATATGAATTATATATATCATCGTGTAATAAACAGTTTTCGTATAAAAGTGTTATAAATGTATGTGTACATATAAATTATACTCGCATATAATGTGTCGTAACCAATATATTTTTACAAGGATGACTACAGCTTTAATTAAAGATTTTTATGAACAAAACTAAAATTATTTCTTTGACTATTTTTACATAATAAAAGAGTGGGAAATGTTGCAATTAAAAGGCAAAATTATTATTTTTAAAAATGCGATAATTCACCATAAGTATTTTTATGTTGAACATTCACGACAGCAGAAATGTCCTCAGTATAATAATTGTACATGTCAACAAGATTCTAACTTAATATATTAATTTAAAATATAAAATATAATTTGGATTTTATCTAATCAATAAACAATCAGATAACATGAAAATTACATTAAATATTTTAAAAATAAAATGTGTGTTCATATATTATAAGACACAATCAATTTTAATAAAACAAAAATTGTTTTAAGTGTTCGTTAGCTAATTAACATTGTTTATTTCTGACAATTGACCATCAAGAATCGTTTTATCACTGAAACTTTTTATGTGTTATATTACACAAGTCCAACCATTAACAATGGAATACATACAATGCAACATTAAGATTAGGAAAAAATAACTATGTATCATAATAACTATAAGAATAAGCCATTTTTATTTTGTTTTACGCTTGAGTACCACACGTTTGCGGAACCTACAAATTATATTGTAACTAATATTCAGTAAAACATTCAATTAAAACAGAATATAATTTTTGTAACCATCATTACAACTTATTCATAAGTAATAAGTAGTAACATTAGTCACTAACATAATTAAAAATAATATCATGGAAATTATTTAATTCGTTCGTAATAAAACAATACATTTAAATGAAAACTAAACGATTAAATTATTTTATAGTAAAATCATAAATAAAACAAAAATATTATATCAAAATATAAAAAATATTTTGTGCAATTTTTGTAATATGTAATAACAGAAATAGTCGACTAACATACTATTATCTTTGTTCTATTGTTCATAATAGTATTTATCATTCTTAAAACTACTATTTTTTTTTTTTTAGTTGAGAGTTGAAATGTTAGTTTCTGGCATTGTTTTGCTTTGATTTGTTATGAAATTCAGAATAAAACTCTAAAAATTGTTTCAGCATTATAACAGTTATAATGAACGAATGCGTGAACTTCCAGTGGCCTGGTCACTAAGTTATTTGTGTGTACGTTTATTTTATTTAATATTTTATTAAAATTAGGCCAACAAAAAAATATTATAAAAAACTTCTCTACCGTAATAATACCCGAATTATATCTTAGTATTATCCGATGATTGAATATCCTAAATGTTGATTCAAATTTATGCTTGTATTAATTGCATGTAAGCGCTTACAGCGTTTTAAATTAAAATAAAATTATTATTGAATCTATTAATATCGTTGGGCCAAAACGAAGGATAGATGGAGAAATATTTTATTTTAAACTTCAAACCTCTAAAACTATAGCTAAAAAAATGTTTCGTTCTCTGTAAACTATTATGTAATTTTTTTAAATATCTCAAAATGCATATTATTCTGTATATAAATTATAAAATATATCATAATTCATATATATTTAACGGCATATAATGAATACTGAAATTCTACTAATAACTAATTTTTGATCTAGAAAAACTAATAAACCACTATTGGACATAAAATTTAAGAATACTGTTTCTTCTTGTTTAAATTAAATAATCAGATATTTTACCAATAATGTTGCTAATAGGGATAAAACTGAAATCCGGATTTCTGAATTATCGAAATGTTCAATTATTTTTATTCAAATTTAAGGGTGATCAGAATTTTAGGATTTACGTTACTATTATTTTTTTTAATCCAAGTTAAACAAGAAATACTAATTCAAAAGTATACTTTCGTTTTGTAACAGTTATTTATGAAATTTAATTATTTACAGTTTAAAATTTAAATCCCAAAATTCTAATAATCCGAATTTAGATCAATTATCCGAATTTCTAAATTCCGGATAATCTAATCACTATAAATCTAATCGCTGTTCAATCTATGAAACTGGTATATGTATTATGCAGAAGACCTTGTACAATATATATATATATATATATATATATATATAGTATTATATATATTACATAGTATTAGGTGTATTGTTAATAGCGAAGATTAATAATAGTATACAAATAGTATTACAAATATTATACACCGTACGTGCATAAAATTAGTTTCGCTGATATTTCATACTCTTTAGCGCAATATAATATAGTCTTCTGTTTAATGTATACTAGATTTTTTTTTTTAATTGCATTATTTTAAATAATAAGATATACATATGAATTTAATTACAAATATTTAAGTTTCCCATTACAAAACTTCAGTCTTTGGTGACGTGCTAATTGTAGCATAGTTTTTACTTAACATAAGTGTTTAATGTATAAATAGAAATTAAAAAATTATTTATGGTATCAGATAATTTATGTTTTGTTTAAATAAATTAAATCCTAAGAGACCATAATACATTTTCGAGGTTAACAATCCTCATAAACGTTTTATTAAAAATACAAATGGTAGGAAAATATACTTTTATAAATTATTATGCTATAATAAAAAAATATACACAACTACAATGTTATTTATCCATCAAACAAGTATTACTAGTTTAGATTGATTAAAACTTTTACGTGATTATCTTTTCCGCCAATCCGATTACTGTGTATTACATCATGTTAATGATAAGGCTCGTGAACCACTGGTATAATAAATGTAATGCATTTTTAAGTGCATTAGAAACAAATGTATGGATTATATACTGTATAGTATTCTAGACTAGAGTAGATAATTCAGAATGAAACTTAGTTTAACGAAAACTAGATCATACTAATTTCGCATTGTCCTATAGAGTATTCCTGTTAAAGACTTATACTGTTTCTTTTATTTACTGCCATTTAAAGGGTTCTTTAATGATGTAAATGTTTTAAAAAATTTATTTTTTCCTTATAACTGCATAACTGAAGATGTTCAAAGTTGTTTCCTAACTGCCGTGCTTCTTGGCTGATGGAAATTTCTTGTTTTAGCAGAATTCTACTTTCACCATATTTTTTTATAATACATAATATGCACCTATCTTTCTCTGTGCTATATTAAGGTATTTCTATTCGACATTTAAACATTCTTTCGACGACATTGCCCGGAGAGCATTTTATAATCGAACCGTAACTGTTATATCACAATAATAGCTTGCTGTTATCAATTAGCGATTAACAATTAAGTTTTCTTAAACTGAACTTTTTAAATGAGATCTTTGGTTCTTTTATTAGGCATATATTATATCATCTGAATATAATAAATAATTAATTTGATTTCATTACAAACGTTCTCTCGAGGCTATCTATTGACATGTAATCAATAGAACTATATACATGATATATATAATATAACATAATACAATAAATCTAGGCCAAAATCTCAGAACGACCTATACAAATTCTAAATCTACCTTTGTATGATAACCTCATAAAGTTTAAAATATCTAAGTACTGTACAGAAAATATTTTATTTGTAATTATTGAAGGTAGTCCTAATTTGCACTTAAATTGTACTTGTCCGATTATTCATTGTACTCAGACCACATATGACCACGACTGAGTTGTTTGTAATTAATATTAATAAATGTTATTAAAAGCTTCACACGTCATGACACATAAACGCGCTGTTAACTATTAAAATAATTTGTTTTTAAACTATTGCGGGTAATACGACACAATGGCCTATATATACAAGTGTCTTGTAGCTAATAAGTGTTTTATTTTGTATTGGTCTACTTTAGCTAAATACTTAATCATTAGTAATATTAGCTAGAATTCCATGTAGTTATAATTTTAAACAATAATAATTTGCTACATACATCTATAAATACACAGAAAAATGGCATAAATACATATTTTCGATATCGGCTCGTACACACTATACCGGCGAAATTGAATTTAAGCTAATTTTAAATTCTCCATTACTTTATATACCTAAGTATTTTTTACTTTGAATACTTTTATTTAAAATACAACATTTTTCTATACGCTCATAAAAATTATAATTATAAAAAACTGAAAACTGTTATCAATATTTGATTTAAAAATTGTTTTACTTTAAAAAAAAATTCAACGTTTTAATATTTTCTTTGGAGTAAACAGAAATAAAAAACATAATTACCACTTCTTTTATACTCAGTACAAAATATTATTGTATTTAATGGAAAGATATATTTTATTAAAATTATCTCATAATAGCCTAATGGTATATAAATGAATAACATTTAACAGAAATCATATACAACAATATTGTCGGAACCGACCAGAAAAGTAATTGTTTTGTTGATTCCCATAAAATCTCGTTTTTGATGATTTAAAAGAACCGTAACAACATATTTTGGTATAACAACTCTATTATATATTAAGAATGAAACTAAATTTAAATTTAAATGTCACAAACAACTTTGTATTAATCATTGCGAAAGAAAACGTATTGATGAAATGTATTTTTCAATTATCTTCAAATATATAATTTAGATAATTCCAATGTAAAACGTTACCAGCTGTGTGACACTGATTTTTGCCAATAGCTATGCGGTTTTTTTAATAACAGCTTAAAAAAAGCAATACCCGTATGCTTATTATAATATTAATTTGTCTAAGGTATTAACTATTATGAAGATATAATATCAAACATTATATTAGCACGACCAACGAATATTTGTCCGAAATTTTTACAACTATATTAAAATATTAATCAAACATATTATAAAGCTTTGCGAAGGAGCTAAAATGCTACTACTGAATGTTATTTACAAAAGAGTATTTTTTTTAAATTTATTACAACTGCAATAACTATTTTACATGGTCATTAAAAGTACATAGCCTTATAAAGTAGGACTCAAGGTGAAACTATAATAACGGTCCCTAACAGCTCGACTAATTATTACGGCATTCAGTCTTTGTTATTTCATGCAATAATTATTGAACTGTCAATTATCACACAAGTACTAAAATAAACATGATCAATCGTTATGTTTTTTTTCATTTGCGTATGGTCGCTGACATTCACACGTGTTTATTGGTTAACCGTAGCAAACGCCTATTTTTAAATATATTTTTTGTTTTTTTGAAAAACAATATCGAATAAGTATACAAACCGGTTAAACGTGAGTATTTGTGATTTCAGGATTCAGACTTGTGCAGTGTTTTGAATGGTGCAAAACAATCCAATATTATTTTGTCCGTCACCAGTCGATCGTCATGCAAACAAAATCATTTTTGTCGGTGTTCATCGTATTGGCCACTGTATTGCAGTCGTGTCGACCAATATCTCTAAATGCGCTGTCGTACTTAGGTGACCGTTACCGATCGAATCTCATACCGTTCCGCGAAGATGTGCTGTTTGGCAACAAGCCCATATTGGACCAGTATGATTTCATCGTGGTCGGCGCCGGAGCCGCGGGTGCCACGGTAGCCCGGAGACTTGCCGAAGTGCCCGAATGGAAAATCTTGCTGTTGGAAGCCGGCCGCGAAGAATCGCTGGCCACTTCCACTCCGGTCGTGGCTCATTATTGGCAATTCACCGACTACAATTGGGCGTACCGGACGGAAGAAGAACCGCGGGCGTGCTTGGGCATTAAAAATAAAAAATGCCTGTGGCCGGCCGGCAAGGGGCTAGGCGGGAGCACGATAATAAACAACAACATCTACACCCGGGGCAACGTCAGGGACTTTGACCGCTGGGCCGAGGCCGGCAACGAAGGTTGGTCCTACAAGGACGTGTTGCCGTACTTTTTGAAAAACGAAGACATCACCGTACCCGAACTGAAACACTCGCCTTACCACGGTGTGGGAGGACCGATGCCCATAAGCTATTCGCCGTTTAAATCCAAGCTGCTCGACGCGTTTATCGAATCCGCCCCGGAAGTGGGAATGCGGGTGGTGGACTACAACGAGCCCGGCAGCCACGTGGGATTCTCGAGGATCCAAGGAACGATCAACTACGGTAGACGGACGACGTCGGCCAAGGCGTACTTAAGGGGCAACCTGACCAATCTCCATATTGTCGAAGGGGCGTTCGTCACGAAAGTGTTGATCGACCCGAAGACCAAAATCACGCTGGGAGTTGAGTTCGAGAAGAAAAACCGAAAACGGCGGGTGCTGGCCAGGAAAGAAGTGATCGTGTCGGCCGGTACTTTCAATTCGGCCAAACTGCTCATGTTGTCCGGTGTCGGGCCCAAGGAACACCTGGAATCCCTGGGAATACCCGCGTTGAGCGACCTGCGAGTCGGAGACAACCTACAGGAACATCCGGCGTTTGCGAGCTTGGCGTTCACGGTCAACGAGACCGTCGGCTTGATTCCCGAAAGAATGTTCAAAAGCCTTTTGAAAGAACTATTCAATTTCCTCGACGGTAACGGATGGTTGACGACGATGGGTTGCGAAGGCCTTGGATACGTTAAGACCAAATACAACACGGATCCCGGAGACGTGCCGGATATCGAATACATTTTCGTGCCTATGACACTGGCCGGGGAAGAAGGACTAGGAGGCGGCGTGCTCAGGAGATCTATGGGCATATCGGACGTCGTCGAAAACGATTTGTTCAAAGGCCTTTACAACAAGGACGGTTGGTCCATTTGGCCTATGCTCATGTATCCGGAAAGTAGAGGACAGGTTAGTATCACATTCACACACACACACAGAGAAAACAAAACTGTTATCAATGCTCGCTAATTGAACGTGGTTTGTATAAATGTTGTAGGTACGACTGAGAAACGCTAATCCCCATTCGAAACCTATGATACGAGCTAATTTCTTCGAGGACTCGGTCGACTTGAACCGCATCGTAGAGGGAATCAAAATGATAATAGAGCTGAGTAAAACGAAAGCCTTTCAGAAATATGGGTCTACACTGAACACACGACCCATGCCCGGTTGCAAGCATTTACAGTTTGGTTCGGATTCGTACTGGGCTTGCTGCGTGCAGAGGTTGACCATGCAAATGCATCACCAGAGCGGTACTTGCAAAATGGGTCCTGATTATGACAAAAACGCCGTTGTCAACTCTCAGCTTCTGGTGTACGGTATCTCTAAGCTCAGGGTAATCGATTGTTCGATTATGCCGACAATAACCGGGGGTCATACCGTAGCACCGGCTTACATGATTGGCGAAAAAGGAGCAGACTTAGTAAAATCTACATGGTTAGACCCGGTAAATACTGCGTTTTAACATCATTTGTAACCAGCATGTTAACTAAAAACAAAAATGAAAGACTTAAAATGAATACATTAAATATAATTTCGATACCTCTTTTTCTCTAGAAAAATAAGTTTAATTTATGCATACTATGTAATACCTTAATTACCTATGTCTAGCGTCCCATTTTCAGTTTATTTTTAAATAACTCATGTACTCGACACTAAAATTATCGTTTTGAAAATTGGTTATTTAAGACTAAAAAAAAAGTGTCCTGGTTTTTTGACATATATTAGGTGTTAAGTATTGTAATTATTCAATACTAAGGTGATAAAAATAACAGTTGTCAAAAATACGACTTGTAAAAGTTGTAATATCCTTGATATATCCTTGAATTAATAATCAGTGACAAGATTAAAATTGTTGTTTTTTTAAAAATTATTGAAAAGTATGTTGGTCTATTAAAACACTACTTCGACCAATCATTTTTCAAAATCATTACGGAAATGGTTTTTTTGTAATTTTGAAAGTCACTAACAATTAACACTTACATGCATAATTAAAACTGTTTTAAACCCCGCTTAGAATGATGTAAAGTACCTAAAGCAATTATTTTTAAATAAACTGATTTTTTTAAATATTTTATTAGATACTCAGAATCAATAATAATAATGAAGAAATCTTAAAGAAACACTTTATGTGTTTTACATTTTTGCTTAAGACCAACGTTTAATTAATGACACACTATTGAATTGAACTTTAATATTAGCTAAACTATTGAATTAAAATAGTAGAACATAAATTTAAAATCAAATAATTTTTTTTTGCGTTGTATCTTAAAATTATATTCACTAATCTGGTTAGCTGATTAGTTGTTAGCAAAAAATTAAAACAAACTGAAATAATTAAATTAAATTAATCATTTCATTTCATCAACACTTCCGGGATAATAAAGTTTTTTTCATTTTCTGGTATTTTTAATAAAATACCTAGTCGCCATCCGTTAATTATATACGATTAACGAGAGGTTAACGTGTCTTGCGTTTATACATTTCTATTACAAAATTATTATGCAAACGATCTACTTAAAAACACCAACGTTTATTTAGATTATAGTAAAAACGAAAAAGCTGCGTCTTACCAAAATATGTGTAAGTAATAAAACATTTGTTCACAAAAAAAATGTTTACAAAATATAATAAAACGTTCGATTGAGTGATGTATATTTTTTATTGTATTATATCAATATTTTATGTATATAATAATTATTGAGCGTATCATAGTTGCTTAACAAATGTGTTTGTATGTAGAATAGCGAAAAAATTATATATTGTTGTAAACATATTATATATTAAAATGTATATGTAATTATAAAAAAAAACAAATCGAGGATAGTTTATATGATATTATGAATATATGATAATATTATGAATTATATGATATATAATTATTTTAATTAAAATACATGATATATTCACAGCTAAGCTTACTAGTAAACTAAATATCAGCATTGTATTGATACCAATAGAAATTGTGTTTGCACAATATTATTGTTCGTGTAAATAAAAATGATGAAATTTTCATAGAAAAAAAACAAATCCGGGCAACCATCGAATCTTTAATTTCTATAAACATTATCGCAACGGAATGTCCACTGTTTATTTTTGCTGATGACAATATTGTAAGTGTTTGCTAGTAAAATCGGGTGTGAAATATTTGATTTTTTATCAATACCACCGTTACATAAGGCGAGTAGGTACAATAATATAATCCCGTATAAATGACACGGACACGCCGAAAAATAAGCCGGTAAACGATTTAGTGCAGAGTGGAAAGTAGGTGAGCATTTAACTATTTTGACAGATTCGCATGAAACCATTCGACACGTGCAAAACGGAAATGCTGCTGGTGGATTTTAAAACTATAAACAGATTTTTTTCTCATAATATAAATAATTATACGGTAGATACATGTTAAAGCGGTCGAGGGACCTTGAGTGACAAATCAAAGTTAACCTAACACACGGTAAGTACCTAGAATAATCCGATAACTCGTTTGGTATACTGCATATTATTATTATACGGTTCAATACCACACAGCAATAAAATCAGATATTAGACAATAACGTTCTGTTAACGTTTAGCAGGAAATATACATACGGCTCGGAAGTTGAAATTTTGTTGTTTGCATTAGCTTGTTTTATTTTTACCACGAGCTCTTTTTATTTAGATTATTTAGAAATGTATAACATTAAATTATATTGAATTATTATACGTTGATAACACAAAGCTCGTTGCCGCGAGACACTATGGTAAATATCAAAAATGCATAAAAGCGCATTACTCAAATATTGAAATCGTTTTTTCATTTTCCTAAAAAAAATTACAACGAAATCCAGAATAAAATTTTGTATAGTATGTATTTTTCATCTTAAGACATAAGTTTTTTTTTTATTTTACAACATTTTAACGATTACATTTTTTTTTTAATATCTTGGTCGTTATGCATAAATTTAAAAAGTAATTTGAAGGTAACTTTAAACTTCATTTACTATGTTATTTTAGCTTTTGATATTTGATTTACTCTCAACATACCATTTAAAATATGATAAATATTATTATAAAATGTATATTATATATTTTTTAAATATGTTACTGCTGTGTGGATTAATTATTTTTCCTAACCGTTTACATAACTCTTTTCATTTTCAGCCCCTAGTCTAAAGGTTTTATTTTGTTTATAAAATACAAACTCTTTTTATAGATTTACAAGAGTTATTTTGTGATTGTTACTGATTGTCCGTCAGAACAGTTAAAAGACAATGTTTTTATAACATACGCTTTTCGGCCGGCATTTGAATTATTAGCTCAAAAACCTTAATGAAAATAAAATGGTAAATGTTTGCGAAAAACGAGTTAATTGAAGAAATCACAATAGTATATTTAATTGCAAATGAAATAGCTACTAAAGAATTGATGGATTATTAATACATAGTTACAATACACTGTTTTCGGATAACGTTTAAATAATAATTTATGCATTACTATTAATTAATAAAAGCTTAAAAAATAACATATTATTACAAGAAAAGTACAGAGAGTTGTCAAACCAACTCAAATTTAGTCGACAGACTTTTAAGTCGAATTATTTGTATATTTCCTAATTGTATTTTATTTAAAGTTATTGAACAAGCGTAAAAAAAAATCAAAAATTATAGATAATATTATAAACTCGCTTAACTGCTACATTTTTTGTTTTTTTCGTACATTCATATGAACATATACATTTACTTCTTATACGAGTATACTAATTTTAAATTAGGTATTTGTTTATAAATAAATTATTCGAAATTTTGCAGCAATAGATATTTCTTAAATAACAATTGATAAGATTTTAAGAAATTGTAATACAACAATATTGAGTATTTGTTAAAACAAAACTTTCTAAAAATAAAATGACACATTTTAGGAGACTTAACAATATTAAGTTATTGAAATGTAAATTATGTCCTCGAATCAAATAACTCTTATTTCTTGTATTACAGGGATAAAATATTTTTCGTTTGATTAACTGAATTAAACATTCATTATTAGTTGGGTTTAATAAAGTATATTCGATTCCACTTCGTGTTATCTAAAATGTGTTCCCTTGTTTTATGATGGTCATCGGCACCATTAAGTTAAATTACCACTTCGTCTAAACTAAAATAATATTGAAAGCTAAGTGTATGACAGTATTATTTATCATGTGTCAGAAATTATTTGTACGTGTTGGGTTTGATTTATCAAGTGATAATTTACTATTGGTTTTTACAATATAAACATTAAATTAAAAGCAAAAAAATATAATGTTACATTCAAATTAGTTATTAGTGATACAATCTGTTCGTTTTAGTGATGAAACAAATCTTGCTAACATACCGGGATAGTCCTACAATTCTTTGGCAGTAGATATAGTAGGTAATATATATAGTTTACAATAATGTACATTGGACTCATTTAGATTTGAATGAATTACTTAGATTGAAAACACTAGTTGTCACAATAATTGGCGCAAATAGCCCGAGGGACTCTATACGGATTATTTGTAGGTTTTAACGTTTTTTTTTTATTTGATTGAATCGAATAACCGCGATATTAATTAAATGAATTATTACAACGGTAATATATTCACTATAAGTTAATCGGAAGACGGGAAAAATTGTTTTTTAGCGATGAACGATATTTCTCGGTCGATGGGCTTAGTGTCGTCGTAAAGCGCTGGTGCCTCACATAGAATCATCACTGTACCCATGATTGAAGCCACTGTAAATATCCACAAGAACAACCGATCCAACACCATAGCCACAAAACCCCAATCTTGATCTTCCTATAAATAAATAAAAACAACGCATAAATTTAAAACTCTAAAAATTAACAACAACCGTAGATAAATTTAAGCGGTTTGATAGTAAATAAATCAAATATTTTTAATATATTATTGTTTATTCAAGATTTCAAGTTCAAATGATTTTACGTTTATGTTGTTTTGCACTAAAACTTTTAATGAAATAGTTAAACAAACGGTTTGTTAAAGTAATCATAATTTTGCTGAATTAACAAATTACTGGAAAAGTCGACAAAAAATTTGCTCAATATAATGTCATACAGATACTATATTATAGACCATCCATTATTACCATCAAAGATGAAATTAAGTACTAAAAGTAAGGCTCACGTGAGCAAGTTAATCACAAATTAACGGATTAACTAAAACAATAACCTATGTCGACAATAAGACACCTGTTGGTAGGTACTCGTATAAAAGTTTCTTTTTTTTAAGACTTGTTATGAAACACCTGACACAAAAAGCTGGCCATCGATTATGACGGTACATTACTCAATTTCGGGTTTTGTTTAAGGTCTCTAATAGGATATTTCTAAATGGCATACGCCGAATCGAGTTAGGTATTTTAATAGTACACTACTTAATGTTCCACTAAACCGAAAAGATAGACCAAATTTAAGACGTATTGGACGAATGGTATAAATATTTAAAAGCGTTCGGTGTTAACATAGAATTAATTGCCAATTGAATAATTTTGGAGAAAGAGAGGATTCGAATTTATTTATATGGAAAAAGACAAAGGGAATGACAAGAAGAAGGAAATCAAATGTACGGAAATGTATTAGCGTTACAGCGTTTATATCAACAGCCATTTTGGTATATTACCGTGTTGTATTCATCTTGACGCTGCAAGTGATGCTGTATGAACTTGACGTTGTGTATGGCCTTTTCCAACTCGAAAGGATATTTTTTCCTGATAGCGGCCGGAATGTCGTTGAGTGTATCGTCGATGGATGACACTGCGGCATTTACCAACCGACTAGCCGCGCCTGCTGCTGCAGATCCGTTACACCCTGTACGACCTGTCGTAGCCACGAACCTACGCAATGAGTCTGTAGGTGACCGTCGGCCTATGGGCGGCGAAGACACTGGAACCGGCGGCACGTTTAGTGTAGCTCCCACGCTGGCTGCGTTCAATCTGAACAAATGTTATAATGTGTACACTGAATTAATATAAGCCAGTAAGACGTGTTAAATCTGGTAAGATATATGTGTAAAAAGTTGTCGAGACTCTAATAAAAAATATAAATCGTACTGATTTTAGCATTCGGTTATTCGGCGAAAAAATCTTACTTAAATTGACAGGTCATATATTGTTTTATTTTTTTCCATATCAAAGTTTGGTTCGATTTTTCGGTATAAACTATACACATATACGAGGAGCTAAAAGTCAAAGCAAACTAACCACGAGTATCAGAAAATTAAAAAAAAAACTATAATTGAAAACAAATGTAATCGCCAATCTGGATTCGAACCCGGATTTTTTTTATAAATTGTTTCAGATAACCTTTTACATTTTCCTATGTATTCACTTTACAAAACCTTTGCCTGCTAGACAAACCTTATCTAGACATAGAACTTTATTAGCTGTGACTTTATTTTTTTAATGAAAACATTTATGTGACATCGGTACCTGGCCAAATTTAGATTCAAATTCTTGCACGTCTTCATCTGTTTTTGTTTCATAGCTGAGTCTACAAGCAGTTGTTCAGGTACTCTCATCAAAAGTAATTTCGGAAGTGCTCTTATAAACACCGTACGCATCCATGATGGTATTTTATGCGTACTCGGTTGTCTGTTAGAAAACAATTTATAAATTAAAATTATTCCAGTATCGATCGGTATAGGGTGAATAAGATTTTACCTGTAATGTATGTTTATAATAACTATAGTGACAACAACACATAGGGCAACCAACAACATAGTAAAGAGGAGATATTTCCCAAGTAGCGGCAATGACAAAGACGTGGATGGTATGATTTCAGATATTAGCAAGAAAAACATGGTCTGGGACAATAAGATGGTGATGCACAATGATATCTTCTCTTTTGAGTCAGCGGGCAAGTAGAACACTAACACCGACAAGTATGAAATCCCCACACAAGGAACGATCAAATTTACAGTGTAAAACAAAGTTCGCCGTCTTAAAGTTATATTGAAGAATATGTCCACATATGGCTCTGCACAACAAGAGTAGTATTTTTCATGTCTCTCAGCCGGGACGCCAAGAATGTCCCATTCCACGCTAGGATAATAAGCCCTTAAATCAATTCCCAAATCGACTTTGTTGGTGCCTTGCGTTTGACTCATATGTTGCAAATCTATCTGTAATCATTAAATGTAATTTAATTGTAACGGTTAACATATGTATTATACGTCTATAGGGAAAATCGAATGACGATAGGTGATATTAAATCTTACGTTGTTGGTAGGAAAATATTATTTTATGTGTATGAATTAAATCATAGATCCGAATTCAATTTAAAATCAGACAAGTACTTAGCATGTTAGACAGAAAGTTAAACTTAACGTTTGGGCTACGTAACGCTGATAAGGAGACTTTGAAACAAGAACTGAATGACATAAAAGGTTTTTGAATTTTAGGGCATTATTCTTCCAAATTTATTATTTAGAATTTATTATTAATTTATTATTATTTTTAGAATTTCAAGCTGTGTTATTACACTTTTGTTGCAGCTTATACATTTAAATTATAATTAATCATCAAATAAAAGTATAATCGAAAATATCCACGAAATTTAACTGTATTAAACATCATGTTAACATTTACCTGATTCCCATCGTAAGTCCATGATCCAAACTTCATGAAGCAGGTCTGTTGATCGAATGGAAAATAACGAACATCGATCTCACACGATGACTTAAAGATTGCCGGCGGTGTCCACATGACTTTACCGGAATGATGAAGCACTGCTTTAGTCATTGTAGTGATCACGTATTCGCCGTCAGCACTAGAAAGAAACACTCAGGAGTTAGGAGAAATATTACAACAAAAAAATTGAGCTTGACAATATAAAATTACTTATTATAAAGAACAATATCCGGCAGCCAAATGTGTTCCGACGGTACGTATAGCTCCTGAACACCGCCATATTCCAGGGGTTCCCATTGGAATTTGTGATCTTCCCATTCCTAGATCAATGTAATGTAATGTTAATGTCAATTCAAGTATTATTCGTAAGTTTATGCGTGACTTACATGTTCTAACCACACGTTTGTAGTCAAAATCTGATCCTTAAGATTCTAGAATAAAACATTTATACTACCGATTAGTAAAAAAACTGTGGCGAGATATTCTAATTTCTTATTTTCTTATAATATTGACCTTTAACTATTGGATTTAGAATATATTATAAAAAGTATAATATTATAATCTGATCTGATAATTTATTACGTGCTATTTGCATGGTAAATCGTAGTTTCCGCTTAGTTGCCAATAAATTAAACACATTTTATACATTTTTCACAAAAACATTTGGACAATAATGCCTGGGAAATAATTTTTTATGGAAGTTTATCCATAAACACGCTTCACACTAGTTTTCAATAATATTCAAACGAGTGTAATTGAAACGATAGTGTAATGCTCTTAAACGCAATTATGTGCAGGCAAAAACAGATTTAAGTAAAATATAGAGTTACGCGACCCTTTTTGTAAGGTTAAACACTGAAGCCGTACAAGTCGTAGGTAGCGTCGTTACCGTAGACTACCCACAGTGGTTTCGGGGTCGCCGATTTTCGCGTAGCTTATGTGTTAACGCAATCGAATGCTCGAGCTGTGTAAATAGGATTTGCGAGTGAACGGTTTGTCAGATTCTATGCGAATCCGAGATGTTATTGGTGGGTTTTTGTTTTTAATTACTATCATTAATTATTCATAATTGAAAACGATTGCGTACCAACTCGATGAGCTGCGACAGCCTCAGCCCGAGCTTGACCAAGACGGTGTCGGTGTTGTTGCTTACGGGTCGGATGAGCCGGTTGTAGTTGCTGAGCAAGTCGTCGTACAGTCGCTTGGCATCCGGATTGCAAAGGCAGCCGCCCAACAGGAACAGCAAATAATAATAGACGGTCATCCTGCCGGAATCGATAGTCACAGTCGCAGGTACGGATGCTGTACTGAACGACGGCGAGGGACACGACTCCAGCAACGCGGGTGCGCCCGTCGAAAGCGGGAGCTCGAGCTGTATGGCGCAAGCGCGCACCCTGTCTGGGGCTGCAAACACATTATTATAACACTGGAAAAGCGTAGTGCTTGTAAGCACTGCGGCACAATCACTACCAGGGGGCGTTTGAATGGCTAAAAACTAAAGGAAAACGAAAAAAAAAATATCCGACACAACAAAAAACACACACACAAATCGTTGTAAAACCAACGAATGAACTTACCTCACCCGCTTTTTAATTTTACTGACGCAAATAAGATGACTGAAATCATCTATCGAAAAAAAACCTACCGAAATCGAATCATTATCCTTTTCAATCGGAGATTACTTAATCACAAAAACTCAAGAATATTTAATTTTGCAATTGATTTTCTTCACTTCTTCGACGAACGGTCGTATAACAGTTTTCTACATACATATACAAATTGTACATATAAGCCCTACCTTATGTACGGTTTTCGGCTCTTAAAACCTAAAACTGCGTTTAACAAATACATGATTTTGTTCCCCCCCCCTAGTGCGGGTGGAATCTTCTCGATTCGATCTGACATTTTTTCCGAAGTTATAGCGAGTCAAAGATGAGCAAAGTAAAAAAATGAGTAATTTTGTTAGGACGATTCCCAATTTTAGAGTGAGAGGGTAACTTTTAAGAGTTTTCATTTTTAACACAGTTCAAGTAGTTCCTAAATAATCGAGCTGAGACCCCTGACAGTTAACGTGCTAACGTTTCCATCACTCAGAAACAAACCAATACACAAAAAAAAAAAAGGAAAAACAGAAATACAGTTAACCACTAAGTATCAGATTTGAAAGAAATCGAACCGGGTACCCTAGGGATAAAAACTCTATATACCTACTTACTGGCGCTTTGCTACACATGTGAATCAAATCGAATTTCTCAAGAAAAGAGATAATTACTTTTACTAGTATTGCATTACATTTAGGACCTTAACAAGTAAAAAAAAAAAAACACTGAAGATGTTAAATTTATAAAGCTACCGAGATTAGTACATTTTTAATATTTTAAGTTTTTTTCAATACATATATAGAGTTGTCATATTCATTCAACAATATATCTAAACTCCTGTATCGAGTCCAAATAACAGAGTTTAAAAAAATATTTCTTCTCATTTTCTCTTCGCATACTCAGTGTAACTATTAAACTACAAATAGCTCAGTACATTAATACGAGTTCGGCTTTATATAAAATTATTTTCAAGTTCTTTCACTGGAATCATTCCATTAGCTTATTGAGCAATAGCAAACCACAGGCGAAGTTTCCGTTGAACACAAAAATATAAAGTATTTTATGTCTTTTACATTACACATAAATCAACAGTCGACCAAAACTTCTACCGCGATACGCAATCCGAAACGATTGTCTAGAAACGAAAGCCATTTTGGAGACAAGCTTTTGACTGATATAAATGTATTGTGTAACGACTCGGAGTGAATCTATTATAAAAAGCAAAAATAAAAACACTTGCTTGACACTCTGTGAAATAGTGGCTATCAAAAGTCGCAAATCGCTTAAAAACGACTTCGGAATACATCATGACCGCATTTTGGCCTGAGCATTAACAGCTCAACTATTATTTACTCATGTTGACGATACAGCTGTAAAAAAATCCAAACCTAACAACGCTGTGGACCAAATGTGGTCAATAACTATAATTTTCGAGTGCGGTTATTACTTATAGGAAACAGTTAGATCAATTTGGAGCTGTTGCATCGGCCGTTATAACTATGAATATTATGATTGACTGTTACACTTAGAAACTGCCGGTTGTTTTCACTTTTCCTCTTCCTGTTTCACACGTCGTACGTCTTATCACGGTCGCCACTATAGATTATACGGTACAACTATTATTATAGACGTTGCCAAAAAAAAAAAAACATCAAAGATACACCGACAAACCGCAGATTAGATATTTAGAACATTATTATTGCGTTTTTCCGAAGCAAAAAACCCCCCCCCTCGAGTGACGTTGTAATTGTAATTGTATGTGGGTAGTTGATGTCATAAGACGTATATATTATGACTGATATTTTTTTTTTTTTATAAATACCTATTGTCTAATGGTTCATACGTTGTCACGCAACGATTTGACAACTTAATAATTTATTTTTGATGTAATATATAAAATAAAAAAACTTAAATAATGACAACGTTTGCTATTTTAGAAAGCGTAGTTGATTCAAGTACTCGACTCGGATTGTTTTTGATTTTATAGAACCTGAATTTCCATTAAAAAGGGGAGGGGCAGAAGGTATTATGTTCCCAGGGCCCATAAACTGAGGGGTCTATTAAGGTAAAAAAATATTTTAGTTGCTATCTACGAGCTAAGTATTGGATTTACGATTTATTTTTTCAGCAAAAGAAATTCATTTTCGCAAAACAAAAACAGATTTTTACTGTGAAAATCAAAAAATTAAATTTTCTTTTTCGTTATTTATGATTGATTGTTATACTTTCTATTATTTATTATTTAACTATTCGTCACAATATTATGTGTATTACAGTACTACACACCAAAAATATATTTTTAAACATTTTTTCTGGAAAATTATAATATTTAATAATAATTGAAATTATATTTTCATTTTTTAATACTGTCAATATATTACAAATGTAAAGGAAAAACTTTAAAATGCTCTCCTGCGCTATCGTCATTATGTACTTGCTTCGGCGGTGCATATTATACTAAAATTAGAACGATGCATGTAATATGTTTGGATATGTGCATACGAAAAACCAAACAAACAATTTTTATCCATATATACACCTATCATTAAAGTAAATTTTGTGTACACAACTATATTGAGGTCGAGATGGGGCCTTTTAAAATGTTGGCTCCGGCACCTCGTCTTTGGCCTTAATCTGATAGAGCCCGGACTCGGATGTATAATAAAAAACACATTTCACATGTTAAACGAAACAAGCGGATGTCGTCGGAAAATTCGTTACAGTGTCGCACCGAGATCAGCGGTTGCAAAGGCTTGTGTTGTATCTCGGTCCGACTGTACCAGTATATTTATTTATCGACTACCGTGTCGACCGCCTTTCGGCACTCTTCGTGGCCGTTCGACCCGACCCTCCCCCGTTGCAGCCCCGTCCGGGTGTATACCGGATGAAATGCGTACCGACCGAGATCAGTACACCGTGCGGACTTACGCCCTACGCGCTAAGCGGACTCCCGTGTGTGTTATTTTTTTCTTTCGAAAACGACATGAGCTTTTTATGAACTTTGCACGCGACTACCAGAACACGGTGTCAATAATCGCGACGGCCAAGATTTATCCCCGGACGTTGAGCTGTCGATCGGCATTGGAATACCGACGTGACAACTGCGACTGCGACAGTACACTATAAGTAAGTCGAAAGCACTTAGACGCACTTTGAAGACTAGACCAATTACGGTAGTTTTTGTTGCTGTTGATAAATAACAATAATTATCGATTATACACGGTAATCAGTAATTACAATTGAGCGAAACGACCTAAGGCCGAAAATCCTAGTTAGCCCGCCGCGAGGACGTTAAACAGCTTTTTGGGAAACAACACAAGCGATCGATACCGGTCTCTCCTCCCGCGATGGACCGCTTTACCCTCGATGCCGCTCCCGCCCCCGCCCCCGCCCCCGCCCGCACCTCGTACCTGACAGCTAAAAAAAAAACTGTTTTGGCTGGGTTTTATTTTGTTTTCTAATTATCAACCCTTCACGCTCGCAGCGCAGTCTTTAATAGCGTGTAATAAGATACGCCGTTTCCGCTCATCCACTTAACTCTATTACCGAAAGGCACCAGCTAGGTTTCTCGTCGAGAGAGTACACAGGGTTTTGTTTTACACCCTCTAACAACGCGGCCTACTCTTCGGAGGGCAACATATTATAGTCGACGCCGATTACTCTTCTAGTGCTCTCGCGGTAACCATTCGCAGCAAGTGCCCGCGTTTATTCGCACAATATCAGATACACTGTTGTTAATTAATATCACACAAGTGGTCACGGCTCGTTCGAGTACCGATAAAAACTCAAAAAACAGCTCTCGGCCGCTGTTGGATGGATATAATGTGGGTAGTCGAGTAATAATTCAATAAAAGTATATCCAACTTGTATAGTATCTAAACTATGTAAAAAACCGATTATCAACGTTTTTACAGTTCGATATTTATTCATTTCACACTATCACGGCATTAGAACGCGTTGCGTAACTTTGAAAATCGATACACTCGTAGTTTTAAATACATTTAGTTAAAGCTTATCAATTAGAATGGACATATTTAAATTTAATACAACGTACTTAATAACATTTAATTATATTATATTATGTTAAACATAATCATTTCTGGCCAACGGTGCGTACGCGCACCATAAAATAAATACATCCTTGGCCGAAAATGGGTTAACCCTTCAGGTTTCTTACCAAAATTCGAAGTAGAAAAGCCTGATCTTATTATGTTTCCCTTCTAGACACGCGTACGTTGTTACTTACTTTCGTTATGTATAATATGCTGTTGAACATATCGAATAATAAGTATAACTATTATGTAAGTAATTATGATATCCTTTGTTGAATTTTTACATGATCAAATTTATATTGGTCTCTCCGGTGTGTCTATAATTTTGAAAACATTTTAATATAAGACTTATGTACAAATAAACTAATTTTAAATCTATATTACCCCGGCCAAATCTGAAACCTTATTCAAATCACACTCAACTTCCTAAATAATTATTATAGTTTTCACTATATTTCTATTCCGGTCACATGATTAGAACCACATTATTATTATTATAACGTTGTAACTAATCACCGTGTATATATATATATATATATATATATATGTCATAATTATGTTATCTATTTTCCAAACGCTAAAAATGTAAATTATACTAACAATAAGTTTAGATGACTTTGTCAGGGGAACTTTAAAAAAATAAAAATAAAATTATTATTATATGTAGTATTTTTTATATTTTTCTTCCATGTTGTTCCTCGAAAATCACCGTTTTCCATGTAAAAATATGCAATTTAGAATTAGTTTATTTTTTAGACAATAGGATCACAATGCGTTAATCATTTAAGTTTAACCTCCAGTCAAATAATCATAATTTTGATCTATTTTCACTTTCAAATACACGTTTACGTAACGCGCTTGTCACGTTTACGATATGCATAATATGTATTACTACGTCTATAATGTATGACTTGAGTTAGAAAAAAATAAATGAATCACATAAGTATTAGATAAACAATTTATACATTTACCTTTATATTTTATATGATTAACTGACACTGCAGTCAGATTGTTTCACCACACATAATATTATAGCAGGTACGTGTGCAACATATTATTTTTTCTTATTTTTCTAGACAACGTTTACTTTTTTAATTTTTTATCTTTTAATATTAATACTTGAGTAGTGGAATGAATAATTAAGACGTTGTCTCAGCATCAAAAAAGTAGACCAACTCTCTTAAGGAGTGGCTCCTTTGTTATGTATATTTTTTTATGAACTATGAATGGTACTGTAAGTTTTACAAGAACATAAGAGTTCATTCGTATAATTTTTTATTATTCCCTCATAGAAAAAAATTAGTAAACTACAAGTTAAGTGTTGCTACGGGTACCTACTCTAATAGTTCTGATAGTCTATTATCGATCAAATATATATTCGTGATGGTAACTGATGGAACACAACACGACCACTCCCTAAACCAGTTTATTGCTATAAAGTTAACAAGTATTTTTTTTTTTTTTTTGTACCACAAGCATCTGAAAATATGGAATCTGATTTTTAAAATTATATTACACTTTAAACATTAGATGACTTATATTTATTTATAAACAAAAGTGATAAACTCAATTGTATCTAACTGGTTTTAGGATTTAAATAGATTTCCTTGAAAAAAACCTGATCTCCACAAAAAGCATTCTACAATATTATATTATAATAGAGTAGTACTAGTTTTTTCCAACTGGAAAAAAAATTACTGAATAATTCCCTTGGTTACAATAAGACCTACCGCAAATGAAAGTTGTATTATAAATGAAATGACCGTGAACAAGTGATATTTTTTTAAAAACAGGATAAATGTCTAAAGCTTGTTAATTTATACCCCTGTATTTATTTTACCTCATATTTTTATTTATTATAGTGCAGTTGTGCATTGATCGCTATATCAATTTATTGTATACTTTATTGGATTTATATCCGTTGAAATAAAATTAATGAAAATAATTCTGGTATATGATCAAAATTATAAAACTAATTTGTATAAGAAGCTAAAAATGTTCATTTTTCTTAAATTACTTACCGCTTAATAGTATCCGTACCTTGGATCTAAAAAGGCCAATGTAATTTTTTTTATAAAAACCTGTTTGACTACTAAGCATGAAAATTAAAACACTCTTTATACCGCCTAAAATAATAACACTGTTTGGACATGAATAAAGATAATGAAGAGTTTTCTACAAAATAATCAACCTTATCGAAAACAGTAAGCTTAAAGCTCATCTATCGAAAGAAACGAAAAGTGAGATTGGCTATTTCAAACAGATACTAAAAATATGTTCAATTAAAAGCATTAGTTATAATGCCGGAAATGACTTTTTGTGTTATTTTTACTAGAAATATGAAAACCGTTTTTGCGGCGTTTGCTGCAATCGTTGTGGCGCATTTGACCATTCCGTATGCTTCTGTCTACGGTAGCCCGGACGCTAAACGGTTGTACGATGACCTCCTCAGTAATTACAACAGACTCATCAGACCTGTTGGAAATAACTCGGACCGATTGACTGTCAAAATGGGAATAAAACTATCACAGCTCATTGAAGTCGTGAGTACTTGATAAATATACAAATGGTTCATAATTGGTATAAATCGTTTAAATGCCAATCACACTACCAAAATTAATTAATTTTCCATGCGCCTTTAATATAGATTGCTTATAGGGCGTTTTCCGTCAGATTGTAATATTATAACATGAAACGTCAGTATTTTCTATTAATTGTAATGAACATTTCGACGTTTGCGGAAAGTATGGTTATTTATTAAAGTTTTGTTTTGGACAACTTAAATTATTAACAAAAATTACTCTTGGAACGCCCACCTGAAACAAGTTTTACATTCTTCACACAAAATAATATAAGTGTATAATATTTCATAAAAAAAAAAAGTTTTTATACCTTATGTAGTTTTAACTATAATACACGTTTCAATAATGTTTCCTAAATATCATAATCTTAATGATAACACACGTTTTATTTTTAATACATAAAACAAATATTATACATAAAATAATTTTTAATGTGTTTTGTTTCCAAATTTCTTTGTGAGTTCGTGCAAAATTAGTATAGAAAATAAACTAAATTTCCGAGTACACGTTACTATATAATTACTATTTATAAACAAAATTAATATGATATGTATTTTTTACGTTATAGAACTTGAGGAATCAAATAATGACTACAAACGTATGGGTTGAACAAGTAAGATATATTATAACTATTAGAGTGTTCGACCAGCAAAGTAAAGTATATATTCAATAATAATTATGATTTTTGTTTAGGAATGGACCGACTACAAATTGAAATGGAACCCCGAAGACTACGGCGGAGTGGATACCTTATATGTGCCTTCCGAGCACATTTGGTTACCGGACATTGTGTTGTACAACAAGTATGTTTACCCGTACAATCGTGTGTGCATTGATCTCGACAATTCCTAAACAGCATGTTCTTTACAGGAAAAACTACCGTTTAGGTCCCGCGGCTGTATCTTATAAAAGAGAATAGGATGTGTAACTATCGTGTATACATTGTTTTTTGTATTTTACCGACACGTTATCCATTTACTGTCTAAAAAACAAGTAGTTGATCTATCCTAATAGGTCGTGAAAAGTTCATAAATTCCGCTTTTTTTCGTTACTTCCCGGTGCTATTAGGGTCATTGACGGAAATTGGAGGGGGGGGGGCTTGGGATACTAAAAACCTTAAAACTTAAAATTAGTGTTTTTCTAAAGACCTACATTTATTTTTTAGTGTGAGATTTGTTGAAATAAAAATAAATGTACCACTAATTTTAAGTTTTAAGATTTTTAGAATCCCAAGCCCCCCACAAATTTCGGCCAATGATTAGGGTAAAATTGAATATCGCACATCCTCAAAGTGGCCCTATCTATTTTCTCGTACGATACCCGGGCACTAAAATTGAACTTTGCCGGATGTTTTCGGGTACTTCCCGTTAATGTCGCCCCCGTAGTATTAGCCTCTGTCGGTAACGTTTTGATTAAGTAACACACAGGAGTAATGGAGTAATATATTTTCACAGCGCGGACGGCAGCTACGAAGTGACCATTATGACCAAAGCGATACTCCATTACACGGGCAAAGTGGTGTGGAAGCCGCCGGCCATTTACAAGTCGTTTTGCGAGATCGACGTCGAGTACTTCCCGTTCGACGAACAGACTTGTTCCATGAAGTTTGGCTCGTGGACTTATGATGGATACATGGTGAGAAACAGTTAGCAGTTGTCTCGGTTGACCGGTTTCCATTCGGCGTGCGTCACTTGCGAAGTATAGTCTTTATCGGTCGGTGCGCAAAGGTAAATTCTCGGGGGGAACGAGGGAGATTCACACAAGAAGTAGACACACGAGTATACGTATACAAGTCGTTTTCAACAATTCATCAAGTATTTTAATATTATTATCACAGTATTGATTTGGATGTGACGACACGCACCGCAGTTGGTTAATTTTGACACGTATATTTAATGTATATTCACCGCAATCGTATTGTATGAACTATAGGACTCAGTCCGACCTATTTAGGACAAGACGAATTGTTTTTGTTCGGCGTTTTTTTACAAATTATGTATTTTTTTTTTTTTTAATGCATTTTTCCCCTCCCGTGTAGATGGATTTGAGACATATAGCCCAAGCGCCTGATTCGGACGTCATCGAAGTGGGCATAGACCTGCAGGATTATTATCTGTCGGTAGAATGGGACATCATGGGAGTACCGGCAGTGCGGCACGAAAAATACTATTCCTGTTGCGAAGAACCTTACCTGGACATATACTTCAACATCACGCTCAGGCGAAAAACCCTGTTTTACACAGTCAACCTGATCATACCGTGCGTCGGTATATCGTTCCTGTCCGTGCTGGTGTTCTACTTGCCATCTGAATCGGGAGAGAAGGTGTCCCTGTGCATATCCATACTCCTGTCGCTGACCGTGTTCTTTCTTCTCTTGGTTGAAATCATTCCTCCCACGTCGCTCACCGTACCCCTGTTGGGTAAATACCTGCTATTCACTATGGTGCTGGTTACGCTGTCCGTCTTCGTTACCGTGGCCGTGCTAAACGTTAATTTCAGGTAAGCCGCTAACAAATGAAATGGTTAACCTGAATACTAAACTAAATCGCCATTGATTTAAAACATTTACTTCTTCATGTATAATACTTACGCATAATTTTGTAACTTATGTACATAACTAAATTTCCCGAAGAAATACAAATATTTTTTTCAGACACCTGTATATTATGCTATTGGCATCATCCAAACATCAAGATGTAAATAACACGTTTTTATATTTTAAAAATTATTAAGACAAAACATTTAGGCAAATATATTTTATAAAAACATTATACTTATTCATTAGCAAACACAGCTTGAAAAATATCGATACAACAATATATTTTATATATATATATATGCGTTTAGTATTAAAATGATTTTTGCTACTTGGGATGGTATTTCGACGTGAAAACTAAACATTTAAACCGTTAAGGTAAGTGGGAATAAAACAATAACGTTGTGTATTGTATGTTATTAGATCGCCGGTGACGCACAAAATGAAACCGTGGGTGGTGAAAGTGTTCATCGTGATGCTTCCCAAAGTGCTGTTCATCGGTCGACCCAAGAAAGAGGACTCGATCGACGAGGACGAAAACGACAAGCACAACGGCATACTGTCAGGCGTTTTCGACGTACCTTCCGAGATCGACAAGTACTTGGGCTACGACCGTGGTTATAGTTTCGACTACGGGGTGCCGCCGCCTTTGCCGGTTTCCAGGTACGGCGGTTGCGGCATCGGTGGCGTTGGCAATGGCGGCGTGGCCAGCTCCAACGATACGGTGGTGAACATGGCGTCCGACGAAGAAGAAGACGACGGGGGCGTCGAAGAAGAAGACGACGATGCGATCGAGATCGATGCCGAAGACGAATACGAAGACATGTTCAGCCCGACCACGACCACGGACGACGGGTTGACCAGTCCGACGTTCGAAACCCACCACCATCAACTGCACCACCCCCGATGCCCGGTCGACCACCATGCCAGGCACGACCCTGCCATGCAAACCATCCAGGACGCCAAATTCATTGCTCAACACGTCAGGAACCAAGACAAGTTCGACGAGGTAAGCACACAAATAAAGCCAGAAGACTGCGACTTCAATGGTGCGGCGCGATTAGCTAGTAACTTAGACAGCCGTGTTGGACGTGACTGATTAATTGTTTTATTAAATTACACATTCGATTACGAAGCAATAGCATTGATTAAAATTAATCAATAACCGTTTCTACATTTGAAATTGGTAATCGTGATTACATTTTTTTTTAACCTCCCTAAAGCTTTATTAGATACATTTTTCGTGTAACTTGAACCTCTTAATATTTAAGAAAAGTTAAATATTTTAAAACAATAATAGTAAGAGTTATGACTAGTTAAAAATTAGTAATCATGTATAATGTAGTTATTCTAACCATCCCATATGGTTACTTTGTTGATTAATAACATACATTAACCTAACATTATAATTACTGACTACAATCATTAACCTTAGGTTACAACACTGAATTCAACAAAAAATAAAAAACCCTAATAACATGTACAATGTACCTACATAAAATACCTTATCATAATACATGTAACATATCAATAATTAAAATTCAGTTTATTATAATATAATTAATTTAATTTAGAAATTTTTTAATATTAAAAAACAAATTTTTGCCATAAATAAAAGCAAACATTCAAAAATCTGTTTCCTACATAACCTAGTAAAGTAGTCCAATCCCTCCTTACAGAATTGAAATCGGACCATCCTAAGAAGTCGAAATTTTGTCAGGCTTTTCGGTCTAGAAGGTCAAAAAAACAGACCGCTATCAATCCCCTTAACCGTAATAATATTATAGTTGATTCAACTATTATTTTTTTGCATGCGGTTAGTCCTGTTCTTTAATTTATTTTTAACTTTGTAACAAAATCCAGAGGACGACTATCAGTGTACCTATGTATGTATAATTAATTTAAGATAAAACTTATGTATATTACATTTTATTTTTTTAGATAATTGAGGATTGGCAATACGTTGCTATGGTGTTGGATCGACTATTTTTGTGGATATTCACGTTGGCTTGTCTATTGGGAACGGCCCTAATCGTATTCCAAGCACCAGCATTATACGACAAAACAAAACCTATTGACATCATCTACTCGAAAATTGCCAAACGAAAATTACAAAACACTTTATGAAATAACATAACACTACAAAGCTCAACTATGGATTTCGATAAAAAACTTAGTGAATACGAAACTATAAACGATAACAATCCTATAATGTATAAAATACATTCAGTTTTATTAATTTTTAAATTTGTATTATACATATTTTTTTCATTTATTTTCTTTTTTTTATATAATTGACTTATTATGTGAAAAAACCATGATTATACATATTAATCATTTACCACTTAATTATATATGTTATCAGTTGACGTTTAACATGTTATACTATTATTTTAGATTTTTATCTTATTATTGTCCAATTACGGTGCCATTTATTTATAATTTCCTTTTAACAACGGCATTTATTGGTGTTTTTAACGTAAGAATCCAGACTGCCGAATATTAATTTTATGTGTATTATGCTAGTTAATAATCGCGTTAAAACTTTGATGTATTGCTTGTTTAATGATATATTTAATCAATATGACAGATATAAAACATATTGTAATCAAAAGTCAAAAATATCGATTTATTATTATAAATATTGTTTTTTTTTTTCAAAACACCATTTACATTATTATACTTATTTTAATGAATAATTAGGTACTATATTAATATAAATATTAAAACTCCTCACTATGTTTATATTTATTATCACTTGTATTTGGCTAAAATTAATATTATATATATTATACAACTAACTCTAATGGTGGATTCAGTCCAACTCCAAGGTTTTGAATGCTGGTTTTTCAATAGAAAATAGTTTTTTCTTTTTGTTTGGTCTTTTTGATTCATCTGATTTATAATTTACATTCGAGAGGAACCAATCTTGATTTTTCAAAATCAGTGTCTTCCATTCCTCTGAAAAGTTAATAAACAAATAAAATAATGTTATATTTCAATTACTAATAAAATATGGTATTATATATTCCTAATTAACTATTGTAACTTCTTAAATTTTTATTTTACTCTAACTAATATTATATTTTATATATATATATATACAATAATATGTAATTGATTTTTTAAAACAAATACAATTCTTCATAGTTTAAAACTTTCTTAGTTAAATTAACATTTTTTAAATAATCGTTTTAATAAATTGTTTTAATTAATCACGTCGTAATTACGTGATACGAACGTTCTTCAACGTTGTTTTTTTTCCTATCGTTCCACCAAACACATATTTAACTTATTGTTTCAAAACAATCACTCACTCTTTAATGCGTATTATCAGTATAATTAAATAAAGAGTAGATAAATTAAAATATACCACCATAAATGTTCAGTTATAATTACACATAATATGACCAAATAATATATATATATATACCTTTTATCACATCCAAATTACTGTCGTATCCTCCAAACTCGGCTGGTAGAATCTCTCTAGGTATATGGTCCCAAAGGGTTTCTACATTTTTATGAAATGCTACCTAAAAAACAAAAACCTTTTATATAGGTGTCTCTCCGCGAATAGAGAACATCGCAATAATTACCCTAGCAAACATTTTCTTCGAGAGAAATGGTTTCAGGATACTTTTGGCTAGATCTACAAAAGTCGGCGGGAACATAATGTGTGTATGTTTCAAACGAAGTGGATAGGCTTTCTGTAAACAAACGTTAAAGATCATCAAAATAATACATTTTTGTGTAACAAAAAAGTGCCATTGGGAATGGAAACAAAAATATAACTATGTAAAATAATACTGTATAGAAGGATACTCGTCTAATAGTGGTTTTAGGTAACTTTAGAGTTGCACAAACAGCAATACAAGTACCAGTATATTTATAAATACATTATTTTTTTGTTTAATTCGAAAACCTTGAAGTCGAAATTATATACTTAGAATATGCATAAAAAAACATTAAACAGCAATTTATTTTAGTATTGGCCACGAGTATGAAATTGCGAGTTACTTGGATGACCATAATATTTTCAATAATTATTTTCCAGTAATTATTGTACACACAAAACGGTAATTAAGTACTTATAGCCCAAGTTTACGCATTAACCGCGATAAGTGCATAAATCATTGCCGGTAAAACCGTATAAAATTTAAAATAACTTAAAGCCATCAATTTTACAGGCAGGTTATTAAATAAAAATGTCATGTAAACGCAACGCTATCAAGATAGAAATTGATTTAGTTAATCACTTCACCTGATCAATATTTACACAAAGAATAAATAATAAGTAGACGATAATAATAAGCTTATCTGCTTATAATTAAGTTAGAGTCTGTTTCTACAATAAGAAATATTTATAAATATTATATATATATATATATATATATATATATATATATATATTGTTTTTTTTATATAAAGAAAGGAATATTAAAAATGTATCTTACTAAATACTTATTTTACATTCTAATTACATGTAAAAATAAATAAATGTATTATTATTACGTATACAACTGTGTAATAAAACTAACATTGTGTATTTTTTAAGAAGCGAAGTATCTTCTTTATCTTTATCTGGCTCTAATTGAAAATATATAAAAATTATATTAACTCAACACTGACTGTATTGACTTGACAAGGACCATCGTTATAAATTATAGTACACATTATTAACATAGACAATGAGTGCGCGTAACTAGTGTTGACAATATTATGAATATTATTATATTTTTCAACAATTAAGATGTATTTTATAAATCACGTTTTATGGAAAAATACATAATATATTCACAATATTATATTATATTTATAAAACGTTCAGTGCATTTACTACCAGAGAGCACATTTATCTCATTGAACAAGATTTAATAAGAATTATTATTCTTTGTTTTCACACTAAATGGTCGGTTTAATTGCGCATCAATATTACAAGGATGTAACAAAGTAACATTACAAAGTTGGTTTTCCGCCGGCTGAATTAATTAACCACTTTTTTAACGAGTTTCATAATATATTAAAAAAGCAACAATATTAATAGTTCATCGCGTGATTATAATTAAGTGTTAGCTATACACAAACACTATGTAGAAGTGCAAAACATTAGCCATTGTATCATTAAATGCGCATAAAAACTTTACCTGTCTGGTAACTTGTTTTTTAAAAATAAAACTTGGGATGATTATGAAAAGTAAAAAAATTAAATATTCAACGATAATTGGTAACATATTTCTACCTAACTGATACAACTAAATTGTTAAATCTAGATATAATATGTATATTAAACGTGGTTATATGTATATGTTGTAACTAACAATAACTTCATGAGTCAGCTATTTAAAAAAACATCTATCCCAAAATTAACAACAGTATTTTGTTTTTAATTTGAAACAAATTACAGTTTTTTGGTACGCAAATAAAGCTGTGAAGTGAAGAAGCAAAATATTGAAGATTTTTGGCTTTTGTATCAAAATCGTATTGTACAGTCGTCTCCAAATCGAATAACTAAAATTTAGTAAAATTATTCTACTTTTCATCATACCTCGAAAAGTATTGATACTACGGCAATTAAAACGATAAGATGTTGTATTTTATTTAGATCTATTTTTCACTATCCTAATCGACGTTTTAAAAAAGTCGAAGGCTGATTAAATAACTTTTTAGTTCGAGATAAGGAAAAAGGACAATTCGGGATATACCTTACCTGAGCGTGTTTGATGAGATTTCTGAGCTGAAGCAAGTCAAACTGACTGATGTGCGACAAAGTGGCGTACCGCGTGTCTATGATGACGTGTATGCCGGTGAAGTCTATTCCTTTGCGCTGACATATGTCTAACATCATGCGCATCCTTCGGTATATCTCAGCCGGTCGGAACAAATGAGCGTTGCGGTTATTGAAACCGTAGTGCATTATCCTAAGTCCGTCGGGGGTGTGTTTTGGAAACATCACCATTGTCCTGAAACGCGTACACCGTTCAATGTGAAAATTGTAAAAAAAACGTATCTATATATATATAGGTATACTGCAGGCTCGGTCGGTTAATACTCACAAGTATTCGAACAAATCGCTTTCTACGTAATCGGATAAATTGCGAATGTCGAACACATGAGGGAATAGTGATTTCAAACGGAAATGGCTTTCCACGGCCTTTTTGGATTTTTCCACGTTGTTTTTGGTCAGACGAAGGAACCCTTCGATCCAAAAGTTTATCTCGTCTAAATCGTACACGGAATACATTAATTACCTACTATAATAATAATATTACCGATTGGAAATATTGTTTTTTATGAAAACGCCGGGCAACTTACACGGAGATAGCGAATTACTTACCATTTTTCGATTCAGGGAACTCGGGTAAATGTGGTTGAGTGGTCATCCACTTTCTGATGTTAGCAACGTCTCTTTTCACTTGAGATTGATTCATATCGTACTCGTGGTACAGATTGGCTACCTCTTGGGAATTCGGCAAAATCAACAACTCCGACATTTTTCATGTACAACTTAGTAAAATCTAAAAAAAACAAAACACTTTAATAAGAATTATTTCGTCATCGTGTAGCTTAACGGGCCATGAAGGCCCAACGCTGCCATCATGAGATGGTTTCTTGACGAATTCGCTTCCGGGACGGGTCGTCAATCCGTCGCCGGAGAGGGGGTGGCGGTGCCTTTTTACCGGACGATTGCTCGCCCAGCAAACGGAGCGCCTGTGACCGAGTGTCGAACCGGCGACAGTGAGCGCTAACACACTGCCGCCTTACCCACTCGGCCACTCCTCTTAAATAAGAATTATTTAAAAAAAAATTTTAAAAAAAATACTACAATTTTATGAAAACAGTAATGTACACAATACTTATGATAAGAAAATATATATAGATTAATAATATTATAATAGTAACAGATTTGTCTTTATTAATTTAAAATTTTTTTCGAAACATCAGTAAAATATGTTTTCAATACAAATTGAGTGTTTCATTAAAAAAAAATATTGGTATCAACAGTTTACAAAAAAAAAACATTGTTTAGTAAATATACATACATATAAATGTACAAAACAATTTACATTATATTGTTAGTTCTGTACATATTGTATTACGTTGATTTCTCATATGTTAATTCATTTTATTAATTTAATAATATACAATTCATAGGAAATGTTATGTGTTATTGATACATAGGAACAGAAATATTATAATTATTAAATGAACTATTGATACATCGTTATAGTATATTATTTCCGTGCAGAAAGTGTGGGGAAATAATCAAACAAGTTTTTATTTAAAAGTATAATTTGATAAAATTATACATCAAAATATTTTCGACCAAACTTAAAAAAAATTTCTAAGTTGCTGAGGGAAAGTGGCTTTATTTTGAATGAAGAACCTAGTTAAATATTTATTATAGATAATAATGTGGTAACTTTTATAGCTTACAATTTTGTTCCATCGATCGATACAAACAACATACTTGTAGGTATTTTTCAAACTCATTATAAAATATATTTTAACGAGCCAATGTTAATTTTTATAATTAAATCGGTAAACACGTGGTAAGAGTTTACCTTCAAAACTAAAATAATAATTAAACATACAAGCAAATGAATGACTCACGCGTTAGCCATAGCTAAAAGTTTTCTTCGCAATAATATTGTATTGACAACTACACTTAAGTCGTATTATCACTGCAAACCAAAAATCGAGAAAAGTATATTTTTGATTGGACGTGTCACTGTTAAAAAAACTATTTTTAGATAATCAATTTTTTTTCCCGATGAAAAGCTCAAAAAAAATAAAGTGTATAAATTAAAAAAACGATAATTTTTGTTCGAGTGCTGTGAACAATTTTTAAGATAAATTTGACGATAGAACCGACGGATTATTAAAGCTTTTTGGATTAAAGGACACTTCAACTGTCGATACCACACGATTGACTGTGATATAAAGCAAAGGATTTCCACTATTTACTATGCACATTAAACCGGCGATATGTTATGCAAGTTTTTTAGTATAGAAAGAGAGAAAATCAAACCAGTCCGATATTTCGAGTTTCGTCGGATCATTAACCCAATAGACAAAGTTCGTGTTCAGACAATATGATGTAAGCGCACGGGAAAAGTCGGATTTTAATTGTTTTCCTTTCTATGCTGTCGCTCATACTACTATTAACATTATTAACCACATACTAGTTATCTATAATGAAATCAATGAACATGTCGCGCATGAGAACTGTATGCTTAACATAGGACCCATTATGTTAAATTGTTGTGTGTATGAGAATTTCTTCGAATTGGAAACAGCAGAGCCGAACAATGAGAATATTTTGTCGATATCCGACACAGGGAACCATCTGATTTAACCTATATCGATAAGTTGGTAGATCGTTAACTCTTCAAACACATGGTAATATTGACTATATTGTAATTATTTAGTGTGAATGCAAACACTGTAATTGTCTATTATAAGTTTTGTTAAGTGATCCGGCTCATGTAATGATATTGCCAACGACACTAATTATTATGGTAAGCAATTAGTTCTATAACGTATTTTGTACCGTTATTGTTTTCCTCGATTTATTTTGTCTGCCAAAATCGCAACAACCCAAGATGATTTAAAATTCAGTACCTAAGTCCTATCTCTAGTGTTCATACAGCAACCAAATATTAGTGTTTTTAAAATGTTTTCAACAAATAATTTATGTTAATACTTTTTAGTATTTTAACCCCGTGTTTTGGCAAAATATTTAACGTTTTAAAAATATTATTTACAAATTGTTGTTTATAATACAATACGTTGTTAAGTATTATGAAAATATTTCCAATTTTTTACTTATAATTTAAATATGATGTAAATATAGTTTTTTATTTTAATAATATTTTTTTAAACATAAAAAAACATGTCAAAAAAATATTTCAAAGTGTTTTATCACTATTAACTAACATTTTGGGTATTATAATAATATTTTATTTCAGTATGGGTGTAGATTAGTTGAGGTAATACGTGCTGCTTTTAAATATAATTAAATAATTAATTAATACAATAATAACACGTATATAATATTTCACGTAACACCTGATATTTGTCATTTTATTTTCATAATTATCAAACGTAGTCTGCAATAAGTAACGGCTAATTTTATGACAAAACTGGTAAATTTATAACTATCTTTAACATGTGTTATCAGCTAACGGGTATTGTCAGTTTCAACGACACGTGGTTAATCGCGTAATCGTTTTTTCTTTATATTTTTAGTGAAAATGTAATTTCTCAATAACTGATATAATAACATTACATATTATATAGATTAATTTCAGTGTATCGAAATAAGTAACCACTGTGAACTACAATACTTCATAGTAGGTAATATAACATACTATCAGAAAATGTATTTAAAAAATATAATGTATCTACTAGTAATGGAAAAAATATTGTTAAAATGTTTATCATAATTTAGCAACCTTCCGAATCGTTTATAAAATTACATACAAATGAATAAATGAAGAAGATAAGCACAGAAAATACAACTTATTTAAAAACAACCAAAAAAAGTTTTCACTTATATGCTGTACTTAAACTTTATGTAATATACAAACGACTTTGTCACACGTTCAGTACAAAATAAAATTAAAAAAAAATATAGCTAAACGATACTTACATAAAAAATTTAGGAAATCTTGTTTTTTTTTACTTTATAAAAATGCCAAACCTAATGTGACCAACATAAAGAAACTGTAAACACGCCGTTAATAAAACCCAAGGTACTATAATTGATTTTTTAAGTTAATTTGAAAAAAAAGTTTCTTATGTATATTTAATATGTATCAATGATAGTAATTATTAACTACAAACGTATATACAAAATATTTTATAAGAAATGATCAACTGGTAAAAAATATATACGTTTTTCTGTAAGATGTCCATCAGCTTTACCTATAAGATGGTTTATATAAGTTTCTATCAATCACAAGACTCAAGAGGCTATTTGCGATCATAGGGCCTTATGATTATCTATATATTTCTATAGACGGCTACACATTGTATTAAATAGGTTATCTAAAAATAAATATAACTTATAATTTCTAGGCTCTGCGTCAATCAAAATATGTTTTCGGTGAATGTTGAAACTTTTACTTTTAAGTCACTCTAAAAACGAGTACATCAAAATTAACGTGTTCCTACAAACCGCTATTCGGCTATAAACTAGTTGTACAAATAAGTCCAAGGTCAAAGTTACTTCATAATATTATTATGCTCAGGAAATGAGTGAACAATCGTTTAGCAATCACTCCTGTCTGAGACTTAGTGTCTAGCTATACGTTGTTTACACGCTTATGATGTCTACCCAATATTATTATTATTTTATAAAATTAAAAATATATATTATTTATTTGAAATATGTTACACTAACATTGTTATCAAAAACCAAAATACTATTGTAACTGACTGGAAGTGATTCATGTATACAAGGCAAGAGCTAGAAAACAAGATATTATGTCAATAACTCATCGCCAAAAATATACGATGCATGCAAATTATGTAACTAATAAACACAATATTAATTTTAAAAAATTAATACACGAGTTAAATATTCAAATGTGTATCAAAGTGTTTAAAATAAAGAGATAAAGAGATCAAGATTAAGATAATTTACTATTTTTTAAATCGTGTTAATAGATTAAGTTGTTGCAATTTCACAGGCTATGCAAACGACATATCTCTAGTTGTTGTTATGATACTTTTTTTACTAAAATTGTAATTATTCTTATGGTAATGAAGTGTTATATTATGCATGTTAATTCAAAAGTCAAATAACACACCAGTTTGAAAAAATAAAACGATCCATTTCAATATTTTTCGTTTGTAAAATTTAAAAACATCTTACGAAACTTGTAACTGGTTAGGTTTCAATTTATACAGGTGTTCAGAATTTTAATGTTTATATTGAAAAGTGGTCCGGGTAAAATATTTTATTTTCTAGTTATACGTAATCTCGATACTTTTGTCTGTGCCTGAAACTCACTATTGACTAGTCAATTACTTTTAATAATTTATCATGTTTTATTTAAAGTCATTGATAAATTTATGGAGTAAATAAAGAAATACTGATAGACAGAGATTTGCAAAGAAAGAAAATGTTGACTCCATTTGTACTACTACTGGATAAGATTACTACTTATCAATAAACTTATTACATTACATTTGCTCATCAACATATAAAATAATTATTTTCTATTATTGTGGTTATAAAATGTCGGAATTTAATATTTGTATATACATTTTCTGCAAGAATTATATTATAAATATGGTTATTACGAATATGTTTCACGGACAAAGCAGTACTAAAACTTTTTGACTCTCCTACCAATGTGTACAGCGTATACTGATTCATTATATTTGTATTACAAATGCTAATTTATACATATTTTAAAAGATCCGTATAATTATATTAATATATTCAATTTAATTACGAAAAACGCAAAAATATAATACGCAAAATTTTAAATGACTCACGATATAGAAAATATACTGCTTGACAGTAAATTTATCATATATATTCTTGTCAACAATTTAGGTGATAAATAAATAATTAATAATAGTCAGTACAAGTTTACTTAAAATATAACAAAAAAGTCCGTTGTACTTATACTATTTCCACAACTTCCCAATACTACATATTATATTGTTCTAATATAAAACTCATTTTTGACGTTTCTCGGATGTGAGAAATTCTAAAATCTGGTGATTCATGTTTTAAATTATATTATGATACGATGCGAGATTCATTTCATTTATAACTCACAGTTTTTTAGAAATTATTATTACTTAAATTTATACTATCACTTTCAAATTATTTTATTTTATTATTTTATTTTAAATTATTTTATTCACATTATTTAAATTATAATTGAATTAGAAGTTAGTAAAATAATTCGGCAGAAATTCAGTTTAGTGTTCTAGCAATTGTTTTTTTTTTAAATTATAATTAACAGATTTGTATTATAAAGTTCTAAAGTACTATACAATTTGTTTAACAAATTTGATTCAATTTAAGTCGCGGTGTACATTGTTCCACCTAATGATTGTTTTTTTAGTTTAGCAATACACCCACTATTGTATTTTTAGTATTAGCTTATATTAGATAAAATTAGTTTATCCAATCTGTGGTACTAGGGTCGATCGTCTATCTTTCCTAATAATAATAATAATACATTGTCTTTGTTACCAACATGCCATATCGTTATCAAACAATATAATAAAATATGTTCAGATACTTATTGTACTGTTGATTTAAATATTATAACAAACCAAAATCTTAATATAATGCGGAATAATTATTAATTTTTCAGTTTTTCTTTAATATAAAAAAGTTTTACCACAAACTTACTTTCTGAGCTTAATAGTCCCAAATTCGCGATTATAATAATTCAAATTAAAAAAAAAATTAAGAGAAAGGGTTTATGACATTTTTTTGGGTTCTGTTTCAATAGTACTATAACAAAATAATATCCTGTACAAGTTTGGAAGTATTTCGACTTCTTTTCCAAAATTTATAGCACACCGTAATATTAAATGGATAAATGTGTAAATTTGTTGAGGTGATTTTTTCGATTTGAAGGATAAGACGTGAATATTAAATATTTGGCTCAAAAAAATATTTTCAGGTACAATTTATAATCTATAGCTTTGTTACATAAAGAAATCGGTACATCGGCATAGAATATATATTTAGGGTAAATTCATCATAGTAAAAACAATATCTCCTCAGCTTCCGCATCGAAGCTAAAATAAATAAACGAAAACATACTACCTGTCTTGCTATTTACATGCAAGAGGTCAAGGGTAATTATAAGGCTTGTAATGTCACCTAACCGCTAAATAGCAAGGGTCTGGATAATGTTTCAGAAATTGTTCCGGACTAAAAATGTTTTTATTATTATATTACACTAGTAATTACACAAGTATGTTGTTTAATGACATTTTATAATATAATTTATTAGTGTTTAAGATCACATGTTATTTTACAAAATACTTTATTATATCAATTGCATTCCTATAATATAGGTAAACTATAAAATAAAATATACCATAGTCTTTATATTTTATTATCTATACCGACAAAGTATACCATTTCAACAGATAGTTAGTTAGTGCGTCAGTGGAAAGATTAAAATTGATTGAAAATAAAGACTAAAATGTAAAATCACTTTCTAGAATATCTACTTTCAAATAAAAAAAAATATTTTTGTTTTACCCTACTGTGGTATCCAAAAGACAGATTATATATATATTTTTTTAGTTATAGATGTTTATAACTCAGTTTATTAAAACAAAATAATATGTTTTAGCCATGACAAGTTGTAAGCTTTCCAATATATCATTTTTTAATTATTTAACAGATGTATCCACGAAAGTAGTTTTTCGTTAAAAATTCGCAATCACACCGAATAAATTAAAAAATAAGTAAACAGGCATGACTATTTAACCTTAACTAAATTTACATATTGCAAATGCCTCTTAGATAAAATACTGACAATTTTTTACTCCGTAATAAATATTCTTTTTCGTTGGTTGTTAATATTAAGCCAACCTAATGTACTGCAAAATGTACTACGTCAGACTATGAAGCAATGAAGTGTATTCATAATTCAAAAATATGTGGGCGTCATATGAATAAATAAACTTTGCATAATATTATAAGCTACTTTTAATCCTGTTTTAGGCATCGATTAAAAATCCTTCATTATTAAAATATTTAAGGAAACGATAAATAAAAATAACTATAATACTGAATTCTATGTGAGAAAACCCACATAGTATGTTGTTTTAAACAAGATGCCTATAAATTAGTTATTCAATTAAAGGTACCAGTTATGTGCGTCACATTCTTTTGCAAATTATTTGAATATTTTCTTGTAAATATTAACTATTTTGTTTACAGCCAACATAGTCTAATAATAATAATAATAAAGTCATAACTTTTTCTTGAACCGTTGGATAAGAAATCGCACAGTTTTTTTATTAACTATCAATCACACTTAACCAGAAGTATACACAGTAGCTGTAATTTATTATTTCATGGTTTTCATTCGAATAGTACTATAGCATTAAGTCATACTAAATTGTATGTTACATCAAACGTTTGTTATTGATACCCTTAATTTTTTTACCAAAGACAAACATTTTCCGACTTACAATAATTGTTATACGAACTCGATTTAACTTTTATTAACTCTATTTAGCACTTAACTCTATAATTTTAGGCGTTCTACAAATTCAAAATAAAAAATCATTTTGGTTTTGTAGTGTGTATAAAATGAATGTACTGTTATAATATCATGACATATTACACAGTAACAAACATGTCATGTTTGATGAAATTATTCAGTTAAATCATAACATTGTACAAATAATAGCTTTGTCTTCATTCTAAAATACTGCAATACTATACACATTGTGTAGCTCAGTATTATGTACACAATATATCGTTTAAAAAAATACAATAAGAAAAACATGATTAATAACAAACCTTGAACAGATAAATAACTATTGATAATATGAAAAATCCCAATGATACCGCTACAAATGTAAGACGCACGTGAGACACTCCTTAAGAACTTAAAATTGCTTAAAACATTTTAAAAAATAATGCTAAATAGTTCTCTAATTTACAAAAAAACAAAAAACCGGTTGAATTTAATATTTTAATATAAGTTATCATATTTAATCAACAACAACCATTTTAATCATGTATATTTTAATACAACCATTTAAATTGTTTTATCTTCGAGTAAAACAGTTGTTTTAACTAAAAAAAACTATTTAATAATTGTGGTTGTTTATTTAAGGAAACATAATATATTAACTTTTTAAATTATGCTATTATTAAATATATTAAAGAAAAAACCACTTGTAATTTTTGCAAGGACTTAAAGTTATTAAATTACTACATTATAATTACATTACCGAAATTATTATTCTTAAATAAATATTAAAACGTATAATACCTACGTTTAAATTGTGACACTGGTTTTTTTTTATAAAAGAATATTTTAATGGATAATTTACATAGTTAGTTTAGCATTATTTAGTATAGATTGGATAAAAAAATGTTTCATAAACTACATAATTTATATTTATTTACATTAAACAACGTGTAGCATAGAATAAAATACAATGCCGTTAGTACAACTAAATCCGGTAACCAGTTCTTGTAATTAAAATTACAATTACAATTCGATATTATATTTTATTTGTTTGTTATTGATATACGTTGGTTTAATAAAAAGCATAGTATGTTTGTTAACAAATGTCTTATTAAACATATTTTATACAATTAATTCAAAAAAACTACATGAACAATACAGTCAATACGATAATAATATTCAATAAAAAAATTAAAATATTCATCAGTTTTATAATTGGGTAAAGTGTTATTGTTTTAGAGAACAATGTAAGACAATCTAATAAAAAAATGTAAGATAGTTTAACTTGTATCGATTATTAAAAACACTTAATTACATTTTTTAATGCTAATAAAAAATGTATGGACAAAATTAAATATCTACAAAAAAAAATGTTCTCTTTATTATTTTAACGAATTTATAAAATGCGTTTTCCTATAAAATTGGAATCAAATTCATCAGCCACGGTGCAAATATTTTTTAAAAATCTACAAAACCAGAATGGAGCAACAACATGGGTGCACCCTGGACGTGTTCATATAAAATGCACAGATAACTAAATATGTTTAAAAATTTAGCACTGAATATTAATATGCTATCCGCCGTAGAAAAAACCCTATACATTTAATTGGAAAAAGAACAATAAAATAAATACTAATAGCAACACAAACATTTTATTTCCATAACCAATCATCAATCGAATAGTCATAAAAAACCTTAACAATATAGAGTAACACATTATTTATTACTTTAATCGCTACTATATTTGACACACATTTTATGGTTTTTACTTTTAAGTAATATGGCAAGTAATATGGATTGAACTAATGAAATTGTAGGTTATTTTAAATTCAATTATAATTTATGTGCATTACCTTCTAGTTTTAAGGACATGTTGTATACTTGTTTTCTGGCATTTATCTGCAGTCATCGCAAACGTGTTTATGCGGTAGATTTAAGTTTTAACTAACTGACTACCTACCTAATAAAGGATAAATTATCTGTAATGTATTAAAGCCATGCATACATGTTTTAAACCGATAGTATATAACATTTATAATATTACCGGTCGATTTTTTTCCTGTGTTTAATAGTTTCCTGTTCCTCATCCGACTGAAACGAGATTTACAAAAATGTCCCACTAACCCACTAGGAATTTGATAATTAACTTAATTAATTTACAATAAATAATTTATCTTACTATGTTTATCTGGTAAACCCTCTAAGGAGTTACTAACGGAAAAACGAAATCAACTATTTTATAAGTTAAGGCTGATATAGTTATCCTTACAAAAATACTATTTTGTTTTTTTATTTTTTAGTAACAATCACTAATAATAACAAATAGTATTATTGTTTGTCCTGTTCCGACAACGACCAACGCATTTGTACACCGTATGGCTGTTTTGTTAACAAAACCGTATGTATGTTTGATGGTGGAAATAAAAAAAAAGGTTTACTGACCTGTTCAATAAGAAAAACAATCCGACATCAGCCACGGGCCGTGGAAACTAAACTGTCTGGCCGCCGAGCTCACGGATGGACTACTATTATCCGAACAGACGAAGAACGCGTCGTTTTACCAGTACAGGAACACAACACCGTTGAATATAAAATTCTACCAGTTTTCCTTGAATTCACACAACGATCAGATCGCGTAAACGAGTTTTTTTTTAATCCAATCATCATCGTTATTATTATAATATATTTAAGTATCCGAAGATGGTGCACGAATATTCAATTAAAACAATAACAAAAAACAATCAACACTCCGGATATATGTATGTATATGATTTTGGTGGAGTCCACGAAAACCTAAGAGCTATCGGTGTAGAACAGTGGTTAACCCATTGTCTATAATTTGTAATAAATGGTTATCCATACGATGATTTATATTTAAATAAGTTATTTTTAAAAAGAATTATTCAAAAAGTACGAAATTATTATTTAAGGCTCCAAACGGTTATAGTAATATTATTAGGTATATAACTTCTATCTAAAAATTCCATTTTACAAATTATTAAACATGTTTTTGAAACGAGTCATAAAAAAAGATTTTCGACAAACGTTTTCAAATGAACGTTAATACATTTTTCCACTATTTCCTAAAATATTGTTGAAAAAGTAAAAAATACAAATTTTTTTTTATCCTAAATCTATATTTTTATTACATATATATAAAATTTATTATTTTTATATAAAACAGTCAACAAAAATTATTATTAATAATAATACATGATATTTTAAATGCTATAGTACTTTGAAATAACATTAATTATAGTTAGAAATTCGTCATAACAGTCTTTACAATAAACATAATTCCTATGCAAGTAACAAGTACAGAGTAACCTATTTGATGTTTAGAACCTACTGAACTATTCGAATCATTAACTCTTGTAAACCACGGTAGTGTGTCTAAGCTAGCCGGATAGTTACGTAGCCACGTTCTACCATCTATTAAGGGCGTGTTAGGGCGAGATTCGTCCCTCCACTTTCCAGCTGGCAAATAAATGTCACGTTGAACGGCCTTTTCTACCAAAACAGGAGCAACAAGAATGTCTTCGCCCAACAGGAATTCTAAAAAAAAAATTAACAATAATATATTATATTATATTGTTCCCAGTAAAATAGCAGAGTGAATACATATAACTAAATTACAAAAAAATGAATCGCGGTATTTTGGGGTATAAATTTTTTTTCTTTGAAAAGATAATACATAATATGTCTACAGTATTAAATTTAAACATCCTAGGCAAAAATACTTTTTTTTTTGCAGTTTAAATTATGAGCGTACTTTATAAGTATGATAATAAAACTAACCGTCATCTATGGAGTGCGCTGTAGTATCCGTTGGATCTATCCACCAGATTGGAGGGTTTATTGGAGCACCGGTACTGACGGTATTTTCCATCAATTGTATTATAAGATCAGAATACTTTTGATGAAGGTCCATGTATTTTTTGCAGATTTCGGCTGTCTATAACCATACAAATGAATGTTATAGTATTTTTACATATTATTGTATTTTATAACATTTAAAAATAATATAAATAAGATTGTTTTAAAAAAAAATAAAACTACAAAATTGTAATCCTATCTCTAGAAAATTAGCGTTATACGTTAAATCGATCACACTGTATATGAGCTTATTAGCTTGATCAATTTCTGACCTATCTGTGTTGTCGTTTGTTAGCTGACGTTTCGAACCCATCTTCAAAGACATAGTCACCGTTCCACTTCACTATACTCAACGAGTATAGTCGCGATAGTGTAGCAGTGAACAGTTTGTAGACAGCTAACAAAAGTCAACTTGGATAGATCCTCAAACGAATAAGCTAATAGTTCAATCTAAGAAAGTTTCAACACATTTACAGCCTGTATACAGGGCCGTCATAGGCTATACAGGGGCCCTTGGGATATAGATGAAGCTGTCTGTATATAATTTGTGAATCGTCTCGTTACTCATCGTTAACTATTATATTTTTATTATTAGTTAAATGTATAAAAAAAACAAACTTTATAAAAATAGCCTGACTGAATATGTAAAACAAATATTTGAAAAATGATCTTATATGAACAAGTTAGAAGAACACACGTTCTTACAGTAACAAACATTTAATGATGGGGTATAAAACATAACATAATGTCACGTTACAATTAGTCGTTCGCTCGATCAAGGTAAACTACTTGTATGTGTAGCACTACTACCTGCCTAACCTGCACTATCCTTTTGGATTCGTATACATATAGTTTGTTTTTTTAATTAATTAATACCTAATGGCATAGATTAAAGTATATTCATTATTAATGTAATAATAGCTATAAAAAATAGATTTTCTTGCAGTCGGAAATAACGAAACGGCTTTGAAGTTTGCAATTTAAATACACACACACACACACACAAACACACACACATATATATATATATATATATATATATTTACATTTTTTTTATATTTATATAGACGTGGCTGAATCCGGTTTAGTTACCTCTTTGCCAAAGTCCCAAGGAGTGATCGAAAACTGTATGGCCGGCATAAAGGTGTTGGCTTGCATCCATCTAATGTACATTTCAGCAGACGGTAAGTCCTCACCATAAGCGTTTCCGCCAATCATATCCGGTAACACAAACGGATATCCTACCATGTTGAACTGCAACAGGGTCGTTACAAGTGTGGGCAGACCAAATTGCCAATTCCACAGAGATAATTTGTCGACCATACGCACGAATCGGCCGTGCTTTTGCACTCTTCTAGCTGATCTGTATTCAATGCCATTGCCGAATTTCGATATTGTGTCAACGTACGCGCTTACTATGTTATCCGGTTGATAAGTCAAATCAGTATCAAAGAAAACTGGTAATTGAGGTAACCTGATAAGAATATAATATCATGCTATTTTAGCTTTGTTCACTAATTAAGTACAACATTTTAATTCTGGCGTATTTCATTTGAGGACATTAATCGGCAATGCTTATAATGAAGGGGATAAAATGGAACAATAAAAGCAGATTATGTTAGATTAGCAATGGAATTGAAGTCATGGAGTAGAATACCCAGGAAGGGTTTAATAGCTGCATTGTAGAACCCTGTATCTTTTTACATGAATCTCCGTTAACACTCTTACTTATTTTTTCTCATCACTCCTTATAATATGCCTTTTCCAAATCCCATCAACCGACTCACTCATCTTCTCGGCGAGAGAAACTACATTAATTTTAGTCACTCCACACATCTACATCAAATCTATATCCGCAAATAAATTATAAATGAGACCCATTTATATTATTATTTATAATGCAAATGTTTTTGTGTTAACATTTATATATGTTCATTAATAGTTAATAATTTAAAGTTGAATTGATTATTTAATATATTTCGATTTACAAATTTAATATAAAATTAAAATAAAGCTATTAATTCATACATTTATAATATACTATCATGTTATCTTTTATCTATAAAAAAACTTAAGCAACACTTGTTATATATTATTTGATTTATTTAATACAAATTAGTTATTCCTAATAATAATAATTTTAACTTTAAATTATTTATATAATAGAATTTTATTTTATTTAAATACCTTAACATCCTATAATGTATAATTACAGTTTACGAAAGATATTTATCAAAACTATTTAACTGCTATTTTTATAAGTATTCAAGCATCAAGTAAAAAGTATCTTATACATGCCATGATTAAATCAGGGTATTTAAAATGACAGATTAATACAAACAAATCCATTATTAAATAGTTAAGGTGAGAAATGATTTATATATCTAATAACATGATGTTTACTCGAGTTTTTAGGTACGAAAACAGGTAGCTGTATTAAGTACTTTAGAAAAACGCGAGAGATATCATAATCTGGTAACATTAGCAATACCTATATGCAATTGCCCAATTGAAAACAAATACCTAATAAACAACTAATCCTAGGTAAATAGATTTATTTTCAACATTATTGCATTAAAAAAATAGTTATTACTTTTTAAAGGAGTCTAGAGTATGTTACACGTATTAATAAATTATTCAATTTCCAACTTTTCTTTTTACTAACTACAAACGTAATTTTTGCGCAAATTTCGGAGTTTATATTGAAGTTTGTAAATCGGGCAACTTCTCTTAGCAAAGATACTTGACCAAAAAATTCCAACTTTCAATAATCTCCTTTATCTCAAACACGACATGTTGATCAGAACGACCGGCTTTTAATATGTATATTTATTATAATTGTCTGTCGCTAACGTACCAAGTAGATTCGCCTGCATCGAACTTCAACGTATCGATACCAGTGTCGTGAAGCATCTTCTGAAGTCTTGCGGACCACCATTTGGCCGCTGCAGGATTGGTGAAGTCTATTTGACCCGCTTCTTTGTGCCACCATGTCGTTACAACTTTATGCTCAGTGCTGTTTACAAAGTATCCCAAGGATTCGGCGATTTTAAAAGATGCGCAATTAGCGTTAATAAATGGATGTGTCCAGAGGGATACTTTAAATCCCTTCGATTCTATTTTCCATAAAAAAATACAATAATATACATATATTATAATGTGTAGCATAATGTTTTTGGTTGGTCGTTTATGTCCCACATACCACAAAAGAAAAAGTAAATACCTTAGATTGAATAACACCCATACAGTAAAAAACCATTATAGCTATTAGTTTTAAATTGTTGTCAAAAATTTTTTTTTATTATTTAAAAGTCATGTTTAAGCAGGAGATAACATTTAAAAAAATAATTATTTTCATTATATTTAAAATTTTGGAAATGTTTTCATTATAATACTGAAACAAAATTTGTAATACATATTTTATTTAAAAAATTTGCCTGCTAAAACATAAATTTAAAATGATTTTAAAGTTATTAACAAACTTTTAATATTTTGAAAACATTACATTTTTTTTTTCTGTATGATTAAGTAGTTGACAGTACTAAAGTTGTTCGGGCCAAAATTATTTATACGTGGGTGTGTTCAGTGGGAGTCGAGAAGTCTATATTCTCCCACTTCTCTATCCATAAAAGGTTTAAAAAATCAAAATCACAACATTACTACGAAAATAATTCCAAAACCTCCCGACGATCAACGTCGTTTTAATATATTATGACGTTTAGTGTTTAAAATTTACTTACTCAAATTGCTTACAAGTTCCTGTATATTTTCAAATTTAATCTTGTCAAACTCCGCCTCCCCCCAGCAAGTTTCCCAATTGTCGTCAATCTCGAGCTGACCAAGGGGAAACCACTTTTGATAATTTGGTTAGCATAATCCAACACAGCGGAAGTGTTGACGTGCTCTTTGTATTTAGCCCAGGTAGACCAAATCGGGTTCCTCACTAAGTACGTGTCGGGTATGGAAGTGGGTTTTCCGAAAATATCTTTAATGGCGTTTTCGTGGGCTACTCTGGGATTTTCATACTCGCACACCCGAAATTTCAATCGATTTTCAAGCCTCCTATAAGGGGCTTTTACTTTGGATGTAAAACAAATTTTGCCCGGGGTCGGTCCGTTGATATCCAAAAATAGAGGAACGGATTCGTCGACGTGTATGTAGTAACCGTCGGAGTTAAAGAAGTAAGATTCCACTACCTATACCAAAACGCAAGTAGATGTTAACGGGAACAATAAAAGAATAAGAGAGAAACTCACGGCTTGACCGGCGGCTAGTCCTGTTGTAACGTAAGGCACATCTGTCAAATTCAGTTTGTTCAATGGCCAGTACTGATATTGCAGTTCAGGACCTCCGAACCATGTACTATTTCCCATTACGACACATGCTTTTAATACATCGTCAATGCTATCAGCTAACTGATCGAAATGAAGGCATTCTTTGTTGGCAGTGGTGCTGTACCGAAGGGAATTGGCGTTGTTTTCATTCCCGTCGCTCGCTTTGCTGCTATCGGTCGAAGTCAGTAATAGATATTTTGTCGATACATCTACGTCTAAAAAAAAAATTGGTTTGTGTTTTTGTACAAGAACCCATTTGCTAACCAAAAAACATGGGTTAAAAAGATAGTGTTCAACTAATTGTATTGAGACAAAATAGGTGTTTGTTAAAATAATTAATACAGAGCCCTTAACCCAAAATCGTAAATCGGACTTATCCCCTTCTGCCCTAACAACACACAATTATATGTTTTTCTTAGTCTACCGCCGTTTTAGGTCGGTTGGACAACACTTGCTCTACAAGACACAATAGTTACCATTCTAGAGAGTGGGCATGATGCGATGGTTCCCCAAAGCTTTCCGCACCAGTTATATAAATAAGCAATTATAATTTCAATAACGAATTTCAATCGAAATAATCGATTTGAAAATGATCAAAACTAGTTATAAATAGTTGATGGACTTGCTTACTTTTATTTCCCACTTCGATTTCATTTTGACTGTTGGAAGACAAAACAAAGATGTTGGTTTTTGAAAACTGTTCTCGAGACTGCACACGAATCCATGTTTGAACAATAACAACAAAAACTGTAAAATTATACATATGTATAAAGTACACCAGTGATTTACTTGGAAGTTATTTAATGTAGTATTTTTGTAATATATATATTATAGTATAATATGATATTGAAATACATGTACACAAAAAATGATTCGATTTACTAATTTTTAAATTTAAAATTAATAATTAACTATAATCCACTATTTTTAGACAGAAATTAAGTATAATACAACTTAAAGTCAAATATACGCAAAAGTCAGTATAGAAAATATGTTATTTGTAGTATTTGTGATAATTACTTAATAAAATATTCATAATTTTTGTTCGATGTATAAAATGGTAGGTAGACAATAACTAAAATGCTATTGATGTAATCGCGTTTTTACCTATAAACCAGACTTTTAAAACGTTTTCGTGCAACGGAGAGGGGGAAATGTTTGGTTAGAACTTATATACTTTGCATAAATAAGATATTAAATTCTAATATCTTTTCAATATTATAGATAATATTATTTCGCACTTATAAATTGTATTATCTTTCAGGGTTATTTAACAAAGTGGCGATTAACGTAAATATTCATTTTTTTTAGAATAGACACTTATTTTGTTTTTAATAAACTTGTTGGGCAACCAAAAATGGAAGCAATTAAAAATAAAATTTATAGGCCCACATTTATTTAAAAAGGATATTTATAAAAACTGTAAGTTCGAGCTTTACCTAATTAAAAATATTTTGGTATTTATATATGTAATTATCTTTCTTTTTTTAACATTTTGTTCCATATCATTTTTATATGATATGTGATTAAAATTTTTATCAAATTACAGAAATAGTTGCATCAATGAAAATGATAATTAAGCGACAACATAATATTTTATATTTAACTATACTGATCATTAGGTTAATTAAATTTTAAAAAATATAGTTGACTTTACTAAATTTTCAGTCGAAAATACTATTTGTTTAGTTAAGTCAAATACAAAACGTTCTAGTCACTTTTATTATTTTCAGTCTTACCTATATCTTTTTTTCACCAATAAACAGTGTGTATTTTATTTAATAAAAAAAGGTTTGAGAAATAAAGATTTATAGCTAAGTGTACCGATTTACCTACTTTTGATTCTGTAACTCATTACAGTATGACAATGTTAGGTTGAAAATTGTAAATAAATAAATTATGTGCACTAAATTCCAAATCACTAATTACCATAACTTTTTTTTATGTATTAAAATGACTATAAGGAAAAAAATCGCGGTCACGCTCACGCTGCAAAAAAAACTGCATAAATTTATTCAGTGATTTAATTAATTTAGCTTTATATCTGCGTATATTATCTTACAGGTGAATTATTCTAACATCTGGCTTCTACGCTTATTAAACAAGTTAGGAAACTTGGGCAAAGGTTGAGTATTAAATTATTCCTCTATACGCAGTTATTGGACCAGAGAAAAATACATCAATGCCAATGACCTTTTGTTAAACAGCCAACTTAACATGCAGAAACGACAATGATTTGCCACATGTGATGCGACCCCCCTTAATATTTTTATATCTTTGTATTTATTTTAATTAAAAAACAAAATGTATAATTTTATAAAAACAACATCAATGTAATGTTTTTATTTTACAATAAAGTATTTGCTTGATTCCGCGACCGATTAACTTGAGTATTAAATAGAAATAGATCATTTTCCACCATTTCCCAAAATATTGTTAAAAAGTAAAAAATACAAATTTTTTTTTATCTAAAATCTATATTTTTATTACATATATATAAAATTTATTATTTTTGTATAAAACAGTCAACAAAAATTATTATTAATAATAATACATGATATTTTAAATGCTATAGTACTTTGAAATAACATTAATTATAGTTAGAAATTCGTCATAACAGTCTTTACAATAAACATGATTCCTATGCAAGTAACAAGTACAGTGTAGCCTATTTGATGTTTAGAACCTACTGAACTACTCGAATCATTAACTCTTGTAAACCACGGTAGTGTGTCTAAGCTAGCCGGATAGTTACGTAGCCACGTTCTACCATCTATTAAGGGCGTGTTAGGGCGAGATTCGTCCCTCCACTTTCCAGCTGGCAAATAAATGTCACGTTGAACGGCCTTTTCTACCAGAACAGGAGCAACAAGAATGTCTTCGCCCAACAGGAATTCTAAAAAAAAAATTAACAATAATATATAATATTATATTGTTCCCGACAAAACAGCCGAGTGAATGCATATAACTAAATTACAAAAAAATGAATCGCGGTATTTTAGGGTATAGTTTTTTTTTCTTTGAAAAGATAATACATAGTATGTCTACAGTATTAAATTTAAACATCCTAGGCAAAAATACTTTTTTTTTTGCAGTTTAAATTATGAGCGTACTTTATAAGTATGATAATAAAACTAACCGTCATCTATAGAGTGCGCTGTAGTATCCGTTGGATCTATCCACCAGATTGGAGGGTTTATTGGAGCACCGGTACTGACGGTATTTTCCATCAATTGTATTATAAGATCAGAATACTTTTGATGAAGGTCCATGTATTTTTTGCAGATTTCGGCTGTCTAACCATACAAATGAATGTTATAGTATTTTTACATATTATTGTATTTTATAACATTTAAAAATAATATAAATAAGAATGTTTTTAAAAAAAATAAAACTACAAAATTGTAATCCTATCTCTAGAAAATTAGCGTTATACGTTAAATCGATCACCCTGTATATGAGCTTATTAGCTTGATCAATTTCTGACCTATCTGTGTTGTCGTTTGTTAGCTGACGTTTCGAACCCATCTTCAAAGACATAGTCACCGTTCCACTTCACTATACTCAACGAGTATAGTCGCGACAGTGTAGCAGTGAACAGTTTGTAGACAGCTAACAAATGTCAACTTGGATAGATCCTCAAACGAATAAGCTAATAGTTCAATCTAAGAAAGTTTTAACACATTCACAGCCTGTATACAAGGCCGTCATAGGCTATACAGGATGGAGATCTATATCCCAAGATAAGCTGTTTGTATATAATTTGTTAATCGTCTCGTTACTCATCGTTAAATATTATATTTTAATTATTAATTAATTGTAAAAGAAAAACAAACTTTAAAAAAATAGCCTGACTGAATATGTAAAACAAATATTTGAAAAATGATCTTATATGAACAATAAGAAGAATACACGTTTTTATAGTAACAAATATTTAACGATGAGATAAAACATAACATAATATCACGTTACAATCAGTAGTTTGCCCGATCAAGTTAAACTACTTGTATGTGTAGCACTACTACCTGCTTAACCTGCACTATCCTTTTGGATTCGTATACATATATTTTGTTTTTTAAATTCATAAATACCTAATGGCATAGATTCAGATATATTTATTATTAATGTAAAAATAGCTATAAAAAAATGGACCTGCAGTCGAAAAAAACGAAACAGCTTTTAAGTTTGCAAATTACATACACTCACACACATATATATATATTTATATATACATATGTTTTATTTTATTTATATAGACGTGGCTGAATCCGGTTTAGTTACCTCTTTGCCAAAGTCCCAAGGAGTGATCGAAAATTGTATGGCCGGCATAAAGGTGTTGGCTTGCATCCATCTAACGTACATTTCGGCAGACGGCATGTCCCCATCATAAGCGTTTCCGCCAATCATATCCGGTAACACAAACGGATATCCTATCATGTTGAACTGCAACAGGGTCGTTACAAGCGTGGGCAGACCAAATTTCCAACTCCACAGGGATAATTTGTCGATCATACGCACGAATCGGCCGTGCTTTTGCACTCTCCTAGCTGTTCTGTATTCAATGCCATTGCCGAATTTCGATATTGTGTCAATGTACGCATTTACTAAGTTATCCGGTTGATAAGTCAAATCAGTATCATAGAAAACTGGTATTTGAGGTAACCTGATAAGTATATAATATGATATTATTAATAAATTATAAATGGGACCCATTTATATTATTACATTTAATGGGTAATATAAGGCAAACGTTTTTGTGTTAACATTTATATATATTCATTGATAGTTAATAATTATTATAATTTTGTATTGATTATTTAATATAATTCGATTTATAAATTTAACATAAAACTAAAATTAAGCTATAACTTCATAAATTTGATTTATAATATACTATAAAGTTGTCCTTCATCCATAAAAAACTTAAGCAACACTTGTTATATACAGGGCGATTCAAAAAGAATGAATCGTTCTATGATCAAATATTTTTTAAGTAAATGTATGACCAGAATAAGGGAGTGGCTGTTTGAAAGATTAGGTTTCAGCATGAAAGAGATTTCCCTAAGGGCTAAGGTAATCGTTTTCTGTGCTGTGTCCCGCAACAAGGTTTATGTACCATTTTTTTTCGAGGGAAGCTCTGTAACAGGACAAACCTACGAGGATATCGTAGGTTAATGCGGTCCCGGGGAATAACTAGATAAGTTGATTTTTGTAAAATGTATACAAGTCTCTTGCCCGGGGCATCTTATTAAACAATATTATGTATTTCAATAAGATACCCTGGACAAGAGACACGTATCAATTTCACATCAATTGACTTATCTAGTTATTCCCGGCGACCGCAGAAATAAATTAATAATACGACGTTAAATACCGTTTTAAGTGGTTATTAATCATTACAATATACTATTGGTAATGTACACTAAAAAGATAAAGGCATTTGTTTATTTCGTTAGGTATTGTTATTTTATGTCATTGAAGTGGTTAGAAAAAAACAATAAAAAAAGCTATATAAATCGGTGTATTTCAAGTGACAGAATTAAATAGTTAAGGTAAGAAATTATCTCTGTATATATATAAAAATGAATGTATGTCTGTCCTTTATGCATTAGTACACCATTCATCCGATCGCCATGAAACTTTGGGAAGTTGTTGAGTACACTTCCGCGAAGATAACTGGCATAGTACTTTTTGAAAATTCCACCCCTATGGGTGACCACAAACACGAATAATGTACTTTAAATACGAAATATTTTTCGTTGCTAACCAAAAATAAACACTTGGTTTGTAACCGTGGTAACCACGATACTCGAGCGGATAGTAGGGGATGATTAAAGGAACAGGCCGATTGTAAGGACGCTATTTAACATTGGAACTGGATCTGGGACTAGGACCGGAACCGGGACTGAGACCCTTGAGTAAGATAGGGACAGAATCAATATAATGTAATGTACATATGTAGATCCAAAAAAAAGCCGAGACGGGGAGCTTTACAATATACAGTCTGGAGTACTGACTTTTTTATCTTATTTGTAATTATTTTACTCAGCCCTGGCCAACTAAATCCCGGACAACGCCGGGTCCGGACAGCTTGTTATAAATAAAAACAGAGTAACTTTGTGGAAAGTATAATATTTTTATTAAAACCCAATCCACAAAAATGATATACTTAAAGCATTTACGTAATTCAATAATTATGTTGTCATCTTCAGTGCCGGTCGAGGATCATTTTTATGTATTGTTTTTTAACAAAAAAAATAAGAAATTATTTATGCATCTAATAGCATGATATTTACTCGAGTTTTTAGGAACGAAAACAATTAGCTGTATTAAGTACTTTAGAAAAACGTGAGAAGTATCATAATCTGGGAACAATAGCAATCTATGTAATTGCCCAATTGAAAACAAATAATAAAACGGCTAATCCTAGGTGAAGAGAACTATTTTCAATATTATTGTATTAAAAAAATAATTATTACTTTTTAAAGGAGTCTAAAATATGTTATACGTATTAATAAATTATTCAATTTCCAACTTTTCTTTTTACTAACTACAAACGTAATTTTAGCGCAAATTTCGGAGTTTATATTGAAGTTTGTAAATCGGGCAACTTCTCTTAGCAAAGATACTTGACCAAAAAATCCCAACTTTCAATTATCTCCTTTATCCCAAACACGACATGTTGATCAGAACGACCGGCTTTTAATATGTATATTTATTATAATTGTCTGTCGCTAACGTACCAAGTAGATTCGCCTGCATCGAACTTCAACGTATCGATACCAGTGTCGTTGAGCAACTTCCGAAGTCTTGCGGACCACCACTTGGCCGCTGCAGGATTGGTGAAGTCTATTTGACCCGCTTCTTTGTGCCACCATGTCGTTACAACTTTATGCTCAGTGCTGTTTACAAAGTATCCCAAGGATTCGGCGATTTTAAAAGATGCACATTCAACGTTAATAAATGGATGTGTCCAGAGGGATACTTTAAATCCCTTCGATTCTATGTTTAATAATAAAATAAAATAAAATATATATATATATAAGTGTAGCATAATATTTTAGTAGAATAAAGAACACCCACACAGTAACAAAACATTAATAATTATTAATTTCAAATTGTTTTCAAAAAGTTTTTTTATTATTTTATGGTGATGTTTAAGCAGGAAATAAATATTTACATTTTCATTACATTAAAATTGGAAATGTTTTCATTATAATACTCAAACCAAATTTATAAAATTATGTGAAATAAATTCATATTTTATTTTAAATAATTTGCCTGCCAAAACATAAATTTTAAAAATTTTAAAAGTTATTAATAAACTTTTAGTATTTTGAAATTATTTATATAATTTGCTGTATAACAACGTAGTTGACAGTACTAAAGTTGTACGGGCCAAAATTATTTATACGTAGTGCGCGGTCGAGTCGGAAGTCAATTTCTTCCAGGTTTTACACTACGATAATTAATACGTCGTATGAGTTTAGTGTTTAAAATTTACTTACTCAAATTGCTTACAAGTTCCTGTATATTTTCAAATTTAATCTTGTCAAACTCCGCCTCCCCCCAGCAAGTTTCCCAATTGTCGTCAATCTCGAGCTGACCAAGGGGAAACCCACTTTTGATAATTTGGTTAGCATAATCCAACACAGCGGAAGTGTTGACGTCCTCTTTGTATTTAGCCCAGGTAGACCAAATCGGGTTCCTCACTAAGTACGTGTCGGGTATGGAAGTGGGTTTTCCGAAAATATCTTTAATGGCGTTTTCGTGGGCTACTCTGGGATTTTCATACTCGCACACCCGAAATTTCAATCGGTTTTCAAGCCTCCTATAAGGGGCTTTTACTTTGGATGTAAAACAAATGTTGCCCGGGGTCGGTCCGTTGATATCCAAAAATAGAGGAACGGATTCGTCGACGTGTATGTAGTAACCGTCGGAGTTAAAGAAGTAAGATTCCATTACCTATACCAAAACGCAAGTAGATGTTAACATGAACAATAGTAGAATAAGAGAGAAACTTACGGCTTGACCGTCGAGTTGTCCGGTTGTAATGTAAGGCACATCTGTCAAATTCAATCTGTTCAATGGCCAATACTGATATTGCAGTTCAGGACCTCCGAACCATGTACTATTTCCAATTACAGCACATACTTTTAATACATCGTCAATACTATCAGCTAACTGATCGAAATGAAGGCATTCTTTGTTGGCAGTGGTGCTGTACCGAAGGGAATTGGCGTTGTTTTCATTCCCGTCACTCGCTTTGCTGCTATAAGTCGAAGTCAGTAATAGATATTTTGTCAATACATCTACGTCTAAAAAAAAAATTGGTTTGTGTTTTTGTACAACAACCCATTTGCTAACCAAATAACATGGGTTAAAAAGATAGTGTTCAACTAATTGCATTGAGACAAAATAGGTTAAAATAATTAATACAGATACCCTAGGCCCTAACCCAAAATCGTAATTCGGACTTATCCCCTTCTGCCCAAACAACACACAATTATATGTTTTTCTTAGTCTACCACCGTTTTAGATCGGTTGGCCAACACTTGCTCTATAAGAGACAATAGTTACCATCCTGGAGAGTGGGCATGATGCGATGGTTTCCCAAAGCTTTCCGCACCAGTTATATGAATAAGCAATTATAATTTCAATAACGAATTTCAATCGAAAAAATCTATTTGAAAATGTCAAAACTAGTTATAAATAGTTGATAGACTTAATTACTTTTATTTCCCACTTCAAGTTCATTTTGACTGTTGGAAGACAAAACAAAGATGTTGGTTTTTGATAACGGTTCTCGAGACTGCACACGAATCCATGTTTGAACAATAACAACAAAAACTATAAAATAATACATATGTATAATGTACACCAGTGATTTACTTGAAAGTTATTTAATGTAGTATTTTTAAACAGAAATTAAGTATAATACAACTTAAAGTCAAATATACTCAAAAGTCAGTATAGAAAATATGTTATTTGTAGTATTTGTGATAATTACTTAATAAAATATTCATAATGTTTGTTCGATGTATAAAATGGTAGATAGACAATAACGAGAATGATATTGATGTAATTGCGTTTTTACCTATAAACCAGACTTTTAAAACGTTTTCGTGCAACGAAGAGGGGGCAATGTTAGGTTAGAACTTATTTACTTTGCATAAATAAGATAATGAACTGTTATAATTGGAATAATATTTTAGATAGTATTACTAAACTACAATACGTAAAGATAAGGTATTTTGTTTATCGAACTCCATAATTGCTATGTAATTGTAAAAACATTTGTTTATTTTGTACTTATAAATTGTATTATCTTTCAGGGTTATTTAACAAAGTGGTGATTAGCGTAGATATTCAATTTTTTTAACAATAAGTACTTATTTCGTTTTCAATAAACTTGTTAGGTAACAAAAAATGGAAGCGATTTAAAATAAATTTTAAAGGTTTACATTTATTTAAAATGTGTATTTGTAATATATGAGGCACCTAGAACACAAGTAAATATAAGTGACATTTTTAAAAAAATTGTGTTAAGTCCACAGCTTAATTACAAATTGTCTATTTTATATGGTAGTAAAGATGTATAACTTTAACCCTTTCGTTCCTGGAATTTTTTTTTTTCGAAATAAAAATCAACAAGATTTTTACGTATTGGACTGATATTGATTATCAATATAGCTGTGTCGATTTTTTCATTATCAATCTTTACTAGAACTTGTGTTTAAAGACATTTTTTATCATGGTAGTACAGTAGTCTTATAGACTACTTAGTACGTTGTTAATATTTTATTCGATTTTTAAAGTTAAACCCTCGTACGAGGATGTCAGTAACGAAAGGGTTGTAAGTAAATTATACATAAATTGCTGCGATTTGGTAGCAAATCAACTAATCCCCAAACAAAAACGCAATATGGATGTAAACTTTGAGCTTGATTTTAAAACTTTGTCTATGTCCTCTTGACAAGTTTTTTTTTAACAACACAATTAGTTTTTTATTAAAAAAAGTTTTAAAAAAATGTTTAAGCTCTTATTTTGGTTTTAATAATCAAGTTATTATAAAAATCTCGTCGAGACAACAAAGATAAAATTCTTAACTTTCAAGTGATATAAGTAATTCTTCTGTCAGACAATTTTTGAAAGATCTGTGTTAAGAAAACGGAGACAGTTTTTTCTCAACAATTTTTTAAAATCTCTGTCAAGGGTGCTGTGATAGTCCGAAAAACAATTTAACTACCAGAAAAGAGTCCTAATTTCTAAACTAATAATTTATTACACATCACAGTTTAACCTTCAAGTTAAGATTTAATAAAAAAAATGCCTATACTTTACTCCTTAAAAATGAATGGAGTGGCGTCCTCTTAATCATATTATCATTATGCCAATTAATACTTAAATTATTAAGACAACTAAGAATAATAAAAAACAAAATAAATTGATTACCCTAGTTCAATGCGTTTTTATGCGATACATAAAATATATCGATAAAGTTTCAAGGTCTAATTAATTGTTTTATGACACAACTTACAAGAATTTAATAACTCACTGTTAACATATTTAGATATTTAGATAATTCAGTACTAAGTATAATAAAGAAATATTACATCTCAAGAGCTTCGTGACTAATTATTAATGAGTCAAATATATACAATATTTGTCAAAAAGTTAATTTAAGTGGAATTTTTCTCTTATTTAGGAATTACAAGTAGGCAATTTGTTTCAACATTTTAATGTAAAAATTGAACAGAAAATTGAAGTTATCAACAGAAGCCGACAACATAAGGCGTACCTATAATAAATAATTTAATTTTAGTTTGGTGGATTAATGGGTAGTGAGTTTAATTATCCGATTTTGATTATTTAAACTTTTATAGCCGTCTTTCAAGCTGCATAGATTTTATAAATAAACAATTTTTTTTTCATAGTTTATTTAAAAAATATATTTTTTATAAAATTGAAAGAAGCCTTCTTACGTCAATAAAACACATAATAAAATCCGATTACTGAGACGTCATTGTTCTCACCCTAAGCTATATTTTTTATGAAAATAGATGCTATTAGTTATAGAGGTTACCTATAAAAAAGGTAGCTATTAAACATTTAATAGTAGAACGAAAAACAATAGAAGTACCTACTCATTTTACAATAATTACTAATATTGCTGTAAATAATATAGTATAATAAAACTATCATTCTTATAGACAATAAATTAAGTTGGACACGTGACTGATGTTAAGCCATGCGATAAAAACCCTACCTTTAAGTATCTAACTGAATCAACACTTTCCTTTATACCTTTAAGCTGCCTCCCTTAAAAAAATATAATATTACGTAATATCATTATTTAAAACCTCTTCTATAGAATCTACTATCAATTATTTTAGAAGAAAATATAGTTAAAAGTTAATATTTATGCTGGCTGTTGTCCTGGTGCAATCAGCTAGTGAAACTTGCACTGTTTTACCCCGGCTAATTCCGAATCAACCGAATAAACATTCAAAGTGTTCAAAGTAGATGATCGATTTATTAAAGTATTCATTTTTTGAACAATGTTTTACTACCAAGCATTATATTATATAATATATATTGAGTACGGAAAACTCAATGTAATTAGGTGGGCGACATGACTCTCATTTCATAGATGTTGCCTATCTCTTGTCCTTAGTCTTTTAAACTCATATGGTTCTTACATATATTAGTTCTTGTATGTTTAAAATCAAAATTAACCAATAGTGATATTAATAGAGTTTTTTTTTATATTTAATATTAGTTTCTACGATGGTTGTCTAATTTTCTTATACTTAATTATTCGCAAGTGATTACTACCGATTGTGGTCAGCTCTTACAAATTTTGGAATACCTTCATATAATTAGCTGTTAACATAAATTATAATAACAATATGCTTAATGAAATAAAACTCAGAATATGTGTGACAAACAAGACAAAGTGAGGATATTATGCAAATAATAAGATATTCACATCGAAACTTCTTTTAAGAAAAAGCTCTACATACAAGTGTGAAACATGGCCTACGATGCAAGGAGACGAAACAAAACTGGTAACATTTTCCTCTTTAAAAGAAAAATACTTAACTAAAACACTGATGAGTACGAATTACAAGCGGAGAAAGAATGAGCCATGAGAATTGTGCCTTGTGGATTTACATTTTACACAGAAATGTACAGTGTACCAGTGCTACTCATAGTCAATGCCCAATGGCCAATGGTTACTGGTTAATGGTATGCAGCATCTCGTTGATAAAAACACGAGGTGATAACTGTTAGGACCTGTTATCAATAAAAATGTTTTTAAAAAAGTAATAATACTTAGAATTTTGATCACAACGTATTTTAAAATGTATTATTGAATTAATAAAATTATAATAATTTAAGTACTTATTATACAAATGTTTAAATAATGAAATATTTGTCTTGTTTATAAAGTGTATTTGGAATTTTTCTTTTAAATTAATTGCCTACTTATAGTATAGTATAAATCTAACATGTTTAGCTTGGTTAAAAACATTAATTTTCATTTGTAAGTACAACTCAGTTCGCAAAGTGTAATTATTTTCCTTTTAATAACGTGTGTGTTTGATCTTATTTTAAAATTGTTGAAAATTATTATACGTTCTTGAAATTAATTTTAATTTTCCAAACATAAAAAATGTATTATAGGTACCTAATAATGAATACAGTCTTATGTTAATGCCCTACTACAGCTTAATAATACACTGTTAATACAGTTGTCAGTGTACTTTATTAATTGTATTATAGTTTTTATATTAATACATACTTAAATGTGCTTATAAGTTTGACTTGAAATTTTTACGTCCGTAATATGTACCTAATGTAAGCTAACTCTAATCTATGGGTTTTATTTTATTTTTAGAGTAAAAGATGTGACATATATTTCTCACTTGCGAATATGTGGTTACGAATTAGTTAAAGCTAACATCTATACATCTCATGAGTTAAGAAAAAAGCGAAAATCTAGAGAAGAAAAGGTATTACATAGTAATTTTTAGTGTTCAAATTTATTAAAAATAATTAAGATAGACAGTCACAACATAAATATAATATCATGATAATTATTATATATTAATTAAAAATTGTAATTAATAACACTAATAATAAATAATATTTTCCAGAAAATGGTGACACCACATATCTTTGAGCTAAAACCAAAACAAAATAAAACAATTAATATTTGGAAAAATATGACAGTGTCCGATTTAGAAAGTGCCACTGGCATACCAACTGGTAAATTACTGTAGTCTATAATTAGGTACCCAATTATATAATATGTATATTAGTCTACTTATTTAATTATTTGTGAATTTAACTATAATTTTCTAATAAGGAATATTCATTTGTTTGCAGATAACATAATACAAATTATGGAGTATGTTAAAGATTCACAAATGTATTCAAAACCTAATAGTCCTATCGATGATGTACCTGTACTTAAAGAAATTGCAAAGAAATGTGGTTTTAAAAGTAACATAGTTTCCAACCCCAATACAAAAAATAAATCAACTAATCATGAAGAAAAAGACGCCGTTAAAAGGTATACTTTAACATACAATATAACTTTTAGGAATAATGTATTAATTTTAGTTTGTACATAATTATTTTATGTTGATAATTAACAGTATATATTTTATGCTAATTCAATATTCAAAAAAAAATAATATTGTGTGTAGACCTCCAGCTCCTTACAACTCAACAGTTCCAAGACATCCAGTTGTCACCATAATGGGTCACGTTGACCACGGTAAGACTACACTACTAGATACACTGAGAAATGCATCGGTTGCTAAATCCGAATTTGGTGCCATTACTCAACACATAGGAGCTTTTCCTGGTAAACACAATTGTTTTAATTTGTTGTTTTTTTATATATTAGCTAATAGCTTGTTATCGGACTTTCAGTTGTATTAGATAATGGGAAAAAAATTACATTTCTCGACACACCTGGACATGCGGCATTCGCTACAATTAGAAGTCGTGGTGCTCAAGTTACAGATATAGTAATATTAGTTGTTGCCGCTGATGATGGTGTCATGGAACAAACCATTGAATCCATAAGAATGGCTAAAAACGCTAAAGGTATTATTAAAATAATAGATGTATCATAATAAATCGTTACAGGCAAACAACTTACTATATAAAAAAAATCCCTCCTCTTTTTTTTTTTGTTATAAATTCTAACACAAATTTATGAGCTATTCGTCATATATTATTTGGTTAAATACTTAAATGTAATAATTGAATTTATTTGGATTTTGGTTTATCTGTATTAAATTTAATAAATAATACTATTTATTTAATAGCAAAGAATTACTTTAATACTTATTAAAATATTTTTAATTGTTTAAATTTTACATAAAATATTTGTTTTTTTAGTTCCAATTATCGTGGCAATTAATAAAATAGACAAACCTACAGCTAATATAGTAAGTTTTTAAAAATTAAAATTAAGTATGGTTTTTTCTTAAAAAAACATGTACTTTTACATATATTTTAGGAGCGTTGTAAGAAAATGTTGCAAACTCAAGGTGGATTAGACCTAGAAGAATTTGGTGGAAACGTTCAAGTAGTTTCTATATCTGCCTTACATGGTACTAATTTCGACAATTTGATAGAATCCATTCTAACGCAAGCAGAAATTTTGGATCTACGGGCTGATCCTAATCCCCCGGCTGAGGGTGTCATCATTGAATCAAGGGTGGATAATAAAAGAGGGTTTGATTTTTTTTTTTTATTGCATACCATTTATAAATAAGCAAAATTAATAAACCTGAATATTTCACAATAATTCACAAAATCCTAAAAATATTTTACAAAACTTGTGAATAATAATAAATAATTTGGTTTATTGAGTTAGGTTGATATAATATTTTTTATCAATACATAGTTATTATTACAAATTTATTGTCTGAAATACTAAGCTGTTAATAAAACAAATATTATAATGCTATTTTTCATTTTGTTTTAGGAAAATCGCTTCAGTACTTGTTCAACGTGGTAAACTTTTGAATAACAGTGTACTTGTCGCTGGCACTGCTTGGGGAAAGGTTCGTATGATGTTAGATCATCAGAATAATCCAGTTCGAGAAAGTAATCCATCAGACGCAGTTCAAGTTCTTGGCTGGCGAGAAGTGCCACAATCCGGACAAGAATTTTTGCAAGTCTCATGTGAAGTAAGTTTATAATTAAAACATTTTTTGTACTGTTTAATTGTTTCAACTTTTTTTATGTTTTTCGAAGAGACGAGCCAAAGAAATAATCGAGTTTCGTTTATCTAAAGCTACAGAAGAAAAACAAAAAGAAGATAGTGTTCAAATATTATCAAAGATAGAGGAACATAATAAAGTAATGTATTACAATTTTAAATTATATAAACCGTTTGTGATGTATTTGTAATTTATCATAGGAGTACAAATCTCATTTAGAAGAAAAAAGAAAATTAGGAGTTTATAGAAGGAGGAAGTTTAGTGCCATGTATCAAGAAAAGCTGTTAGAAAACAAAAAAAGTGACAATAGCGAAGATATTCGATTAAATATAATAATTAAAGGTTATACTACAATGTCTATTATTACCTGTTTATTTTATTAAACATTTCAGTGACTTTTCAGGAGACGTCATTGGATCTGTTGAGGCGATTCTAGATGTATTGGATACTTATGAAAGTGACTTGTGCATGCTAGACATTGTTCATTACGGAATTGGCAATGTGAGTGTTAACGATATTCAAAACGCTGATACTTTCAAAGGTAATAATAATGTTTGCTATCCAAGTATGGGCTTAAGTGTGCTCTTAAGAAATGTGTTATATGTAGATATTATTTATGTATAACAAAAAAATAAGAAAAAAGTCAATAATCAAGTAAATTGTACAATATTAATCATGATTTTCTTCTTTTTTTTTCAGCAATAATTTATGCTTTCAATGTAAATACTTTGGCTGACGCTAATGAAAATGCAAAACAGACGGGAGTCACTATTAAACAGCACAATATTATTTACAAGTTAATAGATGACATAAGGGAAGAGCTTAATAATTGTTTACCTCCAATAAGTGTTGAAGATGTACAAGGTAAAAATTAACCATTCTTTTCAATTCCTAGAATTACTAATTGAAATATGTTATTAATAATATCTTTGCGCGTTAAAGGTGAAGCCAATGTGCTACAAGAATTTTTAATTAATGAAAATAAGAAAAAAGTTCCTGTAGCTGGCTGCAGATGTACAAGTGGTACCTTAAAAAAAGCCGCTCTCTTTAAAGTGGTTAGGCCACCCGATGATGTTATTTACCGGGGTATGTGTTGATTTACTATCATAAAACTATTATAGTAAATATTCATAAACATTACAATATATTGTATGAACGACTTATAATAAATATCAGTTATGTAAATTTATTTATTTCATATTCAGGTAAATTGTCCTCGATGCGCCATCTTAAAGACGAAGTTGCAACTGTTAAAACCAATATGGAATGTGGACTTCGATTGGATGATCAAAATATTAGGCTAAGGCCCGGCGACAAGGTAGTGTGTTACACATTAAGAGAAGAGCGACAAAACATTGACTGGGAAACTGGTTTTTAAATGCAATTAAAGCATAGCTGTGATTTTTTTTTTGTACTCTTACAATTTTTTAGTGAAATTGATTAAGATGTTATATAGATGTTATAATATATAATATATACAATAATTGTATTATCACAACATTATGTTACTAATATGTTATATATATATATTTTTTTTTTTTTTGACTGATTGTTAAATATATTAATTCACACATATATATATATATATATATATATGATTGAAACTGAAATAATCTTTAAAAAAATGTTGCGTATTGTAGGGACAAAAAAAATCTGTAAGTATGATTTTTCTTATACAATTGATTTTGGCATTAACCAAAGCCATGTTGTATATTTCATGAAAACAAAACGGTGATATCAGATAGATTTTATTGGTTAAATATCTTACTTTTGAGTTTGTACACATTTACTAACATTTTTTTCTGTAAATAGATAGATTCTGTCTATAACTAAACATTAAATAGGTACACTTAAATTTATCGGCAAGAAGTAATAGTAATATAAAATTATTATTAAAATACATTTTATTTTATAAATTAAATAGAAAAAAAATTTAGGCAAATGTGTGAAAGAAACTACTCCACAGAGGTCAGAGAAGGGGAACATACTTGGGGCGTCAATAAAATGAATAAAGATCACTTGTGGTGAAAGAGATTTGAGCGCTACTTAAATTATAGTTTCAAATTTAAATGACCTGCTAACTTTAATAAGAGCAATAAAAAATGTAGATTATTATTATTAGGTTGACTGTTGAGTTACCTAGCCCACCCCATTAAGCAAATAAGTTAAATAACAGACATTCTTTAATTGTAAAACGGCTTTAACTATGAGTTTTTATAGAATGTGTTTCACAACAAAATAAGATGATTTAGTTTTTCCTACTAGAAATAGTGTTATTGCCCAATTAATTGTAAAATTATGTACCCTATTGTTGAATGTGTATAAATCAATGAACTAAATTCAATTTAATGTTTAAATTGTTTTTTTTAACTTATTTTGTAGAATTTGCGATATTAAATTCGTAATTTTTACCCAATTCATATATTAATGAAATTAAGAAATTTTCGGGTTATGCCAGCGCCCGGTATGTTTTTAGTTTTATGTAATATTTCTTGTATTATTTTAGGTTATGAAAAATCGAATAAACAGCTGAATATAGAATATCGCAGATTAAATCTTAGACCTAAGGATATATTATTATTTAACATACGTTTTAACGGTATTACTATTCCAAATGACGTCACAAATTATAGCGAAAGAAATTAAAAAATCGAATTCGTGTATTTCGTGAAGTCATTCGCATGTCTCTCAAAGGATATTACGTAATTAGTAATTATTATAGTGTACTCTAGACCGAATAATGAATATCATTAAATTTTCCGTGCGAATGTTGTTGCTCGAGAATGATATACTTTGGATACTTAAAAATACGTGTTATCAAAATACAAGTGTGTGACTAAGCAGCTGACTTTTTGCCGAATGCCGATCAAAGTACACACACTGTACCCATTACGTGGTTGTTTGCCATGATACAACAGAAAACCAACTACGAAGTAGACCGGATAAGTTACAGCATTCAGTAATATTTTGTAGCTCGTAATCATTTATTACACTTGTTTAGTTACCTTTAAATTTTCATCGGTCGTTGTTTTGTCACCGACAAAACTCTCCGGTATTAATATTATATAATAAATAATACAGTTGAAGTTCAATTATTGTTTCGTGTATAAGTTGATTTCAATCAAAAACTTCATTATTAAAAAAGTGCGATAACAACAACGCCATCATGAGTCTCCAATGGACAATAATCGCAACGTTCCTGTACTTCGAAGTCGGAGTTCTTTCACTGTTTATGATCCCGTACATGTCTGCTCAACGCTGGAATAAGATATTCCGCTCGAGGTTTTATCAAGCGCTCAGCGCTCAAGCCCAGTGGTATTTTACGTTCCTGTTGTTCATACTCGTACTATTCCTGTTGGACTCGATACGCGAGATGCGCAAGTATTCCAACCCAGAACTGTCCGATGCGCACCAACATCTCGACCATGAAATGCAGGCCAACATGCGTTTGTTCCGTGCCCAGCGCAACTTCTACATTAGCGGTATCTCACTGTTTTTGAGTTTTGTGATCAAACGTTTCATCGCTTTGATGACACTGCAAGCATCGCTGCTAGCTCAGAGTGAAGCATCTTTGAAACAAGCCAAGAGTGCTACTGATGCAGCCAAATCGTTGATGTCGAAGCAAGACAGTGGAGATGGAGAATCGAAAGAGTTGAAAGCGTTGAAGAAAGAACTAGAATCCGTTAAAGCTGACAGAGATGCAATCAAAAGTCAAGCAGAGTCTGTGACCAAAGAATACGATAGGCTTATGTCAGAACATGAAAAACTACAAAAGACTGTAGGAAGCGAGTCAAAAAAAGATGATTAATGCAATTCTTACTTTAAACTTCGGATTTTAGAATTCAAATCTGTTTAAATATTTAAAGTATCAGTTCTAACTTTGAAATATCTAACAGATTTCAGTATTTTTTTGTTTCTCATTATTATTATTTTTTAATTTATTTAGATGTCCAATTAATTAACTTAATGCCTTGATAATTTACAAAACTATTTTGATAGCTTGAATTTGGTTTTTAAGTTAATGTACAAAGTGTTATGGGGTTTTTATATAATTTGTTGTGTTAAATATTAATAAAACTATTTATTTTATAGTTTTGGACTTATCTTATTGTTTTAAAAACTATTAACTAATTGAAATGTAGATTTTTTTTTAGTTTATTTTAACTTTTACCAATTTATAGCTGTGTTTTTACAAATGCATACTCTGTATAATTAATAACAAAATTATTATTAATTATTAACAAAATACTTTTTTTTTTTGGAAAAGCTTTCAACTCATTTAAATTATTAAGGATACATAAGAAATATAAAATGTAGTGCTTAAAATAAGGCATATAATAATAAATCGGCCTTTTAGCCCCAACAGAGAGAATGGTAAGCTTTTTATAAAAAAAAAGTTATCTGTCCAATAGATACGTCAGAAAATGACTTCTACATAAGCCATTGGCTATCAAACTTCCGCCATAACTTGGAGAAAAATAACTTTTAACCAGAAAATATTATTCTTTTTTATCTTAAAATTAGTCGGCATATTTAAAATGGCTACTAGATCAATTTTTTTCTAAAATGTTCTATCCTTTGCCTCTTAAGTAATAGCCCTTTCTGTTCCCATCAAGTAATAATGGTACAGCCATATTGTATGGTATTTACAGAGTACTACAATAATAATGAACATTGCCATGAATATGACACACTACGTAAAGTATGTCACATTACTCATGTGCTTTATTGTGTCAATTTTTATGGTGCTCATAGCAGCTCATAGGTGAGTCAACTATTTATATTAGTCTTCATTTTGCGAATTGATAAGCCATTAACATTACTACGAGATAGAATAATAATACATAATATGTATATTGAAGTGAATTTCGTTTTCTAGCCGCTCCTTTTTTCATTCATAAATCTGCCCCTGATCTTTTCTATTAATTTATAGATAAATATGAATTAAGAATTTATTTATTAATATAGTATAACACGTTTAATCATAAGTCATAACAATTTGTTTAACATAATTTTTGCGTCATTCTAGTATAGTTTTGAAGTAATAAGCAACTAGGACGTGCGCATGGATAATATAATATTTCTTAATTTTGTTTGTCTTTCCTACCTATACAGTATACCATTAAACACTAATAACTCGAGTATCTATTCAAAACTCTCTCTCTCTATATATATATAATTTTACACTGTGTATAATTATTAGGTAGAACAAAATATATATCAGTGGCTGGGAAATAATTCTTATCACTGGTTAGGTTAATGTTTGAAAACAAAATTTCGGTATCAACCATCATTATAGATTTATCTACAATCGTGGTACTAACTACCAACTTTATTTACTTGATTTAATTTCGTTTTCTAGACAGTCAAGTCTCTAGTCAGTAGTCACAAACCTGAACGTCCAAACCCAAAACAAGATATTCTATGCCGGAAAACCTGTAATTTTTCAACTGGATTGATAACCTTCTTAAATTAAATTATTTTTTTGATATTTTGACTTGTACATTTTAACTTTTCAATATTAAAAATTTACAAAAACATCACTATTATTCCAGTGTTCAATAACGGTAGATCTCAGTTGTGGCATATAACTTATAATTTATTGTTTGTTACGCGAGCTCAATAAAATATTAAATGATTATGTGTAGCAACAACTTTAAAAAATTTAGAATACACTTAATTTTTTTTTCATTTCTATCTCTTGTTGTCACCAATGAAGTGCATTCAGAATGGAATACGAAAGATTATATGAAACGTGAGCATTCATTGTTAAAACCCTACCAAGGTTAGTTCATGACACAAATTAGTTTTACTATTTAAATTACAATTGTCTATTTTTTTTCTTATAATGTATGTATGTGCTCTTAGGATCTGGAATTACAGTGCCCAACTGGGATTTTATTGGTTCCACTATTGTAACTGATAAATATGTTAGGCTAACTCCTGATTTGCAAAGCAAGTCTGGTTCGATATGGAATGCTATTGTGAGTAATGAGTATACATTTTATTACAATTCTAATTGGAACTACTATGAACAAGTTATTGTTTTGTAAATATTTTTGTTTTATTTTAATAATAATAAATAATTTTATTATTATTGTAGCCTTGCCATGTTCATAACTGGGAACTACAAGTTCAATTTAGAATTCACGGTAAAGGCAAAGAGAGTTTGCACGGCGATGGAATGGCGATATGGTATACACGAGAAAGAATGGTACAAGGACCCGTGTTTGGTAATAAGGACTTTTTTGAAGGCCTTGCAGTTATAATTGATACTTATAGCAACCACAACGGAGAACATAATGTATGTACAATTTTATTACAATGATTTAACTTTATTAAACTGTCTGTTAGTTTATAGTTTAATTGTACTTATATTTCCATATAATTTTGGATTAGCATTGCATGGAACAAATCTACTTTACTGGACACCCTTTTTTTTTTTATTCAATAGTATTTTTCACGCTGATTACGAATATGTAAAAATTTTGCGCCGCTCGCACTTAGTTTGGAAGTTACAGAAGTTTAATGTTCGCCAATATCGACTTACGCGCGCGCCCAGCGCCGCACGTCTGCCCGCGGCCGCCGGAAGTTTAGGCATACAAGCAAAATGTATGACATTTTTAAATCATAAACACGATTTTCACAGAATGTTAAAAAATTGACATTGATATTTTTTCCCCGCAGCCCTTCACATGTTTATGCCAAAATTTAACATAAGCCTTTTTAGACCAAAGTTACAGAATTAATTTCAACATTTTACTACTTTTTCTTGGGATTATTTTATATTGTAAATTTGTTCATTTAAAATATTATAAAAATGGTTGATACAGATATCTTAGATTTTATGCAAGTAAATTTTTAAATATATAGAAAATTATCATTTAAAATTGGAAATTTTTATTTGTCAATATGAAAATTTGTATTTAATTTATTTTTACATTTTATGCCTTTGACTAATTTTAATACACATAATTTTAAAAAATATGTGTACTTTTTTTAATAACAGCATCAACATCCATATATATCATCAATGGTGAATAATGGTTCTCTACATTATGACCACGACAGAGATGGAACTCATACGGAATTAGCCGGTTGTGAAGTTAAAGCAAGGAATATACCAACAGAAACTCATATTGCAATTCGATACTCTGGCAACACTCTGTCTGGTAATTATACAATTTTTACTTGTTAAATGTATTAATAGTCAGTTTGACAACTTTTTTTTAATTTTACAATTTATATAGTGATGACAGACTTGGAAGACAAAGCAGTGTGGAAGCCTTGTTTCACTGTAGAAGGAGTAGAACTACCGACTGGCTATTATTTTGGTTTTACGGCAGCTACTGGTGATCTGTCTGACAATCATGAAATTTTAGCAGTACGCCTTTATGAAGTTGACTCTGATCCAGTATGGTTTATTAATATTTAATGTTTACAAAAAGTACAATTTATTGGTTTTTATTAAATTACAAAAAAAAAATTTTTCTTTAAGGCTGATGCGTTAAAAGACTATTCGAAAATTATTCCATCTGCTAAGAAATACAGTGCTCCAAGGGGTAAATACAACTAATTTACTTTTGATTAATTCTATTTATGTTAATTTATTATAATATATATTTTTAGAACACATTGAAGATAATAAAAACCCGGGTTGGAGTGGACTAAAAATATTTTTTGTCGTCATATTTGTTATCATTGCAATAGGAGCATTGATTGTTGGTGGCGTTTGGTACTGGGAGTATCAACAATCTCAGTCACATAAAACATTTTATTGAACAAATATTTTAATAAATTCATTTTACCAAATAAATGTATAAATGTATACATAAAAAATTGCCAACAAATATTCCCAACGTGTAACAACTGATCAATAAATATCTTAGCCCAAGCTACATCTATATATTATATATATCTTCTTATATTCTTTCTGTATTGATTAAAATAAATTGAAGACTGAACATGTAGTTTGTTACTGTCTGCTATGCCTTCAAATCCAATTCCAGCTAACGCTAGCGTTGCTCTCGTGTGTCGTTGTTATCTTTTACATTTTATGTATTTAACTTAAATATGTCTTTTGTGTAATTTTACGGTATTTGTGTTCCAGTTATAATTCCAATTGTATTAGTTAGTCATTAGGTTATAAATTAAATATCGAAAGAATGTTTTTACTTTATTGTTTATGTACATTATAAATGCACTCAAGTTTTGTATACTAATAAATAATAATTGTGTATACATGCCAAAACCGGAGAAATATTAATGTAACTCATTAAAAAGATCATAAATAATAATATATAATCCAATCCAAAAACTATTTATTGTATTGTAATTACTGTTTTTCTTTTTTCGTGTGATTTAATTGTAATTGTAAATCGTTTATTCTTCTGTCTTTAACGTGAATCAACGTACTTAAATGATCAACCTATAGTAATAATTACGATTAATAATGTATCGAAAAATAATATAATGCAAGTTTTATGTAAAATTTATGGCCACTATGACACTTTCTAGAATGAAACTTAAACAGAAAACATTATTAATGTTGAGAAATGCAACTTGTACAATTTTTTGTAAGTCTATTTTGTTGATTGGTCAGATAAGAATGAAATAAAGCTGTAAAGCATACTATTATATTATAATGTAACATACTGAAGAAAATGCAATAATGTAAACTATTCTAGGGATAGATATAAATTTAAACACATGAGAAGAAGAATGTGTTATTTGTGTTTTGAAAATATAGTAAATGATAAAAACATAGTATTTTTAATGCATCTGAACATAGTTTTTTTGAATAAAATTTTAATACTAAACTACAATAAACCTTACTTTGTGTTCCAAGTCGACAATTTTCAGCTTTAGCTTATTTATCAGACGTACAACATCTTGGTCTAAATATTTGTTTCTTGAAGTATTGTTCTCTAAAACATTGTTGTAATATAATTAAAATTACTTGTATTGCAATCATATTTGTAAGAAATTGTGAAATTACCAAGAAATGTCACATTGCATTTACCTTACTCCAATAAAAATTTACAAAATACCTGTGACTTGAACCATTTCTCCATTGTCTATTACATATAGTGGATAAGTTTGACTTTTTTCAAGTTCTATTAGTTTTTCATGTTCATCATTTTCTACTAAACACTTCAAAGACTTTAAAAATTGACACACTGCATCCATATCAGCCATAGATAGTTTTTTAATAGTAACTTTAGTAAGAGGTAGCTTCAATTTTTTCAACACCTAATACAGTTTAGAACTACATAGGCTAGTTAAATGACTATATAAGCTACATAAAGATACTTTTCTATTTAATGTCTCCCAATTGGAAATCTTATTTGACAATGAACTGGCAGGTATATAATTATGCAACTCTATTGTCTTTGGCCAGTAGTATTTGATGATTTCAGCGACCATTGCTAATTTCAAGAATACATATCTTACAAGTGTTATTTAGATTACCAAATATTTATGAATTTTTACTTGCATCGGAAAAATCTCTAGCTATATTTCTCTTGGGCCGACTGAATTCGAATGAGTTGATCCACTGAACAACGCTACTATAGTCTATTTTATTACTATTAGGCGAGTTGTTAATTAATGGCAAAGATAAATTACATAATTCACTTTCAACATCAGATGTTACAGATTCTATAACAGTACTATTTGATGTCATTATCAATAAAGAAACAATTCGGCAATTATAAAAATAAGAATGTATAAAATTATATATTTATTATAAAATAATATCAAAAAAAATTTAGTTTCTAGGCAACATAATTGTCAATAGTTAAAATTTAGAAGAAAAAAATATTATTTTTTAATTTAGGAACAAATAAATAATAAGACCTATAGAAAGTCTTTACAGAGTAATTTAACAGTAAATTAAAATTTATTATTTATCCACATCATTATTGTCCGAGTCATCGGAGTGCGGAATTTTTCTCATTACGAATTCAACCCTTTTAATTTTTTTAAATCCTTCATAACTTGTAATCCAGCGGTTACGATTTTCTTTATCAGCAAAAACTTGACCTCCTGCTGGCCTGTTCAAAAGATTTTTCATCTTAATTTCTAAATTATTTTTCTGTGAAAACTTGTAACGCTTCTTACTACTTTGTTTTTTGATATCCAGACTTTCTTTTAAACGGGCTTTGCACATTAAGTGTTTTTTATCCATGTAAATCAATCCATTAACTTCACTATGATTAAAGTGCGCATTTTGAACATATTGCCTACCCGTATAAAAAGGAATTAAGTATTTGTTCTTTTGTTCTGGTGTAGTTGGCTTGAAGGACGTTTCACAGTCACTTGTAACCTTACTACTCTTTTCAATACTACTGTAAGACATTAAACTACTTGGTAAATCTTCATATTTACCGTCTGGACTATACACCGATCCTGTATCATATTTTGGTATAGCTTCAAAATTCCATAGTCTATCATCGTCATATTCAACTTTGAAATCATCAAATGTTGTTTGTGTAAGTGTATTATTAATTATTCTAGTATTCGAACTTACTGGAATAAACTTTGATAAATATTCATCATTATTTTCGTCATTAATAAAATTAGAATAAATATTATTGTAGTTAAATTTTGTTTCTGTTGTGACACCAAGCGATTCAGCTAATAGTTGATCAAAATCTTTATCGCGACCAGTAACAGCCATTCGCTCTTTGATTTTATGATCGATACATCGAGCTAAACTTTGAGTACATGGTTTGAAAGCCCAGTCAAGAACACCGCAATCGGTATTAGGGTCGTAGGTCTTAATTATTGTTATAGGCATATCCATACTACATTCATTATCATAGGAAATCTCATTGTTGTCCGGTTTTAAATCTGGAAGTCTCATAAAATCTAATTGGTTAAATTCAGTATTTATATCTTGTACAGCAGAATCCTCACTGTGGCAGTCCACAACTTTTTTCCCTTTTATCTTTCGACCATTAAATTTTTGCCTTTTCTGTTTATTTGCTTTTAAATTGGGTATCATAAATTGTTCCAATGTAAATTCATCATTTTGGGAATTGTTGTGACGTCGATTGTAGTGGAAATGTATACAATCTCTCTTAACTACCATTGAACATTTAGTACAAGAGACTAGAACCAGATTTTCAAGACGGGGAATCAATCCGAATACAGGCACATCTTCCTCTGACAGTTCTATAGGGTTTTCAGACTTTAAAAAATCTTTTCTTTTATAGTCTTTGTCAGGAATGCCACCCAATTTGTTACAAAACATAGACCATGATTGATTTTGAGAGGATTCAAAAGCAGAAACAATGTCCTTTACAACTGGTTGACGAATGCCCATCATTGTGTTCTAAATAATCAGTCAACTGAAAAAAAAAACATTCATTGACACAGTGATTCAACATTTCAAAATTAAATTATTACTTTTGTTATAAGTACTTGAAGTATATAGTTATTTTTTAATAAGTATTTTTGGCGAAGTAAGAAAGTTCAGTCGAATTTGTAATCAAGTGTAATTAAGCAGGCATTATTGCAAGCGATTTAGTATCTCCATCTAACATGCTAATGCAACAATCTCTAAATGTGATTTAAAGTAGGTAAATAATTATAAATAATAGTTTTGTTGAGGATGTATTTTAAATGGTATTACAATCTTTAGAAGAATGATTAAAATCACCAACACATGTAATATCACGTAGAATAGTCTTTATTTGTAAAAACTACAAATTGAAATTACTGATGTTCTATAATGACAACCTAAGCAATCATATGTATTATAGATGAAGCCCAAGCTTTACAGTATTTAATTGTAATTTTTTGTTTATTATTTACAATGATAAACATTTTTTTTTTTTAAATAATACATTTTTTTACAATATTAAAAAAAAATTGTGTATACAACATATACATGTATCATTTTAAGCATAAATTTATCAATTTTGAAAGCTATCTTGGAACATCTAAATTCTAAATACCAAAATAATATATTATCAAACATTAGACAGATCAAAATGTAAGGCAAGCGTGTTTAATATACTTATATGGTACATGACGATTCAATACATCATAAAATTACTTCCAATATACTCACAATACGTGTAAAAATCGGTTTTCTTATAATATAATATGCAAGAGTCAACCGATACTACAATTATTGTTACAAATATAACATATTTGATTGATACAACAGTGAAAACGTACAAACAATTAAGCCAACAAACCTATTAATTCCTTTAAAAGTTCAAACTAGTAATTTAGTTCCTATGATTTACGATCAACATAAAACCGAGATCAAGACACCTACGATCTACGGTCCATGTTGATCACAATAATGAATAATGATCCGGAGATTGATACTTGGAAATCAGCTGTCCAACGACATGCGTGTATTGTATTGTATACCCTGTATGCAGTTTTGTATTCATAATAATATTGAAAATAAATAGGTAAGAAAAATTATATATATATATATATATACCTAGTATATCAGTATATCATGATAATTGAAAAATATAAATTGACGTTTTATTTTTACTACAACCTCGGTATAATTTATGTGTTCTGTGTGTGGTACTTGGTAACAGTGGTCAGTGATAGTTAACGTGATGACAATTTAATGTTTTTTAAATCTTAAAAATTGACATTTTTGTTAAATTATGAGTCTGAACGATGATGTTAGCCTTTGGTTATTTACTAATGCAATTAAATGCTTTTGTCGCTTACTCCATTGCTTTTTTTAATTAGTTGGTAATCCTGAATTTGGGATATGATAATGGTGGGAAATTCATAGATGGACCGGCAATCTAGTGAGACTTTGAATTCCTAAAACATCTGAAAAAATAATTGGTATATAGTGTGTGTGTAACAATCTATGCATGTATATATATTTTTTCCTTTAAAACAACATCCATTCCCAATTCATGGTTACTTGTTACAAATCTTGTAATCATAATTTATGATTCATAAATATTATTTTAACAATTTTTAATGTGACATTCATAAAATGCATTTGCCTTAATGTATTACCTAGTACTAAAAAATTTAAGCAATGAGTTCAGAAAACTTACCTAGTAATTATTGTAATGGTAAGTTGGTTATGAAATAATATTTGAATAATAGGTGTTTAGCAATTTTACAGTCTTTTTTTTATAAATCTATAATACATTTTATTGATTTTACATAGGTATGTTTTTATAAGACATTTAAGAATCTTAAATTTATATTTAGTTAGGCTATTATAATTATGTTATTATGTTTGTTAAACAAATGTATATAGTTTATTTAACCATGCAAACATTTTAATTTTAGATGAAGAATTTGACTGGACTAAATATCTTAAAACTCGCTGTGCAGAAGAAGTACCTGAAGATTTTTTTTATCATGTGCGTTTATTATACAATTTATTTTATTATTAAATATATACTGGGTTGCACCAAAAATATATGCATTTAAATGGACCTATCACTGGCTACTTCATATAAATATAGGTTTTTAATTGTTTTCCTATTTTATAGGTTTGCAAAAGTGAACAAAATGGAATAGAATTGGGGTCCATTTTGGAAGTTGAAAATGAAGATGATTGTGGATATTGGTTTGCTAATGTTGTTTTATCAAAAGGAATTTTAGTATGGTAATTTTTAAAGCTAAAAACACTATTACAACAGTATTTCTTAGTACTACCTATTATGTATTATTACAGCTTACGCTACTATGGCGATGAAAGTGATACAAATGATTTTTGGATATTAGTAAAGTCTCCACGTTTACATTATTTAAACTGGGGAGGAGAAAATGGTAAAAAATTAGTTCCTCCTCACCCAGACAGATTTAGACGTATCAATCATAAATTAATGATGAACAAAGTACAAGACAGTGAATACTTAGTATCTAAAAATGTGTTACAATTGGTAAATTTAAAATTATTAAATAATGTATAAAATTAGTTATTCTTTTTTTTATTTAAAATTTAGGAAGGTGCAGCAATTTATAATATATTTAAACCAGGCATGTATGTTGAAATTCAAGATAAAGACTACCCTTATAGAGTTTGGGTTTCGAAGGTAATTGTGTTAAGTAAATAGTAAATGTATGTTACTTATTATATTGTTTATTTACTTTTCTTTATATTCTAATAAGTTTTAGTTTATTTATGCATGGAAAAAAAATTACTACATTTAATTAAAATTTTTCATTAGATCCTGAAAAATGTTGGTGGACGGTTGCTCTTAGAGATGCAAGGCAATTTAAGTCCAGAAAAGAAACCATTTTGGATGTTTTATTTAAACGAACGTGTATTTCCAATGGGTTGGGCAGACCAAAAAGGTAAATTGTGTTGTATTCAAGTTTCTGAATTTAAATTGTTTTTCTCCGTATAGGCCTTCCTTGGAGAGTAATAAATTCAAATGTTGAGTTAAATGATACAACCGATTCTAGTGTGTTGTTCAATATTTTAAAGGTATAATTAAAATAATTTAATTTCTACTTAACTATTTAATCAATAATTTAACTAAAAATGTGCTGTTAAAAATTTTAATTTTTCATAGCCTACAGCACCAAAACCACACAATTATAAAATAGGACAGGTATTTGAAGTTTTAAATCCATACTCATTGATGGTGTTTCATGCTGGTAAAGTTGCAAAAACATATGACAACCGTTATTTTAAAGTTGAAGTTGACAATGATCCTGATGTTGATAAGCGCTTTACTTTTGTGGCTACTAAAGAAAATCCATTATTGTTTAAAGCAGGTAAAAATGATTATAAAATAAGTTTGTCAAATTTTCACCATATACCTTATACTAATTTATTTATTATATCTGAAATGTTATCATAGGTTGGGCAAGAACACATAATTTTATGGTCAAGCCACCATCTAATTGGGAATCAAAAAAGCCGTTCAGTTGGTCTCAATACATTGAAAATTTAGATTGTGACATAGCTGACATTGATAATAAATGTCGTCGAAATATTGATGGTATTAAAGTAGGGATGAAGTTTGAAGCTGTTGATCCTATGAATTCTGATAAGATTCGAATTGCTACAGTTAAAGGATTCGCTGATCATTGGATTTATTTTACATTTGATCGATCCAATTGGTAAGTATTTAATGTTAAATTTTAATACATTATAATATAATTATTAACTTATAACTTATAAATTAAAACATTTCAGGCATCAACAAGTGTTACAAGTACGTTCTGTTTATTCAGATGAAATCTTTCCGATTGGTTGGTGTAAAAAGCACAAATATAAATTAAATACGCCTAAAAGTTTATATTGTGATAATGAAACCTATAATAATTATTACTATGATTCTGATTATGAAATTGACTTTGATAATAAGACTGAAAACCATGAATCTAAATACCCTTATTTTAAAGAAAGTGATATTGTTTATCATTATAAAAATTACAAGTAACTATTATTTTTTAATTCCTTTTGTGTTTTTTTAATAGTATACATGGTTATTAAATATGATGATTTTACTTTAGGGAGTTCATTGAATGTAACATAAGTTTAGAGAGAGTTCCGACAAATGCAACTCCTGAAGTAGGAAGCTCTTCGATAGCACCACAAGGTGTAATAATTAAAACTGAAGTACCCGACAGCGATGATACTGAATATGAGAATATTGTTCATTTTGATGATTCGGTTATGATGCAAGAACCTCCTAATATGCCAACAAATTATAAAACAACATGTGAATCAAAAGTCGTATCAAATATGAGCAAGAACATCTGTATATACTTTAATAAAGATTGCTATCCTGGAAATAATATACAAAAAAGTAAAATTCCTAAAATACCACACATAATTGGACCAGGGTCTCCATGCAAAGTATTACAGCAGGCTATTGGTATTTTTGTCAATCTCGACTATAATCCATGGGTTGCTTTGAGAAAAATTAAAAACATACAGCATTTAATATGTGGTGATCTGGAAGGTGTAAAGATGAAGATTACTTCAAAGTATGCTATTTTAATAAATATTTATGTATATATACATAAGTGGTCGTAGTGTATATTATGCTATTTGTATCTAGCTCACATTTTTCTATGTATGCATTTACTCATAACAAACATCGTGTAACCGCAGATAGAGTAAACAATTTTCGTTACAAGTAATTATACAGAAAAGTGGAATGTGGGTACAAATAATATATACCCTTACAACTACACCACTGTGTATGTAATATGTTAATGTTTGAGAGAGTATATTCATTAGATTTATTCATTTAAATTATAGAGAAACAAAATCACATTCAAGACATTCCGAATATTTATTATTACCGGACAACAATAAAATGGTTCAGATGTATTGTGCTACTCTGTGTAATATGTCTGGTATGTGTGAATATTTTATGACTACTAATAAAAATCGGTGTCCACACGGATGTACCTTACAAGGTATTTAATTAATAAGTTTAATAAATTAACTTGAGTATTTATTTACTTTGATATATTTTTTATAGCATCTCAGTTAATTATTAAGTTAAATAAAAAAAAATCACAAACAAGTATTGATGAAGGTGCAGAAATTACAAAAAAAATAAATGAAAAAATTGCTAAAGCAGGTAATTATAAAGTTTTTGTAGTATATTTTAGAAGACAAAAATGTTGATAATTTAAGTGATGAGAACTAAAAGAGTACAAGTTACTTTTTTTCAAAAATATATTTTTGAACATAAAATATTCACAATAAAACCTATTTCTATTTCCGTTTCATATTTTTTAAAGAAAACTAATAATTATTGTCCATAATACATTTAAAATATAATTTTCATTTTGCTCTTTTGTATAATTTACCTACACCCTTGTAGTTTTCACCTCTTCAAATTATAATAATATAATTTAATGAATATATAAATATATTTAGCCAAGGTAGAATTGGATTGGTCAAATAAGTCTTTGGTTGAAAGGTATAAATATTACATGGCATGTATCTTCAATTATGAGGCACATTTAATGACATTACATCGTAGTTTTACTCAACTAGAACTAGCTATATTAATCGAGTGTGAAGCAAAAAAAGAATATCTCAAGGCAATGGACTTGACAAATTCTTGTAACAATCCAAAACCATTTTTTAAACTCAACACAGATGAAAATTATTTTCATGCATGGTAAATTATTGAATGAACTACTGGTAATAAAATCAGAAATTTTAATCAATTTTAAAACACTTTTATAGGAAATTTAGCTTTGAGAAAAACTACCGCCAAGATCCAAGGTTTAAAAACACTAATATTGACATTGGTCGTATTGAAGTGATCAAGGTTACATCAAATCCCAAGTATTGGTCTCCTGAAGATGTTTATAGGTATCTGTCTCATGATCCATATTGTAAGGATATTGGTCAAACTTTAATAGATATGGTAAGATATATAAAATATTAAATAATCATGCTTATACACAACACAGTATAATAAATAAAAAAATAATTTGAGTACTACTGTTTTAGCAAGTAGATGGTGTTGCTTTTATGTTACTTAATGAAGAACAGCTTTTAAAACGAATACAATGTTCAATAAACTTAGCTTTAAGAATAATGTGTCATGTTGCCGAGGCTAAATTTGTTTTATTGAAAGAATACCAAAACTTGTAATATTATTCACTTGGTTAGTATTTTTACTAAGTTAACATTTAAATAAAATATGTTGTTAATTAAAAAAGTAAGTATTCATATTTTAAATTCTATATAAAATGAATAAAAGTATTAAAATATTAGGACTTGATCTATACTTATGAAATATTTGATTGAGAATATGAATACTTATCTTTTTTGAAATTGTATATTTCATATTAATATTGTATTTTTCTTTATTTTTAGAATAAAGTGTTCATTCCTATGTGTTTTGGGTAGTACTGATCTCAATCCATACTACAAAAGTCATTGTATTTTATGTTGTATAAAAAATTGTAATGTATTGAAAACTATAGGATTACCGTAAATTGATAAACATTAAGTGAAACGCTAAATGTAAATTTTTATTTTTTATAATTATTGTCTTGATTTCTCTTACAACCTACTTATACGTTTATTGTTTTTAATTACATTTTCAATTTTCTGTAGTATTTATATAATTTTTTTTGTGAATCTTTGTTTCCATTGGTATTAATTAATTCAAATTGGTTCATTGCTTAAGTTGTTGTACTGGTATGTTATTTATGTCTACTGATTACAAATGACAACGCATATTTTAGGTAATTCGTCTATCCAAAAACATAACACAGTAACCAACATTAATTAGAAAATCGTACTATAGACAGTGCTCGCATTCAGTGGGGGACTAAGTACCACAACTATTTTTTCAGAATTTGAAGCGCGCCCTTACTAATTTTTATAAGTGGTGGTTTTTTTAGGGATAAATAAAATGCTGGGTACGCTCTTTAAGTAAAAATGTCCCCTACTTTTATTTTTCTAACTCAAACACTGACTATACAGCAGCTACTTAACTGAACATTGATAACCCGCTAAATTATTTTGATATCTATAAAACACTGGATAAGTGCTAAAATTATAATCTTAGCCAAAATTCTTATTTTTTTTACATTTATTTTATACAACATAGATTAACATAAATATCATCAGTCTCGGATCTAGGTCTCACGAGACGTGTAGCCAAGTAGAGCTTTAGTTTTAATGTATTAATTACAAAAAAAAAAAAAGTCCTGATTATTAAACTATTAATTACATATTACCGTTAAGATTTGCGAAAAATTGCCTATACCGGACTCCTTAAAGAGGCCTCTACACTATAATTTATCAAGGCGCATTGTATAGGCAATTTTTTACTAAAAAAATATACATCATGCTAATATTTGAAACATTTATATTAACTTAGGAAAGAGCCCAGAGGGATCTATTTTGATATTTAATTTTTTTTTTCACATCTAAAACGCATACAGACTTCATATCTGTTCAAAAACATGTCTCTACTTCGATCAGTATGTTCTTAAAAATAATCCAATTGAAGTTTTGAAAAAACATTTAGATTATTTACAAGGTACCGATCATGACAATTAGTAATTTCTATGTGTAAAATTTCAACTTTTAAAGATTTTTAATGCATTTTACAATGACATTAAGAACAAAAATTAAAAATGTACCATTCTTTGAAGTAGGTATGCGAATAAACTCGACCCTTCCACGATTATAAACTTAGAAGAAGTTACGCTAGTTTCGACAAATTTAACACTTCTAGACAACTTAGTAACCCCCCCCCCCCCTAGTGACTAGCAATGACCACGTCATTTACCTAAGAAATAACTTCAATGACGAGATTGTGTTTGACGGCAAACATTTCTTTTGCAACTAGAGAAGGATTTTAGAAATCTAGTGACATCTCTTTTACTGCATCTTTGACTTCTTATCTTAGACCAATATGTGTATCCAAAGGTCATTTATCTTTTACAGACTACGACAGCTGGCATGTTAGAGCAGAACTTCATGGAGCGGGCGGACATGTTAGTCAGGCAGCGAGGTATGCGGCTTCCCCGCTAATTCACCAATTCCTGTGCACTGTATAGGTAGAAAGTACCGTTGGCTCGGTATATTGAGACTTACACATGAAAGCTTCAATTCAGCACATAGTTATTGTGCAAAAACTTGCAATATTCTGTATTAGGAATCAACACTTGTTTGTAGTTCGCGATCTATGTCAAGAAAAAGCCCAGTGTCGCGCTCGTTTAGGCGCTGTGACTGTTCTAAATCCACGGGCAGTACCTACGTACTGAGCTCAGTTGGAGCATGTGGAAAGATTTAAGGCGAAGAGGAATAGACTTCATAGATATTCTTAGCACTTCCACAAATTCATAGATGTCAAACAAAGGTGTCTACCTCTCGAGTGGAGAATGGACAAACGCTGTTAAAGATTCGAAGAATTCCATGTAAATTCAGGGGACAGAAGATGGGAGCGTGATAGAATTGAATTGCAGAAATTTGGTCTGTAATGAGACCAACGTAATTAAAACTTTGCCACGTATCCGAGTCTTGCCCAAATACGGGTTTATTATGTAACAATGTCCATAATAAAGTGCGCACTGCTTTGGCCAACCTGTTCCGAGCGGAAAAACTAGAAGGTTTATAAAGAAGTTTACAATTTACTACGAGATATCTGAACTCTTAAGATAGGCTTAATTAAATCCGAATGGCGGATATTGTAGTAGTGGATAGAAGGTAATTTTGTATAAAGACAACTGACAAGGCCTTATCTTAGAACGATCATTATTCATTAGGCAACAGCTATTTTTTCCAATTTGTATCAAGAGGATAACAGGAAAAATTATTAAAACTGTTGGCACTTGGCTGTTCCATTGAATATTGTGTTTTTTTGTTAATTGTATAATATTACGTCGTGTTCATGGTTTTTGGGAAATGGTGTTATCAGAAAGGAGGTGGTAAGTCAGCATTTTGGAGATGTCGCCATCGTGTAGGTATTTCCATTTTATCATGATGCATTTCGGTAGCCTTATGGTTAAAATTGATAACCAGTACCACGAACGCATATCATATTGCCGACCTTCATTGCTGAAGATGATAATTCAAATGTTTGCAGGCAATATTGTTATCAATTGCTATGCCTACTGCCGTTTGCTTGTCAGACATTTATTATTATTTTTAAAAAATTTGTTTTTGATCATGAGTACTGTCTAGACAGTAGTCAGTAAACCGGCAGCTCTCAGCCGATAGCACCGAGGTCTGACCAAGTTCGGCTGTGGTCACTTCAGTATTATTTGAAGGTAAACTTCTCCTTTCTTTTTGTTAATTATTTAGTCTCAATTTTTAAAGTATATTTTATGTACATGTATTACTTTTAACGTTAATACACCAAAAAAATTACATCCACACATTGAACCATGTATTTGGAGAACAAAAATATTGTATTGTTAGCCACTGGTTCATTTAATCCACCTACAAACATGCATTTTCGAATGTTTGGTTAGTATTAAACATTTAATTTTTTTTAAAACACCAGAATCATATAGTTAGTTTAATGTTCCTTATTTCACAGAAATCGCTCGGGACCATTTAAATCGTTTAGGGTATACCGTTTGTGGTGGTTTGGTATCGCCTGTCCACGATTCATACAAAAAAAAAGATTTAGTGGCGTCAACTCATAGATGCGCTATGCTTGAATTAGCACTTACAACTTTGCCATGGGTAAAGATGTCCAATTGGGAAGTCAGACAGAATAAATGGACTTGTACAAGACAAGTGCTGCAATATCATCAGGTAATTTATGCCAAACGTTCGTGCTACCTGATTTCCAGGGGACGCAGACACAGTGTAAATTTGTACTGTTATATTTTACTTCATGAACTGTAATAAGTCGAATGCTATATTTTTATAGAACTATCTCAATTCAGTAATTAATTCAAGACTAAATGGAACCAACAACGAGAAGTTCTTGTTACCTGTGCAATTCCTCAAAGATATTATTACAAATAAATCAAAAACAAACAGGGCGATTAATGTTAGATTATTGTGTGGAGCCGATTTACTAGAATCATTTGCTGTACCAGGGTTATGGGACGATGACGACGTACGATTTTAATTTTAATTTATTTAATATTACAGTCACTTGAAAATGTTCACAACTTTCAGATTGAAACAATTGTCAGAGATTATGGATTAGTTGTAATAAGTAGATCTGGGTCCAATCCAAATAAATTTATTTATGAATCGGACATTTTAACTAAGTATATGGTAATAAGTTTTTCTTTTTTTTAATTTAATACTCTTATACTTTGCATTAATTATTTTCATACATATTTTGTTTGTTTTAAATCAGGCAAATATAATCATAGTTACTGAGTGGATATCAAATGAAATAAGTTCAACAAAAATACGCCGTGCTTTATGTCGTAATGATAGTGTCAAATTTCTTCTAAATGAGTCAGTTGAATCTTATATAAAAGACCAAGGTCTTTACGGCACTGATAATAAGTATGATCAATTTTTTATTAAATTTTCTATTTATGCAGATAATTCTATATACTTTATGCTGAGTTTATGAATTTGACCGTGTGGGTTTACCTAATAGTTAAAGAGGGTGTTTTTTCTTCATTATTTCTAAAAACCAATTTTATTGTTATAACTAGTTATTTTATGAATATTGAGCACTTATTTATATGTATAGAAAATATTTTTTTAAAAAAAAATTCTGTTTTATTATTGCTGCTGTTGACAATGGAAACAGTAAGTATATAAATACATTAGATGTTGACTTATGTAGTGTTTTATTAACACCTTCCCCTAGCACTAAAACCCTTCAAACGCCAAGTATTATGGATCAAACAGTTGTTATCAATGAGCCTGACCATACTAAAATTATTCACAGCAAGAGAAAAGAAAATAATTGTAAAAAGTCCAAGGTAAGCAATGAAGATGAAAGTAAACTAAATATATGTAGGGTCGCCATACAGGTGTCTAAAAATGGTCTAGTTGAAGTTATAAGTGACAGGGAAACCATGGTTTAATAAAAAATATCAAACATTTTTAATTGTAGATTGTAGGATATAGTTTTTTATTTGTAATATTTTGTGCCAATTTTATCCGTCAGGTATACAATTAGTAACTTTGTCAATTTTTCACAAGGCCAATATGTTTTTGGGGGCGGTTGTATCTAAATATCTAATATTGCCAAAAAATAAATTTTAAGTGTTGGATTAAAAAAGAAAAATAATTTTTTTTTTGTAATTGTATTTAACTGGTTATTACTGCCCACCGGTGATAAAAATATATGTATATATTATATCATAAATTGTAACTGTGATTTTACTAAATGAATTAATGTCTTCTTTATATGTTTTACTATGAATGTAATTAAATTTCAAAGGCTTCCTGTAATTTAAGCTCAAATTATTTATTAAACTTAAATATTTTTTTTAGTACGGGTTACTTAAAAAATAATTTGTTTTACAAATTATTTGTACTATAACATTGTTACTTAAATTTTCTTTATTATTAGTGTAGTAATGCTATGTATAATTAAAAAAAATTTTCTGACAAGTGTTTAATATAAATTTAGAAAAAAAATTCATGGATAAAGTATTGAGAAACACTATAATTTTGTTACACATTTATTTTAATCAATAAGAAATGTCTATTTTCTCTTCATAATTTTTTTTTTAAATATTACAATACTGTAGCCTATTAACAAAATAAAGAATATCAATCATTAACTCTTTAATTATCATTGGTGTAATGTTCAATATCATTGAATAATTTTTGTTTTATCAGCATATATTTTTTTGCTCATCTATCTTAACAATTCTATAAATAATTGGATGAACTAAATAATTTCAACTCCATTTTTATCAGCTTAAGTACATAGTTAATATAATATGCTTCATTAATTATATACTAGTCTTGCGTCGAATTGTCTATAAAACAGCTTTATTAGCCAACATTTATTAGTAAACTTAACTATATAATTTACATTTTAAATATTTTTTTTATTTTATAGATATTTTATCCATGTATTTTTTTACTAACATATCAGTACAGCTAAAACTCTTAGAAAAAGACATTATTTGCTTGAAAATATAATATTAAGATAATGTTAAGGTTAGATCAAAAGCATTTAGATATATAATTTGACATCCATTATATTATAAAATAATAGTTAATACTGTATTATCGTCAAGGGTTATTAAATCCATTATACAAGATTTTTTGTATCTATGATTTCAGTACTTAGAAGTATGTTAAAACATCAGCATGAACTTTTATAGATATAATGCACTACAAAAATAAAAATAAATTATTTATAAAATATACATTTTTTGACTGTGGACAAATGTGGTGGTTAAAATATTTCATAATTCTTTAATTTCTCTCCACTAAGTACCCCATTTAGGCTTAACCTTAAGCAATAATTATACATCACTTCAGTTGAGTAATATTGCTATAATATAATAATGAGTATATGTATTATATATGACATAATAAAACTGTGTATTGTACTATACATTTTTGGAAAAATGGAAAAACAGAAGGGGATGCAGTAGACTAAATATTAAAAAAAAAAAATATTTTAAGTTAAAAAATTATGTCAATTGTCAGGTTTGACACTTTTTACTTAAGTGCAAAATAATTAATGCTACATTATAGTTTATTAACTAAAATCGCAATTAATTAATTATAACATTAACCTACTTATTTTGCTTAAATGTTCATAAAATGTGCCAAAATATTATTTTTTTGTTGGAATGTAATTAGTAGTACCTAATCATTAGTAACACATTAATAATTTATAATGTATGATGATTGATAATTTGTCTATATTGTATTAGTTGAAATAAGAAATAAATTATTATAATTTCATATTTTGAATTATTTAACATTAAATATTATGTGATATTTTAAATTTAAGGGTTATTGGATTGTTTCAGGTGACGAAAAAAAGAAAACAGTGTTTGTAAATGAGATTATGATCTATTTGTCTGTTGTTTATTTCTCATTTTTCTCCTTATTTTAAAATTCTTCTGAATGAATTGATGACCGACCTACCCGTGCATGAAAGTAACTTGATCTTATTTTGTTTATAAAAATGGTATGTTTCTTAATGCTTACCATATTGCTTTATTTATATTTTTGTTATTAATTTAGTATTGTGTTGTGTTCTTTGTTATTTTGTATTTTATTTTTGTTATCTAAATAAATAAATGCTTACTTAAGACCTTTATTAATAGTAGTATTATTATTTATTGTCATGAATATCAATAGTGGTTTCTCACACTGTTTTAACAAATCAACATACATCAATTGAATGTATATTTATCTCATAATAGTGTGAGACACCTGATCGTGTGATACATAATTATTATAATAATAGGTACTTAAATATTATGTATATTGTATTGTAGTACCTACTTTTAGGATATTCCTATTATTTTGGCATGTTATATATAATTAAGTACGCGATTTTTAAAAAAAATATTTGTTTTATTTAATACTTAAATTACTGTTTTTTTATATTTATCTCCGGTATTATTTATCTATTGAGTAGCCATTTAAACCCATAAGTACAGCGATTTATTATTGTATATAGAAAATAGCGAGTAAAACGAAGAGCAAACATTGAAACATTAATTGGTATCAACCTATTTTTAGCAATTATTAAAGCCTTTTTAACCTTTAACCTATTAAAGCAATCTATTTTACCATTTAAAAGGTTATAAACCTATGATATAATGTCTGTATAGGTTCTTTTCAACTCCATTTTTTTCTCTATTTAAATTCATCGACATTAACATATTTCATCAGAAATGCAGAATGCGCTGAAAAGAGAACTTTAAGGCATACCAAATCAAATCCCAAACAATTACTCATAATGAAACGCCAAACTCATATAGTCTTATCAACTCCCATATTTGCGTGCTTAACAAGAGAAATATTGCTAGAAAACGGTCTCCTCAGATCCTTAACAATCTTGTGAAACTACTGTTAACAACTGGTCTCCATTCCTGTACCTAGTTAAAAATCTCACGAGTTTGACAACGAAACATTTTTAAATTTATTGGCATAGGTATGTATATACAGCTTTAAATCATCAGCAAACAGTAGATAAATACTAGGTGAAAAACAACATGAATCATCAGGTACGTAGCCAAAGGTGGGCCTGGCCCCCTTAAATTTACTCTGGGCCAGAGCCGGCCCCCCTTCCAAATTCAAAATATAATTATTTTTATTAAGTATCAAAAACATGCTAGTGTTTATACACATTGGAATAAATCGATTGCGATTACTAATAGGTAATACAGTTATTTAAAATTAAATCAGCTTATGTTCTAAATAGATTTATATTTGACAGCATGAAAAATGTATCTCGGTAGTGAAGATGTAGGTAATTCTGTTTTTTTTTTTATCATAGGTAATATCTATTTTTTGTAATACTGTTATTATTGTAATAGGTATACTTGTTACGACAACGAAATTTTTTTTTACCCAACGAAAGGTAAATTATAAATTAGTAAGATACCGCATAAGGGAGTGTGTGGGAGAGCCCCCCTCCCGCGAACCTAACTGGCATAGAACTTTTCGAAAATCCCCCCCTAAGGGTGGCCTCAAACACGAACTTTGTACTTTAAATACGAAATGTAAATAAATTAAATGTTTGTAACCATGATAACCCAAAATAAACACTTGGTATGTAATCGCGGTACTCGAGCAAATGGTAGGTGATGATTAAAGGAACAGGCCGATTCTGGGCAAGCTTTTAACTGTTGGAACGGGGAATGGGGCTGGGACCCTTGAGTTAGAGGAGGACATAATAACCGAAAAAAGTGTTTCAAAAACGCTGTCACGCTGTTATCTGATAAGAGGTAGGAGATTAGAGATGAGGGATGGTGATGGGGATGAAGGTGAGGATGGGGACGGGGGTGGGAATGGGGAATGGGAATTATTTTACTCAGCCCTGGCAGACTAAATATCGGGCCACGCCGGGTCCTGACAGCTTGTTATTAATAAAAACAATAAATTAAACACTAGACAAAACATCAATCCAATCTTGGTTTGATCATTTTCGGATCTATTCATGTTTAGATAGTTTTCAATTGTTAGCTGACGTTACGGGTCCACTTTCAGAGCGATAGTCACTCTCACTGTCAATGACTATAGTCTATACTCTATAGCTCTGAAGATGGACTCTGCAATGGGCCCGTAACGTCAGCTTACTATTGACAACACTAATAGATCCAAAAATAATTAAACTTATAGTTTAATCCATTAATAATTGAACACATTCATATCGATTCAATCTAACACATTACCACTAATTTTCACAAAATGCTATGTTATCACACAATTTAAGTCTGCATCTTTGGTTTCAACGTTTTGTTTTTGTATTATCTCAAATTAATTTATATGTTTTTATTGTTGCATAACCCGTATTCGACAAACAATTTAATAATTATAAACTAGGTACTATAGGTAGTAAACTGATAGATGGTTTTATATCACAATGATTAGTATATTATGTATTACCTACCGGCTACCCAATACATGACACGTCTTACTAAATACTAAACATTTCATATATACGTCTTAAGCATAGGTTTAAAAGTACGTTACATAAAATAAAGAAAAACAAATTTGAAAATAAAATTGATGATGTATTTATACAGTACCTACTACCTATAACCTACTATACACAATGTGTCCTTTAGCATTTATGAATCGAAGCAAAGGTAAGCAGCTGTCATATGTTTCCACGGCCTTAGTTTCCCAAGCTATCCCATAGTACCTATTATTTATTAATTACATTAAATTACTACTTATGTTTGAATATTATAAAACATATAAGAATACATATTTCAGCAGTATGTCTATTAAATATTGGATCAACTAAGATAAACATAAGACAAGCTTTCTGAAGTCTCTAAATTCACACGTGTGGGTGTGAAGAAATACGGGTATGTTTACTTAGGCTGTGAAAGTATAATCATAACAACTGTCCGCTGTCTTTCTTTATTCATTATTTCAAATTTGTTAAACAAATTTACTAAATTTTTTTTTAACCGGTCTCGAGGAGTTGAAGTCAGCTGCATCTCTCAAACATACCCCCCAACCCCCATCCGGAATTCAGATAAAACTTCTAGGCATGACAGTGTTTTTTTTGCTATATTTTTCTTTTCAATAAAGTTTTTATTAAAAGCACTGTTATTGCCAACGCACACGTTTCATTGCTGAACTAACGTCTCGACTGCATCAGCGTCGCCGTAGACAACACAAACCACAACAACAACAACGACACTGTTAGACGCTTAATCGTACTTTAAACTAAAATATTACCTATTACACGTTGTATATTTTGCCGGCGCGGTAGTCATGCGATTATCGATCGCCCGCTATGTTCAAACATATCACACAATAATATAATATTATTCAGTCAGACTAAATCGCGATTAAGTGGATGAAAGCGCCGGCTAGCTCGTATGCGTGATGTGTATTAAAGCGCTTGGCCGGGTGTCACCCTCCTGTGCGCGGCTTTAAAAAAACACCCACGACTCTCCAAACAGCTCCCGCCATATTCCTTCGGGCACGTCCAGGTGTGTGTCAAAGTCGGCCGAGTGTGACGGACCCGGCACGGGCTAAAAAAGACCAGCAGCAAAGCACACATCACCCCCAACTCCGGTATTTTATTGGATTATTACCGATGGACAAAGGCGGAAGGGCGCCTAATCGTGACATCGAAGGGCTTCGCGTGCAGTTCGTACCGCTACCCGTGCACTATTATTGTCTATCAGAGCCGCCGACAGTGCGCGCGTGTGTCTATTACAACAATCCGAGACGTCGTACCAGTTAGCGCAAAACCGATAGTCTACGCACAATCTCGGGCAAGTATCTTCGTGTAACTACTGATTGTGACCTTTTGGCCTTTGACCACCAGAATGACTGAAGCGCCCATCCCGCTGGCCGGCCAGTAACCGGTTGAGGTCGATCCAATACGTAACCGTTTAGAAATATAGAATATAATAATATAGCCAGTGAGTGGTTTTCTTTTTTAGTTACCTATAATTAGGGCCATACCATAAAATATGTTATGTACACATTGTAATTTTGGCCTGTCTCGTTTTACCTATAAAATAAAAAAATCATTAAACAATACTCTGCGTGGGTTCTCCAGGAGCTCCACTGCCAGATCGGGAGACCGGGAAATTTTTCGATGGACCGACCAAATAGTGCAAAGGGTGGGCCAAAGCCGTGAGCGGAGGACGGGCGTTGACCAACACTATAGGAGCAAAGGGGCTGTTGGGCGGGGGCCGGTTTGATTATGTTACGTAAAGTAGCGTAAATTGTGGATTATTCAAAATTTGCAATAACATTAAAAATAATTCGATATTTCCATTTTTTTTTGTATGCCATTACCTGCATCAATTAATGTTATTATTCTTTGTGGATGTATCTGTCATTTTTATAGGTAACCATAAATCAGGCCGCTACGTTTCCAGTATAGTTGTAATTTGTAATGACCCTAGTCCTTAGTTCAATAATGATATACTTTATACAATTTATAATACACTTTATGAAGTACTTTGGTTTTTAAAAAATACTTAACTGAGGAAAGTATTGGTCCAGTTTAAATGTTTACTCCTTGTTTAAAAGCTCACATTTACATATTTATGTTTGTTCGTCATCAAAACAGTATTCAATGACCGTCATAATATTATCTGGCATTGCACTGCTCTTGTATTTGCTTGTTAAATATAATAACCGATAACAATATTATCGCGACTTCTAGTCTCGTAGCCCGTATCCTTTATGTATTTTTTATTTTATTAATAATAATTAAACATATTTAGTTTTGTCAAAAGCAAACGTTGCTTATAACTTTATACATTTATATTCTGCCACAGATAAACAAAATAATATAGATCCTAATACTATGTAATTTTCATTCGGAATTGTGAACTATTCCCAGATCACCAAAGTTTTCAGAGGTAAGTTCCTTGAAATATTATTAATTCATATTGTGTAATGATGTTATAATTTACAATAGCAAACATACAATTTTCCTAGAAGTAATGTGCTTGAAAATGAATAATACTGTTACTCAATTTTTCCATTTTACCAAGAACCTTTTCCCCTAAAGGGGGCGTGGAACATTTTTCTTTATTTAATTTTTTGAGCGTAGTTTTAGGACTTAAAATCTGAAAATTAGACTGAAGATATTTCTTAATTATCCAGATTTTTCAGCAAATCTGCCAGCTGTAGAAACCCAACATTTTTTAAGTGTAAAATGTCCTAAGTAGGTAATTCTTAGGTGCCCTAATGAAGACAGCATGGGATAGAATAAAATGAAATTAATTTTAGATAGAGTCCTTTGGCAGAATATAAGCACTTATAAACCATGCGATAACAATTTCTCGGTACACTATATGAGGTCAGATAGGTTATCGGATCGAATTCTTATTTTAAATATACTTCAACAATAATCATGAGTCCAGAGTCATAACCTACGTACGGGTTTTTAACAATGTACCTGTGTACATATATAATCATTGTTTTATATTTTTTTGTATGTACTGAAATTATATTATAATAGTGTCCTATATCAGTAGCAAATACTATCGTTTTGTCCCCGTTGATATTAGTATTAGGTTGACACTACATTAATTGGCAGAATTATAATTTACAGGGTTATACGGTTAACGTCGTAATGTAACAACTAGCAATATAGCAGTTGTGACAACCGTGAACCGACAAAATGCTTTTAGATAGTAAACAATTGTTTTAACAATAGTAATGATTAAACAAAAAATACATTCCAGAAAACATGCGTTGCTTCCGTTTGATTGCGTTAATAGCAGCTTTATCGGCGAATTTTGCAAACAGTGCGGAATGCGAATCAAGTCAAAACGGACAGTCTATTAGTTTTTACAAAGCCGCCGGTGATCTCTTGCTAACCGGTAAGTTTAATAGTTGCAAGACCTTAATAAATAAACGTGTAATATTATTAAGACACCCATATGCAGAGGTGGTCAAAGTACCAATTCATACAAGTGCAATAATTATCAAAATTATGAATAGGTATTGTCATTGTAGTTGTAATTTATAAATAAATCAAGCTGTATTGAGATGTAAATGTATACAGGTACATGATAATTTACGGATGAACAACTTTTTCGTATCCTGTAATGCCCACTTCTGCTCATATGAAATTATGCAAAAAAAACATTTTGTTTGTGTTTGATTTTTAGGATTTTTCGACGTCTACGATGAGAAATGTTCGGGCCCGACGACAACGGGCATTCATTCCATGGAGATGGTGGCCACTGTAGTGCAGATATTGAATTCTATTCACTACGTACCCGGCTTGAGTATAGGCGAGTAGGAAATAAGGAATTCACAACTATCTATACATACTAAACGAACCGTACAAATATCATTTCCATTTGAGTTTACAAATCTTCCTCATTTCGGCTACTTTCATTTTCCATGCTCAACACTCAATATACCAGGGCAGGGCTCGCTACAGTTTTATTTAAAATGTCCTACCTTTCTTTAGGACGATATTGTCTATTTTACTTCATCCAAATTCCAATCACGCTTTATTCTACTCTTTAATTTTTCAAATCTTCCATTACTGATCCTAAATATTCATCCTTTTAAAACTTCATCATTACATCCGTATTGTATGGATGACATAATGCGTTCCACGCATACGCAGACCACAGGATCATTTAAATTTGTCTGTGATTAATGTTACCTTTAATTATTAGGGCTTACATTATACGAGGTGTGTTCTCACCGAAGCTCAGACCTTCAAAAGGCAATGATTTCCTTCGCGGTCGACCAAGATTGCGACAACTCTACAGTTCCAATCGGTATTTGTTGACAATATGTTTAAAGTACATTCAAATATAGCATGATGAAATCAAATGTGTTGTTTTCTTCTAGCCATATACACTACGGACGATGTGCGCTCCAAACTAAATCCGTCGATAAATCTAAACGTGCCGATAATCACCATGAGCTCAATATTCGACATTAAAGTCGTTTCAGAATCGGCTGTAACGTTTTTAATCGAAAACGGCGTCCAAGTGGTCGATTTGCTGGTGGCTCAAGATCTAGACGTGGCTCAAAAGTTTGAAGATGTCGCCAAGAACAACGGATTGTGTTTGAACAAAACCGTGTTGGCTCAAGATAACGGGTAAGCTGTATGATATCTCTGATCTCATTTATGGTTCTATAGAATAAATAATTGTAATGTATATAATAAATTATAACCGGCGTGGCGTGGGTATCTGTTTTACTATAAACAAAATTCTTATCAAGCCGTCTGTACAGATTTTAATAAATTTAAATAATTTTATAACTTTTATCGTTGAAACAATTATTAGTGATGACTGATGGTGTTTGATGTTTCGGTTTGTATATGGCAGCTGTGGCATTTACTACTAGTTTTAATGAGTTTATAAGTACAGTATTTGTTTCATAAATGTTTGGTATTATGTTTGTAGACAATGGAACGACTCGACAATAGTAGTCATAGTATCAACAAAAGAAACTCTTAAACAAACACTAGAATCGTTCACTGACGTCCAAGTATCTCACTTTATTATTATACCATTGGACGGACCATTGTTACCTGTATCCGGTAAATATAATATATGCCATAAATTATTTTTAGAAACAGTGGCGTTGCTACCGTGAGTGTGCTTGTAATGCAGGACATTTTTGTATAATTTGCTATACACGTTAAAATATGAGACGCAATATAGGACGCAAAAAAAGGTCTTGTCCATGGGCGCTTTAGCCTCTAGTTACGCTACTGTTAAGAAACCGTTTATGATGACAATAATGTATAAATAAAAAATATAGTGGTGCGTATAATTACTTGTCTTAAGGTCGAGGTATAGTAAAAGTCACGAATTATTTAACAGTTGTCATTATTTTCATTAATACACGGCTAACAAATATTTATTACCAATAGGGTCCCGTAAAGGAACATGAACAATTAAATTGAAAACGTTTAGTTTACTAGTTACTAACGAACTGAACGTAACATTATATAAATATTAGTTCAACAACTATACATTCATTTTTATATTTTAGCGTTCAATACCCGTTAGCCTGAACTAAAAAAATGATACGTTCATTGAACTTAACTTATATTTTAAAACATTTTCATGTAAATTGCAAAGTAAAAATTGTATTAAAAAAGTTATTGTTAAAACTTTTAAAATAAAAGTTCCATGAAAATTAACTTGTTTGATTATCATTTATTAATTATTAGTGTTTAATTTAATTTTGAAAAATTGCTTGCGTATTATTATGGTATTATACTGATAGATGTCGATTGATGGATTGCGCCTCAGTCCTCAAGTAAATTAGTCTAATTGTGTAAAACTTTTTGGTATAAAAAATGTGATTCGTTCATAGAAAACTGATTTAAAATTTAAATAAAACAATATTAATATCCCCATACAAATGGGGATGGCTAGGTAAATCTATAATCCCATCTTTACATATCTCTATCTGTTGCCATTTTTTTATTCACTCCGCAATATTTAAATCTACTTTACTTGAATAAAAGGTATCATACCTATTATTAAAACTGTACAAACTCATACTACTAATTTTAGTGAAATGTCTGTACTTGCTTTATTTTCTTACCACTTTTTTTTTAGATTTCAATAACGGTTCTTATGTATTTCAATCTTACGGCAGTTGTCCCCTTTTAAATAAATCCAGCCTCAATTCTAGTACTCTGAGCGCAGTCGAAACGGGAACAGAAGGCCTGTCCGTTCAGTTCGTTCAAACTGCGGCAGACGTGATGGCAATAGTCGACCGAGTTGAAAATGACACGAGCTCGGATTGCGGTACCGACGTGGCCGGCAACTGTACAGCAAAATCAAAAGCAGTAACGGTCGGTTACGACGTGGCCGCCATTGACCGAGTACTGGAAATGTTAAAGTTACTGAACGGCAGCTGTTACAACGTGTCGTTGGTACATATCACGGAGTATAGGACGGGCGAAAGTGTGGGCGAGTACGTGCAAGACTCGAACGGTACGCGAACGCTTCGGTTTGAAGACGATCTAGTACGCTTAGACCAGTGTGAGACGGCCTGTCTGACATGCTCGGACACCGAGCGAACGGGACAGCAAGTGGACCTCCAGCGACCGCGGTTGACTTGGAAAGAAGACGTGTGGATTGCATCCGCATTGACAGTGTCTGCGGTGGGCGCCATATGCGCCACATGTATCGGCGCATTCGTGTTGATACGGGTGTGCAAGAAGGACATCATGGAGGGCAACCCGACATTCACGTTTATTTTGATCATCGGTACGCTGTTCATGTACGCTAGCGCCTTGCCATTCGCGGTGGACTCTACCTCATACGATTGCGCTTTGTGTTACGCCAAGTTATTCGGCACGTGTGCCAGCTGCTCGATAGTGTTTTCCGCCATGTTGGCCAGGAGCTTGATGATAGCGGCTTGTGACTGTGACTCGAGCTTCATGAGCCACGTCAACGGCTACTTGCAGACATCGCTGTGCGCGTTCACCGTGTGCGTCCAGTTAGCACTGCTCTTGCAATTTTTGGCTATACACGCGATCGTGCCCGCCTCCGACCTGTGTCGACTGTTCGTCGACGGTAAACTGTTCTTGGGCAGCCTGTCGTACGATGGGTTATTGTTGCTGCTGTTGGCGTGCGCAACGCCGTTCGTGTTCAAGTCGAAGCGCAATTACCACGAAGGGGCCTGCTTCGCCGTGGCCACGTACCTGTCGCTGGCCATTTGGGCGTGTTGGTGTACGGCGTACGTGGTACTGCCAAAAAAGTGGTCTGACATGTGTGTGATGGTCGGCCTGACTGGCACGGCCACCGTTATGGTCGTTACTGTGTTCTTGCCGCGGACCTATATGATGATGTTTGGCATCGTACGCGAACAGATCACCAGCTCGCTGCCTTCGCTCGGGTACGGCCACACTGGCGGAGGTGCCAGCATAGCCGACGTCAACTACAGGTCTACTCAAGCCCTTTACGATTCGGTTCAAGTAGCGCCGGCTAAATGCACCAGTTTTAGGGGCCAGTCCAACCCAAACTACTATTCGCCTGCAGGATCACAGGTACACTCCATACCGAGGAGTCGACCGTTAACGCCGAACGCCATTAGCGAGTATGACCTTCCTCCTTCACCCGACCACAAGATCACTATGTTTTAACGATGACCTCAGTCCGGTCGAGTATCAAATTACGGTTTACCTATTGCGAACGACCTACGAAATGAACACAGATATCAGCTTAATTTTAGAGCAGCAACGCTCCTAACGAATAGATTCCAAATAATGACGGAATATTTTATAATACGTTAAATTCCTATAATGTAGCTGCTTAGAAGAATGCAAATTTAAACTTGATTAGGTGGATAATGTCAATTGTGCTTCATAAATAACCCTATACATCAGTATTGTTTACATTTTATAAGAATTTGGTTTATATATAATATAAAATTGTAAAAGTTTTGTCGTGGCATTATTTGTTTGTTTAAATTATTATTATTTATTAATTATTGCCATAAAAATAAATTCGTAAGTTTTTGTATTCACTTTTTAAAATTTTAAACCCTTTGAATGACTACCTGTTATTATTATTTGAATTATATTTCCTAATAAAAATAGTAAAAATTAAATTAAACAATTTTAAATATTAGTTACTATGGCAGATTTGGACTATAAGGTCTTTTTAAAAACGATGGTAATAAATGATATACCCATCTAAGTACTAACTACGCCCGACGTTGCTTAACTTCAGAGATCGGACGAGAACTGGTGTATTCAACGTGGTATGGTCTTTAGCGCAGATTTGGTGTTTATTTTGTCTATTCAAACACAAAACTGTAACAGATAAATTCATATAGTTATGTTCCATTATGGACTACAATCGAGTTCCTACAGGCTACAACGAACCATATCCGTAAAAAAAAAACTTATACAATACACTAAATCACATAATTTAATTTCTACATAGTACATTGTAGTTTGTACACTTATTATAGTTTTAAATACATTATTTGTAGACATAATTGCCTAACGTTATTTTAATTGTATAAACGTTGTGGAGACTTGGTGGAGCGAGGAGTGTTTCTTTTTAAATCCGAACTGTGTGTCCGGGATTATTTTTTTATTCATTAAAGTATTTTTTCTAGTAATTTTGAAAACGAGGGTAAGAGACTAATTGGTCGATACGAGGAAACACAGTCAGCTGGTTTGCCCAGGTTTAAGTATTAGTATAATAATAGATTGTTTCCAAATAGGTGGTATATAAGAGAGACGGAGAATAGAGTTGAAAATGAATGTGAGAGCAAGATGACTTTTTTAGGTAGGTGTTTAATCATTTTGTTGGTGAAAGGTCCAGGAGATTTATTATTTGGTAGTTTTTTAATCATTTAATTAATTTCTGAAGGGGTAGTATGTTTTGTTGGGAGGGACATAAGTAAGGTATTTGTTAGAGAATTTACTATGTATAAGGTGTGATCGACATTATTTATTTCTGAATGTGGCGTGGAGATGTGTTGCAAATAAGTTCGCCTTATCTATATTTGTTATTGCTAATGAGCTGAATTTCTGCTAGTTTGGTGTTCAACTCTTCGCGACATCGGAAAAGTGGAGTAGGAATTATCGCCTGAAAAACTGACTCTTGCACAGAAGCCGGATATCTTGAACGACTGACGCTCAAGTACGGCTGGCTGTCGATGTTATAGACCCCGGACTATGCTGGAATCAAAATATATGGTTTAGTCAAAAAATAATAAACCCAACAGATATAGCTATGACAAGAATAGCGAAGACGTCTATGACATTAACGTGCAAGGGATTCAGTTAGGAAGTTTAGTTATGGAAAATTGGAGTACAAAGCTGGACTAAAGTAAAAACGTAGCACTACAACAAATAGGTAATAATAATTTTTCGATAAACATAATTTTAGTTGAGGCCTGAGACTACTTTAACGGATCACCGGATGATGAAGAATGATAAATACAATAATAAGAGCAATGATCAATCTCAGTGGTTGTAAAAATAATTACTATAATAACCAGAAGGTTAGAAAGGAAGCAACGGAGGTATGGAATCATCAAATTACAAATTGCCAAGCCATGGTCTTTAGTAGAAACAAGATGTTTAGGTAGCTTAGAAATATTATTATAATTTAGTAACATGTCATGAGGGACTCGAATTTTAATTTTAATTTTTCTACATATTTATACATATTTCTAGTGTATATTATAGTATAATTATTGTGTTTTATCTTTTGTGTAAACATATTGATTGCTTATTTATATGTACAATAAAATGTTTACTGGATGATTGACTCTATTCACTAAATTGCTTGACTTGGAAAATTTATAAAAATTGGGTTACCTTTATTGAAAATGTATTTTTCATATTGTTGTTACCTAACTGTTCATTCGTATATTTTTATTAACTAAAAGAAATCTAAAAATGAGGTTGGGGTACCTTCTCATGTCCTTTTGTTGCGATTTTTACCTCCAAGTCAAGTACTCGTGGATTTGGTCTAAGTATGATGATATAGATGTAGGTCCTGCAATTTAAAATGAACATTTTTGTTTACTAGGTACTTATCCTCCATTAAAGTAATCACATAACTAACCATTTATTAACTGACTCTTGCACAGGAGCCGGTGGAGCCAGTGGATCAATATTATCCTGTGGTTTTTTTTTATAGCGAAAGCCGAAATTAAAATTAAATATTTAATTTAGTTTTATATACATAGATAATGTTAAATTAATTATTATAATTATATTTTGTTTTTTTTATAATTATGTTCCGGCCATTTCAATGATTTCACATACATTTTGAAAAAAGGTCTTTGCAAATTTAAAAAAGACAAGCTTATTTTAAGTTTTAAATACATGTTTATACTCATACATACATTTTGTCAAAGTTATTAATTATTGTGTAAACATACCGTAATGGCTTTTTGATAGGTACAGACGTACAGTATTTTATAATACATGACACATGTATTATAACATAATATTATATTGTACACTAATACTATATTTAGTATACTGTTTATAATATATTTATTTAGAGTTATGACATCCGAATAACCTCTAGGTAGCTGCTATTAAATTCACAAGTTTAATTGTTTTTAGTGGAAAAAAACAGTTGATTAAACAGTTGATTATTAGGTTTACTCAATTAAAAAAGGTATTGTTAAATTCGTTTTCGGCATACTTATTGCGGCTATTTGCATTTTCAGGAAAATGGGACATATTAATCTGAAAAATAAAATATTAGCTATAAACGTGTTACGTGCTACTGAAAGTTAATTCGATATTTATTCTCAGTATTAGGTTTTTCTAAATTGTGCGAGTGACAGCAATCAGCATACACACTTCGACCAATCAGTGAAATGTTTACTAGTTAAGTACCCAATTTATTTTTCTTATAAATATGATGCAGGTAACCGGTAACTTGTGTTACAAACCAGACCTACAATTTCATGAATTATTATATATACAAAAAAATGTAATATAACGTGATCCAAACTAACGATTTAGTATTATAATTGTTACACCTCATTTTTATACATGTTTTATCGTACCTACCTAATAGTTGTGTATATTATGCAAGTGCATTGCACAATGCACTGATGACTAAATAATAGCTACTTATTCAAATTTTAAAAACACGTATTAGGCATTAGCATTTTGTTACCGATTGTATGTTATTACATAGGTGCTTGATAGTTGAGTTCTTATCTCAACTGCTTGGGTGCAATGAAAATATTCGATTAAAGAATTATACTAAAACTCTCTTGAACCGTGACCCCCTTTATGTTATATTATGTGCTGAACATAATTGCTTAAAACATTCTCATACAGTTATATTATATATGTTTTACATAGTTGTAAAACATAAAGAAAATATTGTGTACATATTATATAAAAACTATTCTTTAATAATTATACATTTATAATGTTACGATAATACTTATTGGTTTTTGTATTAAACATTTTACTTTAATTAAAATTTCAACTAAATAATATTGTGCAGAGTAAACTTGAACATGTTCAGCAATAGACACTAGACATAATAGAATGTTTATGAATATTATAATATTAGCATTATTATATATTGGCATAAATCATAGTATTTCATCTATGACTATTCTGTAATATTATGTCAACGACCAATGTGTATTGTGTTCAGCAACAACACTCATTAGCTACAGAACTAACTGCTCAATGCTATTGTATTATTTCTTTCCATGAAGGTTTTATCATTTTCATGGAATAATTCCACTTCAGTCGCACGTGTTATCACTAAAGTCTAAACACTAAAAGGCTGGTATTTGCCGGATGACGTCGTAATGAGTTTATAATGTATATTAATTAAAACTATTTTCAAATTACTTAACATTTTTTTAAGTTTAATCATTTTTTTTCATTAAGTTTAAGACATTAAAAGGTTTACTCTTGTTAGTCGTTACCATAACGTATTTTCCCCCCTTAGTTTTCATCATCTACCGATGTTGCCTACATTATAGTTGTTGGATCATGACTCACAAGAACTGGACAGCGTTTTCCAATAAACTGTTTATATTAATAATTTTCCATGTGAGTTTAAAATATGATTAAAAAATGCTGTACATATTGTGTATTTGTATAATTTTTCTTTTCTCCTCAATATTTAGGTACTATTGCTGCGGAATACAGTGGTTGGCGACTTGGGCATTCAATTTAATAATAACAATATTAATGGAGCTGAACAACTTGTCAGCAAAAATGTTGACGGGGCCATACCACTCAATAGTAAAAACATTGATATGACATTAGGTAATTATTTATGATTATTGATGACTTAGTTTTTTGGTTTCTAAATCCATATTTTTTTTTAAAACATATATTTAACAGTTTAAAAATAAGATGTTCTTAGATCATTGACAAGTTTGATTTTCTGGTAATATTATATTTTAATTTTTCTATTGAAATCGCCTTTGTAAATAAATTATTACTATTTTTATTTTACATGTATTCAGTTATTATAATTGATGTTTAGTTTTAATATTGTAATATTCCAGTGCATGGTCATAAAGCTGTACAACTCGATAGTAAAAATATTGAGATGATTTCGGGTAATTTTTGTTCATAATAAACCATCATAAATTTCATATTTATTTATTTATTTTAAGTGTAAAAATATATGTAAGAACTTATGTAAAAAAAAATAGAAAAGAATGCAACTTTTTTTTATTTAATGACATTAAATTATAATTTGTGTTATAACAGTTATAAGTCAAATATAGGGAAAAAAACTAAAACCAAAAAAAAGTAGTAAGAAGTTAAATTAAAAAATTATATATTTGTTAAGTTCATGAAACCTAAACAATAATATTGTATTGTGATTATTACAAATCAATTATACAATTTGCTGGCATACTTTTTGGTTTATTTTATCCATTTTTCTTAAAAAGTTAATTAAAAAAAATAATAATAATAATTTTTACCAACCAGTTGGTTTTTTAAAATTCCCAACCCAATTACTTTTTTTGAGTGTACATAAATCTAATAAAAAACATTTTTTTGGGTATGTACCAAACATTTGCTAGGCTTCACGCAATTAAATTCCACTAGGTTATTTTTTTGTCAACTCTGTGTGATTTAGTATACTAGTTTTCCTATTCGTTATATATAAATACTAATGAAGTAATTTTTTTTTTTGTTTAAGCGTCCAATGAACTTGTTATAATTAACTTTTATGCAGACTGGTGTCGATTCAGTGGTATACTAGCCCCAATTTTTAATGAGGCTGCAAATAAAGTTGCTGAGTTATACAAAGAGCCTGGTAGAGTTGTTATGGGAAAAGTTGACTGTGATACTGAAAGTAAGTGTACTTATTACATTAAAGCCAAATTAGGTACATATATTTTATAATGTATAGTATTGTACATAATTTGTATTGTATTATTTTCATAAATTGTTCTTTGTAAATTATATTTTTTCTATTGCCCTAATATCTAATTACATTTTTATGTCAAAATAAAAACTACCCTATGAGTTTTAAATGTATACGTTTGGATCAGAGATCTATTAAGCTTTACAGTTAAATATTTACAGTGAGTTTTAGGTGTAGACAAAATGATTACTATAACAATATCTGATCTTATGTTCAATTTCTATTATTGAAATGCCTAAAACGTTTTAATTAAATTTTTTTAATTAAAAATTCAGCAGGAATTTTTCCTTGTGATTAAACAGTTACATAGAAAATTAATAAAGGAAACAATAATTTTTTTATTTTTTAGCCGCTGTGGCTTCCAGGTTTCAAATTACCAAATATCCTACAATAAAAGTATTAATTAACGGGCAACCAGCCAAACGAGAATACCGCGGCAAGAGGTCAGTGGAAGCATTTGTATCTTTTGTGCAAAAACAGCTTGAAGATCCAGTACAAGAAGTATCGAGTTTGGTAGTTACTTCTGATACAATGAATGTATGTAAAATATAAATTTTTGTTTATGTTGTTTTTTACGGTTATTATCTTATTAAAATTGTTATCTATCGTATTTCAGGAGAAAATGAGAGTATTAATTGGTTACTTTGAGAGCAAGGACTCAAAAGATTACCAAGTGTTTAAAAAAGTAGCCACCAACCTGAAAGACGATTGCCGGTTTTTTGCAGGCGTTGGGTAATTTTGTTTACATTTTCAAAAATAATTTCAATTTATATAATGTTAACAAATTTATGTTTTAATTTAACTGACAGTGATTCTTTCCGTGCAATGCATCCTCCCAACGAAACAATAATTGTATTCAGACCAGATCGATCGTCTCCAGAATCTGAACACCAAACTTTTAAAGGTGTACCGTCAGATTATGATGCTCTCAATATATGGGCTACAGCCAACTGCGTACCTCTGGTGCGTGAAATAACATTTGAGAATGCTGAAGAAATGACAGAAGAAGGATTACCTTTCTTAATATTTTTCCATCGTCCTGACGATCTTGAATCTGTTAAATTGTTCAAAGACATCGTTAGCTTGTATCTTATGGATGAAAAACGTGAGTTCAGATAAAATTAAATAAAATTTAAAAATATATATATATTTATATATACTACACAATTTGGATTATAAAACATAATGAATATTATTATAATTTTAGAACGCGTTACCTTTTTAACTGCTGACGGCTTGAAATTTGCGCATCCACTGCAACATCTGGGTAGACAAGAATCTGACTTGCCGGTAATTGTGATCGACAGTTTTAAGCATATGTATCAATTTCCTAAAGACGCAGATTTTACGCAACCGGGACGTCTGAAACAATTTATTGACGATCTTTACTCGGGAAAACTACACAGAGAATATCATTTGGGTCCTCAAGATTTAATTATTACAGAATTAATAGTTGACAATCGACAAGTCGAACAGACGTCGCCTCCCGAATCGACATTCAAGAAACTTGCTCCTTCTAAAAATCGATACACGTTGTTGAAAGATGAATTATAGTCAAACACTACTATGATAAGCTGTATGTAACTATGCATATCTGTTATGAAATGCATTTTACAAATCTTTTCTTCGTTTATTTTGTTCATAACAAATTTTTTTTTTAACTTGTTCTCATTATTATAAAGTTATAATAATTATTGTTTCTCCCTCCAAATTTTTACACATTGTATTATTGTTCCGCAATTTTGCATTTAAAATTATAGATATAATATATTACAATATTACTACTTTCAAGGTGCTGGTACCCATTCACATTAAATTGTTCATATGATGATTAATTTAATTAATTGACTTGTCATGTTGCTTCATATGGAAGTAACACCATTTATGTCAATTAATTTAATATGTATTGCAAATACATTGCACCTAAGAGAGAGTGAGAGAGAGAGAGAGAGAGAGAGCTAATAATGTAAACTTGTTTAAAGTGTTAGAAAATATTAAAAACTATTATATTACCGTCTTTTTAATTACTATATGTGTTATTTAAAGATTCTATGTAAACACAAAAATTAACTACAGGAATAACAATTGTGTAACTCCTGTGTTATTATTTTTTTATCATTAATTTTTATTATTGTGGCTTAAATTTCATTATTGTAAATTGACAAAATATATTTTTGAATACCCAACAGCTATGACTGGGTACCCAAATAATAAATGTTAATTAAATTAAATTATATTTTTTTAGATTAGAAATAAAGTTATATCACTAATTTTTAAAAGGCATCGTAAGTTGTAAAAATGTAAATGTTAAACATTTTACAAAGGCTTTTTTTTCATACATGTATTGATATATTTGTATTTTATTTTATAATATAGTAATACTATTGTAAATGTAACAACTAATACTATTTATTTTTTAACAGAGAATTAATATACTTGTTTACGTTATCAAATATTACTGGTTTTTGTAATTTTTTTTACACAATTCAACAATTTGGACATTAATTTTTATCGCCTACACACCTAGTGCCTAAAAATATCATTATATTTGTCGTTCTCTAATGATCTAAACTATTTTATATCCTGTGCAACATCAAGTATAATACAAGTCTTAAACTAATAAAGAATAGTAATGTTATAATTATTATACTATAATATTATTATTATTATTAAATAGTAGTAGTATATATATATTTTTAATTTTAAGTTAACTGTACTGTCATTTAATTTACCTTTATGGTTTTAAACTCATATCCAAGTTGTAAACAGTGTAATTGTGTAACTTGGTCGTATAGTAGTTGGTGTGTTAACCAATTTAGTTTTTGTCCTAAATATTATAGCGAAAGATTCTCAACTTTTGATGTTGGTCTGGTCACCTTAAAAAAGTTTACATCATTTATTGTTTTAAAATTTCGATACTTAAGAAATCGTGATTTAACTTCGAGAATTAACTTTTTATTACTATAACTATTAATAGGTACATTGTTAAAAAAAAAATAGGAAACACTGATAACATTATCACATTACAGAATACAGAATCTATTATCTAAATAATATAACTATTATTTATTATTATTAATTAAAATTACCCATTCTATTATAATTAATTGGTTTTTAAGCAATAGTTTATTGACTTTGGTGTTCTTCTGGCTTCATCGGGATTTCTCTTCCGATGGGTCCGGTGAACGAAACGAAACAGGAGGTGTCTAATTACGTCAAGTTGAATATTGGCGGATCACTGTTCTACACAACTGTAACGACACTCACTAAACTAGATTCCAAGCTCCGAGAACTCGTATTGACGGAAACTGTAAATATTACCAAATCACCTGAATCCGAAGGTACGTCGATTAAAAAAACTGATATTATACATATTATAATTATATTTATGCATACAATCAGGATGGATTTTTATTGACCGCTGTGGCAAACATTTCGGTACAATTTTGAATTTTTTACGAGATGGTTCCGTCCCGCTGCCAGCGTCCTGTGTAGAGATATCAGAAATATTGTCAGAAGCAAAGTACTACGGTGTCATTGAACTATCGGAAGCCTGTGAGCAGGCGCTGCAGAAAAAAAGAAATAGGAATACAAACATAACGTGGATTACATTAATAACGTCACAAAATGAAGCCCAAAAATTAATCTCCATCAGTTCAAAGGTATTTTTTTTTAAATATTTTATTTCTAAGTATATTTTACATAAGGTTACTTAGGTATTTAATCTTATTTCTAGCCGGTGGTGAAATTCGCAATCAACCGCCATAACAATAAGTATTCGTATACTGGGTATGTATCTGTTATTAATTTTTAACAATTATTTATAATCTAGTTAACTTAAGTGAAATAAAATGAAACAGTGCATCCGATGATAACTTATTAAAAAACATCGAGCTCTTTGACAAACTTGCGGAAAAGCACAGAGAACGCGGTCTTTTCATTAAAGACGTCATTGGATCTAATGAAATATGCTGCTGGACATTTTATGGACCTGGAGGAGCGGTAAAGAAAGTTGCAGAAGTATGTTGCACGTCAATAGTATATGCTACGGATAAAAAACATACAAAGGTAATTCATATGTTACATTAAATATTTTAAAATTATAGTACACATCTAAAACAGAGTGGTAAACATTTTAGGTTGACTTCCCCGAAACGCGCATATTAGAAGAGACCATGAATGTAATGTTGTTAGACACTAGAGCAAACAAATCTGTGCAGGAAAATGAACTAATTGAAGCTACGTCTAGTTCAGGTGGGAATTGTCGATGTTCGTGCTCTAGCCAGTGGTCAGACACTCAATCTGAAAATAATCTTAACAGTATGTTTGATACTAACTTATCTCTGTAGTGTTTATTTTGAAATATTTTGTTTATATGAAAAGTTGTTTATGTGATAATTATCTGATAAATTGAATGACTAATAAGATTTTTAAAATGATTGTAAACTGTGTGTAATATTCTATATAAGTGAAACCTATAGTACTAATTTCTTAAATTTAAAATATAAATAAATAATTTAACAATAATAGCAGAAAAATTATTTTTGAAAAAAAAATCCCTTCCAAAAGTTAGTATTATAATCCTTTAAAGCAAAATTCTGATTAAGTGCTATAATTAAACAGTAGAATAGTAAAAACTAAAATAATATTAAGTCATGTAAACTATAACTAAGATCCGTATCACATAATATTGTTAATGCAGTTTAATTAAGGGCTATTGTTACCTGTTTATTCAATGTTAAGTTCGTAATTCACATAGATAGATTGAGAATATATTTAAAATATAAAAAAACAATTATATGCAATCTTGAACTCATTCATTTGAATGACTAACTAGATCAAATTGTTGATTTTTTTTTTTGGATGTGGCATTAAGGTCCGGGAGAAGGCCCGAAGGCCTAGTTATCCATATTAATGATAAAGTAACGAAAAAAATACCAATTTTTTTTTATTCATGTAAAATTTTAAGAAATGAGTAGACATCTGCTATAATTTTTTTTCTTTTATACACAAATATTACGTATTTTTTGTCACATTAACCCTACATCTTATTTTATAAATTTTTGGTCAATGTTTCTACTCAAATTACTTATTCCCATTTGATTTTTTTATATAAAGATGTATTTAATTATAAAATTAATATAGTAGGTTACACAAACTTTTTCAAGTTATCAGATCTACCATAAGTCAATTTTTTACTCAATTTTAACTACTAACATTTTGTCTAATTTATACGCAAAATCATTACAATAATTTTTTTAAATATTACTTTCGCTAAACTGGGCTTAATAATATATGTATCCGTTCATTATAAAATAATAAAACCCGGACAGGAGCGGAGAGCTATTATTTACATATCCGCATTAAATCGTCCTCTTGGCAAAACGTCATCAATACAAAATCCATTGTCTTCTAATCGCAGCCAAAAGACCTTGAATTTATATCCGTGTACTTAGTTATCTAATTTAGAATATAAAATATTCATCAACTCTGTAGCCTACATTACAATTTCTTAGCAATTATGTTAGCTGTACTGTACAGTGCTTACTGCACATAATAATATACTCTATAATTGTTGTGTTTGTAAATGTTTATCAGTGTACTTTGACACAAATAAAACTAGCTAATAGGTTCAAGTACAGCATTACAGAAGAATAATTATGGCGGACGTTTAGTTTTATAAAGCTTTATTTAACTAAATGATAGTATTATAATGTAAAATTATATAAATCACCAAAAAAATCATTGTGAATAATTCGGTTCAGTTTCTAGAACAATTTCGTTTGGTTAATCTGATTTTTATTAATTATTTGTTACTAAACTATTATAATTAAATAATCTAAAACGATTACACGTGTTCGTAACACTTGAGTACTTTTTTATAATAATTATTATTTCTAAATTATTCTGATTTCTGAAGTTGTTGTAAATGTATAATATTGTTTTAAACATGTTTACTACATTTATAAAGTATAACTGTTACTTTACAATGGTGTGTTTTGCTCGACGTTGGGCTGAATAGATTTTAACTTATGAAGGGTATTTTTTGTGGCTGATGTCTGGGCCGACGATCACTATTTAACCACTAAGCAGATTTATTTATTGTATACCTATATATAAGGATTGAAAACGTTTTCAAGCCAAAATTTATACCATTTGTTGTCTACCTCAAACGTTGATTTAAATTATTGACAGTATGATAGTCAGATAGCTTAACTGATTTGGAACTTTTAATACAAAATTAATAAAAACATTTGAAAATTTAGAGTTATATCTTTTGGAACAATATAAAATAAAGTTTCTAGAACAAAACGTGTATATCGTTAAAAGGCATAACTTAACTTTAAAATGTATTTATAGGTAATGGGTGCTAAACTGTTCATATAGATAAAGGTATGGAGACCCGTACCTACTACCTTGATATATTAAAAAAAATATCATTACATTTAGAAATTAATATTCTGATTATTACAGACAATTTTCACTATTATTATTACTTATTTTTCGAAGGTAGAAAATTACATATTTATTTTTCAACTGTTTAATCAAACAAAACATCAAGTTCCTATTTATTTACATTTAAAATTATTATGATAACCTCTGAACTTTCACTAACACATTCTTGAAGGCAATTCAGTGTACCTACGCATCATTTACATTACAGGGTCATTCACTAAGTATGAGTTAGCAGTTCTTACATATCAAATAATATTGTATTACTTAAACAACGCCCATTGAAATAGGCAAGTATAATATATTCATTGTTATACACATCTGTATAAAATATATATGGACAATATGTTCATAAAGTTATTGATTTTCAAATTTTGTAGCCTCGAATTTTTTTGCTAGGCGAACTACCTTGAAATTCAGCAGATTTAGATCATGACGATCAGAAATTTGGAAGTAGTTAGCAGTTTACTTTTAATAATGCTAAATGCTGTAATGGTAATCTGGCAATAACTTCTTAACATGGAATTCCTGTTAAATTTGCATTGATGCTGTTACATTGCATCTATTAATATTAATCTTGGGTCACCTAAGCTAATTAACTTTGGGAGGTTAAATGTAAAAAAATATAGTTTATAGGCTTTTCTCTCAATTATTGAGCTCGCGATAATAATTATTTTCACATTGAATGCTGTCACTCGTAGTTTAACATTATATTAGTATATTTATTATTTTATCTTTTATTTATAAATTAAAATTGAATAATTTCAAACTGATTGCTAACTCTTCTACTTCAACAAAGGCCCTGGCTTTAAGAAGTAGAATATTTATATAGTTTTATGTAATATTCTGTTTTTTTGCTTTATTTGTAAAAATAGATAAATACAATAAAAAAAAACTTTCTACAGCATAACCAATAACAGCCCCTAACGATTTTAAAACAATGAAAACCTTTGAATAAAATGTCAAAAAGTATTCTTCTTCCATACAACTGACCCGTTACTTAATTTTTATACTATCCATGGTCAAACTACACTCTCCGTAGCCCGTCTAACATGTTGTATACATTAGTTTGCAGTCAGTGGCAGATTTGGGGGGGGGGGGGCGATGGGGCGATCGCCCCCCTTGGCCCGAAAAGTGGTTGTAATAAATTTCGACCATGTTAATTAATTTACCTGTTAATTTGTATAAGCTTCATGGTTTTATTTTTAATTTAAATCATTTTGTCAATGAGTGAGTAAAAGCCATTTTAGTTAATATAATTGTACATTTTTTATTCCGTCGCTGAAAACAGATATGAATTCGTCATGAAGTTTACTTGAGATCGGTCAGCGTACTTTTTTTAAAATTAAAAATTTTAAAATCATATTTGGAAAGGGTTAAAATTAAAAATTGAAAAAAGTACCCTGACCGATCCTAAGTAAACTTCATGGCGAATTCAAAGCCGTTTTTAATTTACTTACCGGATTACTGGTTCGGCCTGTGCGATGGACAAAAAATTATGTGTTTTGACTGAAAAAACCCGCCGGTATCGAATCCCCTTAAATGTAGAGGATATTATTGAAAGATTTGCTAAAGAAAAAAAAAAGATGCATTGATTTTATATTATATATATTTGAGTATTGTACTTTACTTAATTATAAGTATGTATTTGAATTTAAACAAACTTGTTGTAGCTATTTTCTATGAAAGTTTATTGGATCAAAATTAAACTGAAATAATAATGATTAATTAAAAAATAACTAATCAAAATAATTAATACATTGTAACATAATTTTTTAGACACTTAATAAAAAGTAAAAAACAAAAAAGATAATTTTATTATACCTACAAAAAACGAAAATTCATCCCCCCCCCCTTGGACAACCCCTGGATCCGCCACTGTTTGCACTTTAGGTTAAATCATTCAAGTCAAGTAGATGTCATCTGCTACCTATATACATTTCCATCCTATTTTCAGTTAGGTTCAACACTGTATGTGGCCGTTATTCCATAAAATATTAGTAATTAATTTCATAATTGTCTATTTTCATTAGTCCATGAACATGATTACGTGAATGATGGTCATAAGAACTGGTTCTGATCTTCCTATGCATAATATTTAAATGATACACCGACTACAACATCAACAGTAGACCTTCTACTCGCTGCACTGTATTACCCGGCGTCCAATCGATCAGTACCAAGTTCAACGCGTTGTCATCCTCGTCATCATCATGATTTCAAAGGACCAAACACGAAAGTTTATTTTCGAATTCATCCTATTCTTATTTTGTTTGGACTACACTAAAGGTAAATTGTATTACTTCATAATGCATGTCCATGACCAAGCTCGGATTCGAGATTTGTTTTTTGGGTAGACCATCGATATATTGATATCATGGTTGATGATGAACGGGCAATTATATATTTTTTTAACTATTAAAATAAACCTAGCAATACAATGGTTAATTAATTTCTCAAATAAAACTTTTTTGAATGAAATATTCTAGTTTTATTATAAAATAAGAATATTTATATATATATATATATATTTCATCTTCAAATTGCCTCATGATATATTTATAATGTTGTCCACCTTTATTAATATGATTAACGTATTTATACGAATATATGTTTTACAATTATTAAACAACTGTAAAATAAATATAATATTTATTTTTGCGCCATTCAATAATTTAAAATTCTAACAAATAACGAGTTTAAGAATTATTAAAATTTGTATCGAAAATGCATTTTTTACGTATACATTTAATAGAGAAAACATGACCAAAAAACTACTTGGGAGCAGATCTAGAAAACTCACATTTTGTATACTTTTTCTTTTCGATGACATTCCAGATAAAACAAAACAAAAATTGGTCAAAAACATTTAGTCGGTATAATATAGTTCGAGTTAATGATTTGTGTATTAATTTAATTTAACTATTCACTATTCAGTACCCATTGTATTAGAAATTCAACATGTTTATTACATTATTTTTATTTTGTTAGAAAAAATTAATTTAATTTAGATGGTGACCTATAATTATTTAAGAAATTGATATCTACCAGATGTTATACACGGATTATTTTTAGATATTTATAATTTTTAATATAAAGTAATTTAATCTAAAATAAAAGATAATTCAATCTATTTAAAAAAAAATTGTATTATAAAATTAAAAAAATTGGGCATTAAAGGGTAAATACCAAGTTGAAATCAGGTTATTATCAAGCTATTAAAAATTATGTTAAACATTTTCAAGCCTGTCTATTAAAGCAGTGTAGTCGAAAATCGCACCTGAAATTGTATAGTTCATAAGAGCACAGCTCATTAATTGTATGTTGGCATAGCTTAAAAGAGCACACTCCGGGGTTATTATCGTATTATTCAAAATCGTACATAATATTCAAACATTAACAGATTTTCTGGTAGAACTTTAGTTAACACGTACACATTGCCATTTTCTGGACAATCTTTGAATTGAATAACATTACACATCATTTAATAAATAGAAAAAATGAAGGAAAAGATATTCAGTTTTTGGCCTAAGTTAAAATATCTAGTTTTTTTATTTATACATTCTTCACAAACTTAATTTTTATGATCTTGCCTTTCTATTTCGGTTTTTCTCGTGGCACTATTTATTTTTTGTAAACTTGTACAGATCAAAATAGTTATTATTATCACTATTAATAGTTAATACGGTATTAGGGTAACGCCCTATTAAAGTTATTATCCGGTCGTTATTGATTTAGGTTGCGACCAACAGATCTATGCCGAAATAGGATGCAAACCTGTTTACGGCGAAAAAGGCTCAACTTCATGTCCTATTGCCTATGATTGTGGTAAATTATACGATACTTTATACAAACTGTAAACGAATTTTATTGTTTCGGTGACCAAACGTTGATTTCTTTAGAACATGTATTTGGCAGATCCCCAGACAAGTGTTATTTTAATGGAAAAGTATACCAGCCCAACGAACGATTATCAGAGACTGACTCTAAGCTGAATCCGTGTCTGGCAGCGTGCTTCTGCGACCAAAGAGAATATGACAAGTAATAGTTGTTTTTTAAATGTATATATGTATTTATATTATGTTTATTATAATTGATCATAGTGTAACAATTACGAAATTCGTATGTGCCAACGTCGAATGCCCATCGTTTTTCAAACACCTTGAAGGACCCTGTTATTATCAATATGACAAAGATTTATGTTGTGAAGTCCGAAAGTTCTGCCGTAAGTTTGACAGTTTATTTTAATTAATACAAATTACAAATACATTTTAAGTATTAACCATTTATAATTACATATTTAATTAGTTTTGTTGATAAATTGTTTACTACATCTAGTAAACAATAAATAGTATATATAGAAAATACCTACCACAATTTGTGGCATACATTTACTTTACCGAACATCTTTTTTTTTGTTATCATATAGTGTTTTTACGCTAATTACTAATCTGAAGTCCGAAATCCTTAGTTCAAAAGTTATAGCTACTTGAACTTTGAACTTTTCCGCATTTATAAAAGTAGTTTATTATAGTGATTTATTAATAACGAATTTGAAACGAAATGCTGTATTTTTCAATCTCGATTCGCATTGCCGACAACAGCTACATGATGCAGCGGCCGCCGTCCGCCTCCTGCCGCTACCGTTCCCCGCCGTCGCGCGCCGCTCCCGTCACCTACTGTTATATACGTGGAAAAGTAAAAAAAAAAAGGGTGTCTATTAAAGTAAATTTGTTCGTCTCTAGTTTTGAGTAAAAGTAGATTAATGAGATTTACTTAAGTTCCTCATTCCTTAAGAATTTAATGAAAGTTACGCCACTGGCCGTATTTTTATAAATGAACGGGTGTCATTTGTAGTAAAGTTAGGGCCACTTTTACAACCAAGCCAATACGCCACTGGAGGTATTGTTTAGAGATTACTACATAGTACATAATATTTGATGTCCATTTTAGCTGAAAAGAAAACCGCAGTACACGAGTGTGTCCATGATGGGAAAACTTATAAGGACGGACAACGGTTTTACGTAGGCGACACGTTGCAGTGTGTATGTTCGCCACAATTTAATGGTAGGTACTCGATAATCATTGTAGGACTACGGTGTTTGAAAAAGTAATAACCGATTTTAATTACCCACAGGCACGATTAGCGACCGTTTCTGCAGAAAATTAAGTTGCAAAGCTGAATTGTTGTACATGGATAATATAATGTCGAAAAGTGCACCTGTCTATTTTGAAACATCTGGCGGTTGTCCAATCCAATGGTTTAATCGTAAGTATATTAAATAAAAACCAAAAAATACCCACATAATTTGAAACGGAATGATAGATAAGACATATTAAACCGTGGACGTAATTAATTATGTGATCATAATATTTACATTAGTCCTTGATCATCATTCTGTAACCTTTAACATAGATTAGATGGACAACGCTCACGTGCAAACCGGTAGCATTATTTTACCCGCATTTCTGTATTACACTGTGTTAGAACTATCATATATAAAAAAAAAAAGGCAGGTCAAATACATAAACAAGTGTTGCGTTGTCTATCTCTATTATGTGCATTATCTATGCCTTTACTATTTTCTTGTTTCCGACAATTTTCAAATGTCATAGTTTTTTATGACTCATACACACTATAGGTATCGTTGAATAATTATTATTCAATTGCAAATGCTATCGTTTTACATTAAAGAGCATTATTTAAACCCCGGGATTAAAGTATTGTTAACCTTTTCAGCTAAGTACGAAGACGGTACGGCCGAAGTATTAAACGCGACCGGTTCGAACAAACTCAAATGCAAATACGGTAATACCGAATTAGCGTTGGGACAAAAATTGATTTTCAATCAACAAGATGATGGTGACACTTACGACTTATCGTGTTCGTGTCAAGTGCCACCGTTGGTAACTTGCATAAAAAAAAGAAAATTTAGTTCTTAATATTTGTTGAACGGCTTGGCACAGTGGTTCTGGACTCTGGTAGGTACTAATCTATTATCGGTTCGATTCCATCCACATTGCAAACATTCCACGCAAGATCGTCTCAACTACCAGCCTTAGGAATCGAAGGCAGTTAAATTAAACCAAAAAAAAAGTTCTCAATATTTCGCTTGAATAAAAATATTAGATATTTTATACATTTAAACTAACTATTATAGCTTAAGTATAAACTATACAAATTGTAAATAGTACCTACTGAGTTATATACAATTATACAGATTCAATTTATTTTTGATATAAATAAGTAATTTATGTAATAAACTATTATAACATAATCTACTTGATGTATTGTCATTATCACAATTCTCACAAATTACATGCAAATGTAATTTCGAATTGCAAACTGTTTCTATTTTGGCAGGTCTATACGCTTGCAGTATGTTGTACATTTCATATCACTTACCGCATGCAATTCCCTTAAAAATATCGATATAATGAATGAAATCGTGCTTAATATTTTTATCGACGTAAATTGATAATTTTGCCTGATGTGCGCCGGTTCGAATCCTTCGACCCCCCCCCCCCCAAAAAAAAACCTGTCAAATCCATACCGTGTGAGCCCCGATTAAAAGATTAAGAGGACGTCCCATCGATGATTAATAACGGTAAAAACATATTTACGCAAAACAGATAAAAATACCTTTCAAAATAATTTTAGAGATAAAACACTTTTTATAAAAAGGATAAGTGGACAAGATTTACGAAGGAACCTTATATGCGTTTTTAAAAATATCAATAGGAAAAAAGTTTAAACAATTTTAAAAAGTTATATTTAATATTAAAGTATATTTTTGCATTCATCATATCGATCTATGCATTCTTTATACATTTTATTAATAATGCAAAACGCCTAAATGAGGTTCCCTCGGAAATCTTTTCCTCTATCTTCTAATAAGTTTATCATTTTGGTTTCTGCGCACTTCTATTCTCTCGGCGAACGTTGTATATACAATCAAGATTTTCATGAAGTCTATCGGTACGTATTGGTTTTCTGTAGTGATATGTATAAGCAAAAATCCGGTAAGTATCGACACCATAGACACGTACCGAAGTCTAATCCCGATACAAATTGATACGTATCACAAGTGTACCGCTGTAACGTACCGTAAACTTCTTGAACACTCGAACTCGTATCTGGAACTTATCGGTACGTATCGATACGTACGATTTTCTTTCTTGAAAATCTTGAATAGGTATTCATATTGTGTGTTCGTTACAGCGATTTATTTCCCCAATACACAAATTCACACAAGACCACGACCCACACGATTTTATAACCAGGTCTGGTAATCGTAATTCTCTACACGGAAAAGCGTAGCCGGCTTTTCCCAATATGGCGGCCACCGGCGCGATATTTTACAAAAAAAAACGTTTCGGCTGATCAATGCACGCCGGTGGCTGCCATACTGGAAAACATGGCTACGCTCTTCCGTTTTAACCACACCAGGTTATAAGATCGTAATCCACACGTCTGCGCTCGCTGATCTCGGGCCGTGGGATTCTTATCACCAGTTGACGCGGCGTTCGCTTCCACGAATTATCAATGGTCATAAAATGTTATCAGCGGCACAACAATATACACGTTACGGCCGGCATTCTGTATCTATTTATTTATTCGAAAATACAAAATTCATTAATTCGTTCAATGACTGTTTCATGTCTGTAGTCTAGTTTTCTACTATTTGTTAAGACAATATGTATTATTAGTTATTTACTTGATTTTATTTCATCTGGTGCTAGTTGTTTGTAGTTTTAATTTTTTTAAATTTATTTGTTGATTTGTTTTTTGCGGTTACAAAATATACCTATTACCTATCCTAAAGAGGCAAGAGCCAATCAACATTTTTCTTAAATTATGGCAAACAAAAAAAAATATATTCGACGATCAGCTAAAAAGAAAATTGGTCGTAACCTGATATTTCATCGTTTAAACAAAAATAAGAAGTAAGAAGCTATTTTAGTACCTAAATATTTTAAATTTAAGTATAAACGTTTATTTATATTTAATTACCATGAATTTATTTATTTTATTTACACATAATATAATATATATTTGTATAATGGTGTATGTTGTATATTAGGGGGTGTGGGGATCCAAAACATAGGAAATGTAGGAGGCTAGTAGTATTTATAACCAATGGTAAAAGTTATAACCTAACCCTGAAATTAATAATTACACAAAAATGTAATATTATAAATTATAAGACCTAGGCACAAATTTGGTATAAATTCTGGAGGTGTTTGACTTCTGCTCAAATTTAATAATTTAATTTGGGTTTTTATTTATTTGAAGTCGTGAGACTAGAATACGAAACCGAACAAAATTAACTTATTTTATAGAATTGCCTCATTGGTGTAAAAGTCTTTAAAAAAATGATTTTATTATTTTTGTTTATTTCGTGTTTGTTTTCTTCATGAGAATATTTTGGATTTTTTAGCACTTCCAGTAAATTCATTTCGACCCAATTAGGAATTTTTATAAAAGTTTTTAAAAGCTACCCATATTATACTTCTTAGATAGAATTGCTTGTCAATAACACTGTCGTTTATGACTATACGCTACAGATATGGCTATTAATTGATCTGTTTTAAATGAAACAAATTTCATCGAGTCGGAAGTACGGAGATGTTTTTGAATTATGTTTCATGCAAACATTTCCCTCGAAGTCGCTTCATCTCTTCAACTATAATATATTATGTCAGGAGGTTCATTATAGTATTGTGGTGCAATGTATTTTCCGATCAGATAATATAAAGCACGGATTGTCGCCAGTTAATATTATTATATTTACCGAAATTTATTACGAAACATAAAAATAATGACTATTCGGCATGCGCAAATGATGTAATAATCACAGTGTAATGTCGAATGTCGTGCACTCACGTCTCACATCACAATTTGTATTTACATATTTTTACTTATTTGACGCATACCGCGTACGGCACAACAAGAAATAGCGGGATAGGTGTTTTTTCTTCCATGAACGTTCCTCTAAAACGACGCTTCAGCAACGGCACCTGGTGCCGGCGATTCTCATCTCATTGCGGTGTTTGTCGTAGTTAGTTCGTGGACCTTTGGTTGTTTTCTTCTTTTTTTTTTTTTTATTGTTATTGTCAATTTGTCAGTGTTCGATATTCATCATTTGATTTTGATCCGAGACCCGAGTGGTGTATTTGGCGCTCGTTCCGCTTCTGTCGGTCGTTGTGCGCATAAGTTCGTCCTCGCACGTTTACAGGCTTACGATATAAAACTGTTTCCGTCGTCGTAGCCCCGAATTCCCGGAAGAAAGTAAGTCGAACGACGAATGTCACAATTTAATCGCGCACAGCGTCGTCTCGTGATCATAATCATAACACAATAGAGGGTTGCACACCCGCGTTGTGTACATTATTATTATTGTTATTTGTATTTGTAATTATTTTAACCGTATTTGATAACGCCGCGTCTAGATTGTTTTTGAGGAAAACGTGACGGGTGACTAGCCGGGTAAACCTCTAAACTGTTTGCGGGCCATTAATTATGTGGAATTTTCAAACTGCCTCTGTAAATGGTCTGCCCGCACAACTTTGGCGTTACTTTAAAGGGTCAGTCAATTTGATGCAGCTACATGTAAAAACGCCTTTTAAACGTTTGATTGAACACGCGCAGTCTGTGCACATTGTTTTTCTTCGAGCCTTGTTCGATTGTTGTTAATGAATTATCATTGTATTTAAACTGAACTGTGTGGAGGGGGTGGAGGACGCAACACGGTTGGTGAAATTTGAAAATTGAGTACACTAAATTATGTCATATACCTACCTAGCATTTTTCGAAACTTTATTGTTCAACAGCTTCTCATGAAGTTTATTGTAGAACTTCTACATAGTATTGAGTATTAAATTTAAATTGTATACTTTTAAACTATTTATTTATGACTTGAAACAATGAAAATACAGAATTATTTTATAGTAACAACCTAATTTTATTTTGTTAACACTTGTCATTTTTTATGCAGTAGTCTAATACAATAACTAAAAACGGCAGATGATATGTGGGCCCAAAATGATGCAGTAGATCTCGCTTTGTCGATAATTTCGAGAGTAACCAAAAACATTTATCAACAAAATATTTCAAAAACCTAGTTTTTATTAAAACTATTGTAAACACTTATATTTAACTATTTTTTATGATTGATACAGCTGTACTGTATACATTAAATATTTTACGGTTATTTTTTAACATCTTTAGTCAAATTGCACTTTGAAATTATTTAATTATTATTTCAGTTCCTAAAAAAATATGCGACCTCTTTAAATAAGAACTTATGTTGACCGACTATTAACACAATGGTCGTATGAATCTTATACAGAGTTCGCTATAAATGTTTTTTTAACCCTAATCCACTTAAGTTTTGTTGGGAGTGTAAAACCCACTAAAATAATTTCTCTTATTATTCAGGTAATACCAAACATTAGATTAGGTAGGTTTTGTTTTTTTTGCCTACTTTGATCTTATACACTGTTTAGGTTTTAACATACTATTGACGGTTGAACTTTGTTATTTGTGTGATATTGTTCATTATATAGTTGTATATTGTACCTCTTTTAATTAGTTAATTGGTTTATTTAATATTAAATTATACATTTTCGTCCAGTTAATTTTTGAATATCAATTAGTGTGGCGTGTTAGAAATATTATTATTGTAATAATAATAACTAGGTACATAAAGTTGAAATTGATATCTGTGTACAATGGCGCTTGTCAGTGGTAGCCTGTGGTGAATAACATTTCTCAATTGCTTAACACGCTTCTTAATCCTTTTGTATCACCAAATGTATTTTACTAAACAATTTCAATTCTTACCTCACAGAATGTTTCTTAAAATTAAAAAATTGAACACATTTTCTTTTTGCGGTATTGGGTGGAAAGGAACATTTAGAAAAGACTGGTTTAATAAACATGTTTAATTGTTAAGTCTTGTTTTTTTAAGTATTTCTGCTTTTAAAGAAGACTAAAAAGATTAATTTCCCTCTTGATCTTTTTTTTTTTAACGTCATTCATTACAGAAAATATTGTTATAAAACTAATATATGGAAATGGTCTTACAACTCTATGCTGTGCAATAATTATTAATTTATGCGTTTTTGTTATTTATTTCAGTATGAAAGACACTCCGACTGTAGAGAAAGAACCGGAAGAAGCTGGGTCTGGTTCTGAGAACGAGCCTGAAGAGGAAGAATATTCAGTTGAAAAAATTTTGGACAAAAAAATGAAAAATGGCAAAGTTGAATATTTCCTTAAATGGAAAGGCTACGCCGACGAAGACAACACATGGGAACCGGAAGAAAATCTTGATTGTCCAGAACTAATAGAAGAATTTGAAGAAAAATTAAGGAAAAAAGAGAAGGAAAAGAAAACCAACAAAGACTTGCCAGAACGCGGTCGTAAGCGTACTTTATCTAACTCAACTGCCAAGTCTGAAGATGCCGGCCCATCAAAAGAGCGTAGAAAAGTGTCACCGACAAAATCTAAGGACAAAAGTGTCGAAAAAGAAGTCACTGGAACCAAAGGATTTGATCGCGGCCTGGAAGCAGAGAAAATAATTGGAGCAACTGATACAAGCGGACAATTAATGTTCTTGTTAAAATGGAAAGGATTAGAAGAAGCCGATTTAGTTCCCGCTAAGACGGCCAACGCATTGTGCCCTCAAGTTGTAATAAAATTTTACGAAGAAAGACTCACATGGCACAACCCCCAGAACAAAAATGGAGTTAATAATTAATATTGTGTAAGATAATTACAATGGACGAGTACTCTAGTGGAGAACTCTATAAAATTTTTGTATTTTTGTTTTCTATTTTTATTTTATGATCTTATGGAAAAAGTTTCCCATAAACGAAATGATTCATTCTTATATTTAAGTGTATTTTCAAAACATATGTACATTCGAGTTTTTTTTTGTAGCTTACAAAAACTCAAAAAAACCACGATGTTAACAAACTTGTATCATCGTTACCCCTAAAATAAAAGTACAATGTTCAAATAGTATATAATGTCATTTGTGATAAACCATTTTTATGCATTTCCCTACTAAACAATTTTATGTAAACTATTTTTTAAAAATTTTAGTATACAAATATTAGGTTGAATTTATTATTTGTTTGTTTAATCGACTGTCCCTCCCCCCAACCCAGCGTAATAATCGTGTTATGTAAATAATTTTATACAAAGTAGTAGAGAGTATTCAAATTGTATTGAGAGTAAGATTTTACATTCTTGTTTTTCAAAACAAAGTCTAAAGGTTTCTCTTAATTTTTAAATAATAAATTATTCTTTAATTGACAATTTATGCTTATTTCTATACATTTTGTAAAATATTTAAGTTCTTTATTATATAACAAATATAGTTAAGTACTTTTGGAAGTTTTGAATTTGATTGATTTTAGTATATTAGTTTATGTTTGTACAAATATTTAGTGTATAAAATAACGACTCTACATTCTAGCATTTGGTCTTATTAATGGTGTAGTACTAGCCTAGTAGCTTAGTAGTAGTCTAACCTTTTACCTTGTCAGACTTTATTATTAAGTGTGATATAAACAAACTATAAAACGCAAAAGACAACTTAAGAAAAACTAATAAATTTTACTATTTACATAGAAAAGTTAGTGTTGTCAAAATACCTACCTTAAACGCACGTTTAATTGAAAATTCTTAGTCAAAAGTATGCCAGTGGTGATAGGGAGGTCACAGGTTTTTTGAAATTTTTAATACTTAAAGGAATTATTTGTTTATGTGTATGTTCAGCATGAGCTGTATAAATAAAAATATAAAAGAGACCATAAAACAACGGGTATGGTGAACTACGATAATACAATATTAAACTACTATTTAATGCCCTCTAGTCGTTTTATTGGCTCTGCCCTGAAACCCCGTCTTCGAATCTAGTACTATAGCACTCGTCTACAATTTGGTTTGGTCTACTCCGCAACTGCAGAGTAGAACATCGGACAAACCCCATTCTATCCATTTCAGTTTAGAGCCATACATAGAATTCGGGTGAGGTCATAACTTGGGACACTAATGAGGTATTAACTTTGTACCTCAGAGTTATCCTCGTCTAAGGGTGAAAGACCCCATATAAGTCTCTTCTTTGAGTCCTTCTGCATTGGCAAGTGTTAATGACTAAGTTTCAGTAACATGACACTAGTTTGAGCCAGCCTACGTAAATCCGGGCTATATTAATGAGTACTGGCTAAGAATTTAGTTGCGTTGACGTGAAAGTGTTTGAAAATGAATAATCTTCATGGAGTAGTTCAGTTGAAGTAACACATAAATTAAATTTTTTTTTATAAACGTTTTATTGGAATGTATTGTTTTTTTGTTAGTAGCATATTATTTTACATCATTGCAAATGGTTAATAATAATAAAAATAAAACAATATAATATTTATTAAATGAACGCACACTTATGTGTAATATAAGTAGTACTAATAGGAACTTAACTTAGAAAAACAATATAATATAATACTAATTAATATCAATTATTAATGTTACATGATAAAATACAATATTGAATACATTTGTTTGGCACAAACCTACAATACTCTTAACATATTGTCTTTATTTTATAAAATAATACTTTTCAGATATTGAGCAAAATAATAATATTCAATTATTAAAATATAACATAGTAAGCCAAGTAGTCGGCAAAAGATCTACAATATGTGTCAATAAAATATAGATTATAAAAGATAAAAAAAATTGTTTTATAAAAATTAATAGTAACAAACGAAAACTGAAGTTAAATAATAATGATTAGATTTATAAAAGAAAATTTGAGTTTTTTATTAATTGGTAACTAATTAAAAAAAGGTTTATGTTAAAACGTAAAGATGATTAAACGAGGAGCCTAGACAACTGCTCGTGAAAAATAAATAATATAAAAACTAAACAATTTGGATGAAAAAACAAAGATTGGTCTTTATATAATTACAACACAAATATAAAAAAATATGCACATTAAAAGCGTTTAAATGCACATCAATATTATTGTACAGGTAGATGGGCTACTAGTAGTACGCCAAGAATTCATTTAGTTTTGTGAAAATCATCTAATAGATTTATAGCCTAAAGTTCATTTTCTTTAAATTGCCGTTTTCTATTTTAATGCCATTTTCCTTTTTGTGCGAAAATGTCAGCGCGAAGATTCTGTGCAAAGCAAATTCCCAAGATCTGAAATTGAACACAAAAATACGGTTTTAACAATACGTTTAATAATATTTTTGACTACTTATTGCACAATTAAAATACCACACGCTTTGAAATAAAATAATACAAAATTTACTACTCTACACTAACTGTATGAATTACATTAAAACATATCCTATTGCAATCTATAAAATATGAAAAACAAATTTGAAACACGCATAACACAAAAAAAAATATGTAATTACAGTAGTCCTCTTAATGTGGTAACAGTTAATATTATAACCCGTTAATCGTAATAAAAATAACCAGGTTGAACTGATTGGACTTATCCCACATCACAGTTTTTCTGAAACTGTTGTGAAAACTGCTTGGGAAAAGGGAGTTTTCTCGTGAACCCTTGTAGCAACAAGGCGAAACCTTATCCTCCAGCAGATTTGACACCTGAAGTTTACAAGGAATGGATGGCCATTGACGAAAACCTCCCAATTTTTAGTAACTAAAATGGTTCGTGTACTTTGTACAGTAGTAACGATTCCTTAACTCATGACGTATGTACATATTAAGAAAATGTTAATATTTTAATAGTAAGACTTAAGTAGCTTAAGGCCGGGGAGACGATTAATAATAAATGGTACATAAAATTTAAATTAAAGCGTGTATAAAAGTGACTGCATGACTGTGAGACATTGTCTCACAGTCTAGTGTATCTTTTAATACTTTTTTGTTGAAAAATAATTAAATGAAATCATAGTAAAGGTTAGTTTGAAGACTTGAATTGACAAAAGCTATTACATTTACAGTAGTAGTAGTGATTGGGTTGTTTAAATCCAAAATGATTTCCATTCGTTTTTACATTGAAATTATATTTTAACTAATAGACAAAAAATCAAACAAATAATTCCAACAGACTTACCTTGCAGAAAGCTGATATGAGACTTACAGTGGCTATGAAAAGCATGTTTCTTTCCAGCCATTCTTCTCCAGCTTGCAAGCAACCTTTTTCATTTATGATCATGTCCACTCGTTTTCCGATATCGTCGGTCTATGATACACAAGCATAAAATAATAATAACTACGCAAAAAAATACATGCTCTAAAATATATAACAAAAAAAAAAAAAAACCAAAACCTCCTAAAAATGTTAAGCGCATGCTCGGCCAAGCCAGATGGAAAAGTCTACCTGAAATATGGTGATGGCCATAACCGTAGTTAAGACACCAACAAAATTATCTTCGACCCATTCTTCGGCGGCTCTCATGCAACCCCTTTCATAAATATTTCTTTCGCCCATTTGAGTCGGCAAGTTTAAACTTGTCCATTTCTCAGCATACTACAAATTCCGCGTGGCAGACACCAGTGTTAGTTTGATAAGCATACCAGCACAAATACATGTTAGTTATAAGATATTTAAAACAGAATACATTTCTATATTCATTAAAAAAATATATAAATGTTTTAAAAAGTGCACAACTAAATAGTTGTAAAATTATATTTAAAAAACCATTTCCTTTAAAAAGCATTAAAAAAAAAATTTAAATACTGATTTTATTTGTTATCAACATTAATTAAGATTAAACGAAGCGTTAAAGCGTTAAATAGTGATTAATGTGATGGGCAAGTTTGTATTTTTTTTTTTAATAAAAAATAATATATATTTGGTATCCATTTCCAATACATAATTTTTTAATGTTTTCCAAATAAGCGTAGAAAATTTGTTAAGATTTTTCAGTAATTAAAGTTTCAGTATAAAAAAATTATTAGACAGTTTTTATTTCAAGAATATAACATGATAAAAGCACTAACAAAAAAAAACTAAGTAATACTTACAAAGCCTTCTTTTCTGACATCATATCCACATTGTTTATTTTCGACCATTTCCTAAAAAAATAATATTTGTAAAAAATATTGATGATACACTTAATCATTATTTTTATACTAATGACAACCATTAAATATTTATTTTAATATTTTTATTCTAATCACAGAAGATTGTATGAAATGGCTAGAATACTATTTGATCGAAAAGCATTATTAGCAGTACATTTTTCACTAACGATACATTGTCTTCTTATATTAACGGCCCACTAAATAATTACCAATTCATATAGTCATAGTTTGCAATTGCAACTTACGTTAGGCTTTCGTTTACAACACGAAAACGGAACTCCACAAGCTTCTCGGCTTCCGACCATTTGCGAGGAACAATTGAAATAATTATTTAAATCCCAATCTTCAGGGCCTTTGATTCCACAACATTGCAACTATCAATTGTAAATCAATTTTTAGATTAAATAACAAAAACAAAATTTTGAAAACGATGTCAATTTCACAAGCATTGATTAAAAGCATGTACCCAATCTTCTTGTATCCAATCAATGAGATTCTGTTGATCGGGGTCTTCTCTGTAATGCACGATGAACGTTTGAAGACCTTCGGTGGCTTGTGATTTAATCTAAAACATATTGAATATGTTCACAGTTGTTCAAACAATTTTATAACTGGCTTATAAGACTTACAGTATCTTTTAATACAAAAGTCATTATTCCCGCAGTCAGTTCTAATATTAATATAACAGCCAACAGAATGGCGTACTGAAAAATAAAAATAAAAATTATTATATACACAATAAGAAACAAACAACCACTGAACATACACTTCCCAGCAAACACGTATTTTCACGTAAAGCGCCAATACATCCTGTGAAACCTATTATGAACGTGATTGCACCTTAAAATAATATAAATAGACACAAGTCAGTCTACGACGTGTGCATAGTAACATACAATAAATTATAGTGAAACCTGTCTAAGACGGAATCGCACAGGAGTGAAAAATAATTCCGTCTTGGACAGTTATTACTGTATCATGTTTTACCGATAAGAATTAAAGCGAACGCAGGATCGAGTGCCAAATGTGTAAGTTTTCCAAGATTGTTGAACGCGTTCTTCTCCGTCCATGCCCAAACGCCAACAGCCATAATAGACAAACCCAACATCTATCAAATTAGAAAACATTTGTTTAGAACGACAGTTCCCAAACAATTGCACGACGAGCTTACCCAAAATAAAACGTTAAAGCTGAATATAATATACTTCAGGCAACAACTGACTTCGCTGACTTCCTCGCGTCTATATTTTTGTTGGACCGCCATTTTTCTAAAGAAATTTTTATAATAAAACAGCCTAAACACTCTAAAACGTATTATATCAGTCGTTTTTGAAAACTAAATTATGTCGAACACTTAAATATAATATTGAATATGGAATAGGTAAGCAAACTGTAATGCAAAATACAAGTTAAGAAGTAAAAAGTTAACAATTTTTTTTTTTTTTAACTAAAAAACTAGCAAATAGACGAAGTTTAAGAGACCGAAGAAATAGTGCAAATTAAAAGTTATTAGAGAACATTATGAAGCGTCAAGCGACCAATTTGTCACAATCTATTTGTTTTGTTGGTCAATAATCAAAATTATAGTGGTAAAATGTAATGTATTATTTTGTTAACAAAAGATAACAGGGAATGAAAGTCATGTAGCCAACATAAATAGGTCCAAATATTTTGAGAGACTTATCAAAGGCAATGTTGATAACAGAATACAGATAAGCAGACTGAAAAACACGTGGGGTATGATACTCTGATGATGTTATTATGAACAACAAAAATCACACAATTTACTCGACATTTATCTTATATGAGTATTATATAATTATTAAGTCGACTTCTTCGTTAGAAGTTACAGTTTTTTATTTTTAGGTGCAAAATTAAAAATAATCAATTTTTTTGTATATTCACCACGCTTTGAAAAAGGTAAAATAGAATAAATAATTTTCCTTCCGAGATAACTTATAATATTAGAATTGGTTTAGTTAAAATAAAAATAAAACCAGCAAGACAATATGTTTTGTTTTTCGTTACACTATTTTTTATAAGAAAGCAAACTTACTGATCATATATTAAATTTTATTCTTGTCTGGAAGTATTGGTTAAATAAAATTCAGTTGATTAATTTTACTTTGCAAAAAATAGAACATTTTTCTGTAATCTCTTTAGTTACCTACTTATTTTATTTAAAAACTAGGTACAAGATTTAATTTTAAGTATGTTCCTTTATTCATAATTCAAATAATAACCAATTATTTAGCTCTGTGCCTGTAAAGATGCATTTATTTTATACATAACTTTTCTTAGCCAGCCTTAAAGTACTTTTATTTTAACTATTTTTGTTACTTAAAAATTAGCCCTTTCCAAGTTCAGAGATAAAAAAAGTATTTGTGAGGCGCTATAATCTCAGTTAGGTTTTTTAAAATTATTTAACTATTAAAATGCAGTTATTATAATTTAATAAATAAAATATATTTCACAAATACGGCAGCATAAAATCAGAATGTCATTTTTAGGATTGTAGCCTCCAAAAAAATAGTTTTCAATAATGTGTTTTTCTCAAATACAATTGTTTTGCTATAATTTTCAACATTGGTCATACTTTTGTGACTTAAAAAATGTTATTTTATAAATTATTAAATATTATTGTTTCAGGACTTCTATAGGAAATAACAATGAACCCACCTCCGCGTATGTTTAATTCAAATATTCAACCTCCATACCAAACAAATTTAGCTTACCAACAACCTCAACAGTTACCATACCAACAACCACCGCCTCCATATCAAACATCACCGAGACCTTTTCAGCCACCACCTCAACAGTTTGGACCTAGATTTCAGACGCCAAATCAACAACACTTCACACCACCAAATCAATTTTATAATCCTCATAAACAACACCACGATCATCAAGGTCCTCCTTACCAACAGACTACTCCATCTCCTCAACCATTTTATCCACCGTCTACACCTCCCGGCTTCGATCAATTACCAAAACCCCCATACCAATCTCCTGGCGCGAACTATGAACCTGTACCGCCAAATCTTCCTTATCCACCACCGTCGAATTCTCACTTCAATCAAGCGCCCATACCTCCTCCATCAGGGCCTAACTTCAATCAAGCACCTATACCTCCTCCATCAGTACCTAACTTCAATCAAGCACCTATACCTCCTCCATCAGGACCTAACTTCAATCAAGCGCCAATTCCACCAGTATATCAACCTCCAGGTCCAATGTATCAACAACCTGTTCAAAGTTATAACCGACCTCCGTACGCAGTTCCTCCTCAACAGAATTACAACCAAATGTTAACACCACAGTCTCCAACTCGCAGATTTTGCCAAGTACCGAACAATCCTTATCAAGCCCACGGACAGCGTGTTGAAATTCAACGATATCCACAACAGCACGAACCTCCGTACAATTTATCTGGACAAGAATTCAATCAATCGAGACCTCCTTATAGGCCGCCCGGACAACAATTCAGACAACCTTTTAGACATCAAAACGCTAGATTTGGATCGCCACCAAACAATTTTTCCAGACCACAATTTCACCCGAGGCAACAGCACCATCAAAATTACCGTACGAACGACCCTTCTAGTTTCAACAATCAACAGAAATTTTTCAGTGAACCAAAAAAAGATAAACCACAAATTGCATGCAACAAAGGCGATTGTGATTTTGTAGGGCACGCTAGTGCCGTAAGAGAACATCAAAATTTGCATCACAGATTTGGTTTACACAAGAAAGTATTGTACAGCAATAGTTCGGATGCCGTAAAAAAATGGATCGAAGAGAGGAAAAAGTAAGAAATCTTGACTATTGCAAACATATTAATATAATTGTAGATTACATAAGTATTAACTTTATTTCTTGTTACCTAATTCAGAAAGTGGCCGACCAAAGAAATTGCTCAACTAAAGTTAGAAATTGAAGACGAAAAAAAGAAAAGGGGTGAACGTATTGCCGATGAAGATTTTCATAGATTCAACAACAAAAATGATAAATTTAATCGCAACGGTAATACATCAGTTTCCTTGGTTTTTTTCTATTTACAAATGAAAATTGTATTATTTTATTATTAAACAAAAATGTATTGGCTTACAGGTAATGGCGGACGCTTTAACAACAGAAAACGACCCAAATTTGATGGCACTTACACGGAACCTCCAGAAGAACCAATGAATGGAAACTTAAATCGTTTTCCTGGCATAAATGGTATTTAATTTTTTTTTTTTACTAATATATTACTCAAATAAAACTAATATAATAAGTGCCTTTCAGAAATACTAATAAAAGAAGAAGCCATGAAAGACGAGGCCCGAAAATCTGGTTCCTTAAAGTTGTTAGAAGAATATGAATGTAGTGATAATGCTAGTGATGATGATAATGATGAAGATGCCCCCGAAGAAGTGGCTATTGTCAAAGAATCCGCCTCACTAAAAAATTATTGTTCTTTGTCTACTAAAGAATGTGATGTTCAACAAGACCAAATTTTGATGACAATCGATGATACAGAGCAAAACAAAGATAATAATATTACAACAATGGACACAAATGATACGCAGGAAAATGAAAATGAAGATTTGGCTTCTGCAAATGACAAACCAGAAAAAATTGATAAAGAAAATAATATGAATAACAATGAAATAAAGGAAAATGGTGAAATCGAAAATACTCAAAAAAGAAAAAGGCCCCAAAAAAAAGATGGCAAACCGGTAAAGAAAGTTCCACCTCCCCGAACTCCAAGAAACGAAGTGATGGAGAGAAAAGCTGCTCTTTTAGAAGCAGTAAGTGATAGTTATATAGAAAATAAATATTTTTTTTAAATTTAATTTAATTATATCAATATTTTTAGTTGATGGGCAATTTGATGCGCAGCGAGCGGAACACTATAACACAGTGTATTTGTTACATAAGGAACAATATGGATCGGTTCACCAAAAGTCAAACGGCTTAATTTTTTATTTTTTTAAAAAACAAACAGTAATTCCTGAAAGTACAACTGGTTGACAAACATTTCAATAGAGCTTTCGAAGATTATTGATTCTGTTGTTATGTGATAAAATGTGAAAATTGTTAAACAACAGTACATCGATTACATTGATTTTTTTATTTATTGTACTTTGCAAATTGTTAATATTATTGATGTGTATATTACAATTATTTATTTCTATAAATATTTAATATTTTTATCTTTCATTGGCGTTAAAATTATTTCTCTTTAGCAATAATTTAATTCTTTCATCAAGATCATTAATATATTTAGTTCTGATCTTAAAAAGCATGTATCATTCCCCCGTCACAAAAACAATAAAATGATCTGTATGACAAACTATTTATCGATACCTTAAAGCACACAAGTGCTATGTCCATTGAGAGCTCAAGAGTTAAACTCTATACCTCAAAAACCATATTAAGTGGACATAGCACTTGTGTGCTTTAAGGTATGTTATAAAATACAAAAAACAATAATATTTATAAAAATAATAATATATTTAAAATAAATTAACAGCACTTACAGCAAAAACATGCGCTCTTAATATATTATAACAAACTGTACAACTAAATAAATAAATCCTAAAGTAATGGACTAGGTGTAAATAGGTCTGGGTCTTCATCTTTGTTACCTTCTTCAGCATAAATTTCTATTTTTAAATGCTCGCAGTCTATATTACGCAATGGCACAATGACAGGCGAATATATCGTTGTAGCTTTATCCTCGCTCGGTATTAATGGAAAATCCTTAAAAATATAAATGCAAACAATGAAATATTTCAGAGAATCAAGATACATCTATTTTGTAGAAGTTGCTTATTTAACCAACTATTGTTAAGTTAAAGAATTATACGTGTTTTTAAAACTCAAATAAAAAAAGTTAATGGGTGATATGAACTAATTTTTAAATTGAAGTTTACAAATTGTAGTATAGTATGTTAATACAAAGGTCAACTTTTTATAAAATCTAAATATGTATATTAATTTTGATGCAACTTTAAAATTCAACAGAGAATAATTATTTCAAACAAATTTTTTACTATTATTTTTTAAATTTAAGTACCTAATACACTGAAAATCAAAACATTTGTTAAATCATAAGAGACAATTTACACAAATTCTAAATGTAATATGCATAATTTAATTTTTTAAGGATTAAGCAGCAAAGATCATATTTAACTTAAAAAAAAATTATTCCAAATTAACAAAAATAATGACCCAGTTCTATCTTTGGAACCAATCAATTTCTTTTGTTTAGGAAAGCATAGCTGTTACAACATTTTTTTTACCTTTTCAGAACCCTAGGTCATTAGTGTACCCTTGATAATAATCATATCTGGCTTATAATAAAAAGATTGTTCAATTACATCGACATCCTCCCAAAAAAATATGGTATCTCACGTTTTCCAACTTTCTTTTTTACATCCAACAAAATGTAAATTTGAAAGTTCAGTTTATTCACCCTGATAAGTTGGAAAAGGTGAGATAACTTTTTTCGTTGAAAATATTGACAAACAATTTTTTTTTTTAATATTACTGGGTCTAAAGGGGGTTTTTTTATTTGAAATAAATTTCAGAAAACATTTTTTTTTTTTAACTTGAGAATGAAATTTGAATTTTTAAATCTTTTTGAACCTTCTTCCTCCCCAAAACTATACAGACATTATGATTAAAAGCTCACAACAGCCATATCAAATACATTAATACAATACTTCTGTATGTTTTTGAATGTCTACAGATGCCGTTTCAGTCGTGTGAATATGAATTAAAAATGTACAACCACTCGGCAACGGATTCAACATTGTATCACAAACTATTAATTTCAAACATAACGCTCTCAACATTTGTTCTAGTTGGATTAAATAAGGATCTCTCAGATTGCTTAAAAAAAAAAAAAACAATTGATTAAAAAATTAAAACTTGTTACAAAATTGAATTACTTACGGTATATCTGACAAATCTAAATCGAGTTCAATACGATGAATGTTAAAAACAAAACGTTCAACTGCTCTTCCAATTCTATTATAAAAGCAAACATCAATCTGGTTTAGTTTTTTTAACTTCAAAAGACTTTTAACCGCGTTTAGAGAACTATTAATGTAAGTGTTCAATTCAGGATAAATGGAAATCTAAAAAAAATTGTTTCCAAGTTTTTGTTATTAAATAAATAACATATTTTATTCGTTTTGCAATATTTAGTTTTATGACTCTACTCTATACTTACGTGCACAGGGACATTATACTTTTTCTTCAATTCAAATATACCTTCAGGATAAATTTTTCTGGCATACACAATACAATGTATAGATACCTCCAGAAGCTCGATAAGCACTGATGCACTATCTAAAACACAAATGTTGAGAACATTCACAAAACATATTTTTTTCATCACTTATAATGTTGCTTAAAAATAAATAAGTGTCGCAAGTTCCATCCTCAGAGATATGATCATTATTTCACTGCTCTGGAAATGGACCTATGGTGGTATATCTGTATGCTTGGTAGGGAAACGTAGTGAACATACTACCAAAGAGGATACTCGCAACAGGTCCAAAACGTCAGACAATATTGACAACATGTATACATTACCCGACAATATTTTAAGAATTAAATCATTGGACACTATATTTTTAAATAACACAAATATTCGACTAATATCTATTTGAATAAATACTATTGAATAAAATAATAATCAACTCTTAACTATTTAAAATTTAAATACATTAAAATATACCTGAAAATTTTTCTTTGCTCATCTTTTAGATTTACGACGGTTTAACTTCGAGCCATAATAGAAAGAAATTTTAATAACTTATTAGTTGTTGGCACTCGGATAACAGTAGTTTAAGGTTGATCATTTAAATATTTCTAAAATTCAAAAGTTTCTCAAGACTCCTCACAGCTCACCGGCGTCCACGGCTGAAGCGGCGGTTGGATTTTTAAGAATACCGAAAAAATGATAACACATCACAATTAGTGATAACAACTGATAGAAATCTGTTGATTGTTATTATTTGGAAAATAACGGTGTAATGTGTTACGTGCTTTTAAGTTATAAAGTTCACTATTTTTTTGATGCGGGGTGAAGAATATATTGGTTTTACAATAATATTTTTTCTTCTATTTTGTTTAACCACCAAATTGATTTATTACATTTTAATATTATTAAAAAAAAACCTACTCTCTATAATGTTGTTAAAATATTAATCGTGAAAGCCGTAATGAATAGCAGAAGCTAAAGTGCCCTTGTGTAAAATCGAAAAAATAAATTGGTGGTTTTAAAACGTTTTATCGAGTTTCGACTTCACTGCCCTTATTTAAAACGTTTTATTTACCTAACTAAAATTATAATATAAATCAGTTTATCGACTCTGTACAAACGTTTATAGAGGCTTAACTCATATTTTGTATACGATGTCAAACGTAAGCATCATACGATTTTTAATAACTGTTATGAATAGACTTATAGACGCACATTCAGCATAATATGTTTTACTGCGCAATTTCAAATCATCTGTACCAAAAGACTCGATATTATGATATTTTCATAATACATAATTTTAGACCTTTTTAAGCGACAAATAGATTGTCTTGTTTATCGGTAGAAAAAATCGTTAAAAGAAAATAATGATATCCGGTCAACAAAATTGTATTATAGAAATTTGTTTGTGTAGGACGTGGTCATGGCAGAGTTAATGATAATCACTATTAATTAGTATCTTATAACTAACAATTACACACAACTCAGAAATAAAATAATTAATGTTGGATCATACTAATACTCGGGTCAAGACGGGACTGGATTGGACTCCAAGGTGAAAATCCAGGAGGAACCATCTATGATTTTGAAATAGATTTTGCAAATTTGGATTATTGGATATCATTTTTTTTTTAACTTGCAGATAAGCTAGGGGGGGGGGTGTCCATCCCTGTGGGCGCCCTTGATACCATATTGTCGTATTATTGTATTGTAGTATGATGCGAGCTAGGGTCACGAATCGTGACTCTCGGTGTAGAGAAGATATTATTATGATTTCTGAGTAATTTAGGTATTAGGTTATATTTTGTTTAGACGTTAAGTGTAAACTGTACTCGTTATATTATGTTAATTATTGAGGTTATCGTCATCCGCTTAACGAGCCTTTAAGACCCAACGCTGCCATCATGAGATGATGGTTTCTAGACGAATTCGTTGTCCGGGAACGTCGCCGGAGAGGGGATGGCAGCTCTTTTTCACCAGCAAATGAAGCGCCCCTGACCAAGTGTCGAACCGGCGACAATGAGCGCCGAACAGTAAACACTATTGAGTATAATATATTCAGACAAATAACATTTGAGTGCCCAAATTAAACGCGACAACGACAATAATGCACTTGAAAACCCCGAGTTTTCTGTCTGGTTAGTCATTAGTGTCACGTGTTAGTCGAGTGTGTGGTGTGGACCGTGATTTTTGAATTAATAAAAAACAAAAAAAACTTCTACCAATAGTCGGCGCAAACATCTTCTGAATGTAAGTAAACATATTGTTATACTAACATATAAATGGAAAAATTATGGATACTATTATCGTGAGTTGTCCAATTATTGCAGTATAAATGCAGTTTAGTTCTTGAATAACGGAACAACTTTTGGCATAAACTCACTTTAACGGGCACCCTTTTTTTGTAGTGTTTTTTACGTCGATTACGAATCTGAAGTCATTAAGTTCCAAAGTTAAAGCTTTAATACTTAAGAAAAATTATATTGATAATATCATTGATAATATTAAAATAAAAAAATAAATCAATAATTATAATAAAAATAAATAATAAATAACTAACTAAAAATACTGTAGGACGCGCACTCGCATCGCTACAGCTTCCAATTTTTATATATCTATGCGGAATGTTCAAGTAGCTATAACATTGGAACTAGAGGAGTCAGCCGATTTTTGACTCCAAATTCGTAATGAGCGTAAAAAAACACTACCAAGATTAAAGATGGTAAAAAAATTGTGAAAAATTGAAATCACATTGTATAACAACAATATGAAAAAAAAAAATTTTAATTTCCTATTAAACCCTATGAGATATTGAGTGGTTCATGATAAAAGAATCACCCTGTATATGCTGTGTAAAAAAAATACACTAAAAATTAATCATAAATAATTAGCCAAAAAAATATTAAATTAATATAAATTAAGTGTTTTTTAACTTTGCAAGTTTAATTTATGATTAAAGGACTGATGGTTTTGATGGATTAGTTGCATACATTTTTCTCAGTATTTAAAAATATATTATAATAACTCTGTTAACTTTCACCATGTATATACTATTACATTTATGTACACTGAAAATAACATTAATTGTTATATTAAATGCATTAACTATAATCTTTTGGTAAATTAATTAACATTTAACTTAAATTAATTAATATTTAACTTACATTAATGTGTCTATTGTTTCTAAAATACCACACACAAAGGCTAAAGTAACAAAAAAAATGTGCACCTTCAATAAACTCGAACGAAACAACATAATACGTAGAACAAATACATTTTGCTCCATTAATAAATTATTAATAATGACAAGGAACAGTTACATTTTATTTGTTCCGGAACAAATATCAAAGGAACGAGTTCCGGTATTTGTTCCGGAACGAATATCTTGAGGAACGAGTTCCGGTATTTGTCCGGAACGAATATCTCGAGGAACGAGTTCCGGGTATTTGTTCCGGAACGAATATCTTGAGGAACGAGTTCCGGGTATTTGCTCCGGACGAATATCTCGAGGAACGAGTTCCGAGTATTTGCTCCGGAACGAATATCTTGAAGAACGAGTTCCGGGTATTTGTTCCGGAACGATTACAACAGGGAGTTATGAAGGAACATGTTCCGGAATTAGTTCCGAACCCCTGGTACAAATGACATTATATAATATATATTTAATACATTTTATTTATATTTATTGTTATAAATAATTGTTGTGTGCAAAAAAATTATACCTCTTCAATGCATGATTTTTTTTATTTCACTAAAATTTATTTTCTTTAATATGTAGCGCAAGAAATATAATAAAATAATTCATAAAAAATGGTATCTTATCGTTATCGGTAAGTATTAAATATGCTACATCATATTCATGCACGGGATGTTACACACAGAACAGCACTTTATTTTATAGCAATAACAATACATTAGTATACTAAGCCAATAGTCATAACACTATCGGTTATGAACGAAAAGGCTTATCGGGCTACCCACACACACACAAAAATTCTATAACATTATATTTAGATAACTCTGTAGCTAAGTGGCTTCCTAAGTCATAAATATATATTATAAATTTACAAAGTTTAGTAATTATACAATATAGCAACAGTGAGGTAAAACAAAATATATGACATTTTCGGTGTATTAGTTATAATCAGAGCTCACTATTGATTGTTTAGATTATCTATGATCTGTAGGGGTGTACTAAGAAGTGGGCGACGGGATGATCGCCTTCCCCTTCTGAATATTTACTTGTGTATGTTAAAACCAAACAGTCTTCGCTGATACGAAGATAGAAACGTAATGATCAATAATAATAATTCATACGTTTATGTAACATTGGCGTCTTATACAATTTTGTTTTTCTATTTGCCCCCCCCCCCCAGAGGATGAAGTAAACACGCCCCTGATAATCTGAAGAGTGAAAATACTAAAAATTGAATAGCATAGGTAAAAATTTGCTAAGGTGGGCATAATGCTATAGGTTCATGAATATGAGTTTTCCCGTGAGTTAAGACGTAATTTTATGTGTAGTGTGGTGATTGGTGAATAAGTGAATGAATTCTATCCCACCGTCTATTCTGTTGTAACAATATTTCATAAAATGATTAATAGTTCATGTTTTTAAAATGCTAATTCATTTTTTAAATTCTAGTCTAAATTAGGCAGTTTAAATATTAATTAGTCTAAAAACGTAATTTGAATAAAGTGTCACCGATATTTCAAAAACTCTTAGCTTGCAAACGGTTTGACGACAAAATAATCTAGAGGTTTATGTAAAGTATAACTTTATCAAAATCCGAAATGGAAAATTAAAAAAAGATACAATTAGTGTGTAATACCATATATTTATTAGTATCTATATAGTAATTAATTGGTTGTTTCATCAAGCAAAGGAACTTTGTATTACGCATAGTTTGAACACATTATTATCTGGTTAATTTTTAAGAGGAGGTTTGATGATGCCAGGAGACCTTCATTATCACCTCTTACAGAAAATGTAGGATGCGTAAATAAATATTATAAATTATGCCACAGGTTAGCTTTTCATTGTGATTTAATTCATAATTAAAAATAACAAATTCATTTTCACACCTTATGCATACTGTAATATTATAGTTGTTTTTAAAATTATAACCTAAATTTGGACTGGCAAAATAAAATTTGTAGTTTTAAAATGTTATATTTTTAAAAGCTTTTTATTTTTCAATTTAGTAAATAATAATTACTTAATATTTTTCAGAATATTGACTTCTTTATTTCAACAACACACGTTTTCACTATGGATCAGTTAATTACTATTATGAACAAACTGCAAGATGTAATTATCGCAGCTGGTGGTATACAAACGATAAATCTTCCTCAAATCGTAGTTGTCGGAGCACAAAGTTCTGGGAAGAGCAGTGTGCTAGAAAACTTGGTAGGTAAATCATTTCTACCGAGAGGTACAGGCATAGTTACTCGAGTGCCGTTGGTTTTTACATCTGCTAAAAGCTTCTGACGAAGATTTTAATAATGCCGGCTTAAATCAATCAAATGACTGGGCCATTTTCTCGCACAAACCGGGAGTTGTATTTACTGATTTTAATAAAGTGAAAAAAGAAATTGAAGCCCAAACAGATAAATTGGCTGGCGATAAAAAGAATATTAGCGACAGTCAAATCGTGTTGAACATTTATTCGTATAAACTTTACAATTTGAGTTTTGTCGATTTACCCGGGTTGACTAAAGTTCCCGTCGGAGATCAGCCAGAAGACATAGAAATAAAAATCAAAAATTTAGTATTGAAATTCATAGAAAACCCGAATTCGATTATTTTGGCCGTCGTTACGGCCAATACTGATCCAGCGACCAGTGAGAGTTTACATATAGCGAAAAATGTCGATCCAAACGGCGATCGGACCATAGCAGTGGTGACCAAAATCGATATCATGGACGCTGGGACCGATGCGACTGAGTTATTATCGGGTGAAGTGATCCCGGTAAAGCTAGGAATAATCGGTGTAATCAATCGGTCTCAAAAAGCGATAACAGAGCAGAAGAGTCTTGATGAATCTCTGGCAGCTGAAAACGAGTATTTCCAAACGAAATACCCTGCAATATCACAAAAACACGGAACCGTTTTGCTGGGCAAAACGCTTCAACAACTGCTAATCAAAAAAATACAAGACACTTGTCCAACTCTGAAAAATCAGCTATACGCTATGAATTCCAAATTTAACGAGCAAGTGAAATTATACAAAGCATTTACCGACAATTACGACAAATCATTGTTAGACATACTCACGCAAACGGCGACTAGTTACAGAGCGTGTTTGGACGGACAGGTAAACGATATGTGTCTGACTGAGCTTCAAGGAGGCGCCAGCATAGCCCGTTATTTTAAAAACACTTTTCAAAAGGAAATCGACGACATCGACCCCCTATCGGGTTTATCTCATTCGGCTATTGTCAACGCCATCCGCAATGCTTTGGGTACTAGTATAGGAGTTTTCATGCCAACCCAGGCATTCGACCACCTGATAAAAAGGCAAATTAAGCTCATGGAAGGCCCGTCGTTGGCTTGCGTCAATTTCGTGTACGAAGAATTGATCGGAATTCTATACAAAATGGAAGAGGATATTAACCGTGAGCTGAAAAAATATCCTCGGCTGTTATCGAAAGTAACGGAAGTCCTGCAAGAAATGTTGGTAAAATATAAAGAAAAATCGGTAGAAGCAGTGTGCAAAATCATACGTTATCAGGAAGCGTACGTCAACACGGGCCATCCTGACTTTATAACCGAAGTAATAGAATCGGAAGAATATCAGGAACTTTTCGAGAATTCAAAAATCACCGAGGAGTATTTACAAGATTCGTTTACCCAGCAATCGTACAGTACTTCAACACTAAACAGCAAAGTCGAGCGCAAACCGACCCTGAAGGAACTAGCACGCGAAATGCGATACAAAGTAGAAAAAATAAGTAGTTGTGGATTTACTGGATTTTCGGATACTGATAAACCGATATCGGAGAGCAGAGTTAACTTACTGACACTATTTCTTAAGTGTTACTATAAAGTTGTTAAAAAAATTATTCAAGACACTGTGCCGAAAGCGATTATGCACGAAATGGTTAATAGCGTAAAAAGGGACTTTCAAAAAATGTTGATATCCAAAATATATAAATGTAAAAGTTTAAAAATGGAAGAGCTTTTATACGAGTCCGATGAAATCGCGGACGAGCGAATCAAAACGTTAAGAAGACTAGAAGCAACTGAAAAGGCATTAAAACTAATGAGGGACATTGAACAACTATGTCATAACTTCAGTACATGACCGCGATATATTTTATTTTAAATATAATAAATTCGGGGATTAATTTTTCTTTTTGCTTAACAAAAATATAACTTTTATGTGTAATATCACAACACTAAATTAATTAATATACTTAGTTTATACTTAGTTAAGTAATAAATACTATTAACGATAATTGTAATGCCTAAAAATTAACTACCTAGATTTTATACTTTCTCGATTTCGTTATTTTAATGTAGCTATTTGTCATTTTTAGATATAAAAATAATTGTATTGTATACAATTCAATTTTGAGTATTAAACGAGATCGCTTTAAATTTTTACTGTAAATTTATTAGCTATAGTTTCAATACTTCTAGCTTATTACATTGTTTCAATTTTTAAACCTTTATAATCAATATTTTTTTAAATAAACAAAACATTTTTATATTATTAACAAACTATGCTTATTTAATAATATGACTCATGTTTTATTTTATAACTTTTTTTAATAAACAATACAATTTTTTTACTTATATTTTTTTATAGATAATATTTGATCAAAGTAAGATCGACGTTTTAAGGGGATTGCATGCGGCTGATTTTTTTATGTTTAAGACCAAAAAGCCAGATAAAATTTCGACTAACTAAGATGTTCCGATTTCAATTCTGTAAAGTTATACCAGTTCTTTGGCAACTTTACTTGGTTATGTAGGAAACGGATTTTTCATTTTATTATGTAAACAAATTGGTTTTTAATATTCAAAAAATTGCAAATTTAATTTATTTAATTACAAGAAACTGAAATTTATAAATGAAAATCTGCTTCCTACATAACATAGAGTAAAGTTGGCAAATAATTCGAATCTCTTGGCAGAATTAAAATTGGGCCATCCTAAGTAGTCGATATTTTGTCTAACTTTTTGGTCTAAAATAAGCCGAAATACTATAAAAAAAAAAAAAATAATAATAGATAAAATTATAAAAAATTAAAAATAATACCTTGAAGCGTATACAAATTAACCGGGAAATTAATTAACATGGTCGAATAAAATAAAACCATTTATTTCTTAAATATTGCCTATACAAAACTTCTTAAAAACAAACCGCATGCAATCCCCGTTATGCAAAGATATATTTTCAACAAAACAAAATCGACCATATTATTTTTAATAATTAAAATAACTGTGTAAAAATAAGAAAGTTTTCCGTTTTTCAGCGCACTTCATCAGGTGGTCAAATCCGTTGGAAAACACCGAATAACCGCCCAGCACAATCGAACAACACTGCGCGATCACGCGGATGCAAATGGCGCTAGGCTGCGACGGCCACCCGACCCTTTTCTTTATGTACAATTATTGTTCAAATTTCCAGTGCCGATATTATTTTCCATTAATAAGATAGGCACGTGTCCTATGGCCCCCAAATTAAAGGCGCCTCAATAAAATTACACACTATTTATACAATCAAACAGGGTCGAAGATACTATAAAAAAGCAGTGTTTGAAGAAAAAAACTAAAAATACTTTTTACGATCATAGTAAAAGTTATCGAAAAAAAAATCCAAAACAAATTTGGGAACATCCTTTATATCGTAACAGACATGTAGTGTAATTTTCAAAAAAATCCGCAAAGGGTCACTCCAGACGTTCGTTCGTATTTGGCGTTTTGACACATGTACCTATATTTATAAAAAAAACATATTTAAGCCATGGCCCAGGTCTACTACTCAGGCCTATACGTTAATCGGCCACTGCTTACGTCATATACATAATATCATAAAACCCAACGTCTTTTTGTCTGTCTGTCCGTTAATGCGCGTATAATTTGAGGACCACTGATCCGGTTTAAATATTTGAATTGTATATTATTTATATTATAGTTCACAAATATGTTGTCTATAGTTTGCTACGTAAATACACTTTTTTTATATTTCACAAAAAAAAATTGTATACATTTATCTATAATAAAAAGATTGTGGTCCCTGTTGGCTGTTTGGTATAAATAGTGCGTAATTGAAGTGAGGCCCATTTAATTTGGGGCCATAGGCACGTGCCTATCTTGCTAATGGGCAACAATATGGCCCTGGAGATTTGGACAATAATTTATTGTTCACTGCGGCGGGTCGCGGGGGGAGGATCGGGTGGCCGTCGCGGCATAGCGGCACAGCGCCATTTACGTCCGCGTGATCGCGCAGTGTTGTTCAGTTGTGCTGGGCGGTTGTTTGGTGTTTTCCGACGGATTTGCACAACCCGATAAGGTACACTGATAAAATATTGTGTCGTTTTTTTTCTCAGTTATTAACGATTTTTCTATACAGGTACGCTGAATAATATAGTCACGCGTATCATATTGTTTTGAGTGTGCGTAGATCGGCGAGAGACGGAAATTCATTTTTTCCGCCGTCCGTTGAACCTCGTATCCATTTTAGTTTTTTTGATTACAATTTGTCGCGTCAACCTTGACCGTCACCGGCAACCTGTTCGTGTGATGTACCTGAACGGCGGACTGTAAGTATGAATAAATAAAAAATCGGTTTTGCTTGTGTTATAACAGCATACCCCCAAGTCCTTCCCCTCGATAGATCACTCGATAGATGGCAAAAATGATCTAAAAAAAAATCAATGTTAATTCATAACCCCAAACCCTCACCGCCTAGGCGTCAAGTGAAGTACACGGAGGCCAGATTGATCACACCGAACCCGATTTTTTTTTTTTAATTTTCGAAAATGATTTTTATTTGATTAGTACAAAAATGGTATATGTTTTACTCACGACACCCTGCCCATTACCAAACTATTATGTTTGATGATAGCTAGCTATAATCTATGTTATCCTGCGTAAGAGTGATAATAATTTCCGTTTCCGAAAAACTCCGCAATTAGTTAAATCGACGAAACTGGTTTTCATTTCGCGCGGATTTCAAAGCCGACCAAGTAGTTGTAAAATAATATGCTAATGCAGGTGTTACCCACATATGGTTTAAATGTAGTCTTTAATAATTATTACATTCAAAAGAAAAACATATATGTCAAAACCTGTTACAGGACAAGTAGCAAGTAGGTAATTATCATTGTAATAATTATGTTTACTGGTTTAAACAAAATTGCCATTTATGTCATGTTTGTTATAATTTATGTAGTTAATTTATAACAATTATTATATCATTCGATCAAGATCAGTATCAAAACGTCGGGGTTATAGCATAATTGACCAATGAGTGAGTAATTTGTCGACTATTCTTGCAATTGTTTTTATATCAGTTTTCAAATTTACTCACAAAAAAAATTTTCAAATTAAAAATATTTTTATATTTAAATCTTAAAGAAAAAATGTACAAATTTGATTATAACAAATCATTAGAATTTTAAATATTTAAAGATATGATAGTTGGATCATAAAGGTATGATCGTTGAATTATAAGTGTTATACTAAATATTTTTTTAAAAAATATAGTTATTACATTTTCTTATTTTAAAGAGAGGGTATTTTGATATCCAACTGATTTTTAAATTTCTATTGTATATTATTTCATACAATACATAAGCATATACATATTTATATTTATTTATATGAACTAAAAGAATAATTGTAACAAAAAAAAGAAAAAATATTCTAAATTTTTAAATTTTTATGAACTTACCAAAATTATTAGTTTTTGCAACATCTTAAAAAGTTATCTTATAATATAATTTATTTTATTTTTCATAAAATACATGATCTGTACTTAAGTGTTCAAATACTTAATTTAGTTATTTTGAAATAACTCATTCAATAATAGTACATTAATAAAAATTGTAAAAAGTATGATACCTAATCAATTATATAATGTGAATGTTGAGTTATATGTAATAACTTTAAAAATAGATATAATCTAAGAAATAATATAGTGAGTTCCACATAATTATTGTGAATTAATTCACAATGATTAGTGAGTCAGCCAATTTTATTTTGACTGATAAGACAAAATTCTATTATTTGGATAATAGTTCTTAAAATGGTAATATTGATGTTCCATTACTTGTTTACAACAAATAAAAGATTACATTAGTGGATATATCTCAAAGATTATTATGATTAAAAATAATTTTTATAAAAAATGTTTTTACAACAAATTAAACAAACGGTATCTTTCACAGCAAGTTAATAATGTTTTTAAATTTAACAAATTATATTAAATAATATGTAACAAATACAACTTTGATCTAGTAATCAGGATTATGTTTGAGTGGTTTCATACAATTTTAGACTTTTTTTTAAATGTTTTTAGCGTTTTTATAAGAATTAGCAACATGGTTTCAGAATTAATTCTAGCCAAATTCTATTTTATTTTAATCTGTACAAATTTGTATACTGGTTCTATAAAACGGTTTTCATATTATTTGAATGTATTTATACATATTTTAATAAAATCCTTATCGAAACTAAAAGAAAATCAAGTTGTTTTATTGGACTGCCGCATTCCAAAAGGCATAATTCTAAGAAAATTTTAATTTTTAAATATTTGTTTAAAATAAAAAAAATGTATTCATGACAACAGTTAAACTTGGTAAAATGATCATATTGATAGTCATAATATTTTTATAGATAAACATGAATTAAAAAATGAAATTAAATCCTTAGTAATACCTAAAATGATAACTTTGATGCAATAGGTCATTTAAAAATATATTGGGTTTTCATTTTTTCTAATCAGCGGCAGATTCAAAGATTTTCCTCCAGTTGGCAAATAACGCTGCCATTAAACGTTAATTTATTTCATATTTTTAAAATAAAAAAACATCTAACCATCAGCAAGTAAATTATCCCATTAAAATATATTGTTGCCTGTCCATAAATTTTTTGATTGCTATTTGCTATGCATAAACAGAAATTAGAATGTATATTAAACTATTAAAATCCTAATTTGATTATATTTTTTTGAATATTAAATTTTTTTGCTGTTTGACAATATTAAAAAAAAAAGGTATTCTGGATAGTAGTCTAATATGTATATTAAAAAATAAAATTTGAGTCAGCAACCCGAATTTTAAAAAGCTAAAAATTAAGTGTTTTAGTTTTTTTGGCGGAGGTGGGGGAGGGGTAAATCGGTACGAGTAATAAAAGTATCGGTATACCACATAAATAAATGAAACACATTATTAAATATAAACCTTCTCAGTGCCGGAAACCTTTCCAGTCAATAACTGATAACACTATTCTTCCTTTTAGCCATTTCAATTTCACTTCAAAACCAATATTTAAATGTTTGAGAACCAATGGTTTAGCAATAAATACATAATGTACGTGCAATATCTATGTGCAATAAAATTAAAACAATTTTCTCTTTCAAATATCATAGTTAAAATAGTTCGGAGTAAGTTAATTAAGGACGTGGAAAAATGTCTAGGATATGTAAATAAAATCATACTATTGGTTTTCCAAACGATTTGATATTGATTTTGTGTCTAAATTAAATTGACCAAAACCGATGCTATTCTTTTTTCAGCTTACCGTCGTAATGAAAGGAGAGACTATAATAAAAATTGATCTATAAATAATACTTGAAATGGTGTACAATTTTTATGATTTACTATTAACTTTTATCAAACTCCCCTGACTTCTGATTTTGCAAAAATGTACTATACTTAATAATGAATTATCTAATTATTAATTGACTCTTTAATAAATTGGTAATTTGGCGCCTTCTTAATTGTTGTGTTCTTTTCAATTTTGTTTCCAATCTTATTCGATTAAATATAATATTTGCATTATGCCGGTTACAATTGATCATACATTTTATTAAGCATTAAACCATCTACAAAATGTATTGGTTAGATAATATATTAAAAACTTTCACATTAGCATTGTAAATTTAATCGATGTTAATTTATTTATAAATCGTCGAACATCTGAAATTATACACACGCGCTAATGTAGAACGGCTTTATTGAACAAAATTATAGATACAATACATTTTTGGTGTTGCTGAAGTTATTCTTGTCTAAAATGACGCTACCATCACCCGTATTTTAGTCGTGGGGAAAACTCGTTTGCACACATGATACAATAATTTTGCTGAATAGGATCGCGCGCATCTTATATTTTTATTTCGGGTTAGACCTTTTTTTCCATCATAATCGCCCGGGATCTCCGGGGGTTTCAGTTTTCCGCCAAAATAAAGTAAGATTTTGTACTTACAATTTTTTTAAGAACCCCTGAGTCTAAATCTATAAAATCTTACGGTATCAGCGAATTTGGTGTAGACGCGATACTGTAATGAGCTCCATATTATATTTTGTAAAAATGTTAGCCATATACTTTTTTATGGCGTATCTCCGCAGACCTAAAAAAAAAGTTGCAAAGCTAATGTAGTAATGTACACTACACTCCGACTTAAAAACCTCTTATTTTAATTTATTAATTAATAGTTCTCTGTATATTTGTATAAAAAAGCTCACCATTTTTTAAGCTGCATGTCCATGATATTATAATTATGTCAGCAAAATGATTAAGCGTTTTAAACGAATTTAATATGTAGAATGTTTTGATGCTTTAATACAGTCCATTATTTAAATTAATATTTAAATATTATGTCTACCTAAAAATGTGTGCAAACAACTATATTTACCTAAAAGTGTACGGTTATTTGTCATTTAAGTAAATGTGCACTAAGTAGATGTAGCCTTTGGCTGTAAAACTCGTGCTGGAGATAAGATGTTTCTGGTTGTATTCTGGGTAGAATTTCTTACAAAATTGTGTAATACACAGAATAAAACATCACCTGTGTTGTAACATTTTTCTTTTTCTAAAACAATCCAAATTTTAGTTCGTAAATATTATTATAATTTTTTTATTTGTTTATTAAAATTTAAGAGGTATTAACATTTTCTTTAAACATTTGAACTTTTCTCCACTTCATGGAAAAGCATTGAATCAAGGATAATATGTTTTTGGGCCATCCCTACCATCGACTAGTGTCCATGTTCATGGTCATGTTTATGTTAATTTTCCTCCCCTCCCCTCCCCTCTTTATAGAAGCGCTTGATCTATGATGTCGAGAAAAAGGTTAAGATAAATTTATGTCGCTTTTTCCATGTAGTCTGTAGACCCCCATCCTTAAAACATTAATGTTAAAACGCTACAACACTAGAAAAGTTCTTCTCTATGTATTGTAAACAATTTGTAATTTTGTATTATTAATATTTAATATATGTAGGTATTTATTTAATAAGTTAATGAAACTTAAGGTTTAAATTATTCGGTGAATAACGGGTTATTCTACTTATTCGATATTAGAATAATAAATTTGTGTACAACTCCCTGTTAACGTATTCGGTACTGTTACTGTAGCACTAAAAAAACAATCGCAGCTGTACACTGTTCACTCTGGTGCACACTTTAATGAATCATGCAAGTACAAATATAACATTTCTGTACACCGTTACACATTTTGGTTCAGGATTCATTTTTATTTTTCATATGTTTTAAAACAAATTGAAAATGTACGAGTTTGGCTTGTATCTGCTAAAACGTTTAGACTTTATTACGTATTATTGTTATTGGCAATAATCGTTTTCGAGTTATATTAATTTTTTTTTTTTACATTAAACAGTTTAAATTTTTAAATACGTTGTTCGTGATTGTCGTCCAGCTGTACAATTTTAAACGCCATATCTGTCTGTTTAATTTTACATACTAAACTCATAACCCACAAACTATACTTATCGCTGTTTAGTTAATTGGTAATAATTCTTAAAAAAAGGCATTCGATTTTATTTGGTTTACAGTAGTAAACGTCCACGTTTTATAACCTGATAGTAATTTGATAAGAGTTGTTGTTTGTGTACATCAAGTTTATACAACTGTGTTGCGTGAAGGTTTATTTTTATTCTCCAAAATTATTGTTTTTTAGCCGTTGATAATTGTTCTTTAGTGTGATAGGTTTGTGAACAAATAATAAAATTATAGGTAAGTAACTAAACTTCGGTGAATTTTCCCCAGATGGCCAGGTACCATAGTATAAACATGTTTTCAAAATATCGATAATATAACAATATATATTATATTATATTGAACGATCAACACGTTTTTAAACGTGTTAACATAAAAGTTCGATGGTGCACCACTCTAAATCGTTATTTTCCTACTAGTGTCAAAATCATGTTTGTATGATAATTATATGTACATTACTGCACACTATCCTTTGTTTTTGCATCGACAAATGCATTTTCATGTATTTTGTTATTTATTTATTTTAAGTCTCCTTATGAGTAATACACTGTTAAACGCCATTCGATATTTTAAGTCAAATATTTTACAGTTAAGAATTAAAAACTACATGGTTCGATTAAAACCATAAAGTGTTATCTATTGCATTCTATAATAAAATAAATAATCTTCTGAGGAAATTTCTGAACAATGTTGTCGTTGTTATAATAATAGTAATCTTAGTAATTACTTATTATTGGTGTGTGATTTCCAGTTTTTTTTTTAGTTCAAGACAACAGACTGGTTCATTTAATTGTATATTAAATAGAATGTTTATTATATTATTTGCATTATCTACAATTTTGTTGCAGCTATAATCAATATTTTTTATTAAAGTAATTTAAACAGAAAATGTTATGTTTTTTATACCTATTTAATGTAATGAAAATAATAAAACATCTTTTATTGCGCTACTAATGTCACGTTATTGTAATTTTGTATTGATTAAATTATGCCCACAATATATACTGCTGTTTTATTTTTGCTTGCATTTTATAAATAAATAAATGGAAAAATAATACCATTTGTTTTGTTTGCTATTATTTTATATAGATGTACTCACTTTTTAATTTTAAACTTGTATATGACTTCTGATGCTAAATCTGAGTAATTTTTCTTTCTGGTTTATATTTATCAATAGTTATTTCGTTACTTATGGATATAAAATTTTTCTTTTTTTTTCAAGTTCCTAGTTTCAGTAAAATATATCTTTTTATAAATAATATCTCCACTATAGTTCAAAATCATAAATTTATGAAATAAACTCGTTTTTTTAAAAATGTATTACAAGTTAGTACCTGTTAATACACAGTTTAATTAGATGTAGGCTATTACAACTTATTAATAAGTTATTATACCTGGTTTTAAACCCAAACCCAACAATAATCTTCCTTCTTCGCTTTAATATGTTCTTGGCTGTGTCATTGCCATAATTTAGCATAATATCAATGTTAAAAACTTTAGTATTATCATTTACCTCTTTACCGAACTTTATACCGTGGTTAAGTGTTCATAAATATTGCAAATATTTTGTTACAAATAAATCAAATGATCGATAAACTTATACGTATATTTTATTATTTTTCTTAAAACCATTAGATACTGAAACCATGGGTGAAGCGCATGTTCATTACAGCAACGGGAATAGTCAAAATGGCGGCCAGCACATCCCAAGACGACCGTACCAGAAAGTCGTGTGGCGCAATGTAATACTGTTTGCCTACCTTCACGTGGCAGCCCTGTACGGCGTGTTCCTAATATTTACTTCGGCCAAAATCGCCACCACTCTATTTGGTAAGTATAACTACAATATACTTAGTTTTTTGACACAACGCGTGATCCTGGTGCGAATTTAAAATGGTTTTACAGCGATTTTCATGTACCAAATCTCCTCGATTGGCATCACTGCAGGGGCTCACAGACTTTGGTCGCACCGGGCATATAAAGCAAAATGGCCGTTGCGCCTCATACTTATCATTTTCAACACAATTGCGTTCCAAGTACGTATATAATAAACATTGTATTACTATCTTTAATTCTTATAATATTACCATTGATCGTGTCAAACTTTTTCGATTGACTGTGATATGTATAAGGAAGGGGGGGGGTTGTCCTATCTATTGGCGGATATTTAGGGAGGGGGTGACTTGGTATACTAAGAACATAATATTGAAAAATGTTATTACATTTGATTTTTTTAGCGAGAGATTTGTTTGAATATGACCTATTTAACAATCCTAATTTTTAGCTTGAAATAGTTTGATTTTACCAAACCCTCTTAAATTTTTCCCTATTGACCCCTAATCCTCCCCACCAAAAAAAGTATTCAACTATTTTAGAAATTAGTTAAGTGTATAGTACTATTTTTTATTTTGAAGAAATTATATTAAATATGGGGTAGTTTTTTGGGGACTTGTATCTCTTTGTTGAACTACCGTGTTATTTGGAATAGCTATCTGAGAATACATATCTGTTTCCTCCTAGATCTTTCTGGTCTAAACCCACCCTGATAATCACCAATAGTTTTTCTGTTTTTGTCTTAAACCTTGATAGGATGTATTTTGAACAAATCTTTGTATGCCTTACTTCGGAGACCTCTTCCGCGATAGTTCTTACTATTTCGCTGCTCACTTATTCTCTTTCTTACGGATTGAACATATTACTACCTTTTTCCATTCTACCGGTATTTCTTATTTGTAGATATTAAAAAAGAGCATACACCTATGTTTACAAAAGAAAATATGAATTAAAAAGTAAAACCAACACTTATTTTTATTTTAACCTAACCTCAGCGCCAATTTCTTATTCGATGTCTCCCCGACCTATAATTACCCACGCTTGCCACTGTATTAAGTAATATGGTGCTTAATAAAATTATAGGTTTATTTTATTATATTTAATCAATTCTTTATGCACACTCAAAGCTTTAGCCTGAAAGGAACGACATATTTGCTAATATAAAACTGTTATCTAATTAATGTGCTCATACGCATTCGAGTTCTCAGGTTGCTTATATATCTATACATACCTATATTTATATAGACATATGGAGAATTCTGAGTCAAACCACGCGGTCATCAGCCCGACCTCAACATTTTTTGAAATTTTTATCACCCATATTTACACCTATACCTAATAGAGGTTTTTTAAGTTATTTTTCACGAAAAATCGATTTCGACTAGTTTTGTAATTAGACATTTTTATCATAAAATCAGAGACTCAAATCAAATCCTTTCGTCTAATAACGGGAATGGGCCCAGATTTATTTATATTTTTTTTTTTTTTTTAGTAATAATAAGTTTTTTCAAAACTGAAAAAAATATATAATTTCATTTTCTTTTTTAAAACATGTAAAATTTGATATGATATTTGATATATTTTGACATGTTTTATTTATTATTATAAATAAAAAAACTGAAATTATACATTTTTTCAGATTTGAAAATAAAATTACCAAAATAAGTAGGTATAAAATAAAAATGATCTTACATGAGACTAAATATTATCGATTGTTCAATTGAAAACCATATAATAGTATAGCAATACTTATAATTACTAACATAAAAATTAATTTACTACAAACATTATTAATTTTATAGTATAGTAATACTTATTTTTTTTGTTAATTTAAAATATATTTAACTCTAAACAATGATAAGGCTGAAAGGACATTTAGCATTTTTTACTCCACGATTTGCATTTTTCTGTGCCCATTTGCTCGTTTTGTTCTTCCTATACGATTAAATAATTAAATAGCGAATTTCGATTACAATTATTATTATTATGATGTTCGAATTAACAAAAAACAAAATTATTCAATAATGCAGAAATAATACACATCTTTATTTTTAACTTGAAAATCTATAAGACGTCATTGATTATAGTCATAATATTGCTCAATTACTTATATTGTTTTCTTCGTCCATTGGTCCATATTGTTTCCAAGAATTATAAATATTAAATTCGTACAACAACTATAATCGATACTGCAACATTGCTTATTATTAATTTATGACTAAAACGGTTTTCCTAGTAATTGAGACAATTATTGGAATGGGAACTTGTATTTTTCAAATGTGAAGCCACAAATTGTGGCAAGATTTCTAGTGAGGATCCCAAAAACACGTTATTGTGGCGCGACATCATCAATTAAAAACAGCGTATTCTTATCGGTGGCGCCACTATTTCTTTTCTGTGGCAACACACAGTGGCTCGTGTTAAACAGGCCTAATTATGTATAAAAAAATAAAAAAAAATTTAGATGAAACAAACATTTAGTAAGACATTACTATGCTAATGTATAAATAATATTTCATTAATTTACAGTAAGAGTAAAACGTAACTTTGTCGAAAATAAGTTTTCATGTTTTTTTTCTCGAATTTTATTCGTCCGGCCTACCAATTTAACAACCTGTAACGGTTATTTACCACTTAACCACAAAATCGCCATTTTAAAAAACGATTTGACAGAATAACGAAAACAGCACAAATGATTGGAGGACCTGCACTTGAGTAATGAGTTATTGCATAAAATATAATCTACTTGAAATTTTTTTTTTTTTGAATGTCAACGTTTTTGTATTGTTAGCACACAAACAATTGCAACCTCGACCCCTATAAAACTTGGCAAGTATAATTAATATTGTTTCTGGCCTATTTAACAGCCCAACAACGTGGTAAAAGTACAATCGAGATAATAATTCATGTACATAAAAAGTAATTAAAATATATTACACGAACTTGTTGTATTTTTACTGATTTTCACTAATCGCGTTATTCGTTATTGTGTTTGCATATTCAATGAAATATATGCATATATAATTCAAAAGTCGCTATCGAAAAAACTAAGTTGAGAGGTGGGTAAAAACCCAAAAAATTGTGAAAAACTGCGATCACTATGTATAAAACAATATGAAAAAAATAATTCATTTTTTAGTAAACCCTACGAGATATTGAGTAGCCCATGACAAAAGAATCACCCTGTATAACTGTGTGGTGTGTGTGTTAATTCAAGTAGATTTAATGTTAGGAGCAGTGTGAATATTTTAGTGTTGTTTTGATTTTAAATCTCCCGATCAATTTTAGTTTATACTTAGTATACATAATGAAATAAATTTAATTTTCCTTATTGTTAGTACAGTAATAATATTGGTTAAATAATTTGTACAAACACAAAATTCTGCGTAAACATATTAAAAAATCAAGTGTCAAAAAGTACTCCCGACGAGTGGGTTTGGTTATCAACAGGTTGATATTTCAGCTAACCTGTTCAACAAAATAAGAATTAATAAAACAAATTAGTCATTAAAAGATTATAACATTTATAATGGGGCACTTATAAAAACTGTTTCAGTTAAATTATATTGTTTTTACCTTTACCTCTTGTCATAATAATAATTAACAAGAACCTAAATATTCACGTTTTGTTTAAATAACAAGCATATTAAGACCAATATTTTTGTTATATCCGTTAAATCTATTATTTATGAGTGAAATATAATTTAATACAATGTAAAACAAATGTTAATTACTTTATTCTAGATGTTCCGATGTCGGGGAAAAGTGTTATCATTGTGTAAAAAAAAATGATAAGTCACAAAGAATGTGGATATGAGTTCTAAATATTAAGTATGTTTTTCTCCGTGTATTTGTGTTTATGCGAAATTGAATGATTAGTGTCAATAAAATATCAGTGGTGCTAATGTCAAGGCTACACTCGTGTATGAAGCGTGTTTCGTTTTGCTTATTTATATTGACGTTTTTGTTTTTAGTTTTATTATTTATACGTGGTCAAATCTGCTTTATTATAATAATTTTTATTATTAATAACAGTAGTTGGCATAATCATACGTTTTATTGGGTCACGTCCACGCACTTGACACGTTACTCTAGTATATTATTCAGTAAATGCTCGACTAGTAGAGTAGAAGGTGAAAAGAATTATTTTAGTACAGTAAAAAAAAAAACAAGGAATGCTAAACGTCTATGCCACATAATCTCCTTCCTTTATATTATTCATTTAGTGAGCTAAAAAACTTCTGAAGTACTTCTAAAATTATAAACTATGCGCATGTCTTTATCGAAATGCACCTATTACTGTTCTTAACTCTTATCAGCTGATTTTCTCTTATCTTAAAAGTGTATAAACAACTTGTTAAATTGACATGTTTGCGATGGAAAAAAAATACCCAAACCCAATGCCTAATACCAAAATCTATTTTGAAAATATAAACCTACTTCTCAACTAAACGTTTTTTTTAGGGTTTGGGATAGAAATGTTGAAAATCCGTATTTTACAAAGCTCTGTTTATTTGGCTAATGTATTAATTGTTCATTTCTTCATTCAGTAAAACTGACATTGTACATTATGGACGTTAACTTATAAAATTATAATTATTTTACTTAATAGGTAATGACCGTTTGTGATTTCAGTTAAACATAATAATAATTAATAATATGTATGTTATTGATGATATCGAAATTACTATACAGGGTAGGTATTTGGTGGGACCCCCAAATAAGCCCCCTGTTTTTATTTTTTCGATAAGTAAAACAATTAAATGTTTCAACAGTTAAGTAAAAAAAGAATGACCTAAAAAAACAAAAAAATATTCCATGTTATTCAGTGCAAAAAGCTCACCTTAAAAGAGGGGTCACATCATTTTCAGTTTTTTCAGCCCCTAACTGCTCTTATCACTTATCTTATCATTTATTTCTTACCTCTAGTCTCTTACCACTAATATCTTATCTTTTATTTCTAATTATTTATGTCTAATCTCTTACCATTTAGCACCTATCTCCATAGACCTATAAAGATTTCTTTATAGGTCTATGCCTATCTATCATAATTTATCTCTTATCAATTATGTCTTAGCATTTTTTTTTATCACTTATCATTTATTTCTGGTCTCTTATCATTTTTTGAGTTAGGGGCCGTAAGGGACTAAAAAGGGTGCTTATTTGGGGTCCCCCAGATGTCCAATCACCTATTACTTACTTTTCATGCTGGAACACCCTGTACATAGCTTGTTCACAGTGTGCATGTATACAAATTTACAGTTGAACACCTGCTTATTTTTGGTAGAAAACAAGTCGTTCTACTTTAAAAGTACGGCTCCTAAAAATACTCCGATTTAAGTTTTAAAATAAACATTTTAATTCTTAACAACATTATCAAAGCATCGACTGTGGCACAGTTTTTAAATTATTTTTAGTTAATTAATTATTTTAATGTAAAAAACTGCAATTTTTAACTAAAAGTAAACAAGTATTTTTAAAAATTTTAGCTTAATGTTAAATTATAGTGAAAATTGCCTATACAATGCGCCTTAAAAATGCTAGTGTAGAGGCCCCTTAATAAAATCATTATCAAAATGAACATACTTAGTTTGTTTTTAAGTTAATACAAATGTTAAAATAGTAGATCTAAAAATATAGTAAGAGTATAATAAAAATAGAATTTAATTTACTAATATTCAGTATTCTAAGTAGTTTAAATGAAATTTATTAAGAATCCTAGCTATCGTAGTTTCCACATTTGCATTTGTAGTGTCATCGTTATACTCAAAACTTAATTTATCACCTTGAGCACTAGAATAATATTATTAAATTATTATTATATTTAAGTCATATAAATTATAATAAAAGTAAAAACAAAACTAAACTGTGAACATTTGTAAAAAAAAAAAAAATGAAAATTTACTTGTAATGTTTGTTTAATTTGATAAACTTTATCACAGAATCACGTGTACGAATGGGCTCGCGATCATCGATTACATCACAAATACAGTGAAACCGATGCGGATCCACATAATGCCAAAAGAGGGTTTTTCTTTTCGCACGTCGGCTGGTTGTTATGTCGCAAACATCCTGACATAATGGAAAAGGGACGTGGAATCGACATGAGTGACTTGCTAGCCGATCCATTAGTGGCTTTTCAAAAAAGGTACTATTTCAAAACTATCAACAAAAGTTATTGATATTTTTAATATTACCATCTATTGTACTCTGTTGCAGGTACTACAAGTCCCTGATGCTGCTGATGTGTTTCATATTGCCTACGTTGTTACCAGTTTACTGTTGGGGTGAAAGTTGGGCCAATTCGTGGTTTGTGGCCACAATGTTCCGGTATACTCTTTCGCTGAATGTCACATGGTTGGTCAACAGTGCAGCACACATGTGGGGTGGACGTCCTTATGATAAGTTAGTTTTTTTTTGGAATGTCTGTTAAGTGTCATTTAAGTGATTTGATGCTATTTAAAGTTGCTTTTTGAACGTCCAAGTCTTTAAATCGGGAGGAGACAATTAAAAAAATATTATGACTTAAATTTGTTAAACAAAAACTGGTTATTTAAATTAAATAAAAGCAGATAGACATTGTATACTAGGCTTCATCGATAACTATTGGCTAAATCGTTATTCTTGTGTATCAGGTTCATCAATCCAGCCGAAAACTTGACTGTGGCCATTCTAACGCTAGGAGAAGGTTGGCACAACTATCATCATGTGTTTCCGTGGGACTACAAAGCAGCAGAGTTGGGCGACTACAAGTTAAACATGACGACGGCATTCATAGACTTCTTTTCGAAAATTGGCTGGGCTTATGACCTGAAAACCGTGTCGGCAGACTGCATACGCAAGCGCGTCGAACGTACCGGAAAAAGTGACAATGTCAAAGACGAACAGACTAACTTGCCTTGGGGTTGGGACGACAACGACTTACCACAGTCAGACCGCGAAGCAGCAACGATAATTAACAAGCAAGGATGAGTTGTTTAAACCTAATTTTGGACGTTTTTTTTATCCTTTTACTAAATTGTGTGTGCTACTCTGTAAGCATGTGTTATGTATTTGTAAATATTAAGTTTACTCTACCATTAAAGTTTATTTGTTAATATGATGTATTATTTTTATTATTACTATTGTTATTGGGTTTTAGAATTGTGTTTTTATAATTATTCGACAAACATCAGTTATACAGCTTGATATAAATATACATCACATACTCTGTAAAACAAGACTTGTTTTTTTTAAATATTTTGTTTATTTTCAACATTGACAGGTCTTGTTGTATTTTGAAAAACTAAAGTATAATGTTTGCATACCAAAGATTATCTTATTATTATTGATAATTTTATTGCTGTCAGGTTAAAAAAAAATCATTTTATAAGTTAATTGATTTGACTAGTATAAATTTCTTCTTTGTCAGTTATTTAAAAATAAGTCCTATAAAATGTATTTGAAATTCTATCGCTATGACAATGTGCCTAAATTTCATTTTGAGTTTTTGTTTTATAGGACTGATTATAATAAAATAACAATGGATGTTATTAGTATATCAAACTTTACATCAATAAAAATAAATGTCTCTTATGAAAATATTGTTAAAATTACTTTAATCAATTTAAAAAAAAAATTATAGGTAATCAAATAACTTCACAAAATATTATTTAAAAAGGATTTTTTAATATTTGACTAAGTGTAAGTTATTTAAAACTTACACTACACGCAAACATTTTGAATTGCTTACACAATAATTAGATACAGTGATTTTTTTTAATAAAATGAGAATTTTTTACTTTAAAAAACGACTAGACGAATCAAAGATAATATTATGCATTACTATTTGAATTAAAAATTTAAAATAATTACACCTAGCCTGTGATTAGGTCAGATTGTGTCACGGTTTTTATGACTAGACATTATTTTGTTAATATAATTGAATATTTGAGCTGCCATTTTAAAAACAAAAATTGATGGTAAAAACCGCAATAAAAATTAAAAACTGTTCAAATAAAATATGGTAATACTAGAAAAATAATGAATACTAAAGTTAGGACCAAGGTTGCATCTATAATATTGTTGTTATATTATTTATGCAATAGTATTGGTTTCAACGTTAAAAAACAAAAGTACTTACTACTTACACAATTATTACTATAGTTTGATAATAACTATTTTAATTAGCATGAACTTTACCTTAGAACAATTTTTTTATTAACATTTTTAGGATAATATAGGTGCAATAATGTAAGCAATTACTATTTCTGCTCAAATTTGTAATAAATATTTTAAAAATCTATAAATTGATAATAAAATAACCAACGCAAAGACAGATTTTCTATAAATTATATAAACACAATAAAATACAGTTAATTAATTCACAAATGGTAATAACAATAAATACAAAACCGTAATTAATTACGACATACGTTTCGAAAGCTCACTTTCATTTAGTTTAGTCATCTTTCTTATTGATTACTAACGTTATATCTCGATCTTCGCTTCTTATGTTTGTATCGTCCCATCCCCAAATACCGTCTCCGTCGGGATGATAGTGTGTACCATCTCCGGTTCGACATACTCGCTTTATTATCATTTCTTTTGAAACAGTTTTCAAGTCGTACGCCCATCCTATGTATGCAAAAAAGTCTATAAATGCTGTTGTCAGGTTTGCTTTGTAGTTGCCTAGTTCGGCCGCTTTGTAATCCCACGGGAATGTGTGATGGTAATTATGCCAGCCTTCGCCCAGTGCTCCAAGCGATACTGATAAAGTTTCTGACGGACTGATGGTACTAAACGTAGAGGGAAAGAAAATTAGAGGACTATTTCAGTATACATTTTTAAAAAAAGTGTGAACTTACGCGTCGTATGGACGATTTCCCCAGATATGAGCAGCACTATTCACCAGCCATGTCATGTTGAGCGTGAACACGTAGCGCAACATTGTAGGTACGAAAAACGCATTCGTCCACGTCTCGTTCCAAAAATAAACTGGTATTGCAGTCGGCAGGTAAAAGCAAATTAATAATAATAAAGGAACATAAAACCTAAACAATAGAAAACAATTTTTTAATTAGTCCAAGTTGACAAACGATGATGGCAGTTGTTTATCAATTATTTTACATTTTCTGGAACATGACGATGAAATCTTTTTCCAAATCATTCATATCGATTTGTTTACACTTTTCGTAATAATCCGGATGTCTCTTGACGACCAACCAGCCGACGTGCGAAAAGAAAAACCCTCTCTTGGCGTTATGAGGATCAGAGTTTGTGTCAGTGTACTTATGGTGAATACGGTGATCCATACACCACTCATAGATGTGATTCTATACAAAAAAATAAATTACATATATTTGTTGTTTAAATTTTTTTTTTTTAATTTCTAGAACATACTTCAAACGCCATAGTGCTCATCAACATCAATAATACTCGTAATGGCCATTTTGCTTTGTACGATTTATGAGACCATAAGCGATGTAGACCGGCTGTCACGCCGATACCCGATGTTAGCCAACAGGCAATTCCTAAAAAAAATATCCACTAAAAAAATCTCATTTTTATGTGATTTATAAATTTAAATGGAATTATTTTTAACATTATTTCATAATCGTTTTTTCTGTTTTATTTTCTAATTAAACCAATTTTCTGATCATAATAAAAAAATACATTATTAAGAATTAAACTATTAATATAATTTACTGAATACATACAACACTCAAATGACTTAAGATTTTTTACCATATTAATTTTTTTTAGATAATAATTAATGTAATATAATTATAAGATTGTAGCATACTCAAAAAAATAATGTATATATTTACACATTTTGTATAGAAAACACTACATTAAACGACTATGTTTACTGTTTGAAGTTCAATAATAAATCACGTGTGCTACAACAGTTAAAATATATTAATTGTATAACACTCTAGAATATATTATTTAACAGAATTAAGTTACATAATATCGAGAACAAATAAGATTTCAAATGTTATGTTTAATTAAGCAGAATAATTATTTTTTGGTTATACATTTACTAAAAAAACAATTATGTATTTAATGTGTCATACTATTAAAAATTGTATTTGTTTATTTATTTTCCATAACATTATTCAGAATTGTAATAATATTTCAATAAGCTGAAAAAGCCAAAAAAAAATTATTACCTAATAATGAATATTTTTTTTTTAAATAAACTACTAACTATTATAAAGTTAGATAATTAAAAAAATTAATAACAAAATATACCTATCTATTTGGATAAGAAACGGTAATATAAATTTGAAGACATTTGTAGCAATAAATATTTATAAAAAATTATTTTTTTTAACTAAATTATATCGCTTTTATTTAAAAAAATATAAGAAGTATAATATCACTAAAAATAGTTTAGAAAAATCTAAAATTTAATATTTTTTTTATACCTATGTTTTATGTTTTAATATTATATTTTTATACAACTAGTTCCACTATTTTGGTTAAGCATTTATATTATTAAACTACACCACTAAATGGCATAATTTCGGACATATCAATTTGTTATCAAATATAATATTTGATAAAAATTTGTTATCATATTTGATAAAAAAAAATAATGGATTATAATGATAATTTATAGATTAAAATACAAAAGTATTGTTTGAGTTTTTTACGGTACATAACTTTTAAACTGAATTTGTGTGGACGGCTGACCTATCTAATCAATATTTCACTATGGATTTCCCTGTATTAATACTAACTAGACTAATTATAGCTGTAAAATATATTTATTATCTAGCTTACTAACTTTTTGAAATATACAAATATTATATAATAGTTAATAACACAATAGTGCTATTAAACCTTACATATTTTCTACTATAATTTAGTATTTAATTTTGTGTAATGATTGGAACTTATGAAATCACATAAAACTTATTTTAATGTACACACCGTAGTGCTTTAAATTAGGATTTTTAAGGTAAAAAGTAAGTAGATATTGATAATACTGAAAAATCCAGATTTTACTTGATATATTTAAACAGTAAATTTATATTTCACTTACCGAGAAGTGTTGTAAGTATTTTGGCTGATGTAAACATAAGGTAAATACCATACACGCCACTCAGGTGTCCGGCAATAAAGAAAAGTACGATTGGCCATATGATCACTATTTTGATCGCTTCAGAGTTTTCTTTTTTCATGCTTAACGAATCAGTCTTGTTCTAAAGTTTGAAAAAAAAACATCATAATTAGTGAGGATCTATCCTCACTAATTATGATGTTTTTTTTTGATGATTATAAAAATATCATAAGTACTTAAAATGTATATAAAAAGAAAGAAGAAAAAACATAGACATCTGACAAATACATAATTCAAATTAACAAACATATAAGACATAATGTGTAATATAATATTGGACATTTTAAAATAAATTAAAAGCTGCTCGTTAAAAAATCGTGTACCATAAATGTAGGCCAACTTTGTTGCAGATAAACTTTATGTAGGTGCCTAAAGGAAATTATTTACAGATGTCACCGTGGTGTTCAATATGCAGACGATATTCTATTAACAAATAAATAGTAAATGGGTTGAAACAAATGAAATGTATAACTCACTTGTGTAGCTTCAGTGTCGGTAGCCGGCGGTTTTGGAATTTGGCATTCCATCGTGGCCCCGTCGATGGTATCTGTGGAACGAATGAACTGTTATAAAAGCGCAAATGATTTTATACAAGCCGAACGGATTCAAAATATAATGGTTGGTTCAAAGGTAAGGGTACACCGAAAATCCGTTGGCAAGTAGATAAGGCAATAATAATAACTTTGTAAATAGTCTAACAACAACTATAATATTAAATTATCAGTAAAAGAAGACGACGAAGTAAACCGACGACTGGCTATCACATGCACCGTCGAGTGAGTCATCCGGACCATAATATTTCGTACAACGGTATCTGAGGTCCGTGTTTTGCTCATGTCTTTTCCTCTCGCGTAGTACACACAGCAGTACACAAAATAGCATAATATGATGTAATATAGGCGATGGCTGGCTGTGGTGGAAAAGGAATTTTGAGTGGTGAATAGTTTGTTTATTACCAGCAGCAGCTGTTGTACAAGCCATAAGGCTAAAAAGCTATATATTATGCTAAAAGCTACAATATTATGTATACCTCCATTATATGCGTAGGTAGGTAGGTACGTATACACAGTATCATTATTTTTCTACAGATCTAATGGAAAATTTCGTATTTTATCGTCGCGACAATCAACGGTCGTCATTCGTATCACCACAGAATAGACTAAATTAAATTAGTCTATTCTGTGGTATTACCACTGATATATTTATTATTCTCACGTCAATAATGGGCAATAACGACACGGCACATTGAACAACAAAAACAGGTTACAATTATTATAATGTAAACCATCACGCCGTTTTCGGAACGTGATAAGTAACAACAAGCCCAACGCGCGTTGATCCATTTCTTCAGTCGACCCTCGAAAATTAATTAACAATGTATGATTTAATACAGACATTTTTCTAGAAGATTCATTTGTGAATTCTGACAGATTTTATAACTACATTTGTTCAACATTTATCGAAAATCTGTAAGCGTACTTGTTCATTCGTGTTAAACTACCACCGCTAACGGTATAACCGTATCGACAAAATATTCAAAATTATATTTTTGTTTTATTGAAATCCTTACCGTTTATACTACGGTATAATAATTATTACACTATGATAATATATTTTTATGTAAGAAATATAGTATTAGGTGCTAAATAGTTTAGCAGGCATTGATTGCTGTCAATAGGTACAATATAATCAGTGGCGTATTTACGGGGGCATGGGGGACCCTTTGACCTTTTCCTTTTCTTTAGCTAAGTTTTCATTACTCAATATAATATTACTTTTATGTACATCTGTTTTCTAACTTTTCTAACCGTGGTAATAGGTATTTGTATCGCTCGGGAATAGGCCGCTTTTCCCATTAATCGTTGGCCCCATACGCGACTATACTCCGGACACCTTAAGAAGGTACCTGGGCGGCGGACCAAAACTCGTCAGTCGCCGTCTATATAGGTCATTCTGTATGTACAGTAGGCGGTGCCGAACTATGAAGATGTTGCGGTGTGGAAACCGGTCGCCGCCGACTCGCCGATGTACCTTCTTAAAGTGTCCGGAGTATATCCGACTAAAATGAATTACTAAAACAAATTTTTTTACCTATGCCGCCTAGTGAAATACCCTTAAAATATACACTGTAACATAATATTTAGTTGAAAATAAATTAATAAATATTACATCAAATGAAATGATATGAGTTAAATAATATTATAAATATTATGAATATGAAATATTATGATTTATGACGTTGAAATTTCGATGAGCAAAATATCTCAGAAATAAATATTGTAGTTGAATTTCTCTAGAGTAAGTGAGTACTTTGACCAGATTCCTGAATACAAATTTTTTTTTCAAGGTATGTAGAACTATAGGGGATAAGAGCTTTAAAAAAACAGTTCTTTTTAAAATTAGCGAAAATCTATTTCCAATGTTAAACCAAAAATGTTACTGTTCCACACTTACATCGCTTCCACGTTAATACTTAATAATTAATAATTTGTAATTTTTTTTTTTTATAAGCAATATCATAGAAATTGTTGAGCTGTAAAATTATTTAAAATATTATGCACAATAATTATAAAAATAACAGATGCTCACAAATTTTTACATAAAACATGTCCTCAGTTACCATATGTGTACTAATTAGGATATGTATATCTATGATTTGTATCTATGGCTTATGGCGTTCATCGAATTTAATTTAATGACATTTAAAATTCTTATAATTTGCATAACCATTCAAAATCAATTTGAACTCAAATTTTAATTAAGTGTCCTTATTTAATAAAAAATCGTGTAAAAACATAATTAGTAAAAATTGTTATATATTTTTTAAAATATCACGGTCGAACTCACTTTTTGTCATTTTTGTGCAAATCAATTTCTTCTTAAGTTTTTCAAAATTCGTCTTGGGATTATTATTGTTTTACAGAAAGGTTAAAAAAAAATGTACATGGAACATATTTATAAGTATCTAACTAGGTGTCTAAAAATGTATTTTGGCCTTTCCAGGGATTCACGGTAGGGCGTGTTTAATGGGAAATGGAGCCTAAGGGATTGTTGGTTCCGGGTGCCAAAATTCGAAAAAAATGTGTATGATTTGTAGTGAATTAATTTTTTTTTTAAAAACATGAGTAAAATATTACAATTTTTGATTATTTTCTACTGAATTTTGATCTGACCTTCAAATTAATATACAAATTTAGATTTCATACAAAGCTGATAAGGTATATATTTATTTATTTTTAATTTAAAATTTGGAAAAATAATAATTTCAGGCTGGATTGCACCACCAAACGTTATTTGGTCTCAGTGCTCTAATAACGTATTAGTTATAAAGGTATATAGGTAAATTGTTTTAAAATCCAGCATTATCCCTTTTAAAAAAAAAAAAGCTATAAAACACATAATATATTAAAAAATTTCGGTCACACAAGTCATTTTTCAAAATTGTCCACTAGTTTTTAATCAAAATTAAGTTAGTTCTATTTATAGACCCATTTAGTAAAATGGACGTATTTTGGTCCTATTTTACAAATATTAAGGGGCGCCATCAAAGTAGTGCTACAAAGTTCCCAAAAAGTAGAATTACTTAGCGACTATTCAGTACTCAGTAATAATTAAATTCATAACAATATACTTACTAAAATATCCAATAAATGAATACGAGAGGCAAATGTAGTATTTGGAAATAAAGTTTTTTATAATGTGAACTCGAATGAAATATAGAAAAATATTAGTGTTTTAGCTCTGATGAAATAAATTTCGTCTGAATATGTTTGATACGCAGTACATATTTCCAGCATTTTGCTTTAGACTAAAAATGTTATGGCAAACAATAGGTAGTGATCATTTAAAATCAGATAAAAAACACAACATCCTGGTATCAAGGTAAAATAAATTGTTAACGTGTTTTTTTCCTATAAGTCATTAATTACATAATATAGAACTTACTATATATATATTACATATTTTTTGTACTACAGTATAGATGTCATTTTGACTTTGGCTTTGACATTGATTTAATACCTTACCTATATTAACCATTTCTCTATTTTGTTAGGTCGGTATAGATATCTAAACAGAATATGGATGGAATGTGGATTACGGAATCCACAAATATCGAATAATTTGTCAATTTTTCAGCAATGCCAATACTACCTTAATGCGATTCTATTTTTGAAAAATGTTCAGTAACAGCAACCGTTGCATTTATTTCTTAGTAGATCAAAGTTTACCGCAAGATTTTCTGTTATTATAGATACGTTATTGATTGTAGTCTGAACGATTCGCGCCTCGCTTTTTAAAATTTTTAACTTTTTCTTATTTCAGCTTGAGTTCTCATCTAGTGTTTTGGTAAATTGTTCGCTGTCGTCAGAATCCATAAGTCTAAATCCCCAGTGGAAAAGCTTACATACTCCATTAAATAAACCGCGCTTATATCTTCTGTGAGCTTTTAAAGAGATCAACTTATTAAACCTCTGTCGCATATTATGAAGAACGGCTGTAGTCATCGTAGGCAATAAATCAGTGCACGTCCCCAACCTCAACATTTTTCGTATTTTTTTTATAAACTTATTTTGGTCTAATATAAAGCCTTATTTTTTTGAAATTCTTATCACTCATATTTACCTCATATTTTTATAATTCAAAATCGGAAAAAAATTATCATTTCGGTTTTTTTATTTAAAAAATAAAATTAAACATGAGTGGGTAAAATTTGATTTTTTGCATATTTTAAGAGTACAAAGTAAAAAATGTGCCTTACATCTGGAGTTGGGAGGCAATTAGTATGTACCGGCAGAATTAGTAATTAACATAATGAAATAAACACAATAGTTTTTATTTTGAGTTGATAAAAACTATTTTTTTTTCTCACAATAGGAGATTGCACAGGGATTCTCAAATTCTGCCATTCCGGCGTTAATTTTATAAATAAAATTGGATATTGTATTGGATAGTGTAAAAGTGGGATATTTCATTGTAGTATTATTAACAAATGACCTGTGACCACCATTGCATAACGCAATGGAAATAGTTATCATATGTAATAATTGAATTGTGCTGAATCGTTTTTCGTTTCTTGAAATAATATGAAACCCGCCAATGTTTGCATACTGTACAAGCAATGGTTGACATATCGTTAAACATTATAATCGTTTTCTAATAGCAAGTACAATCTACAGCGATTCGTGGAAAATATGTGTTCTAGTCGATATTGATGGAATTTTATTATTGTCGCGTTCATGTTTTACTTGGCAAATTAACGTTCTGCCGTTTCCCCCGTTTGTACGTTGTTTGGCTAAACAATAATCATATTATACCTGGAGAAACCGCTAATGAAACGGTCGAACACTGTGACACTGGCTGCACCACAGATTGCTTCTAGAAAAATGCATTACAAGTTTTTATAAATTGAAAAACACCCGACACAAGAATCAGGTGAGTAATCTACGATTAATTTATTTGATTTGGAAACACACAGTTTGCGCAGTGATAATAGTTTTGTTAATCGACTTTATCGGTGCAACTAAATATGTTTTATTACAATTGACGATTCGTCAATTTTTTATCGAATTTTTAACTGAGACGTTTTACAATTGTTTGGGGGGGGGGGGAGGAAGTAACCCTCATACTCCCCAATACTTCCATCTTTGGGCATTAGTATGTTTTTTTAAGTACAATTTTTTCTTGTTACATGTCTGAGCGTCTCACGTGATGCACTTCCCAATTGGAACTAAGCAGTTTATTGTAAAAATTCATCCATTTTAAAATTAAAATTCCGGATTATATATATTTATTTAAAAAAAACATAAATCGTAAGTATAATTTTTAAAAAAAATGTTTAAATTAAACATCGTATAATGTGATTTTTTTTAACTTCGACGCCGGTGGAAGGGTACAATTTTTTGTATACCAAATAACGGGTTTCTGTTGTTCTATCACATGTAATATACGACGCAGTAAGTACAAGACTATACCACAGGATTTCCGGGACATATTGCGTTGTGTATAATTTCCATTTCGATTTTTAAAACGCGATTTTTGTTCAAACAATACACACACACACACGCGGACAATGATTTTCTCGACCGCTATAATATTATAGTGCGATTGTTGACAAATTATTAGATACTATTACTATTCGGCCAATGTCGTCGTAACGATACCCAACGCACATATTATTATAGGAAATCATGTATGTAAAGCCGACGGGTCGCTGAATACGATTGACCTTCGTGTCTTGCCCGGTGTTGGCGTTACAAGCAGTGACCAAGTCTGTCCAATTCCGACGGATAAAAAAAAAAAAAAAAATTAAAAAAAATGAATCATTATTATTGTGTTTTAGGTGTACACCGGCCACCACAGGTATCGTTACAAGCTGATCGTACGTCTGTCGCGTTCGCCGGTCAAGTACTAAAGAAAATATGCGTTCCAAAGGATTTCAACGTTTCTCCAGCTAAATCGTACCGAAAGGCCTATAAGTTCACCGCGATACCGCCACCTGTATTGTGATCAGCCGACACACTGAAAACTCCATTGTCTCCGGCCCGAAAGCTACGCCAACATGGTCGCCGACAAAGACACAGCCAGAATAACCAGAGAAACATACTGGCCAAGCGTGCTCTACTATTTGTACCTGCATTTCTCGGCCGCCACCGGCCTGTACCTAGCGGTGTTCCAAGCCAAATGGACCACATTGTTTTACAGTAATTATAAATTGTTCGTTTTTATTTTCCCTGCGACCCAACGCTGGGTTTGCCTGTCGCACTACATTACTCAAATGGGCAAAAGTGTCGGCCAGGAAACTCACCTAGTAAGCGCGGGTTTTCTATTCAAAAGTGGCAGAAGCCGTACATTGAAATTTTTTTGCCGATACGAGCATTGCTTAGTTGCTATTTGTATCAGCTTAATTGTGTTTCTTTAAATGTGTAATGGCATTATAATTATGCTGAAATAAATAAATAAACTCTGATTTATCGAATAATGTTTAAAAAATGTCTGCAAACCATGTCGAATCAAAGAAATGTCTAATAAGACAAACAAAAATAAAAATGCTTCTCCAACAGAAGCGGGTGATTTGTATTCTACGAGCATAATAGGTATCAAAATGTTTGAATTTGATTAGTCGTAATTTTGTTTTTATCAAGGAATCCTAAATTGCTTAAAATCACGATTAATTTATTGAAATTCAGTTCACTTGTACAATTATTGCGTCATTTTTTTTTCATTAAGATAAGACCTTAAAAACTGAATTTTTATTTAAAGACGTATTCTAGCAAGATAAAGTCTTATATAATTACTCATTTTAGATATAAATTATACACACGTCAAAAATATTTTCTAAAAGAGTTATTAAAAAGTCGAGACTGAATGAGAAAATCGTAAGATTTGCAAACTTTAAACAATCATTTTTTAAACAGTCAGTATAACAACAGTCTTTATTTTGAATAATTTGTTTTGAAAAATGTTTGTATTTAAACGACTGTTTTAAATATCAAACTTAAGCAATTTTTAATAAAAGAATACTGCAATTGTGTTTTTAATAAGGAGTAAGACACGTGGTTTTATTATCTAGTAAAAATAACTTATAAAGAAATGTTGTTATAAAATAAGTTATAACAAGAATAACATTTTTATGAATTAAATATGAGATGTGCGCTCCAGAGGGAGGAGGTTAAGGTTCCCTACCTATTAAGTATTAAATACAAATTCCAGTTTTAGTAAGCAACTTCTTGTATAATTAACAATTTTAGATGAAAATAATCGATATCATAAAAGTTTGTAATGACAAAAGTAGATCTCGAGTTATCTAAAATAAGGTTTTTCGTCCTTTATTAATTATGAAATAAATTGTTTGACCTTTTTTACTTTGAGCTATTTTGTCAGATTTGTATAACGTGCTCTGTTAATGTGAATGTTTCCCTGTTGTTTTTATACCGTTTACGAATTATGTTCACAGCCATATTGCTCATCTACGCGTCCGTCCTCGGTGTGACCGCCGGCGCCCATAGGCTTTGGTCACACGCATCCTACAAAGCTCATTCAGTGCTCAGAGGATTTCTGGCGCTCTGTCAAACGTTAACTTGCCAAGTACTTAACACAGACAAACTACGCAGCACGGAGCTTGCAAAACCGATTCTAACGGATTTGTGATTTTTTCCCATAGGGTTCGGTGTACGACTGGGCTGTGGAACACAGGTTGCATCACGCTCACTTTGGCACCGAGAAGGATCCGTACAACCCGGACCGCGGTTTCTTGTTTGCTCATTTGACCAACAAACTGGTGTCCGGTCATCCGGATCACGAAAAACTACTGAAAACCATCGACGCTTCGGATCTAAACAAGGATCCCATCGTGTATTGGCAAAATACGTAGGCAAATGCAAATTCAATACACAATTTACTGTCAATTGAGATTTGAGTGTATTTTCTTAGGTTATACTATCTGCTGGCTCCGCTTTTGCTGGTGGTTACCGTTATCTTACCTTCGGAGCTATGGGGCGAGTCGTTCATATGCTCCGTCTTCATCGCGGGTTTCCTCAGAGTTACAGTATCGCTACACTTCAGTTGGATTATTTACGCTGCCACGTTGATTTGGGGATTAGAACCGTTAAACAGGTAAAACTACAATTTTCTTTTTTCATTTTTTTTCATCACGATCGTCTTTAAACACAGCAGCCGTCCTAACGTATTTATATTTCCTTATTAAGTATAGATTGTTCTGGGGGTGGGTCGATTAAATCTTCGTATAATTCGCAGTACACGCTTTTAAAGAGCCCTTCCGATTGTTTTAAACAGCATCCATAATACTAACACCGATTACTGGATTGCGTTCTTTGAGTACTTTACAGAGTCATAATCTTCATATTTCTAGATTTTCCTTCTAATATTTGGCCGTTCTGGTCATCGATCTCTGTTCAAACCGATCTCAACTGATTTTCATACGTCTTTTTTAGTAGCATTATGAAGTTGGAAAGATAATGGGAAGTTCACTTTATCTTATCGTACTCAAATAGGAAGCTAGAAGAACTACCCCACGCATGCCATTTGTCCATAGTTGGGAAGTGCTTAAATATGGACACTCAACATGTTGGGGGTAGCATATTGGCTTACTCTATGATGCCGGTAAAATAACGGGACCTTATGTTTTAAAAATAATTTTTCTTCCGTGTCGATTCTTGTTATTTTTTATGCTCACTCCTCGTAATAACTAATAAGTCTATATCTTAACCCGTTTTCATATTCCCTACCGTTTATGATACCTTCAAGTTATCCGAGTGCCAATGGCAATTCTTAATTCTTTCATTCCATACTTACTGCAAGCCACTATTACTTTGTGCTCAGCTAGAGAATTACTTGCCTTTATTCCTAATTGTTGTGTATTACTTAGGTTTCTAATCATGTGAATTTCAACTATTAATTATATTGTGTGGTAATAATTGTTGGTGTTATATAATTATGGTATCAGTCGCGACTTTGGCGTATTATTAATGACCCATTGGCGGCTATATACGTGGTGTAAACTATAACACTATAAAGTGCGCGTTAAAGTATGAATAATTAATAATAAACTGAACGCATATAACATTTATACAATTATAGGTAGGCATTCTTGTAATGTTAATGTATATTTTATTTCACGTCTAATTTACAATCGATTATCGATTATCAGATAGGTTGTTCTATTAGCCATAAAGGCTAATAAAAGGCATAAAGGTATATAAATACCTATAGAATATAACAGCTCATTATATAATATTTAAAAACTTTAAAAGGAAAATCAAACTTTGTTGTTAAACTTATTGGAATACTATTATTATTATATTTATACGAAAACTAGCCAGTCAATTTATTATTAAATCGCCTCAAAAGTCGCCAACAACTCTATCATTATTTATTTTACTTTTTGTGTATAAAAAATCACTAAAAATTCACATAATTTCTATAACCAGTTCTAAATGCAACGAACAAAATAAAATAAACATTTTAGAAAGTATACCATAAACGCTAAAATACCACAAAACGGTGTTTTTACAACTTTAGGGCGATTTATAAAATAACAAAACGTGATATACTCTGTTCTATGAGAGACCAAGCCTGTACAGAATCCAAAACAAGTTACTACACAAGAGTAACGCGTTAAGGTTTTTGTTAAGGCACGGTCTCTCGTGGAAAAGAGGCTAAAGAATATCTGAGGCCAGATTTGGATTCAGTTAAAAAAAATATATATATATTTTTGTCAAACTTGGGCATTTTTTATTTCATTAAAACTTAAAAAACAATAGTTTAAAAAAAAAATGTAATTGAAAATACATTTTTATTTGCTATATCAAAATATCAATTTGTATTTATGGTTTCAAATAATTTTGTATTTTAGTATTTAACTGTTTAACGTAACCTATTATTTTAAATAATTTTTTAATCAAATATCTATTTTATTTTATTTTTTAACATTTATTAAAATCATTTTTGTATTTTATTTATTTTTATTTTTAATTAAAAAAAAAACATATTTGTTGTTAAAATTTGTTCTAATAAAAATGTATTTAAAATTCCTTTTTTGGATATTTTTTTTATAATACAAATAAATTTAAAAAAAAACACTAATTTAAAATATTGAAGTTGGATGCACATGTATTTTATCAACATCGCGTAGATAAAACCAGTGTGTTATTTGTATTTTATTGCGTAATGTTCATAAACAAGCAAATTAAATGATTCATTGCCTCTATATTGATTCTATGACTGTTTAAATTAAAAATACACAGTTTAAAGGTTAAACAATTTATTATTATTATCTGCTTAACTTTTTATTTTGTAATGTACTCGAATAATAACTTCTGTCAACTCGAGAGTCGTGTTTTAATTTTGCTTAACTTCAGGAAAGTAAATGGACCTTCATTATGATTTATTTATTTAGTTCAGCAAAATCTCTCCATATTTCTCAATTGGTCACCATTAATATACTCCATATTCCTTAACTTCTTGATTTACTATATCCACCCACTTCTATTACCTCTAAGATTTTAGATTATATCCTTCCGCACGTTGCCAATGGCGCAATGCTCAAATTACTCATCATATTTCTAATTATTTTAAATTATATTTAACTTATCCATTCTATATATCCATTTCAACAAGATTATTTTAGCATCTTATTTACGTAATGCCCTATACTCATTTGACATTTCCATACATAATTGTTAACCTCGCAACATTTTTATAAAATGTTGCTTTCCATGTATCATTAAGATATACTTTGAACTTGCTTAGCTTTTCCCCAATGACATCCTCCATTGCTCCAATGTGTCTCATAATATTGTTCTACTCTTATCCACTAAAACTGCATACTGTTACAAACAACAGATACCAATAAGGTGCTTCGCCTGTATGGCTCTAGTAAATTTATCCGTTTTATAATATAAAGCAACCAGTTTGGGTTGGACTTAAAATGCTGACCCTCGTTGGTAAACTTTTAATGTCGTTGAGAATTATCAGTTTAACAACCAAAACGGTGTTTCCTTCAGGTATTCCATTCAGACCAACCTGGTGTTTGTTGTGAACAAAAGCCTATGGCCTCAGTACCATTACACCTTGCCCTGGGACTACCAATGCGGCGAGTACGGCAATTACAATCACGGTTGCATCACATCACACATCAGAGTATGGGCCGCTTTGCGTTGGGTGACAGACTTGAGGACTTTGGACACGGATGGACTTAGAAAAGCTATGACTGAATCCGCTTCCACGGGCGAAGACTTCAGTCTGTGCGCTGAAAAACATGCGTTCGATCCTAATTTACTGAAAATTAAATGCGAGTTAGATCTAGAAAGACTTCCGTTTTAAAAAAATAAATTAAATTTGTTGTGCTTTAAAATCAGTACGATTGTGTTAAGAACTTATTTCATCTATGTTATTATTTCTGTGGCTAAAAACTAGGAATGCGACTACTAAATCCAAATTTACAACAAAAAACGATTGATGTTAAAATATTAACGAAAAAATATCTCAATAGTAGTAATGTATACAAAAATATTGTTTAAAAATAATACTAAAAAAAAAAAATTAAACTAAAAAATTAATTTTTCTTTTATTATAATGCATTATAAAAAAGCATTTTTAACTTTTTTAGTTTGTATATAAAATTAGTATTGATAAGTGTTTATTTGGCTAAATAACGGTTCTTGTAAATATTCCAACCCCTACTAAATAATTTGCTGATTAATTTTGCGCATTAAAAAAAAATTAAAGAAATGTTTTTTCTATATAAAAAAAACATATTTTTATTATTTTATCTTGTTTTTTAAACTATGTATACGCTTAGTGTTGAAAAAAACCAAACAAATACCTATCAAATTGATTTAACGTATTTAGCTGAGAAGGTATTATTGTTACACGTTTTGTTTTAGTTTTTAATTTTTTTGTGCCCGGATATATCTTTTTACCACGGAACCAGAGCTGACAATTGGACTGAATATAGATATAGAATGGGGCTAAAAACTTATACAGTTTTCTCAAAAATCTGCAATTAAACTTCTTTTTTTTTTTTTAAAAAAATCTCAAAAAGGGGAAAACTACATTTTTTTTAAAATACATTTCTAGGATATAGTATCCTAGAAGGAGAGGGAATCAACAGCTAACAGATATTCGAGAGAAATTTTATTATACTATTAGTTACGTTAATATATGCGTAAAAACGGCAACAAATTATTACTATTAATGTGTTTAATGTCTTTAAAAGTCTGACTACAAACGTGTTTTTTGTTAATAGTTTTTTTACAAGTTACGCTTAATTAAAAAAAAGATAAGACATTTTTGTGATGATTAACCCTTCACTAAAGGTCAATTAGGTACTTTGCTAAAACAGTCGAATAGAAAAAAGGTAAGTATACACTGCAGATAACGCATTTCTTCGTTTCGTGTAGTGTGCCTACATCATTTCGACCTTATAGTTTAAACTTAAGATAATTCCATTAGCAATAAAAAATCATTGACCTTTGTTTTGTGTAAGGCGAATGTACTACAAGGATCTCAAAAAATACTACGGGACGATTTTTTTTCCAGTTAACGTTTTAATAAAAATAGTTGTTAGGTTAATCAGTTTGTGCTTTGAAAAAATGCTTAAGTCAGGTGATTTAAGTTCTGCTCAGTCGTTACACATAGCACATCTGGATAGGCGAATTAATAATTTGTTATAAGGTTATCTTGTAACTGTTAATAGTACAATAGAGAAACCAGTAACCTCACAACAGTTTAACCTAATGACATCCAATCTATATGAACGTGTTTTCGTATAGGTATCATGTTATGCTGTAGTAAACATTTTATTATTAAAAAGTTTAAATAAAAAAAAATGTGTAGATAAAATAGATAATAGAAAATCATTGTTTCTATATTAAACTGTTTGTTAGTATATAAAAACTGTCTATAAAGTGGGTACATATTCCAAACTTGTTTATTGTACAAGAATTCCACTGATTTATTATTATTATTAAATCCATAATTATTAACGATATCAATATTATAGTGTTGTGGCCCATATTAAAATAAAATTTTTTCTAAAACTGTTTAATGTGTGTTCAACGCTTGTAATGTTCCGGAGTTTGAAATAAACATAAAGGTTTATACAGCGTGGTGTACACCAATTAGTATATTATCTCTGAAGATTAAACACACATATTATATATATAATTGCATACACACACATTTTAAACTTTGACTTTTAATTGGTGTTCTATTTTTTTAGTTTGTAGTTCAAATACAAACAATATTATTGTAATGACATTATCTGAAATACGATCACGTTTATACGAAGTATAATAATATTTAAATGTTACAATAATTTACAGACATAGTCCCCAGAGTTACCTTCAATCGTATTAACATTTAAAATAGTTGTATAAATGTATAAGTAAAAAAATCAATCAAAAGGTAAATATAACGATAGAAAATAATTATCATAGATTCTAATTGAATTTTGCGAAACAAAACTTAAGCAATGAACCTACTAGTAATAATAACTGAACTTTTCATTGCATAATGGTATTGGGTCTTTGTTTATTATTTTATAATACTAATTGTGATTATTTTTGAACTTGGAGCTTCAATTTGTTATGTATACGCACGTGTATGCTATTAATATTCATACACTGTATAGTATGCACGCAATCTGATTTTGCTAATTTCCTCTGTTTAATCATAGTATGATATTATAACATTACCTTTTCATTAAATTATAGGCATTATTAATTTATCTCTTTTTTTCCTACATTCGGGTAATGATCAATTAGGTAGGTATCATTCAATAATAAGAACGAGGTAGGAATAATTGTATGATTATTGCACCAGTAATTACTAATTTCAATCGTTATACATATTATAGTCATTTTTTTCTGCCAAGTTTTTACAGGGAGGATGGCAACCTCTTTCCCTAGACAGTTACCTGCCCAGGGAAAGATGCCGCTCATGGTCGGGTTCGAACCGTCTAGAATCTAAAGAAAATAATATGTACTAATTTTGTTATTAAAGACCGTCAAAATAGATCAAAATATATGTTTTTGAAGTCGCTAAATTCAAACTGTAAATCATTTTTTTAATTATATCCCTCTACTTAGAAGGTAAGAGAGGATTGGATAAATTTTAAGTTGCATATTAAATTATATTTTAGAAAAATTTGTATTATGTGTTTAATATATACATAATAGATTGTATTAAGTCATAATAAACAATACAATAAGACAACATTTCAAAATAATTTATTTATTTTAGGGTAACGTATATATAATTATAATAAAGGTATAGTATATTTTCAGTATAGGTACCTTATTTTATAAAGTACACACCCTGGAAATAAATGGGATGTTAAGCACAATAGTGGTCTAAAAAAATTACACTTTTTTTTTGTAGAGTTGAATTTCGTAAAAAAAAAAACATTATTAATAATGATTGTTTTTATATGATTTTTATAACAGAAAAAAATAATAGAACGTACGTAACATTCTTAAAACTATATTTTTATAGGCCTACCTTAAAAATTTAGAGTATTTTTAAAATAAAGTAAAAATAAGAGTGGTGACCTCTCAACCTTAAAACAGCAGTTTGAGGTGCAAAACAAATTCACACGAAACTGTGCATGGTAAAGTGTGTTATTAAATATACACAATAGTATTAACAAGAAAATTGTTTCATCAATAAAAAGAGGACGAGTACACGTTTTTAAATTTAAAAAATAATAACTTACGTAACATACGTTAAGTTAAGAACAATCAAATGAACATTTTGACTGGACTATTGTACATTTTGATTTTGGCGGATAAGGGGTAAACTTATTTCAATTTTTGGCTTTTTACAGTACATCTTGGGTACGATTACTGACCCATAAACCTGATACATGAAGAAGTCGGTCAGGTGGTTTAAAATATATCGTGGGTCCAAACACAAAAATAGAAGAAGAAAAAAAATGATTACAAAACCAATACTTTTTCAGCTCCGCATCGAAGATAAAAACCAACCTTTGATTTTGTTGTAATGATGTTACAATTTCAAATTTTTTTACATACAAAAATTCGCCTATATATTAAGTGATAATACAACTTATCGTACGCAAACACACGCGTTTCTAAGCTATTTAGAACACATAGTGATGTACATGTATTATGATTTGGTTATTTGTTCAATAGTATAAGGAAGTATGACGTGGTTTCTGTCTCTCTGGATCTCCATGGATACCGTCCTACCCGTGTTGTTTGTTCACATACACCCGTCCCGTGTTCTTTTATTATATTATATATAAACGACTTAAGCCAGATCGTTTACAAGCATAACGTTGTGTTGTGATTTATCAGTAAACAATTTTTCAAAATGTTTGGTAGGAGAAAAAATAAAGAGTTCCAGGATGAACCAATCAGGTATGTGCTCACCGGTAATAAAATAACCATTTAATCGACAGAATAACTAAGCTTAAACTAAATTTATTTTTGTATAAAATTAGAATAACAAAAGAATTGTTAGTGCAGTTGTGCAAGGAACACAAGCTGTATACGGTACCTAGTCAAAACGACGTGCTGTATCTGCATTTTAAAGGTATTGTAAGCCAAAAAAAAAAAAAGGTAAACCCGGTACAGAATTAAAATGTGTTTGTATACAATTTGTGATCAAGGTTTTCCGAAAATCGAACATTTAGAAGAGTACACTGGGTTGAAGTGTTTATGGCTGGAAAACAATTGCATAAGTCAAATATCCGGATTGGAAAATCAAACAGCCCTCGTCAGTTTATACCTTCACCATAACGCTCTGACCAAAATTGAAAACTTGGACGTTTCGCCAATGTTGTGTACCGTCAATTTGAGTTATAACTTTATAAGAAAAATTGAAAACCTCAGTGAGTGCAGCGATATGTGGCAGCTATACTGCTTTGTGGAAAATACGGTTTTGGTACCATCGGATTTTATTTTTTTAGGTGTACTACCGGTACTCAGCTCTTTGTTTATAACGCACAACAAACTGTCCACAGCAGACGATATAGCTCACTTGATGGAATGCAAAAGCCTATCGATAGTCGACTTGTCGCACAACATTTTGGATGATCCAGAAATAGTCCAAGTAAGTGATTACCCCTTTTTTTTTAAATCCCGGTACACCACGATTTTGCGGTAAATACCGGAATTTGGTAATATTTTGATTTTTTCATCAGGTGTTCGCCAAAATGGAATCTTTGCGCGTACTCACGCTGACTGGAAATGACGTTATTTCGAAAATAAAAAACTATAGGAAAACGTTAATATTGAAATGCGTGAGTCGAATACAACTATTCAAATTATTATTATAAACTATTACATTGTGTGCAATCTAACCTGAATTAAATTCGTGTGTTGGGTACATGTGTTATGCTTATTAAATCATTAATCGAAGTCCATTAAAGTGGTGCGAACCAAAAGGTTAAGAGTGATATTGTTTTTAAATATTTGTGATATTAAGCTTTTGACCATAAAATATTTATCAATGAACTTTATAAATTGCTTTACTATTTATATCATAGATTTTTAAAAGAGAAATTAGTAAATATCGCCAATAATAACACATTGAAAATATTATTTTCATAATTTTCTCCTGTAAAATTGTTTGAAAATCAATTATACCCTTTTAATTCTCACCACGTCAATTTCACGTTAAACTGGGTTTTTATTTTAATCGTTGCTATTATTTATGCAATGTACATACAGCTATGTGTTTTGCTAACCCTGTTTATGTACAGTATATTCTACTTCTATTATAAGCCTAATTAATTATTTTATAGGATTGTAATTGTAATAATAACTAATTATAATTATTATTTATTATCAATGGAAATGTATTCTATTTAACTACATAAAAAATGTCTCCGGGTAGAAAAATAATATATAATTTGTAAAATCAATTACTATGGAGTAAAATAAAATGAACTAAAATGTCTCCAAAAAGATAAAACTACAAAATGGTAATTATTTACAAATAAAACGAGTGTAATTTGATTAATGAAACACAAGTATTTTACACGTGGCTCACGCAAATTTTTAAATGGTCTGATAAAAACAACCGGTCAAATCAAGTAGCACTAAACTGTAATAATAGTTACACTAATGGTGTTAAAGGTACTACATATATAATTGGTATTGTGATAAATCAATAATCTTTATTGTACATTAAGCATGACCTTAATATATTTTAAGCGATGTTTTTTTTTCTAGTTGAATGATTAACAAAGTCGTGTTGATTTTTTTTCCACAGAAGCATCTTTGTCACCTGGATGAGAGGCCGGTATTTCAAAAGGACCGTGCATGTGCAGAAGCCTGGTAAGAATTCTGTAATTCAAAGGTCGTAGGGTCCAAGTTAATGTTTGCGGAAAAAATAGTTATAACGTTTTATTCTAGAGGAAACTTTCACAATATATTTAACTATTTAGTTTTTCAAACAATTTCTCTTGAACGCTATAACAAGTGATGGTTCTAGTTTATGGTACAAGTACTGAAGTACCCATGCAGTTTTTGTTTTGTATAGTGTAGCATAGTAATAGGTTTTGCATTTTTTTAAATAAAAGCTGTTTTGAGACCGTTTTAAAGGACATTCTCCAAAATGAGTGCGTAGTTTTCTAAAACATTAGGCTTCTTATCAATAACCATTCTTATCACTATCTTCTCTCTTTTCAGCTTGTCCTTCCTTATCAATCACTACTTTTATCAGCATCACATTCTTATCAACTGATTTTCCGTATCGATATTTTCGTTTATCTAAAAAGTACACTCGGACATTTATTCTTTAAAAAAACAAAATTTGTTTAAATAACTTAATAAATAGATTTGTAACTTTTGCTATATGATTGTATGCAGGAGTACTGGTGGAATTGAAGCCGAACAAGCGATGCGAACAAAGTTAATCGAAGAAGAACAGGCTAGGATAAACGATTCCGTTAACGCGTTATTGAAATTAAAAGTAAATAAACAGAACGAGGATAGTCGACCGTCTTATTCAACAACATCCGGACAAGAGGGTTCTGGAGACAGTGGTCATCGGGAAACGACCAATATGATTTCTTCCAAAGATTATTACAGCGAATACTCCGATTCCGAGAGTAGCGATTCTTCGGACGATTCCCGTTCGTCTGATGGACCTTTGGTCTGTGAGATTATTAAAACTGACGAAAGTCAGTCACAAAATGAACGAGGTGAACCTTTCGTCAACAGCAGTAATAATCCCATAGCGACAGCTGAATGTCGTGCCATAGTCGAATCGTTGGTCGAGAAATGTTTACCCCGTGAAGATTTCAAAGTTGTCTCGCTGGCAGACGTGTTGATTTCAGAGGAAACTCAAAGCGCATACTATTTTGGTCAGGAAAAAACTAGATGTGAAAATGTTTCAGGTGCTTTAGAAAAAGAATTTTCAGAGTGCAATTTAATAGGGACCGTCGACCGTGAAATCGTCGAATGTTCAGCTGATGACAGACCTAACCACCTAGTCGGTGGTTTGGAAAAAAGTAATTCGAATGTCACAAAAGAAACTGAAAGTGACGAGAACCCCATAAAAGATGATGATAGAAAAGACTCCACGTTTCTGAAATGTGAATCAGACACGTGTGGTTATTCGGGTGAAATGGACAAAGACGGCGACATTTCTATTCGTTTGCCTTGGCAACAATCGCGTCCAAACGATGATCATTCCATAAAAATAACATCCACTGATCAAAGTAGCAAGCGGCTAGCCAATAGCGGCCAATACACTAAAAACGAACAAGATAAATGTAGGCCTCTAATCGTCGAGCTATAACTAATTTATAAACTAATATTATGATCCTCATTTTGTTTTAAATATTCCTAAAATCGCAATGTCTAATAATACTTACCGCCTATAGTTACTACCTATATTAGATGTACTTATGCCTCATCGGTCGAAAAAATAGTGATAATTAAATAAATTATGCTTCTAAATTATTGTGTGCAGTGGTCTTAAAATAAGTGGTCCATTTCTTGTAAGTTGCTAACAACTTCACACATTAACCGTTTCGTTGTCGAATTCAATACAGTGAATTTCATCAATGCTTAGCCATCGTATCTTCTTCTTCTCTCCCTTCCACACGAGTCTACTATGATTTTCGTTTTATCTTCATGTGTCAACTGCATCTAGTTAAAGCCCTCCAAATTGGGTATGACCATGTCACTCAACGTTATCTGTAAAGTTAGATAAGAGTTTCCCTCGAATAGTAGTTGTGGCAAAATTGCACACACTTAACGAGTTTATTGTACTTACGTGACAAACGTTTTAGGACGCGTACTTCCATGATCATAAGTAATTAAATTGCTAATCAATCAAACGTATTACTAAAGTTATTCAACAGTTGTTCAAGTTCATTTGAAAAACAAAAAGGAAAATTATAGACAAACTCAGTTGATGGTAGAAAACAAAATTAAAAAAATATGTACCGAGTACTTTAAATATGATTTGCTAATAAACGAATATTCTTTATAATATGCTTTAATTATATATTTGTCCATTTCATTATTATACGCACGAGAAAATACATCAAAGAGTTATTAATAAAACATTTTCTAAAAGTCACATTCAAATAGTACCAACTTCTAAAATGTATTATTTTTACATAAACTGTAATTATATAACCACGAATAGTAAGTATAAAAGGTGCAAATTAAGGGCATAGAAATTAAGTCGGATTTTATTCAACGACGTGAAAAAATAAACACTTGCTGGAAGAAACACATCAGGAGTTTCCAACAGTTGTACTGACAATGCGCAGAACCTCGTCACGACGGTAAAAGCAGCACTTTCGATCACGTTGACAATTCGCACATAAGTTTCCGAGTATAGTTGATACTTATTGCACAACTTAATTACGGTGTTAATAAAGTTTATAACTATCGATTTGCGTGACTATTAAAAAGGATGCCAAGTGTAATAGTTTTTAAAACGTACTGTAGTATAGTTTGAGAAAAATCAATATTAGAAAAATAAGCAATAACGTCTGTTACGTGAGGAGTATTTAGCGTGCTATTAGTTGTCTTTTTAATTTTACATTTTTTTATGAACATCCCATCTTTAATGTGCTTATTTTTTGAGTTTACTTGTCGTTACTTAATTTTAAAGTGTTATCTTATCTCTCATATCCTTAAAGGTAATAATAAACTAAGTGTCTTCAAATAAATAAGTGTACTGTAGTACAGGCCGCATCTCTTGAGGAAACTAAAGTACGGATCTGGATTTTTGCTATAGTGTTAGCACAAATAAATTAGATATTCACGGATACGGCGTAAATAAATCCATTGTAAACCAGATTCTCGCTTTAATAAAATAAAACATTAAAAATATTAGCGTCGTGGGATATCTGGGGTTTAAATATATGGACAATTCAAAAAAAATAAAACAAGCATTCGTGTATCAACGATATATTAGTTAAAAATACCAAATATCAATTCCACAAGTTCATCAATTAACTTAGTTTGAACTTTAATTTTAGTGACCTTATAATATTAACGTATGCCATTCACTAACTCGATGTTACTGACAAGTATATTGGTCAGGAATATAAATGTTACGGAAAGTACTGTTAAATAATGTCGTGTTTTAGAATTAGACTTAAGCGTAGAGGAAAAGGTACGACAAGAATAGAATAATAGTTATTACGTGAATTGATCATTCACGGAAGCGGGGTAAATAAAATGATGTAATTTTCCAAATTTGAAATGAGTTCTTCTTGTATCTTTTCCAGGCACGTTAGTTCTTCTGTCGTGTAAACAATCGGCTTCACAAAATCGACCATGGTACGGAACCGCTGCGAAAATTCGCGGCACGTGTTCCTATAAAACTTTTTAGCAACATGCATTTTGCTCACTTCCACTTCGGTTAACACTTTGGCGGCAGTTTCGACTACGCGAATGGGCTCGAACGCGATGCTGAACGTTACAAACTTGGTTCGGATTTTATCCAACAACGTGAAAAATGTTGTACACACTTTAATCATAAGCCAATGAACTTCCAACAGTAATTTTGACAACTCGCAGAACCTCGTCACGATGGTAAATGCGGCACTTTCGATCACGTTGGCGATTCGCGCATAAGCCTCCGAGTATAGTTCGTGTTGCTTGCACAGCTTCACGACGGAGAACAAATATCTTCCACTTGTACCCACGCGATAAGAGTGCAATTTATAAGCCGTAACGTCCGGCCCGATCCAAATATTGTCCCCCAGAATGTCGTAAACCGGATGAATGGGGTCGACGCCTAGTCCCTTGCCGTCCGGACGCGTTAGTGGCTCCTTACAACACGGGATTTGTCTACTAGTGTAGCACGTACCGTCTTCCAACAGCAGCTCCATCATTCTTGACTCTCTTCTTTGAACTCCTGTTAAATCCTGTTCAAGGGATCCTGTCTGCGCGCTTTTTCCACGGAAACAATTGAAAACACCTATCATTACTACACATACTTTGAGAAAATACATTTTTCGCTTAGAAACGATTAAATGTATAATATGTATACAGCCGCGCACAAAGGGTCGTTTTAATATTGTACTTTGTGAAATTAAAATTTGTTAGATATTGTACGTGTCAACACTGAAAGTATAAATTTGATTTAGAACACTTTCAATCTGAACAAATAATGAATCAATATTTAAATTGCAATAATGTGGTAACAATTTACTAAATATCGTCATTATTCGGTTTTTTAAAATTTTTTTATTATAAAATTTAATTAAATATTGTCTACGCTAAGAGAACGCTACATCCATATTTATAAACTATATTACAACTATTTACATTACACTGTAACGGCTTCTTAAATAATTTTTAAAATATTTACACAGGCACTCAGTAGTCCAAAATAAAAAAAAAATATTTGTTTTTTAGACCGTTTTGACCTTTGCGCTGGAGCGCGGTGGCGGGGGGCGCCAAAAGTGGAAATGCTGGTACTTGATTACTTGATTGCCAGTACGGCCCTGAGGTAAGGTAGGTACTTCTCAAGATAACCGAAGATACATTTCAATGATAACTATTTTTCGCCAGAATATACGTCATAATGGTAAAAAGAATAAAAAAAATGTGTAAGTTCTTACAATATTATATAGACACTACTAATATACCTATTGTGTAGGGTATATTATACACTATACATCATATTCACATGGATAGGTGCCCGCTCGAAACCGGTTATTATTTTCTTTGCAATAATGTTAACATTATATTATTATATTCAACAAAACGCTTATAACGCACTCGCAGCGCCTGCTTTTAGTATGCGAAATTAATAATATTATACTTGTACCACGAGTAAAAATCATTTTCTAATGCCAACATACTTAACTCGCGCCTTTTTCTTCATCATCGATTCCTACTTTTTTTTTTTGTCAAATTCAAATTGTACCTAACCTAACCTAACTTGAGAAAATCTCCAAGCCTCCAAGTTGTCCGGTGTAATAATAAATGAATTAAAAAAAACCACAGCAGGTCACTCGGCTGATGAACATGTTTACATTGCAGTGGTCGTATCCCCTCTCATGTGGTTTATTTTTTTACACATGGACAACAAAATGGTCCTGACTCGGTCAGTTAGTGACTCAATTGGACGGTGACTGGAACTCTGCAAAATTTATGTTTTTTTGTCATCCGTAAGTATGTTATTTTAAGTTGTATTACAAATTGTTATATTATTATTACACTGTCTTGCTGGCACTAAATTTCCGTTTTTAAGCGTGATAATACATAATTAATATTGTGATTTTTTTAGTTGTTGGATTTAAACTATAACTAACACGCCTATGTATATAGAGCGGTTGGGTTTGTGTTATTTAGTTTTAACGCGGATTTTTTTTAATTGATTTTTCTCTACTATTAGTGGTATGGACACTTGACCTGTGAAGGTAAAATAAGTAATGGCAATTTTAAAGGGCTTTGCAAAATAGCATACTCGTGCATGATTTTTAAGTCTTAAGTTAGAGCAAATTAAAAAGGAAAGATAAAACCAAAATGTCAAAAACATCTTTTATTTTAACGTTGAACGCGTGATTTTAGAATCTGAAGTCTAAGAGACACCTTGAATTAATTTGTATGATTTTATTTTATAATATGTATATGTTAAACATAAAATAAATGTATTTAATTAACCTACCAAGGGTGCCCACAATGAGGGGACAACCTCCCTAGCTTCTCTGTAAGTAAAAAAAAAAGTGTATACCCAATGTTCCAATTTTGTAAAATCTATTATAAAATCATAGACGGTCCCCTCCCCTGAATTTTTACCAGCAGGCACCCTTGGCACCTACTAAAGTTTAATATTTCATGCATTACAAGACTACTTTGTTTTTAAATGCAAGACGTATACTTTGCTATAATCCTCGTAATAATATCCTGTTTGATAACAATTATTTATTTATCTAAAGAAATACTAATGAAAAATAGCATGCTAAAAACAAATAAAATAACCATAAGTATCCGGCGTATTCATTTACTTAGTATGTGGTTTATCGTCTAATTCTTAACTTGGCACTGTTTTTTTTATTTAAGATTCAAACTATTCTAACGTAAATTTTCTAAGACCAACTTAAAAAGTGTGATTATTTTTTTAATATTTTTAAAGTAGCTCTTGCCAAATTAAAGGCCAATTTATTTTTGTCATGTACAGGTGTATACATGAACCTATTAGAACCTATTACCTAACAATTAGCTCTCTAATCTTCTAAAAAAAATAATATATAGAGATTTCACATAACAAAATTATAACTATTTCGTATTCTGCAATACAGAAGCTTCGGCGTATGACGTCAATCAATTTATATCGATTTGTGTAAAGCAAAAACAAATTATACATAATATATTTATGTGACATAAAACAAAAAACCGGATACATGATGTATACAAAGATGTATCATACATCTAACATAAAGACACCGCGGCGCACTTTAGTGTTTATGTCGTTGCCTGACGGTTCGGCGGGTTTGGCTGTTATCATACTATAATTTATGATATATTGAATTGGCGTTGTGCAATTATTTCGTTTTGAATGAACCTAACCCGGGTCCTTTCTCATTCAACCTGCGCTGCCGTCGTGGTCAATTAAATAACGCGATTTAAATAAATATGCCCGGCAGTGACGATTAATCATTGGCAAGGATAAAAATCATTAATGCTAATCTGAAAACCGGTCTAGTCCGCCAGCCAGGTCGTCGCAAAGAAAAGCCCGAGGGGGAAGCTCTTGGCGCGTCCGTCATCGTCAGGCCCCCTTCTACATAATAAATATTAATACACCCGTTAGTAGCCACAGAGCCACCGGTTGTCCCATACGAATGCTTGGTAGGATGAATGAAACAGTTGTTGTTTTTTTTTTGAGAAAGATTTCTTTGGACGGTGGCCAAAGTAAATGTGTAATCGGGTCGACGAACTCGGATGATCGGCGGCACACTTTTCACTAAACGAGTGGCAATGGAGAGATATAAACAGAAAATAAAACCGTGTTCAAGCTAACAGACACAATAAAAGGGATAATGTCAGAGATGTGGCCAATTGGCTTTTGGTCCGAGTCCGATTACTTCGAAATCCAAAAAAACGTAAAATAACATGATTTTATAATTTATACCTACTATTAAAAAACATTTTAAGTTAACTGTAAAACGGGTAAGTAGACTTGGAAAGCTTTGGATAAATAATAATTACAGTGGACTTTATATTGTAAATGTAATTACAATGCCTACTGCAGAAAAAGAGGACATTGTTCATTATATAAAAATTATAAATTCAAAAAACAAAATATTTATTACGCGTTGAATTCAAATTTAGATAGTATATTATTAAAAACGAATGAACAATTTTCAAAGTTGTAACTATTTTTAGAGAAAATGAGTGAAAACTCACGTTAAATGGATCGCCTTGTATTACAAACAAAATATTTTTAGGAAACGCCTCCTGGCTTCGGTGCTGACAAAAATTCACAAAAATCAGTAACTTTGTAACTTCTACGTTACTTTTTACGCACGAGTAACTTGTAACTTAACATAAGTTAATCGACAGTAACTATAGTAACTTATCGATTTACTTGAATGGAATAATTTGCTCAACTTTGACAATATTGTACATGATTACAGGCGATGATCCGTTCGGGGACGATGCGTTTCCAAAGGATAATGACTATCGTTTGCTTGGCGTTCCTGTCGGTGACCTCGGCCCGTTTCACTGGCTTCAGAAAACACAAGGTGAGCATAATGTGATCATCTTCGCCATTGCACTGATCGACTGTACGTTTTCTATATTCCTGGTGGCGGTCCTGTGTATATAATATTATAAAATATGTACGCTTAGGTACACAACATTGTGCTGTATCCGGACAAGCACTCGTGGTGCACAAGCACGCCGATCAAACAAGTCGTGACCTTTGACAACTGCGAACCGGCACAAGTAGAAAACCGCGTGTGCTTGGGCACCTGTTTCAGTTATTCCATACCGAGAACGTACCCTGCTGGTGGCGGAGACGAGGTGTCGCCTTACTGCGACTCCTGCCAGCCCAGCAACACGTCGTGGGTACCGGTGGGTAACTTTGTTTGTCAGGTCTGAATAGGTATCGAGACCCATTTTACATAACTAATTAACTTAAGTTAAATCTGTTAAAAAATAGCTTACCGTACGGATTTTTTCATTAAATTTGAGAAATAAAATATTAACCTACGTGTGTCCTAAATGGGTTTTATTTTTGTTTATTTTATGAGCCTACTTGTTAAGTATTATTTTCTTTTTGTAGCAGATAATGTTATTATGGAAATTCGCCATAACTTGACGGAAAATATGCAGCATTATAATATTTATTATTAATGTGCTACTGTTTTTAACAGATAGAATTGGTGTGCAACGATGGAAAAAACGCCACCAAGTATGTACAGAAGATTGACGATTGTAAGTGTGCATCGTGTAGCAAACATTGGACCTTCGAAGAGCCTACGTTGGACGATGTCGACGGCAAAGATGAAACTACAACGTTCTCCTCGACGTAATTATAACAACGACAATATTTAAAATTATTTCATTTTTTATTTTAGTGGTTAATATTTTTCACATTTTTACTTTTCGGCTGGTTTGTGAATATGCGTTATTCTACGCTTTAACCCTAATTCAACAATAAAAACAGCAGTCATTCATAATATTATCATTTAGTAAGATAAACTCTTGCTAAATGATAATGTTATAAGTTATTATAGTTTTGATTTTTTTTTAAATTAAAATTTAAAAAATTTTGTAGTATGCATGTACACATTAATTACATTAATTATACTAATTACACTAGATGGCGTCTAAAAAAATTATTTAAAACATTATTTTGTTAGAAATTCGATAACGGCATACCTTTTTTTTTTAGCTTTTCAGAGTTCATGAAATTGCAAAACGACGGAAATAACGTCGAAGAAGAAGAAGAAGACGGCCATAGTAGTACCGACGTGTCATTCAGCCTAGAGGTGATTGGACAATACACATATAGGCACACGTCCGAATTCATATTATGAGTGTCGTTGATTTTTATGTTTTGCAGAATTCTACTAGATCGGTTTACGAGAGAAACATTTGGATCCGAGGACCGCATCATTCAAAGGTAATGTACACATTTAACCTAATAAATTCCAAAGCATTCGGACAATAACTAAATCGTATGCTCTTTACGGCGATATTTTAGGTTCTGTTGAGAAAAGAAACGGTCGACGGCAATCAAAACGATTAACGACCGACGACAAAGCACGTGTCATACGTGCAAGACAAATCTATTAAAATAAGAACTTAACGCGTGTTGAGATAATTTGTTTGTTTTTTTTAATATATATATTTTTTTTAATCATACACTTTTTACGTCTATAAGCATGACAAGCCGTGTCCCACACTCACATAGGTGCTATTCCTCCAAGAGAGTCGTGGAGTTTCTTCAGCAACAAATCCAAGTCTACCGCGTTTTTCTTACACTGAGCGGCCATCTGACCTTCGGGCATTTCCGCGGGCTCGTGCTTGAGCATGTTTTCCGCTTGTTCCAGATAGTTTTTCGATCTCTATTGTACGGAAAATAAACAAAACTTCAATAACCCACCCCGAGAAATCATCAGGATATTGGGGTGATAATGACAAGTTGACAGCATCAAGTAGGAAGCCAATAGGACTACACACAACACGGGCATTCAGCATGTGCGGGGTAAGCCTATTGACCTATTGGTTGCCAATATGATGTTGGAAACTTCCAATTTCACAGCGCTCTTGGGAAGTAATTTATCGATTTTAGCGTTGCAAATCTTGTATGAAAACTCACCAGAAGGGCTTCGACAACCGAGTTGGTGTCTTGGTTGGACCGTCTGGCTTCTTCGGCCATCACCGCGTGCAACTCGAACATCAGCGAACCTCGAAGACGACATTCGGCTAAGAGTAAAATTACAATTCATATAATAGTTAAAGGTTTAAGAGTTGTTAACGTTACACGCAAGGTGCCAAAAAGCCGAGAGACTCGTTTTATGCTCATTAGCCTTTTGGCGCTTCAAAGCATCTCAACGAAGACTCTAAAATTAGTGAAACCGTTAAACATCGACAATATTGTCTTCACTTGGCCACTTGCAAGTTGCGACACGTAACACTAATATCAGACGACAGACACATTACAGAAGATTTAACAAATTCACTTCTCTTCAGCTACCTACACCCATTGCGTTGTCTGCACTTACCCGGGAACAAAATATCGGCTATTTTCAGTACTTTCAGACACAGCTCCCTCTTGTGGCTCAGCTGTTCTTGAGACAACTTGTCCAGCGGTTGGCCTTCGAGTTGACCGTAGAGCTGAGCCAGGTTGAGACGCACGTCGGTGAAATAATAGTGATTAGGATGCAAGTTGCCAGCCGACACATAATGGTCCAAAAACAAGCGACACTGCCCCGGGTCCCGACGGTTCATGGCCGCCAAGTCTTTGCCCACGTGAGCCAAACACTGTTCGATGCGATTAGGGTCGGCCACGGTTGAACAGAAATTGCACGTCCAACTCACGTCGAACGGATCCGAGGCGGACGGGCTAACGTTGGGCAGGAAGTAGCCCATACAGTCTCTACGAGGAATTAAAAATTTCACAATAAAAACAAAATAACAAGAGTCATTCTTTGAAAATGGGGAAATTTCTTTCTTTCAAATTTTGTAAAAAAAAAAAATATAATTCCATTATTTTCCTACCATTTCTATGATAATTACGTCTATAGAAGAAAAAAAATACTTCATAGAAGTTCACAATTATGGAGATAATAATTGTTTTCAAGCTTGCTGAAGTGTGAGGTATGAGGAAATGAGGTATTCCAATTATAGCACTTATTACAACCAGGGATTTTTAAAGGCCATCTAATTCAATCAACTATCAGGGCTAGTTCACATGAAGAGCGTTAAACGCGCGTTTACAATTAACAAACGTCGTAGTTTAACGGTAATGCTCAATAAATTCATTAATACAGAAGTAGTTACACTTAATCTTCCTTAAGATTTGCAATGTATGATTTATGTTTATTTAAGTTAGGTCAGGTTATGTTGGGAAAATATTGCTAAATAAATGTTTAAGTAAAAAAACAAACGCAAAATATTCGCACTAAACATACTCGATGATAATAATAGCACCTGGATATTTGGAGGATAACTAGCAGTTTTCGTTATCTACCCAAAACCAAGGAGGAAACCAATAAGACTCTTCTCATAGGCCGAATGTCCATACTTGGGTACTGTCTAACTTTGGACATTCGGCAAACGTGGGGTAGTCTTCATAACTTCCTACGAAAATTCCGGGAATATAACGAGAACTGCCCATTATGTTCCTAAACTACAAGTGGTATTAAGTTATTATTCTACCATCCCCTAGCCTCCGCCATATGGTATAAATGACTCACTCGGCCTCGCATTTGACTCCACTGAAGTAAGTGCCCATTTCGGTGGGGTCCGAGCACCTGGGGCATTTGCAAACGAAAAACTTGGTATCCGCTAGATGAGCCAGTCGCTGCGGCGTGCCCCACAACGGATCTGTGTAGCATATGGACAAGTGTTCGCGGTTTTTGACGGGCGATCCAGCAGTTCTAATAAGCAAACGGCCGTCTGACGTGAAAGTCTTTGAACAGTTGGGCAGGCAGCTGTGCTCCAACATAGATCCTACGTCGTAGATGGCCACGTGTGGCGGATCGGTCAGCGGCACCTCGTGTCCGTTTACTTGGACTATCCCGCACACCCTGAGTATCTCGTCGGTTGGATACTCGGTCGGGTCGAGTTTGAAAAACCTATGCAAGTAGTCGGCGATCCAGATTTTATCAGACTCGTACTTGGACCCGCCACGACGGTTGGCGCAGTGTGATTCCAGGCAAGTCAACTTGGCCCACGTCTCGGGGTTGTTGTGCTTTTGGTACAGACATCTGATCACCGTGATGGATTGGTAACTCGGATGAGGCGCGTCGAACCCTTTGATTTTTACCTATAAATTTCCAGTATAATTCGTAAGCGTGTTACAAGAATATTCTGTAAGCTATAAGCATTTGATGATGTTCTATCATAAATATCCGTTGGTGGGCCTAAACGGTCTGAGAACTGAGGGACTAAGTTCTATAGAACTAAGCTACTATTTGCGTCGACAATGGATTATAGGTCAGATTTAAGATAAAACTTATATAGGTTTAAGTAGCATCGAGATTGCCGTGAAACTCTTAGACCCAATCAGATTGAGATATCGTCAGACTTCTTTGATTCCCTACATACTTTACTAGAATTCCTCAGGACCTCTATTAGGAGTCATCGTCAGTTGCAAGAAAACGCTACGGAAGTATACAAGTTATTGACACCCAACAATGATATTCTTAAATCGATTTCATTGCGTTGAACATTTTAGTAATTAATCGCTTAGAACACAGGGTTACATCGATGTTCCCTCTGTCCTTGAAAGGACTCGTATTGATCCCTGGCGCTCCTGGGAGGAGAGGAAGAGGATTTTATTTCCCAAGTAATGAATATAAAAACCTGACTTGATCGGACATTTATTACCTTTTGCTTCCTTTTCGTTACGGTCCAGTCGCATTCGGCTTTGTGCCATTCGTCGTCTAAACACTTGGAGTCTGAGCACATCGGCCATCCGCATTTTGTACACTCAGTAGCCGTCTCCAAAGTCAATGACTTTAGGCAACCCAAGCACACCGGACCTGTTACTTGCGACGGTCCTCGGATCAGTGGCCGTTCGATGAGTGCGATCTGCCATTCGCCCAAATCCACGTTGGCCAACACGTGCCTGCCCAATTCAGGCTTTTCGGCGATCTAAGAAAAAAAAACACATTGTCTGAGACAAAAAAATCACACATTACAAACGGCTCTAGCACAATAATCTCACTTTAATAATTTGCTTCACCATCGTTCGGACGGTTTCGGTACACTGCGGGACGTGAGTCGGCACACATACCGACATGGTGGTTTTATAAATAGATCATTTTTTTCATAAGATTACAACAACTGGCGGCGGGAGATCTTTGGTCCGAAATAGCAGTAACCTACATGAGTATCTCGTCTTTGGCGTGTACTTCAGTAAAGAAGAATTGACCTTGGGGTAGGATCAAATCATGTTATTTTACAAACGGCATTCTCCCTCTTACCACAGACCTTATAGTTATCTACAATAGAATCTTGCACACAATCGAGCAATTAAGGACAGTATTAAACATTTCAAACAATAAACAAATGTACTTAGTTTTTTTTTACTAAACACAAGTTTGTAAATTGTCTCAGGTTTGTATTAAACTAAAAACCGTTAGTTCAAAACATGTATACTCTGGTTTTGACATAAGTAAAGCTTTTGTGTTTTGGAATCTTTAAAAGTTAAATCTAAAATACCTCAAGTTAATAAAAACCATTAACCTACACATTTCTAACTGATTAGTGATTTGGTGTACTTATAAATAATAATAATGTATTTCTAGTTTATCCCACAAAATGTAAAATAATTTTTAAATTGTGTAGACAAACATACCAAAAACAGATAATGAGGGTCCGGGCAAAATTCACCTTTTACTCTTAAACCAAAAATAATATTTGTTTTTCTAAAATCATGTTTGTTTTCCCAAACCGGACAATCATTTTACAATTTTTTTTTTACAGATATTCTCTTCAGAAGTTTATGAAAACAAAAAATTGTATTGTTGAAAGGTCTTCTTTCGAAGTAATGACTAATGAATAAAAACATTAAGTATAAGTATAAAAATAATAAATAAATTTAAAAAAAAAACAAAATGTATTTGTTATTTATTTACAAAAAATATTTGGTATTTACAATTGTATGGCTCAAAAATGTTCCGGTTCAGTCGACTGTTCTTTTTTATTGATGAACAGTCTTGCATACAAATCGCCAAATTGCGATATGTTTTCGATCATTGTGAGACGCAATGAATCCGAATATGGCTTAGGTACTAGAGCAGTTGTAGTGTCACGCCACATTCCTCCATTACTGTTGCGTATGAAAAGAGCCGGAGCTGGTATATGATCCCTGGTGTATGTCCAGACGCAGTCGCGAAGGACAATGAGTATCTATTAAAAAAAAACCAAGATTACCTTACAATTACAGCTGTCGCGAATTAAAATTAAATTAAATTAACAATAATTATTGATTTTACCTGTTGAGGCGTAAGGTCTAGGACGACCACGCCGAGAACATCCAAAGGTTTGGGCAACAGCTGACCAAGTGACATTGTATTCAATAATTGTATGGTATCGTTCATCAATTGCGGATGATCTCGTGTGTTTCCTTTAGTGTGGTTAACAGCTCCCCAATGGTTAATCAGACAAGCACAGACGGCTCTTAACAAAACTGAACAATAACAAAGTGCTGGTCTATGACAGGCCAATATTCCCAGAAGAGTCCATATTATCGGCTTTGTAGTGATTGTATGGTATATATGAACGTCCCTTTCTATTGTCACCTATAAATTAACGTCAAAAATAATTACTAACTCTTTTTTGCCTGCCAGGACTTATATGTCGTCGGCTGCTTAATTAACAATATTATGTCCAAAAACAATACTTGGGTTTATACAGATTTTTTTGGCAACAGACTCAAAAGTCTCATCAGACAAAAAAGGGTTAAAAAATAAGCGATTTCTATATAAATAAACAGTTAACTATATACCTTTGTGAAATCTTCATCGGGCCATGGCAATCCATTGTACATAACGTCTGGCGATACAAATTGTACAATTAACAACGCTAATGATACAACTGTGTCCAAAGTTGGTTCGAATGTATAATTTTCATCAGATGAGTAACAAGACCGTAAAAACGAAACAAGTCTCAGCTCATTGAAACGCACAGACTCGGCTTTAAAAGCGGGTATCTTGTACTTGGAATTTAAGGCGTCTTTATCAAATTGGCCACTGACTTGTTTTCCAAAATCTAAATTATATTCCTAAAACAATATTTCAGTCGGTAAATTTAAACTATAAATACAAAAACAAAACTATGAGGCATTATCTCATGTTTTTTTTTCTTGCTTACAACTTTTTAACTTTTCAGTTATTTAGGATGCAAAACCTTATTTTTTAAAAATAACATAGAAGTGAATATACATATTTAAAAATAGGATGTTTGAAGTGACTCATAAAATTCAAAAGAATTAAAATTGATATTGGATTTTAAGTCATTTCTAAATAACTAGTTCTTTAAATTTGTTATTTGAATTTTTTTACAATATAAAGTTAGAACCAAGGTTACTTATTGAGTTGGGAAAAAAAGCTGTAGGTCACCCGTTGTGATATTGCTGATTGTTAAATAAAATCTGTTGTCAAAAACCTGTTGCAAAAATGATTCCAATAAAGACGTCTTTTCGGGCGGTTGAACAATATAGTCGTTTCGTCGATTGTCAGGCATGACGAATAACAATGAAAATGGTTCCTTTAATATGCCATCTAAAATATACTTCATTGCTGCTGTCCTCGCTATTGATGAACGAAAAGTAACAGTATTGACAAATTTATTCATCTTAATACACGCTTTTAATTTAAACATATCGTCTGAAAGAAAAAGAAGAACATATATATGTACACCTGTATTGTATAATAATTGTTTGTTAAAAGGTTAATCAACAAACCTTTTTCTTTGAAGAGACAAGTGAAAAAGTACATGACTGCTGCTTTCACCGAATAAAGAACTTTTGGCACGCTCATTTCTCGACCAGATAATTTTGCACACACTTTAAACATTATTGACGATAAAGTATGAGCAGATTTCATGTCGCCACAATGACAAGAGTCGATCATAGACTTGCATATTTTGTCTAAATGGTTTATTACAGCTGACGATACTCCGTGTAACGAAACGCCGTCAACTGGATTGGATTCCAAACTGCAAGTGAGAAAAAATACTTACAAATTGTTCTCTAGTGCTATGTAAAAATTGCTTATATTGGTTAAACCATCTACAAGCAACTTGCTGCGTAATGTAGTTTACCTTAATAGTATATCTATGTTGTTCCAAACATTATTCTGTACGGTGTTAATTTTTACTAAAGCATAAGTCAATCCACTTTCAAATTGGAGCATATTACTTCCAAATGACAAGATTTCAACAAAAGTCTCTAATTTAGCACTACTGTCACATTCGACCAACATGGTCGCTATATAAGGTGACAAACAATCTTGGTCTCGGATAGCTAAAAAATTAACAGACTTATTAAAGTTTTGATGGAGGACACAACATTTTTATTTCTCACCAATACAACACAATAGCCTTGCTGCAGGTTGAGCAACGTTGACATTTTCTGTTAATAAATAAGGTTTAACAAAATGAAGATTTACGACTAGTGCTTTTAATACAGGAGGCGATGTCCTTTCAGTTCTGAGTGTTATTTCAAGTTCGGCTAGAAACAGCTCTAAATAAATAATGTGTTAGACATTATTGTTATTTAGATCAATGCTCATAATAAAAAGAATTACCGAATAACGACTGTGCTCCAGTTTTGAGAACCTCAAACTTTGTATCATCATGACCGATCAAATTGAAAATCATATTTAACACATACTTAATTCCATTATCGGCGTTCAATAACACATGTACGATAATATCCATTAATCCACATTGTTCATCAAAATATTTTTCCCATTGTAAAACTAGAGGCGATAATTTATACAGCACTTCGGGAGTAACTAAAAATCCGTAACAAAATAATATTAAGTTAAGTTTGAAGAAGTATACTTTTTAGTGATATTAGTAAATTATAGATATGATATGAGAAAGTACTTTGCCTTCTCACTGTTAACTTATTATATGTTTATACATTAATAATTTAATATTAGTTATCAATTAATATTAATATTAGTTGAATTAATCATTATTTTTAGAACAACATTCTTGTACATTCTTATACTATTCTCATACTGTAAAATGCTGTTTAAAAAGTAAATGGCAATATAATCAGTTTAAGAGGGCTATATGTGATATGATTTGAAAATTAACAAAAAATACCTTCTTGGATTAGCACTGAAAGTGAATATAAAAATTAATAAGATTATCAAAGAATTAAGGTCCCCAAGTTAAGTTAGCAAATCACCAATCAATATTTATTTTTATTAATATTTACTTTGAGTTAAATGTTCACACAAAATCGACTTCAGTAACGTAGTAGAACATCTTGCCACGTGCAACAAGAACGGTATGACTGTAATACTTTCAACAGTTAATTTTTGTTGATTGTCGATTAGACTTAGCTGATGGAAAAAAAAATGATCATTCTCATTAAATATTTAAGTTAAAAATTTCAATAAAAAATGTTGGTGTACCTCAAATAATTGGAATACAGCGTCTTTAATATTTTTCGAGTATGTAATTGATAGATGATCGAGAATTCGTATGAAAGAGTTCAACTTTTCTGTCTACAAAACAATACATTTACATATATTTATCAACTTTTAAATTTTTTTCAAAAAACAAACCAAGTAAACTCACGTGTTTAAATTTATTTATTGAACACATTTCTTTAATTCCACATATTAGCATATTCCTAATGATTAAAGATGGAAAACTCTCACCAATCTGAGCTAATACCCATTCAAAACTAGAACTTTTATACCCCAACATTATTTCTGAAAATTAAAATACAGAATTTTATTTTATACATTTTTCAGTTGAGAGATTAAATTTAATTGTGTTACCAATCATGCTATCGACAGACCGCTCGCCTTCTTCTTTAACCATTTTGGCGATCGTCTTGTTATTTATATCCACCAGTATGTTTGCTACTGAACACTGTGACCAAAATTTTAACATGTCTCCCAATGGCATCCTCGCAAACTCGTGCAAGTTATAGTGTTTAGAGACTTTACCTGGCCGAAATCAAAAAAAAAAAATAAGAACTATTAGGCTTTGAAAGTGTTACCAGTACTTGATAATGTAAGTATGTACCTAATAACTTATAGGACCATTGCAAAACTACATGACTCCAAACCAAGTGATTTTCTTCGACCAGCTTTAGAAGGGCGTCTCTAATATTCGTCACGTTTTTTATAACTTCCTGCGGAATAACTAGTGGTTCATGCCTCGACGGCATATTATTACTCTCAACCCATGTCGGCTAGAAACAAAAATAATTTAATAAAATGTATAGGTATTGTTCAATTATATGATATATACCTGGACTTTGAGTTGTTTTAGATACGTAGAAATGGCGTAGTCAAAAAATTTTCCATAATATTCCAGTACAGCTTCTTGCGCTGCCGGAAGTATTTTCAGTAGGTCTATTGCCCGATTGATTTGATCTGTTTGAACATTGATAAACGGCTGCTTTGTCTCGCTCAAAAATGCCGTCAATTTTGAAAAATGATCTTCTTGTATTTTTTTCATTTCTGTGGTCATTTTTTTTTTTTTTTGGCTCCGTTTTAATTAAAAATATATGAGATCAATAATTATAACAAAATATTCTTCAATTCTTATAATCTGTAGATACATTAAAATTCTGTAATTTTTGTATGGGCTAGATTTTCAATCCATTTACCCCTTCAAACGCCCTTCAGTTTTCTTGTCCCTTAGTTGTCTTTTTCAAGTCTAACAAGCCATCTGCTAAAATATGCCAAGTATCACAAATCACAATAAAACTGCATAAACATTTTGCTTCACGACACTCACAATATTTTGTAATTTATCATTTGTGTGATAATAAATTAAATAGATATGCCGGTGCCGCCATAAATGATAGTTAATATTTCATGGAAAAAACGATCATATTTTTTCATTAAACAAGATATTGCCACACAAATCAGAATAGATTAAATCTGTTCTGTGGTGACTGATGCTGCTGTCTGTGTACAATACATTAGTAGCAAAGACCTATTAAGATAGGTCTTTTTTATAGGTCTATGATTAGTAGTTAGTTGGTTATTTCAATCCAATTTTCAGGATTTGAACGGAAAATTGCTTCTTTATTCATAAGTTTGTTGTCCTAAACAATATAATCAATGAGCGATACCAATAAACGATAGCACCAAATATAATAATATTAAAGTAAAAATGTTTAAAACAATAAGCCTGTAAGAGTAAAAACAGATTAACCAGGTAGTTATAGACTGCTATAAGAACATTGTTAAAATATATATTCGTAATGTCATCATACAATTGAGTCGAATAAAACAATCAAAATAACTATGAACATGATCTAGCAATAATGTTATTATTACAATTAATACCTTAAATGCATTGGGCAATAATTTTATTTATTTTTTATTAATTATTAAAAATATCAGATAAAAAATGCATTTAAAGGAATGTTCAATTTAAACTGAATAATTTGTTTAAGAAATGTAAAAATAATATTTAAATAAAAATATGCCTAGGGTTGCCTTAATATATATACTAAGGCAATTGCTTCCTGGAATGCAATTATACACCCTAAATTGAAATTTATTTGTTGTACAAGTTTACTGTAAATAACTAGAGCTCATAGTTAGTAGCTAGGACTACTAAAAATGAACTTCTTTCGTTAGAAATTAAAATGAATTAAAAGTTCAGTATAGACATCACTTCATTAAAACAAAATGTACACAAAAATACATAACAATAACAAATTCAATATATTGAAATTCAACGTAATTTTGTACTTTAAAATTATATAGAGAGTAGGAATACTCGACATTTGTAGTAAAAAAATACGTCCTTTGTGCTCTCATGGTAAAATGGGTTTTTATCCTTCATACGTGACCGACCATAATGCAGGTAAATATTTCGGCTTCATAGTATCGATAAAATGTTGCCGCCATATGGTCTTCATTTCATTCAAAGTACCTCGTTGTACAAACCATTCGACCACTTTTTCAGCAGCGTTATATTGTTGCGAAGTACTGCCATATCTTTAAAAAATAACAATTATCTTACTATATTATTTAATATTTCCAGTATTTTAACTATTAATCTTCCATACTTTAAGGATTTTATATTGAGCAAATGTTCGAGGAAAGTATCGGACAAACGGACCAATTCTATGTTATAAATGTCAGCTATTTCTTGTTTTAACTTTACGGCTACGTGTTGTGGTACTTTATTTCCAGTTTTCAATAAAGTTTTAGCTAAATGTTTCGATCGTATTATTTTGATATACGCAGGAATCTTATAAAATATAAAAAAACAAAAAATCAAATACAGTTTAACACTAGTTTAGAACAAGAATACAAATTTTTATATTTGTTTTCTTTATTTCAAATCTGGCCTTGGAATTTCTCTAGCACGTCTAGTTATTAATTAGTCTTAAAATGTAACATTTTTAGTCAAGTTTTAAATTCAAAAGAATATTAGAAAAAATGTTCTATTTTTGTAAGCTAGAACTTTGGAAGATATTTTAAAACAAAAATTGATCTGCTAGACAAACTCTGAGGCCAGATCCAATTTAGCAAACATCTAAAAAAGAAATAGATGTATTTTAGTTCTTTTTTAAAAAAAAAGTATTTCTTGTACAATGATACTAATATTATTTTCATTGTATTTATTCATAATAAATTACCTTATGATGTTCATTAGTCTTAAATTCGGTTACATTACATATTTCAAACAGTCGTTTCCGAACTTCAATATCAGACGTATTTGCTCTAATATGGCACCAGTAGCATAATAATAAGGTATCATGAGGTATGTGACTCTTGTATTCAACTGGAAAAATATAAATAATGTATAAGGAATGATTTGTTAAAACAGAAATTGATATACCAGGCATGTGTCGAACAAATTCTTTAGGTATAATGCTTTTTTTTCGAAAATGTTCAGTGCGTCCACAAACTGTACATATGTTATCTCGGAAATGGATAGAAAACGCATCTTTGCGATTTTTTATCTCAGCCGGGAAGTTGAGTCTAATAGTTCTTGGGTTGTCGTTGACTAATTTAGCTAATCCTTGACTGATGTACCTGGAAATATTTTTTTTCAATTTTAGTCATTGATTCTGTTGAATAACATTATTTTATTTTACCAATCAACTTTTTTATGACTACATGTAGACATAACAATTCCATCAACATTTTCCATTAAACAATTATCATATACCGTAGTTGTTTTTATTGTCGATGTTGAATATAAACGAATATTAGGTTTAGTTTTATGTTTAAAACCATTGCTACCATTGCTGTTCTTAAACTGTAAATCTTTAAATTCAATACAATTTATTGTAAAAAAATCCCATTTTTGTTTACTTGACAACATAAACCAATTCTGCCAGGAAATCTATTTAAAAGAAAACTGTAAAGTGTTTAATATTTTATATCATATTATTATAAAATATTTGTTCCTTACCATTTTATTTCTAAACTGTTCAAATATTTTTACAGCGACATAAGCATCCAATGCAGCGTAATTAATTTGTCGATCAGTCAACACTTCCTCTTCCCAGTTGCTTGCTCTTACTCTCCAGTCTTTATCTAGTTCACAACCGAGTAATTTATAAGAGAGAGCCGCTAAACTCCTCTCAGCCAAACCACTTTTTTTGGCTAAATATCTTAAATCAATGAACCCTGACACTTCAATATTATAGTCAGACATAAGAAATTGAGCATCGTCTGAAATAGCAACGCCGACTTTTATCACTTGGTCATCACTAAGAAGATTCTAAAAAAAAATTGTTTTAATTTATTCAAGTTAATTTCCATCAAAATTGTAACAATATTACTAACCGATAGTCTCTGAGGTATGGTTTTGAATTTGGATAATCTAATTAAAGAGCACGTGCCATCATTATCAGCTATTTGAAGTAGAGCTATTGGTCGACGAACTTCATTTTCAGTTACCCATTCGCAATCTAGTCCAATGACCGGCAAATTTGCACATGACCTAAACATGGATACATCACATTTATTGATTTTATTAAAAATAAAGACTCCTGAACTTACTTTTCAAATTTGATTGCTACTTCTTCGCATTCTTCTAATGAGTTGACCACACAAATTCGACGAGGACGTAATCTTAGAAAAGAACTTAGTAATGGAATTTTCGAACATAATTTTATCATCATCACTTTAATAAAGAAAATCGACATACTTATTATTTATTTTTATGGTTTAAAATTATGGGGGGGAAATTTTTTTACTGTTATCAAATTATGGTTTTCTTAATAACTTCACTTGCAAACTGTAGCACTAACATAATATTCATGTTTGTATTAATTACCTAGTTAGACAGCACCTAAGGCTATCAAAAATTGTATTTATCAGCTTTTAAATAATATTCATGGCCATCATAATATGACTGGATGGACCTTGACCGTGAAAATTATAATTTTATTACACACAGAACAGAAGGAAAATGTTTAAATAACATATTTTGGGGAATCTGTAATATTGTCATTAAAATTAATGTAATTTGTACCCTTAAAGATGTCTAATTCCTCATTATAGAATAATACAACTAATTATTATTATAAATAATTATTCGTAAAATTCGTTTTTGTATTACTTGCCATTTGTTCTGATATTAGCGTCTAATGTTTTGGCATTTAAATTGAGCTCTCCGCCGTGTTGAGTTAATATCTAACTTACAAAAGGAGACATATATATGTCAAAACGAGTGTTCTTAATGCTTGGTGCTTATAATTTTTTGTTAAAAAACATTGTACCGCCGTTGTTTGCTTTACTTTGAGATTTGACAATTGCGTGTTTTTCCCGCTAGATGGCAGTTATTTTGGATCTCACGTTGACTTATCGTTGGTCTCCTGGTCAAATAAGGTTGAAAAGTTTGTCAAACTTGGGTGTGAGCTGTTTTAATAATGTATGCTTGTTTCTTGAGTACGGAAGAGCTCTTCTCGGGTTGCAAACACCATTTTTTAGTGACCTATCTGGTCTAATCGCAAGAAGTCGAATGTCTTACTTCCCAACCGGTCAACTGGTTGATTGCTATATGAATACCAGAGAATTCACTTATTCTGATCAACTCCGGTTCCCTTTCAATACGAATAAATCTTTCGCCTTTTACTAAAGATTTCCGTGGAGGGGAGCACTCAAAGGAGTCTAGAATTCCAATTTTTCTAACGCCCGACTTTTAAAGTTGGGCTCAAATTTATAATTATAATACAATTTCCATGCATCTATAATTTATTACATATGTATAATGTATAATACGTATGCATTTTAACGAATTATGATGTATGATATGCGTTATGCGTACAACTTGAAAGATGAAAACAAATTCTTCGAACGGATAAATTCGTCATCTGACCGAGGTTTTGGTTGAAAGAGTTGGTATTTACTACGCAGTACGCACTATTACAGTAGGTAATAATGGTTTGTTCATAATAACATATGAACAAATGTTAATATCAATAACAATATTATAGACGACTGACGAAGTGCAAACTAGTGAGGATCAAAGGGGTAGTCCGTGGAAATAATATATTTATCAGTCATATAATATTATAACTTACAGTCGCATTATGAGTAGGTAACTACTAATACTAATATTGGTATAGCATAATGAAAATTATACTTTAAAGTATTCTGGTGGGCCATGTTCGTTAGTTTTTTTTCAATATCTCATAAAAATTAATGAATCTTTAGAAAACGGTTACATAGACAAAATAATAAGGTACCTATTACATTTTCAAAAATTCGTTTTTTAGCTTTTTTAAAATGTCACTTGTAATTAGCACTCTTTTGTTTCTCATAATAATGTATTTATCACAAATTTTGATATTTGATCTTAGTTCGAAAAAATTAATGAAACTTTGTTTTCATTCATCCTTAGAATGAATTCCTGATAGAAATATTAAAAACTAATTTAAATTAACGTTGAATTAGGTACGGCAGTATACGACTATCTTTTTAAAAACGATGGTATGAATACAAAAAAAAATTGCCAACGGCACGCAGTGTTCCCAAGCGGTCACCCATCCAAGTACTAACTACGCCCGACGTTGCTTAACTTCAGTGATCGGACGAGAACTGGTGTATTCAACGTGGTATGGTCGTTGGCGTTCACAATTGGGTATTTTTCTTTATTTAAATGTAACAATAGAACTACTTATGAAAAACAATTATAATATTCAATATACACAAGTCACAACTATTGTTTATATCTTAGTTCGTTTAAAATCTATTATTAAAAATGATTTGAATATTTCAATTAAAAATCATAGTAATTATAATAAATTGCATTATTTTAATGAAATGGTTTTAAATTTTGAGGAATTAAATTTAATTTTTGTACAATTTGCAGTTTTAAAAAATCTCTTGACAACATTGTATAGGATAACCTACAAATAAGGCTGGCTATAAAAAAGATGAATGTCTAATAAAATATATTTATTGTAGTAAAATTATACAATATAATTTGTAAGTTATCAAGCTAAACAAATGTCTTAATGGCTAATTCTTAACCTATTACTTATATAGTTGTATTATATTTATCTGTAGCTATATTCAAATTTTTATTTTAATATAGCTACGGCTAAATAAGTAATTTTAATTACTTAAAAAAAATATATATTGGTTGATATAATCGATAGTGCTTGATTAATGTTTTCTATTTCACATCAATGGCCAATTGTCAATTAACTATTATAATGACTGCTCGTTTTTTTTGCTATTTATACATACAACATACCACTTAACTTAAAAAAACCTCAGCTTATAGTTATTATCATTTTAGTTGATTTTGTCAGTATAACATCATAATTTAATCTCATATAACTCATTACATATATCCAACTTCTTTACAATTTTATAAGTAAAATATAATATACCTAAGATTTAGTTTTGACAGAGCAATTAAAATTTATTTTTTATTTTCTAACAAGAGAAAACTGGAATCTGATTTGTCTAAATCTGTCAAAAAATTGCCGATCGCAATACCTTTGTAGTATCTAGTAACTATGTTTTATGTCCTATGTACATTGTTTTCCATTATTATTACATATTACGTTTTCAGTTATAAATACATTATTTTTATCTTTTGATTGAAATGTATAATTTTATTGTAGAACAATTAATAAACAAAATATGCATGAAATATATATATTGATTATAATATAATAGCATTTAAAAGATTATTTAGTGCCAATTTAAAAAAAAAAATTTGAATCGCAAAATAAAGACAAAAATGATTATAAAACGAATTGTGAACTTTTTTATAATTTTTTAACACAGAGGACTAATATAGAAAGTTAAATTCAAATGTCTATTATAATAACAAATTGTTGAATACAATAAATGTTTAGTCAAAACGAGTACAAATTGAATTAAAATAACAACTGATGAGCTATTGTTTTGTTACCCTTCGTGAAATTTTAGATGTTATGCAAATATAATTTTAGGTCTTGGAAAAAATTAAAAGGATTATTTTTCCAATACAGATTTTTTTTTATATAATTTGTTACATAAAATAAATAAAAAGTAATTACATATTATATTAATAATACATTTTAATAGTAAATTATAATCTTCATTTATAAAATTTAAATGGATCATATACGGACAATGGGGGGTATATCTAAAATAATAAGAAAAAAATGATTCAATAATATTTTGGTAACTCAACTTTTAATACTAACCCTGTATTTTTAGTTATATTTTTTTCAGTATTAACTTGATACATCTAATTAGTAATTTTAGTACTACTCTACTCTGTACTAGTAAAATTATAGAATTTTTAAAGTAATATCACGAAGAGATTACAAGTACAAAACAATATTATAGTACTATATTATACATATAAATAATATTGTATATATGTATATATACCATACTGGTTTTTTTCTTTTAGTCAAGTGCACATTTTAAAATATTTACAGTTTTTTATTTACAAATGAAAAAAAACTACATTTAATATTGAAAAATTAGTGATTGTGTAAAACAATCAGATAATGTAGTAATTTTTACTAAATTTCAAAATTTAAATAGATTTAGCTAATCTATTATTTCAACATTTTATTTTTATTTTTTCCTAAACCTTCAAAATTTGTTCACCTTTTGCCAATTTATAAAGACAAAGCCAGCATAAATGAAAATCGGGGGATAAACCTTTTTTAGCGTTGAGACCGCAGCCCATACACTTAATCACGGATGAAGTTACAGCAGGAATACTGTCGGACACGGATTTTGATGCGAGATTAGTTCTCACGCTAGGATATGATGGATAAATTAGCTGTTCAAAAATCCTCAACGCAACAAATGCGTCCATTGCTGCATACTCAATTTGCCTTTCACTCAGCGTTTCTGCTTCCCAGTAACTTGCACGTACACGCCAATCCTTGTCTAAAACCACGCCAAGAGTTTTTTGTGCCAGAGCGCCCAAACTATTTTCGTATACACCATGTTTTTTTGCAATAAGACCTAATTCGACACATCCACATAGTTGAATGTTGTAATCATTCATAATGAATTGGGCATCTTTTGAAATGCCTACACCGAATTTCACAATTTCCTCATCTCTCAGAATTGTCTAAAAAATAAATAATTATCAATGACAAATATTACATGCAATTTATACATTTATCAGTTATGTGCAAATCTTTTTATACCGTTAACAATTTCTTTTACAATTTGATAACTTATAATATATCCTTTTTTTCCCCCCAAGTAATACCTAAACTTAATATATACTGAGAATTAGAAATAACAATTTGACGATAACACTGTTTACCGATATATGAACGATAATACATATTTTGAATGCCATCTGTTACTTAATATTTTGCACCCAACTCATATAAAAAAATATTTATTAAAAAAAAAAAAATTATTTCTAAGATAGGAAAAAAAAGGACTGCACTGATTTTACTTTTTTTGTTTAAAGATAATAATTTAATGATATAATTCGAAGATATGTTTAGGAAATAATAAATCCATTTCTTGAATTTTTCAACAAAAAAATCATCATTTTAACTTAATTTCCAATATTGGTCTAGAAAAATAAAATGATTTCATTTTGTGATGGACCCACAATTAAAGTCTATAATAATTTGCTACTGCCCTAATATGACAATGCAAAGTTATAATTTTAAAGTTTAGTATAGTAGAAAGCATAGATGTATTTTATACACTTTATAATTGTTCAATGTGTCTTATTAACTTTAAATAACATACCAATAATGATGAAGGAACGACTTTTAATTTAAACAATCTTATTAAGGCACAAACGCCATTATGATTTGCAATTTGTAACAGGGCAATGGGTCGACGAATGCCATTTTCAGTCACCCATTCACAATCCAATCCCAAAAATGGATGTAATTCACATGATCTTAATAAAATATAAATAAGTTAATTATTTGTTTAGTTATAGAGACTACTTAATGCGAATAAATTTACAAAATAACCAACTTCTTAAATTCATCGGCAACTTCTTCCCAATCATCGAAGGAATCAACAACTTTAATTTTTTCTATCTGGGAATTGACTATAGACCTAAATAAATATTGTACATAAATAACAATGTTAAATAATAAAATGTAAGTAATCAAAAATAAAGTATAACATACATTTTTTTAAGCCTTTGAGGTTGTACATGAGTCAATAACAACAAAATATTATGTTTTGTATTTGGTATTATGCATCTTATCACATTTAAGCGTTATCAAGATATCATCAATAAGTTTTAGGCGGTTAAACTTGGTAACAGCTAACATGTGGTTTTATTATTAAGAAAAATCTTCCGATACATTAAAAAATATGTATTATTGTTAGTTCGAAGAAATATTTATTCATTACAATAGATTCAACCAAATTTTTCAAAAAATGTCTTAAATGTTATTAAAAAATTGAGAACAAATGTCTTATCACTAGCGGTTTACTGACCTTGGTTAATAAAATATTATTATCAAAGCAAATACTAATACAAATCATAATAAATAATAATAATTATTGAAAAAAACTGTTAAGCTGAAACTGTTAATTATTAATTACTGTTATCCATGTTATAACAGTAAACAGAGTTAACTATATAACCAATAGGAACACTAATATGCTTATATCATGGGGTTATCAATTATAATTTATATTAGCGAATTATGCACTTGACATTTACAGTATGTTAACTCTTTAGGTAATAAGAATTAGGCGAGCGTAACCAAAGGGGGAAGGTGGAGCTATGGAAGTTTAAACTATTTAACGCCTTAACGTGTTTTAACTTTTAAGTTACCGCTCAGTTAATTGTTTTGAGTGTTCTGTCAAAATGTAAATAGTATATTTTTTAATTATTACATAACCCTAAAATCGTAGTATGGACAGTCTAAACACCACACAAATTCAGAAAGGTGTTTTTCGGTCGAATTTGTCCTGAAAAAGTGATGTACCAAAACTATGTGTAAATCTGGAATCGCTTTACTAATTATCGGTCTACTATTAGATTACATAATTTAATATTTATCACTTGTGAGTGGCGACCAGTTACTTATTAGTGAAAATCTTCAAGTTAGTTAGCACTTATAGCTAAGTGCAATATGGAATTTTCAAAAATAACTCGTAGCCAAAATGTTTTCGATTTCTCGCTATAATTGCTTTCATTTTATTTGTAAACCCTTTCTGCTCGTTTGATTCAAAAGTATAATTTATTTAATATAATTCGATAAATATTTTAATTAGTATCATTATAAACAACTTTACTTATAGATCCACTCTAGATTATTCAGAGTGAATGTATAGGTTAATACTTGTATAAATAGAAGGTTAATTCCCACGATAATGGCTCCGGATTTTTTTTTAATACTAAAAAAAAATTAATTAATTAAAAGTCACGATTATCAGATTACTACATTGGTAAAAGCAGAAGAATGTGGAGGACAGGATGCGTGGAAATGAAAGTTTTATTTGAAAACTTCAAAAAGTGTATCGCAAAAAAAAAAGTCTAATTCTTGGCAGTTAAAAATACTAAGATCAAATTTGTTTTAGGTACTTGAAGATGTCTAGATAATTTAAATGTATAAATATAATATCATAATTCATTTTTTGGAAAGATTAGTCTAACTATTTTTTCGGTTACTTTATATTATATAAAGGGAATACTTTGACCCCGAGCTCAAATTATGCCTGGAATTTCTGCATTCTCCGTAGACAAAAAAATAGGGAAAGACGCGGATAAAAAGGAGTACTGTGTGGATAAGCTGTTGATCTTACGGCTAAACGTCTATTAAATTCTAGATTTTCTAATTACAATTTATAGCTATGGAGATGTAATAGGACACGTTAACATTTTATAAATTCCTATTATGGAATACCCGGATTTTTTTACTTAGAGAAGGGGAAAATGAAGCATTAAATTCTGATATATTTATTAAAAAAAGAGCCGAAATTGGTAAATTTTTAAAATTATTTTTTGACTTAAACTTCCCAACACCTAAGAAAATGTATGACTGTTTTACTGCTGATATAACTAAAATAATATCGAGTATTCGATTTTAGCGATTATTTTTTTAATACTCATGTTTCGCCGGACAGTAAGTTTTTATCAAGTTAGAAGTTTGTAAATTTTGGTAGATAATTCAGTAAGTAGATGAATAGTAATTAGGTTGTTTAACTTTACCTGTCTCGGCCCTCGGGATGCTACTCGATGTCTTGTATTAATAAAATGCAGTTATTCTTGTATCTAGGGACTAGGGATATTTTTTTTTCTATAGGGTTAATTCTTCGGAAATCGCTAATACAGCGAATTACGTGACACGTCGAGGAAAGGGTTACCCTGTTTCTCGGTAGAGTAATCGCCCTTTATAAAGACGGCTGTGTATGATCGTCGTAGTAGTTATTTTTAAAAAAGAAAAATAACACCGCGTTGAAGGCATGGAGTAAGATTACTATAGATATAGATTACTATATAATTTATAATATCAACTATACTCTATGATTGTTGAAGGGCCCGGTGTAATACGATAACAATATTGTGCAGCCTGCTAGGGCCGACCGAGTGCAGCTGCAGTAGTATAGTAGTAGTAGTAGTAAATAGTAATAGTAATATTGGTGTAATATTACTATACATACCGGGGGGCGGCAGCTGCAGCCAGCAGGGGGTGCTGCTGTACAGTAACATCTGCAGGCTGCAGCGGTCTCCGTCTCGCCGGGCTGTAGCGACGGTCGACGATCAAGCGTATTTCGCGGCGTCGGTTTATGAGGCCGAAATTTCGCTATTTTAGCCCGGCACCGCCGGTCTAGTTTTACCTCGTTCCCTTCTCTCCCCGCGGTACCACCACCACGTGGCCGTACGGTGCACTCGGACCGTTCAGAAGAACTACAACGTGAACGTACGGTCGGACGAGCGATGGTGGTGGTGGTTGGGATTGCACAATAATTTATATTATTGTACGACGTGTTTCTCACATCAACATGCCGCCGGCATTCCGCGCATTCCACACCGCTCGACGACGCTCGCGCGGATCTGACGGGCGCGCGCACGAGCGGAGTGCGGACCAACAACAACGGCTGCCGCCGTTTCTCTCCCGTCCTGGGCCAGGCCAGCCACCGGGACAGCGTTCGCGCGTTGCGGCGGCGACGCCGGGACGGATCCGGTTCTCCTCTTGAAGCTGTCCTACCAGTTCCTACACTCACGCGCGCGCGCGCATACATCCAGTTCCTCGTGGGTACTCATACACCGCGCGTACACGATAATAATAAATAATAATATTTTTATGCCGCGGTAAACACATAGGTACGCCGGGATCTTCTGTTGCATGCATACACACGTACACACACAGTACGATAATCCGTGCGCCGCCGTATATTGCGGGTGTGTGTGTGTGTAATCACAGGAGCAGAAGAAGGAAAGTTTACCTTTTTTTTCCCTCTCACTAAATTAAATTAATGACATTTTTTTTTTTTTATAATCGCGTACCCATCGTACGCCGAACCGATTTCGTTAAACAAGCGTTATAAGGTGTATAAAAAAAAATACCTAAAGAAAACCGTGCGGTCGTATACGGTAATTTTTTTTATCAGAAAAATAGTTAAAAACTAATTGTAAGATAGTAAAAAAAAAAACCAACAACAACGGCTACTACTATTACTATACTATAACAGACTACTACCACCGCAATAATAATATAGATTCCTCGTGTGTTCGCGTTAATTAACCGTGCAGTTATTTTTCGACTAGTTTTAATTATCTCGGCGCGGTGGGGGGAACATCGGAATGTTGTAGCAATATGGCGGCGGCCATGATAATGGCACACTCGACAACGTTGACTCTTTGTTTTCGTTTCTGATATTGTATGTGTTGTGTGTTTTTTAGTAAAAAATTTTACCGTCCCGTACGTTGATTACGTGTGTGCTGTGCGCTTAACCCTTGTGCTTTTTATCATACCCAAAAGATCACGACGTTTAGTCTAAATGTGCGAAAAGTGCCGCGTACTCTGCGTGCATCCAAAGACTGTTGGTCGACATCTCAGTAAACCGACCCCTGGAACTAACTCAACGACTATGTGCCACCGGCTGTAAGGTTTGTGCTGAAAGTTTTATTTAGCTTGATTTAAAAAATCCGTATACCAAGTTTTAGTGTAAAAAAAATAAGAATTGACCCAAAAAGTTTTTCATTGATAGACCCCGATACCTATGTGGTTATCGGGTCGTTGCTCGTTCGATCAGTAGGCATCGATGACCGCTAACAGTGGTTTCGATGTCAAATATTGATAATTTGGTCAATGCACAGCATACTAGGCAGTTATGATCATTATGTTATATGATTTGCTCTTATTTGCTAGCCACAAGCAACTAATTCTGCTTATACCGAGTCGTTTAAACATTTCAATAACAAGCTAACGAAGTCTGTAACATTCGTATAGCCGACCCATTTATTCAAATCTATTTTATCAAATAGTTACCCATGGCCAGTAAACGTTATCCTAATCTTATTGTCAATATTATCAATTTTTATATGACCTAGTATTAACATTATTAAATTGGTAGTATGCATTATTCTTCTGGACATTAAAATGTCTCTACGGCATTTAAATTTTCTAAAACCATTACCACCCTAGATCAACATGCAATAAAAACTTATTTTTAATGGACAACTTTAAATATCAATTTTTATATTGTCTTTTAAAACTAGTTCACTCTTCTATATAATATTGTATTCCAAAAGAAATCAGATTATTCTTTAGGTCATATATCATTTTACTCGATTATTTTTGTGTTTACTTTTTATAATATTGACAAAACATTATACATTTAAAATTATTATCATTAGTATTTTATTTAACTTAGCTAAAATTTACCATTTGTTCATTTGTCTCGTATACCCAATGTGTTTCTATAACATAATTATTTACAATCGTTTAATACTCATTATTAAATATTACATTTGTACTTTTAACCTTTAAAATAAGTATTTTGTATTGGCTGTTCAAGTTTTTTAAAACTTACGAGTATAGTATTATACTATTAACTATTTATATTCTGACATTCACAGAAAAAAAAAAATAGATTTGAGACAATGTAGTTAAAATTAATTAATTTGACTTGATAACTTGGTAGTTATAATTTTTTCAAGCAAAATGTTTTTCCAAAAAATTACTTATATTATGGTAAAATCATGTAAAATTATTTATTTATTATGTTATTGCATTTCTTCAAAGATTTAATGTTATTTTTAAGTCTAAACCTCAAATTAAATACTTTTAAATAAAATTAATGTTTGTTGTACACTGCTTTTTTTTAAATATAAAAATATATGTGATATTTGCTATAACATTTTTATATATTGACTGTAGCTTTTTTTATAATAGATATATATTTTTTATTTACTTAGTTAAGTTTTTTTTTCTTTATTCTTTATTCTTTTCCCTGGTATGTTTATATCATAATAACTCAATGAAACATGTTTGAATTAAGTAATTTTAACTTAATGTGCTCAGAATTGTTTTATAAAAATTGTTTAGAGTTAATGAGTAATTTTCAGCGAAATGAAATCACGCATTGCTATTGTTTTAAATGATGAATCATACATAATTTTTTATCCAATTCCGAAGTCATTTGTTAATATTTTAGAACAAAGTATACCTAAACATTACCTACAATAATTTATAATTAAATAACTTAAAATAAATTATAATACATTTTACTAATTTATACTTCTAAACTTTTTTTCTTAGTACATTGTGATTATTTATAGTTAAGTCATTAAACTGGTAGTTTCAATATAACACAAAAATTAGCTCAGTATTTTTATTTGTTAAAAATTATTAAGATAATACGTTAATTATTAATTCAAATGTTTGGTTTTTCTTTGTTTCAGGTGTTCAAATTTAGCTTAAGTGAAACAGGGTATATTTAAAAGCTTATAAGCCAAAATCAACTACATATTGACCATGTAATTGATCTTGTTCATACAATGATGAATAGTATACTGTGTAAAGCAGTTCAATGTGTATGACCGCGTAGTCAGTGTGTCCTCGGCCCCCAGTTAGCTATGGGCCGCCCGAGGAAGCCGTCGCCAGCATGAACTCTGCGGCGCCTGCGTCGGGCAAACCATCCACCCGATCATCGTCGTCAGGCTATCACCAGAAAGCGTTAGCTGAAATCCGTAATTCATTATTGCCCTTTGCAAACATCGGTGGCTGCGACAGCAGCGCGGCCAGCTGTGTGTCTAGCATCTCAAGTGCTTCAGGATCAGCTACCTCGGGCATTGGATCTGTATCTGGCCTTAGCTCTGTCTCAAATAACTGTGTTGACAAAGAGCTTAATGCTCTACGACAGACACTAACCCAATTAATAGCCATGGGATATACTGAAGTGAGTCTATTTTCATTATATATTATATTAATAATATATTATACTATTAGCTGTATAAGTTTTTGTATGCACATTGCCTTAAGAGTTTAACCATAGCCCAACAAATGATACCGTATATTTATTGTTGTGTAAGTGATAGTACCGCAAATAAATAGCATTACCCAAATGACGCAAATAGATTCTAAGTGTGGTTAAACTAGCTAGGTCTCCAAAAGGGATCGTTGCAGTAAACCGGTCAAATAAATGAATGATAACAATATTTCGATATACATTTTAAGTATGACCACATATGACCGACAAATTTTAAGTTAATATTGAAAATTTTGATCCGATGATAACATTATTTGTTATTACATTATCCTAAACAAATAGAATCAGTTAGCCAAGACCTCCTAAAAATATACTACCCAACACTATGTAAATAATTAAAAAATTAATTACAAGCTAGTACAGTGGGTGCAGAGCATTGTGAGTTTAGGAAGGTCACATAACTAAGTTATAGAATCATTAAAAAAATTATTTGTATTGATTTTGTGCTCAAAATTGTGATGTCTTTTGATTTTCATTAAAAATAATTGTTAAAAACATAGTTCACACTAAATTTTCAAAAAAAGAAATAAAGAAGTTTTTACCTCTATTTGGGTATGGTTCTTATTTAGATTTAGTCTGTTTATCGGTAGTGTTATTTATAAAGAATACTCAACATTTTTTAAAATTATTTCTACTCGCTTTTAGAAAGTTATATTGTGTCTTATTTTTAAATTAAATCAGAATTATAATATTTAGAGTATTTTTCTTAACTTTGAAGTAAAGGGGTGAGTTTTTCAACTTTTGAATCTTAGGTGTTTAATTTCTTATCTTTATTAAATCGGACTTTATAATTTGATAAATTGTGGTTAAAACTATAATAGTCCAAAGAAAAAATAACAATAATAAAAAAATATAATTATCGTAAAACCAAACTTTCTAAAGTGTGCATCAAAGCTAAAATTAAATAAATGGTTTTATAATATATAAATATTTTATATATAAAAAAAAAAAAATGTTAAATCTTCTAAAACATAAATGTTTTATTTTACAATAGACAACATTAAGTAGGAGAGATTTAACTAAAATTGTTATATTTTTCTCACATCATATTAAAAAATATGTTTTTTGTTTGATCATAGTTTTGTTGTCTTTATATATTTTTAACTTTATAAGAAATTTATTTGAATTGTAAGTATTTTGTATTAATTTGTGTTAGGTTGAATAAAATAAAATGATAACTAGTATTTGTATGGACCGTCCTAAAACAATGATGTTGATTTTGAAAATTAATTTAATTGGGAATTTCGAAAAGGGCTCATACCGGAAAATTAAAAATTTTCAGGAAACTCAAAAAACTGATTTTCTTTTACATGTCCTTTTATTTTTATGAACTTTATATATAGTTTTTTTCATCACGATAGAAAACAGATTTGGGCCCTTTTCGTTCATAAAATATCGGTCTATATGTGTAAATGAAAAAAACGCGGAAAAATAAATTTTGATCAAAACTCGAGATGGGCCCTTTTCGAAATTTACAATTCAATTAAAGTTACGGATTATGTAGTAAACTCTTTGTGTTGCCTGCGATTATCAAATCGCGTTCCTAGTTAAAATGCGATTGTTTTGTTTAATGTAAATATATTTCTATAATGTAGTGACATAATCATTACCTTAACATTTATGGAAGTGATTAAATTGGAAAAATAGGAATTTATCGAATTTAATGATTGTCAGAATAAATTAGCTGTCTACCTTCTCCCAAAAAAATACAATTTGATACATGATGACGCTCACTATTTCTATGGTCAGTCCTTTATGATGATTTAATATTATGACACATTGTTGTGTACTTGTCATTGATGATGGCAATAAATACGAATTTTTACTCAATTATCATTGGATAATTGAGTGTAAAGTAAAATGTACATGACATACCCGAAGTTACTCGGAAGCTTAATTACTTAATTTACAACTTGAAAGAACTTTCCGTACACGGAATTTTAGTAACCACTGTCGTCGCGTGAACACACGTCTCAGGAATGTAAGATCCAATAAAAAGGTGTCAGTGGCCTTGTCTTGTGCCTCTAGGGTGATGTCTGAGGCCTTTCAAATGAAAAAAAAACATTTAAAATAAATAACATTCCTACCAATCATCTTCATAGTAATAATAATAATAAATATCAACAACGGTATATTCATAACGATCTGGTTCCTCATTTCTGGTAGGTTAAGTTTGCAATATGGACATACGAGACGAGTGTGTTGCCATTTTAATGATTATCGAATAATCTTATAAATATGGCGCGACTCAAAAAATGTCGATACTTTTGTAAATGTGTCGAATTTTAGAATTAGTGTTTCCCTAAACCGAGGGTAACGTTCATATTATTATTATTTTGTTTCTTACATTATAATAGTTGGACGGCAAAAAAAATGTGAAACATGTGGCAGAAGATGTGTTCTTCTTAACTACTAGTTAAAAAATAAAATAAATATTCAAGTCACTCTAGTCTGCGTGTGTTTTATTTCCACGCAATATACTCTACTCGAGAGACGTAAAAACGCAGGTCTGGTTTATGTGTATAAATAAAAAAAAAATGTATATGTGTGTGTAAAAAAATGTATGCGTGTGTGTGTGTAAAAACCGATTTACGGGTTTTAATTAATATATATTTATATATATGTATATTAAAATAGCACATAACATTGTAAGATCGCCGTGTGCATAATAAATGCATTACGTGCACTTAACCATAAATGCAAAATATGTGGAAAACTCCGTTAAAACGTAAACTGGTTTAATTTATAGTTTAGGGAGGGAAAATGAAGAGAGCAACTATTTTTGTTACGCACATACAGGTTTTGTGTATCAAAGAACGTCGACGGTGCACCGTAATTAAGACTTGAGTTCCCAAGAGTATGTAAGCGAGCTTCCCAGAAGTGTTTATATATATAATATATATATATATATATATATAAGTATAAATTTATGTGTAACGTGTGTACCTAATGTCATATTTGTAGCACTTATTATATACGTGGGTTGTGCGCAGATTTTGTTATGATTGATCGGCCAACGAAAATAGCAACCGGTCTCTACCCGTGTAATAATTGCATCGGCGGATGGACACGTTTCTTCGAGATAAATTACACGTGCTTATTATAAAGATGCTGTATACCCTTATATACGAGTATGTATATTAATGTGTATAATATATGCGTGTTTCTACCTACACGTGCGTGTGCGAAGTTGAGTATTAAACAGGCAACCATAGGGATGTACTAGAGAGGGGTGCTGCATGCAATCGTGACCCTTGCAATCTAAACTAATAATAATATAATAGTAATTCGGTTGTTGCGCATTCTTGGGTCACGTTGGTATTGAAGATTAGTAAGCAGCAAAGTTGATTTGGATGGGTTCAAGATTTTTTTTGTCATTGAAGGGAACGGTTAAAAAATGGGAATTGAACGTAGGGTCAAAATCTGGTAATAAAGAAAAATATATTTATTGACCTGAGTCTATAATGTACATTATAGAAAAACTAAAATTAGTATTGTTTTTTAGAATTTAATTAACATTTTATACAATAATTATTGATACAAAGATGGGCTAAACTCAGTAGTATAGTACATTTGATCAATTATTGTCATTTATCAAATAACTGAAATTCGAGATTTTACTTTTAGATTTTATAAATGTTAAATGAGAATTCGGTAAATATCTTAAAAATTAATAATATCTTAAATTTAAGAAACTATTACTGGATCACACATATTTTGATTACATCTCACGATCTGTTCGATGTATGATTTTAATAAGACTGAAGTTTTTTAAAATTCTCCGCTTTTTATCCGATGTCATCGACCTACTTGGTTATCGCAAACGAGGTGGACCCATTTTCTTTACTTGTTTCTTTACTGTTGGTTCAAAATTATTGTATTTCAAATTAAATGACTCACAAAACAATTATCGTTTGCCGGTCAAAAGTAATTATACGTTATTTTGTTTTATGTATTCGAGTTGGTTTTAAGGTTTTTAATGAATGTAACTTTTGGTGATTTCGTAGAAAAAAAGTGAAGGAATATTTTGTATGGGTAAAAATATTGGTGTCCACATAGTCTGAGAAAAATGTCTGTGCTCGTCTACCATGTAATATATTTTTGTATATATTGTGTTTGCATTTGATGTCTATTGGTAGCGTAATAATGGATGTAATTTTACATTGAATGCATATTGTTACGAGGAATTTCAATGTTGTAGCCGCCTCTGTTGCATTTTGCATTGCCTTGGTGTGACATGTTATGTTGTTGTTGTGTGCCAAAATGCGATGGCGAAAATGAGCTATGCCGGTTTTTAAATTAAATTTTCTAGATCTCTGTGAGGAGGGAGCCGTATAGAAGACTAGACCGTCGTCGCAGCCGCCGCCGCGCCGTTGTGTGTGCTACTTTCACTGGATTTCTTTATTGCATGCATTATATCTATATATAATATATTGAAGATTCATTTTTGACGCCGTCGATAAAAAAAAATAACCTATCCCCGTTTTTTTTAAATATCGATAACGATAATAATTTATTATTTTACATCAGAAAACCGTATTGTTTGTTTGGCAAATCACAAACTCGAGTGTCGCCAGTTGACTGACCCTTTAATGGACACGACCGTCGGTTTTGGACTAACAAAGTAATATTAAATTCCCATTACGCCATTTTTCGATAATTAGTCTGATGTATATTATCTATTGTTCGTAAAAAAAAAAAAATGAATGACTAAACACCCAATAAAACGTACAAATTCCTCCCGTTTTGTTTTCGTATATACCGACGTATTTTTTATAAATAGCTCTCGTATATTTTTTGTTATTATTCTTTTGATCTCCTCATCCACGCGGACCCTGCAGGAATGCGCGTGATCGCATTCCGAGGACCAGATGTTACATGACAATAATAACACCACATTTTTCTTCCTTCACCTCAAAACATAAAAAAGGTCACCGAGACGGCACGGCGGTTGTTCGCCGTATATGTGATGACTACCGGCTGCGCTTCAGATTATTATTATTATTATTATATTCCCTCCGACGATATCCTTATATTATAATACATCCATTTTGTTGGATGTCAAAAGGTTGTATTCACCGTGTTAACACACATAGAATGCTGCATACCTAATAATAATGCACAGCCGCGGGTATTGTTCAAGGAAGTCGTCCGTCATCGTATCGTTGCGATAATGTTAACTATACGTAATATGCATGTATGAGATATGAAGTACATAAGAAAGAAAGACAAATCTAATAGACTAATAGAATAATAGTACAGGCGCAGTTGTTGTTCTTGTGCAGGATTCACTTATCGTGAAAACGAGAAACGGTTTGATAAAATATCGATTCTAAAACACTTATTAATAAACGCTGTCGAGTTCCATGACAAAATGTGACCAAAATATTTGATACTGGCCAGGTTGTTGGTGGGTGTCCATTATGTGTGTATACCCGTGAGCACAATTAAGATTATGTAACAGAGGACACGCGTTTTAATCGAGCATAAAGTGGTAACCTTATTGAAGCTCATTGTGTTGTACGGTCCCTAATATATTACTTAGTAATGAAATAGTCTGACGGCCTCTGTTAATGCGTGCCGCACGTTCAAAGTCTCTAGTGGGCCTTTATCATATTAAAAGTATATACTCTTCCTGTCTGGTCTGTCAGTCTCTACATGGTCTACACTGTTCTTACACCAGTACGATCGTATTATACTCGTTGCAACAATGAATAATAAATAAACATGTTTCAAAATAAAACATGTGCATTGCACGACGTTATATTAAACAAATAATGCCAACTTAGGTATAACTAATACGTTTTGGAAAATTAAAAACAAACTGTAGAACTTTCAACATTTTTTGCTGCTATATTTATAATTGATGTAATTCTCATTGTTATTGGTAAACAATAATTTTTTACATTATATTTTTTTTTTTCAGGAAGCATCTTTAAGGGCACTTAAAGTATCGGGAGGACGATGTGAGGGTGCCTTAGATTTTTTAGCCAAACAACAACAATGTGATTTGCAAAATGGGTGTAGCAAATCGTCAACAGGTAATTAAAGGCTTTTCTTCGTGTATCATTAATTTATTAATTGCATTGAATTATTTCGTTAATAGGACTATGCAGTAATAGTAACAAATTAATCAGAAAGTCGAGCCTAGAAAGAAGTGGAGTTGGGCCGAGGAGCAGTCCCGGGCAAGATAGTGGTGCAGGAAGCTCGAGGTCTGATAGTCCTAGACAACCCGATCTAGTCATTCACTCTCATCCTCCTTTGTCTCGCCAATATTCTCCCTCTGCATACTCTGAAACCCCACCACCTCCTCCACCCAGGAATAACAGTACGCCACCGCCTCCTCATGTTCCCACACATATGCAGCAACTACTTAAACGCATGTCTCCAGCCCCAGCAGTGCCTTCCCGACCGCCTGCCCCAACGCCAGGAACATCATCATGCAATTCTAATCAAAGAGTTACATCTCCTATGGTGGTTCAGAATGGTCCACAAGCTCAGCAACAGTTGTCTCAGCAAATGCAAGCTTTGAGTATGACTACTTCAGAACCTCCACCACCTTATCCTCTAGTCGGCGCTCCCCCACCACCGCCTTCGTATTCGGCTTCAATACAAGAATACAGAAAATCGCCTTCGTCTGGGGTGTTTTCGTCTGCAGGGTCGTCTAGTCCCATATCTGGCTCTACAAATGGTAGCGTGTCTTCATTAACACGACCAACCCCACTGCAAGCTTGGGGTGCCCGACAAACCAAGACTCAGTCTCCCATTATAATGCAGTCTGTACGAAGTACTTTGGTTCAAAAACCAGTACTTCAAACTGCTGTTGCACCTCAAGCTCCAGCGCCTACATCTCCATCTCCAGTTCCACCACCATCTTACGCATCATCTATTCAACAGAAACAGCAAGCTCAAAAAGTAGTCCAACAACCACAGCAAGCATCATTGTCGTCTTCCTCATCATCAGCCGTACCAACAACTGAACCACCTAGCTACGCAAGTACAATGCAAGCTTTAGCTGCCCAAAGAGTTATTACAAATCCATTGCCTCCTCCACCGCCATATGCTGAAGAACATCCACACAGGAAACCCACACCCCCACTACCTCCCATACCTTCATCATCTATTGCTAAGAACAAAATGATGAATTGCAACAACCATCACCATCACTTTAATAACAATAACGGACATACAAATGGACATGACGAGGAAGATGATAATCAGTCAAAAATTGATCATCAGTCTCCAATTCCCGAGCGTAAACACATTAGTAAGGAAAAGGAGGAAGAAAGGCGGGAGTGCAAAGTAAAAAATTATTCTCCTCAGGCTTTCAAATTCTTTATGGAGCAACACGTAGAAAATGTCATAAAGTCACACAAACAAAGGGTGTTCAGGAGGGTTCAGTTAGAAACAGAAATGGCTAAAATCGGTTTAAGTGAAGAAGCTCAATGCCAAATGAGAAAAATGTTGTCACAAAAAGAATCAAATTACATTCGACTGAAAAGGGCAAAAATGGATAAATCTATGTTCACAAAAATCAAACCCATTGGTGTTGGTGCCTTTGGTGAAGTTACATTAGTCAGAAAAATTGATACGAATCATTTATATGCCATGAAAACTTTAAAGAAAGCTCATGTGCTTAAACGCAATCAAGTAGCACACGTAAAAGCTGAGAGGGATATACTTGCAGAGGCAGATAATGAATGGGTTGTCAAGCTATATTACTCATTTCAAGACAAAGACAACCTTTATTTTGTTATGGATTACATACCAGGTGGAGATTTAATGTCATTGTTGATTAAGTTGGGAATATTTGAAGAACATTTGGCGAGGTAAATATACAAATTTCGAACTATAATTATTTTTATACTCTACTAATGTTTTTTTTTTAATTTTAGGTTTTACATTGCCGAATTGACTTGTGCGGTAGAAAGTGTACATAAAATGGGTTTCATTCATAGAGACATCAAGCCAGATAACATTTTGATTGATCGTGATGGTCACATTAAACTAACAGATTTTGGTTTGTGCACAGGATTTAGATGGACCCATAATTCCAAGTATTATCAAGATGGTAAGTATAAAAAAGATACGAAATTAATAATCAAATCAATCTTGTAATCTAATTACTGAATTGGTATTTTTAGGTGAACATTGTAGACAAGACTCGATGGGTGGTGAAGAGTGGGGTGTTAATGGTGCGGAATGTAGATGTCACCAATTAAAGCCTTTAGAGAGGCGACGCAGAAGAGAGCACCAAAGATGCGAAGCTCATTCATTAGTAGGAACACCTAATTACATTGCTCCAGAAGTTTTGCTTCGTACTGGCTATACACAATTATGCGATTGGTGGAGTGTTGGTGTAATACTCTATGAAATGTTGGTCGGATCACCTCCGTTTCTCGCTAATACTCCAGCAGAAACTCAGTACAAGGTAAGCAATTCAAATAAATTTTTTCCCCCTACCAGTGTTTTAAATTTTATTGTTTTAGGTTATCAATTGGGAAAACACACTTCAGGTGCCACCGTCAGCCAATCTGTCGCAAGAGGGTGCTGATCTAATATTAAAGTTATGTACTTGTAAAGAACGACGTCTAGGGAAAAATGCTGATGAAGTTAAAGCTCATCCATTCTTTGCGGACTTAGATTTTGAAAGAGGAATGCGACGCCATAAACCTCCTCATGTACCTAGAATACAGTTCTCCACCGACACGTCAAATTTCGATCCTATTGATCCAGAACGGCTTCATAATTCAGACTCGTCGGACTCTGATAATCGAATATCTGACTCGGATGGCAATCGGCCGTTCCACGGGTTCTTTGAATTTACATTCAGACGTTTTTTTGATGACGGCGGCGGACCATCGTTCCATACTAGAATAAGTTTAGATGACAATGATGGACAGGGTGCTGTATATGTTTAAATAAACCAAGGAAACGGTGCAAACTGCTCAATTTAAATTATTACATGAAATTCGAGGAGCTAATTGTTGAAATTGACAATCTTCAGTTAAGAGATATTTACGACCACAACTTCAATAAATAGTAGAAATAAGGTGATAACATAAAAGAAGCGGACAAAAAAAGAAATAATAAAACTGACAAGAAAATCGAACTACTGTTAATTATTTAGAAATCATTTCCAGCTTTTTTTTTGCATCACATTTCTTCTTTAGCAACATCTCGATATGGGGCGTCGTGATTCCTATGAACATAAGCCTAATTAAGTTACCAAAATGTTCTTCATATTCTAATATTTTTTTTTTTTAAAGCCGCTTTTGTAATTTATTACCCTTTTTCTTAGTCCTAACATTTCTCCCCATTTATATTTATTTCTTTAATACTGAACTGTATATTAAAATTAACTATTTATATAGAATCGATTATGTTTCAACAACCATCTTGCTATTATCTTTCAATTGTTTCTCGTCCTCTTAGAACCAAAAACAAAAAAAAAAGGAACCAATTTTCTAATGAAACGGGCTGTGCAAAATGACAGGGTTATTTTACTTTGATACTGAGCTTTGATAACGAATTTATAACAAATATTTTTATTTACAAAAGCAAACAAAATTTATCTTCTAGGCAGTTACCAAATTTATATATTTATATGTTATGTAATATAAAACAAAAACCTAATGTATATGTATTGGTGTTCAGACATTATAGACACCTGCTCTCTCTATCTCTCTCTTATTATTATACATATTTTGTTTTAATGATCTAGTTGAATTTGCTCATATCAATAATGTTTCGGCATCATTTCAATCGACTTGTTTGTAAATCGTCTGTGATAAACGATTATTTAGAGAAGTAAAAAAATTGTTTAAAAAAATAAAAATCTAATGACAATTCGGCTGAAATGATGCCAGGCTTGTTTATTTACAGATCTGCTTAGTGTTTTATTATTATTATTATTATTATTATTATTATATTATTTATATAAACTTAATTTCTTTATGTAATATATTACTTATTATGTGTATTGTACAGAGGGTGGCATAACAACTTATAAATTATGTCATACTGCATATTTTTATTATTATATTTTTTTTTTCTAGGAAAAAGTGATATGTGAACATAAACGTAATGTATATTTTTTTATTACAAAAAGTCAATAACATATTTTTATTGCATTTACACAGTTATTGAATAATTATTTTCCTTTCTTGCCTCCTTTTTTCTTCTTTTTTTTCTTCTGTGTTTGTGGCCAAGGAAAGCCTCGGCATCTCAGCAAATCTTGCACATTATGGCATGTATGATAAGCATTGTCCATAGCGCACTCGTTGAATACGTCTACCAAGTTTCTTGATTTCTTACCTTCCTTTCGAGTTTTTACTGTTGCTGTCACTGCTGGTTTCTTAGGTTTTTTTTCATCTTTTGCATTAGATGTTTTAACGTCACTCTTTTTATCACTTCCTTGTTTACTCATTATTTCCTTAGCATAATACCTAAACTAAATGTTCACCTTACAAAAATAAAAATTCAAATAAAATAAATGTACGTATAATTGCCGAGAAAGAAGTAAAGTGAACTTTTGTAAAAAAAGTAATCGATGACTATCAAGTTTTGCCAAGTCTGTGAGTGTAATGATAACAAAAGTATTAATATTTTATCAATGTTGCTATGCCAATAATACAGGAATATATACTAATAGAACACGTTATAAATTATATAAAGATTTTTTATGTAACTACAGATAATTGTCAATTATTGAAACCTGTACTCTTAAAGTAATTGAACGGGATAGAATAGTTTTTGACTAATTTTGTATTCATTTTTTAAAGCACTCGCCCGCCCTATTAAAGGCCTCGAAAGTTTTGCTAAGCTTTGGGCGAAATGGTTTAACTTTTACAATAGGGATCTATGTTAAATTATATTTACATTTTTTGTTCAGTGTCCACTTGACAACTTAATTTCGATTTACCGTGGAATACTTTTGCAAATTAACAGTTTTAAAAATACAAAATGTTAAGACATTAATTAGATAATACCTAACGTCATGATATAATAATTTCGTGTACTCCAATAATGAACATTATATTTTATAAGTGAAAAAATTAATTTGTGCAGTCGTTCAAGTAAAATTCAAAATATATTTCTACCAGTACCATTTTTTATGGTTTGTAATATAAAAATATATCAAGTTTACTATGCATATTTAAAATAATAATAAAGAAAAATAGAGTTAAAAAATTTGTAAATTAGATTTAGTTATGATTAGATTTCCAAAGTGAATTTATACATAGTATGTATGCTATCTAGGCATAGGTGGGCAAATTAATGATATAAATTAATTCGATGAGTTAAGATATCTACATTTTATACATAGCCTCAAGTTAAAAGTTAATAGAAACAAAAAATACAAATTTTAAACATTTAAATGTAATATTAACTTTAGGCTAACTAAAAAATAAATAAACTTATCATTTCTTTAACTAGTTGATGTCCAACATTGTTCACACTACACAGATTATACGAAAAATAATCATATAATTTTTATATTAGGTATATGTGTTCGGTACAAATCGAATCATTATTACTACATTTTTTTAGTGCTAGGCATAGGTTAAGAATTTATACTGTTATTTTTTGTTGATGTACGATTTATAAGTACTGCATGATTGATGATAATATTCAAATTATTTAGATTTACTAGTTACATTTAGAAAAACAACATGACCAATCAATTGGGAGAGTAGCATCTAAGGGGCTTATGGTTCACCTCCCGACTCTCTTTTACACAATAGCATAATTGTGTTAACATTGGCATTTCGAGAATAATTATTGCATTTGACATAGGTATTTTCCTACGTCCTCGAGCAAATGTTACAAAATACAATTACAAAAATACACAATGTTATGATATTAGTATTAATATTATTCAACAACGATTACCAATTATATTTTGTACCTACGCCCGTTGCCGCGTTCTGCTCCGATCCTGACAAAAGCATTGTTGCCAGCTATCTGGTGTCGGCCAATAATTTTAGGTCGACTAGTGTGGCCACACTGTCGTTGGCCTTGTGATAAAAATAATCTGACGAAATCATTTCTTCTACATTTCTCTTCTCTATTGTTCCCTCGATTAATTTGGTGACTCCTCAATTAAACTCGATATTAGTGCTGTCGGCCGACCAATTTACACCGCCGTTTGTCGGGTTTCTTTTGTTCGTTCGAGTACACTGGTTGCAAATCAAAAAACATAATGAGTGCGTCAACGTTCAGGCCGGAATGTTTCTTTGGACGGTAGGACATGCACTCGTTACCGCCGTCGACGACAATATTTGCCACCCGCGCCGGACCCAGCAGTCCTCCGCAACATGTCGAAATTCATATGTGATATAATATATATTTATAAATAATATAAGTTAGTGTTTAATTACCTACCTGCCTAAGAGATATTTATAAATATTTACCAATTCCTATTTCATGACCGCTATTCTAACAGTTCAATTAACCCACTTGTAATAACGATCCTTCGCCTTGACAACAGCTATTTACTGTTTTTGACATTTCACCCAATTTTTATTATTTTCCTCCTGTCATACGTACAAAATTATATTTTTTTTTTATATATTTTGCATAACATTGTAAAATATAATTATTCTTAAATACATTTATTTATATATTATATTATTTAATCATAAACTGAACACACGTATTTTGGTGTCGACAACGTGAGCTTGTAATATAAAAAAAGTTTTGGCCATTCACTGGAGTGACCATGAACGTTCTTGGCTCTAGAACAGCGACGGCAGTTAATCGTATACCAGACATGGGAACACCAACAAAACCGTTACCCAATACACCTCCTGTGGCAAAATCAATGTTTGAACACGTCAAACTCGAACATATGGTGGCTGGCTTCACTGGAGGAGTTGCATCAACACTCGTGCTTCATCCATTAGACTTGCTGAAAATACGTTTTGCAGGTACCTTTGTGTTTGACACAAAAATCTATTATGTGTTACTAATTTGAAACAATTTACTTAACTACTGGGTTTTCTTTTAAAACATTTTTTTGTTGCCAAATTATGTCGATTTTTACACGGATTTCAAATTTAAAGTCAGAAATCTGCATAATATGCGAAATAATAAATTATTTTTTAAATTAAATGTATAATTTGTAAAATCATTATAAAAAGGAGATCACGTGAAAGAAAAAGTCACTGTGTTTGTAATGGCAATTGCTTTTGGAAATTATGGCCGAATTACAATTATACTTGAGTACTTGAGCAACAATAATTCCATAAGGCTATCACTATTAAACTAGAGCAGTTTGTGGATTTCCAATTTAAAATTTCAAAATACTTTGGGCACAGGGGAAACACGGTAGTAGTCACATTATGAACATTTTAAAGTATAGCAAAAACAAAGTTTGTGAATTCCTCTCCCTCTTACATAAGAACAAAAAAATCACATTAAATGCTATTCTAATAAAAAATGTATTAATTTAAGCAATCTATTGACATAAATTATAAAAACTATTTGAAAACATTTTTTTTTCATAATGTGAGTACTACCGTCCTTCCCCTGTGCCCTTCACTTATTTTCACTAAAAAAAGCTTGTGCCAACAGTTAATTTATACTATTACTGATTTTGATTTGTTTTTACTTTGTAGTAAATGATGGTAGGAATGCCATACCAAGTTATGCTGGATTAGGAAATGCTGTCACTACAATATTTAGACAAGAAGGAATCAAAGGACTTTACAAAGGAGTGACACCAAATGTATGGGGATCTGGAAGCGCGTGGGGATTTTATTTCTTATTGTAAGTGTAAATAAAATAACAATGTAATGGATTAACATACTAATGAAAAATGTGCTTTTAGTTACAACTCAATTAAAGCTTGGATTCAAGGGGACAATACTAAGAAGCCCTTGGGCCCAGCACTTCATATGACAGCTGCTGCGGAAGCCGGAGTCCTTACTTTGATTATGACCAATCCAGTGTGGGTAGTGAAGACAAGATTGTGCTTGCAGTTTGACCGACCCAATGACCCTAACAAAGGTTATAGTGGGATGTGGGATGCCTTTCGGAAGATCTATGGTGCCGAGGGTGTGCGAGGTCTTTACAAGGTATTTACTACTATTTCATAACTTTATATTTACCGGCACATTTCAAGTCCTGAACTTTTAGACTAAATGAAAAATCCGTCTTCATTACGCTTAGTTTCTGTTTTATGCACTCTTTTTGAACAGACTGTTTATTACTTACTTTATATGTACATTGTTGTCACAGTAAAGTAGATGGTTGTTATGTAACTTATTTCAGGGGTTTGTTCCGGGAATGTTAGGCGTATCACATGGTGCTCTGCAGTTCATGACATATGAAGAGATGAAGACTTATTACAACGAGTACAGGAGACTCCCCATTGATGCTAAATTGGTTAGTAGAGATTTTTTTTATATTTTAAGAATTTTGTAATTAATATTTCTGATTTCTTATAGGAAACATCGGAATACATAGTGTTTGCTGCTTTCTCAAAACTAATCGCTGCAGGTCTAACTTATCCATATCAAGTTATACGAGCAAGACTACAAGATCAACATCGTGAATATAGAGGCACTTGGCATTGTATTACACAAACTTGGAGGTACGAAGGTGCTGGTGGATTCTATAAAGGATTATCGCCATATTTATTACACGTGCTTCCAAATATTTGTCTTGTTTTGTTAATTTATGAAAAGTTCACCAATACCTAATATAAAATTAAATTAAACCTTTAAGTAAAAAAAATAAAATTTCAGTCATCTTATTTTAAAATTTCTAGTATTTTTTTTTATTTTCATTATAATTAAAAATAATATATTTATATATTTTGTTTAATTGAAAATAAATAATTTACTTTTTATACTTAATGCAATAGATCACATTAAATAAAATGTAATTAATACTTAAACAAGTTTGATTACTACATTTAAGTTGTTCATAGACGATACTGTGCTAGTTCGATTTGGTTATGATAACTTTTAATAAAATTATGACCTATTGATCAACAATTGTCCCCTATTAGACTATTCCTATTGTAGACACAATAATTATACTATGACAATATTTTCTCATAGTTATTTATGTATTTAGAGAAGTGATGTAATATATGTTATATTTCTTTGTTTTTCAATTATTTTGTTTTTAAAACATGAATCTTGCTACTTGGTTGATATCGCCCAATTGATCTTGGGTGGTATCTATGGAGGTTTAAGTGATAAAATTGAGACGTGTCTTTTAAATATCCTAACTATGTTTAAAAAATTGTAGGTTCTTTGTTTAGTTAGCTTATGAATATTTTTTTGTCGTCGTGATACACTGATAATTGCAGTTAAAATAAACTAGAATTGATTAATTTTTTGTTCCTATATAAGTATGGTTGAAGAAAAAATGTTTTTCATTGGAAATAATTTTTTTGTATGTATAGTACCTTATCTTCTTAAATTATATACAGTGAACATGTATGTTGTAAATAATAAACAATAAGTTATTGCGTTATAATAATAATAATAATAATGAACATAAAGTTGTAGTTTGTTTTAACATGTCATTTAACAGTGTGTTGCGGTGCAGCCAGTTATGTTTCTACAAATTGGTAAGAAGTTGGAAAAAAAAACAGAAGAACTATAATAAAAGTTCAACCAATATCTATTTTTTCAGATTTGAAGGATGGCAAGGATTTTATAAGGGATTAACACCAAGTCTTTTAAGAGTAGTACCAGCTTCAGTCATTACAATTCTTACGTATGAAAATGTGTCCAGATACTTGATAAGATTGAATCAACAGACTATTAAATGTTGATTTTACAAAAATTAATTTCATGTTCATGTAGTAAATTAAAGTTGTTATTGTTTTTAAATTTAAAACGTATCATACATACTTAATTTTTACTTGTACTTATATTTTTCTAGTGATACGTTTTTGGTAAATTTGTAGACTGAATATAATAGTCAAAATACTTAAGTTTGTATTTGTTATTATATTAATGTATAAATAGAAAATGGTTAAATTATTATTATTTTTTTTAAAGTGTGTTTACATTTAACAGTTTGATTTATACTGGCTAGAATTTTGTATGGGCAAGAGTATTACTACTATTAAGTGAGCTGTAGGCTCAACTTTAATAGTAATTTTTTTTTCGCTTTACACCTACAATGAAAACATTTAGTACGGTCAACTGCCCACAATTTGGGTATGTATTGAAATATTATTTTGAACATCTTGTGTGATATAATAAATCTAAAATCGTCATTTAAAAATTAATATATAATAAATAATATTATGAAACAATTATTAGAAAATATTTTATTGTTACGCTTATTAGGTATACTGGTTTTAATTTGTTTGTACAAACATACTTTATGATTGAAAATATTTAAATAACACAAGTAACAAAATGGGTCTTATTATAAATTGTCTTCCCCCAAAAGACGTTTTTATGATAAATCGGAATACTATTTTGATTTACAAAACGGTTTTAACCGTTTGTACGTGTTATTACAAAGACCGACAATTTTAACAGTGAGTTTTGACTGGAATGTTAGAACCTTGTTTAGTGTCTGTGTATATGACAATCTAACTCTAGTAATACGATCAGTGATCGTCGATCACATGAGATTAATGTTTTTGTGTTAATTAAACATGACGTGTCCTGACCGGAAAACGGTGAAACACTATAATTGTTGCAGATACTGCGCAAGCGATGTGGTAAGTGGCGTCATTTGAGGGGGGGATGGAAAGGGTTAATTTGGGGTAAGCACTTGGAGAAAATTCATAGGAAAGTTGAAAACTGGTAAAAAAGACCACAGTAATCTAAATAGTTGAAATAACTATGTGTAAAAATAAGATATTTTTTCGACCTTTCTATGAGTTTTCACCCTTTTTTTGTTTTTCTAAGCGTTTTATTGAGAAAACTCACACATTTCATGTAAATTTTCGCAGCTTAGAGAAAAAAATTGAAAAATTCTCAAATTTTGAGCAACAAATGAATTTTTTAATATACATTTATATTATGCAATATAAATTAATTTAATTTACATTTGCTAACTGTCAGTCGTGAGAAGGGACAAATAGCAGAAACTTAACTGAAAATTGTGAACAACGAAGCCCTATTTTCAGTTAAATTTAGTTGTTTGCGCACATTCCAGGTATACATAACACTCCCATGTAAAAATAAATAATTGACCGTGTTACAGCTTTAAAACATTACTCATATTAAATTTATAATACAATATACCTTCGTCCTTTAAAACGCTCAACGACTTTCTGTTGACATAGTTATAATGTCATGGACAGGCAGTTTAAAAATGGTGTGCTTATTTTACAATAATTATGCAGAGAACTATCACTTAATAAATTCAAATAAGGATTTTTATTAGTACATAGCTATGGCTAACATTTTTACAAAATATAATTAGGAACTCGTTAGAATATATCGTCTATATCCAACGCACTTGTATAGGTCCAGGGATTCTTCAAACATTTTAATTACCAAATTTTAATTTAATTTGCCGGAAAACAGACATGATGATCGAGGTCGAGGGTTATTTTGGCGAAAAACGGACACCCCCGGTCGATTATATTGTAGGCACAAAAGATCGAACCTGGAATAAAAATATAAGATAGCTATATGCACAAACGGGTCATCATCCTATAATCGGCAAACATTTTAACATATTGTGCGCAATTCAAAATCGAGTTGTTATATTTGAGAATCGCGTTTAACTAGATAAAACTTTAATTACAAAAGTCCAAATAGTTGAAAAAACAAGGTGCTGTGACAAAAAGTTGGCACTCTAGAAATTAATTCTTATTTTTTTTTTTTAGTTTTCAAAATTGAAAACTTCCCACGATTTCTTCACACTCCCCCGTAGCAGTAGTCTGCTATGTATTTGTATTATCCAAAAAAAATTACATTATGTTGCGTTAATAATACAAAAAAAACCGACGAGACAACCTTGGTAAAGTTCTCATTATATTAAATATGTAAAAAAAAAAGTTTCTAAGATTATTATTTAGTATTTAGCCAATAATGTAGAATATGCGTAGCTATGTTTAGTTGAAAACATTTTTTTTAAATCGCTGACAAGGATGTTGTGATATGCCGAAAACAAAATTAACCAAAAAAAGAGTCCTAATTACTGAACTTATAATTACACATCACAGTTTAACCTAAAAATTATGATTTTTCAAAAATGGCCTATACCAAACTCCTTAATAAATATGGGGTAATAGGTATGACGTCCTCTTAACCATATATATTTTAACGAAGGGAAAAATTGTGTCCAATAAACTATTGCGTTTGTCATTTTAGAGGCATCGAATGTATTGATTGATGTATGTAGTAAACGAGACGTATTCTTTATGGAACTGAATAAAATCGTTTTATAAATAAATTAAACTAACAAATTTTCCTGTGTGGTCTCAAGAGATAGTGGATAATCATGAACAGTGAACACGGTGACTGGATATACCAGCGAGACGGTTTGCATAAAATATAGATATTGTTAACAAAACTACAGTAGATAAAACAATGTGAAGCCGTACAAAACAAATGTATAAATATCCATTCCAAAGAAACTGCTCGACCCGTCATCGATTTAAATATGTGGGTATATTTTATATTAATTTGAATATGATCAATGTTTTCAGATTTCAATACACTAAATCACAGACATATCAGCTCGATGGTAAAACAAAACGATTTAAATAATACCAACAGTATGTGTTAACAGGTTGAAGGTGAGTTACGCAACCACTAATGTTATATAAACGGAAAATAAAGATAATTTTGCTTGGTACTCGGGATTTTATAATTCCAAACAATAGTAATATAATATTCAGGTAGAATAATATTTGCTTCAACTTGATATAAAACAATATTCACGTAATACTATCAATAGATAGTAATTAATTGACGGCAATTAAAAGCAGGCACGGATCTAGGAATAAAATAAGGGGGGGGGGCTAGATGACAAAATTTACTTCAAGTACATAAAAGCATTAAGTTTAAGTTTTTATAGTGAATAAAATATTCAACATTTATGCATATTATAATAGTTTATTTAATAATGCTAATTATAATAAAAACAAACTTAAATAAACTTAACAAATTAAATTGACTAATCCTCCGTCTTAATCCTTTTAGATGATCTTGAAAATATATTAATAACTTCATCAATATTAGTATTTTATAATGAATGATTAAAACAGCTAAGTCATTTAAACGCTCCTGATCTCCATGGTTGACCTCAAATAATTTTTTAAACGTCTTAATGACGAGAATCTTCTTTCAGCTTTAGCTGTGGTAACTGGTATGGTAGAAAATACATGTAATAATGTTTTGATAATAGGGAAAAATTCATAACAGTGTTTTAAAGTTTCAATCACCGTATCTGGTTTCATAGTTTGAATATTGCGCCATTTATTCTTCAAAATTGATATTTTTGATTGTATATTCGTTTTTCGACCCGACCAATCTTCACTATATATCATTGCAGCTTTAATAATATTCGATTAATCATATTTATCAAATCAAGTATGTTGCCATCAATCCTTCTAAAAGCATTGCTTCGCTAAGCTTTTCATTGAATCTTGATTTTAGTTGGGAAATCAAATGGTCAATAAAAGGTAAAAAAAATAGTTTTTCTATACCATACCATTGGATCTGAAGTTTGAATATTACTTCGTGTTGTTTGACGGCCACATAAACGAGGTATTCTTATTTCCTCACCAACAAGAGCTGCCATACCAGAAGAATTTTTAAAATATGTTTCAAACCTGGATAGAGAATTTTCTCTAATATTGTCAATAACATCAATTACATCCTTTGAAAAACAGTAACACCAAATTGAAGAAAAAAAAATTGGTATAAAAGTGGGTTACTGCCTTATTCGGTGGGCATGTCGATTTGCATGTCTTTTTTACGTCTAATCTTTAAAATGTTTCAAGTAGGTACCTAAGGCTTAAGTGGGAGGGGCTTCAGTCCCCATAGCCCCCCCCCCTCTTGTATCCGCATGATTAAAAGTAAGCAATATATTATAACGATAAAATGTTGATTTTTTAAATAAAATTTTATTTCACTTTATTTTAAAAATGTCATCAAATTATATTAAAATTTAAAGAGGCCGAATATAGCATGTGGTGGCGTGTTTAATATACAGGCCATTTCCATTTTCCAACGATGAAAAAGTTAAACGTATAGATCATAATGACGTTCCTGATGTTTCTAAACTTGAAGCCAAAATCGCGGTCAATTAGAAGAAAATCCAGTAGCTACGTGTGAATCGACTTGCTCAGTTCTTGGCGATTACAGTCAAAGAAGCAGGAAAGATTATTTACGAGGCATCGAAAATAGTTTTCAATGACAAGTTTAATTGTGATTTTTTTAAATAAATAATTTTTTTTTTTAAACAAATATTTGTATTAGTTATTGACTACATACTTATTACTTGAGTTTGTTCATAAAGACATATTACGCAATTGAATTATTGACTATATCAATATCAATTTACTCCCTATTATAATTGTCATTCACAATAACTTGTACTATTACGGAAATTTCAAAAAAACAGACCATATTTTATTCTTTTTTAAGCAGTAAAATGTATTGTTCTAAGCATCGCATATTATTAACTTCCGTAGCAATCTTAATTGGTGTAATTCTATATTTCAAAGGGGTTAGCGCCAGACCTTAAATTAACCTAATTGGCTCGAAAATCGAAGAACTACTCGAATGACTTTTAACGGTGAAACTAAGTAGAACTGTATTTATTATTAACAAAATATAGAGTTTCTAGGCACTTCAAATATCCCTGTCATTTATGTTCTTTATTTTATGTGAACAGGAGATAATAAACAAATAAACAATAGTATTTGAAAAACACGTTTAAGTACAACTACGCTTACCCCCAAGCTCTTGTATTCAGTAGCCTTGAAATATTACGAATATATTTGAATATATGTATGAATAACTTACTGTAGTGTTTCTAATGTTTGTTTGCTGACTTGTATTGATGGTATGGCAACATTTGAATCGTTTACAAGTAAGAAGAATTTAAATAGTATCTAGCAAATTTAAAAGCTAATGCGTAGACCATGCTGCACCAATTTCTTCATATTATGTAATATGTATGTACAGTATATAGAGCGGATATCGTACACCGAAGACCCGATTTCCCTTGTAATACACACTGTAAAAATGGTAAAAATACACATTATATTTTCCGAAAAATTACCTACTTGCAGTCAAAAACTAATGAAATAAACAGTACCACAGAAAAGGTAGAAACTTTTTTATTTTGCTTTATATGCGTAGTTATGGATTTAAGTATTAAACATCAAACTTATGGTAAAACTAGTGAATTTGTAGTTATAATGTTTTTGAGGATGCTCCAAAAATATAATGATGATTATAACTAAATGTATTGCCTGAATATTGACAATTTTTACCATCAACAAATTCACATCGAAGTGTTTTTTTTAGTGATTTTACTGTTCAGAATAAAAATACTTCAAATAACACTTGTCTGTTTTTATATAAAAATACCAAATCTTAACCACCAGCTTATCTTATTTATTATACCACCTTTATTATACCTATTATTTACTTTGTTACATAAACGTAATAGTGTGCTAGCACCTTATATGAAATAATGTACTAATTGCTTTATAAATTATTTATTTAAAATAGGTATATATTGACAACGGAAAAGGCAAATATAATATACTTATCTTCAAATTCTCGGTTAACAAAACTATTTTATTTATTCAGTCAATCTATAAATATCATTTGACCACAAAGGTCAAAACGAATTGACTTTTCTCACGTTTGTCTATTTTCAGTTACCTATCCATTAACTAGAATTTTATGAATTATGAGAAAATTATTTTACACTATACTCTGTTCAAAATAAGAAGCAATTTCGGCGGCTACCTGAAAACCGGTTTTTTACGTGGTATTCAGATAGCCGCCGAGGTCGCTTCTTATTTTAAACCGAGTATAAGGTCAAGAATATTTTTCTTTAAGCAATTAATTTATAGGTAAAGTCAGTGGCATGTTTACAGGGGCGATCAGGATAATTTATCACCCCTAAGAGCTTTAATTTGTATGAATATAACATTAATGATCTATTTGTTAAATAGATAAATAATAACATTTTATTATAATATCTTAAAGTATTATATTTGAATAATAAATAATGCAAGTATAACAACGTAAATGGTTTTTTTCACCTATCGAACACGCTTTTTGAACTTTATGAACAAAATACATTTGTCCAATTGAATCTTGAAAAAAGCAAACTGTTATAATTGAAAGTGGACGATTTTTAAGAAATTGTATGTAGGCAATATTTAAATATAAAGTGTCTTAAATTTCGACTACATCAATTTATTTTCAGGTTAATTTGTATAAGCTTCGGCGTATTAGTTTTAACATGTTAATTAGTATTCTATGAGTGAAAGGCATTTTGGTTGTACAAGAAACCAATTTTGCCCAACCTAAAAGCCTGACAAAATTATGCTTAATTAATATGATCAGATTTTAATTCTGTAAAAATATTTGAGCACATCGGCCTTTATTCCAGGTTATTGCGGAAGTCGATTTTTGAATAACTGTTTTATTTACTTAAAAAGGACAAGGAAGTGAATACTAAAAATTTGAGAAATTGAAATAAAATTTAAACACAATTTTAATTTAAATACCAAAAATCGATTCCCACGATAACCTAGAAAAGAGGAAATCGGACCATCCCAAGTAGGTAATTATGTCAGGATTTTAATCATTCTAAAACGTAAAAAAAAAAACAGACCGCTCTCAATCCAGGGACGTTAAAGAAAAATCATGGTTCACTTTTTCTCGACCGGACTATAAAGGCAAGATTTACACAAGGGAGCCAGGGGGAAGTTTTTTGTTGCATATCACCCCTTAGAAGAAAATAATTGTAAACGCGCTACTTTGTAAAGTGGTTTAATTTGTTATTTGAACCAGTTTCAATCAACATAAGTCAAAACAATTTACAATGTCCTCAATTATAAAATGCGTTGTGGCGTATATAGTAATTACAATTCGCCCAAGTATATTGTAGCCTATTAAATTATATTGTGTAAGTATATTGTAGCGTATTAAAATGAATAAACTAAGAAGTTATTGTTTTTTAATAATATCGCATTCTAAGACAATAGCTATAATTTGTTAATTTATTCCCGTATTATATGTTAATTATTTCGCTTATGATAGTTGAAACGGCGCGTTTTCACACAATTTAATTATAAAAAAAGTTTTTAGTTTTAATGAATTAAATAATGCCTTAAATACTTTTTATTTAACCTTCAAGGTATTCTTAAATTATTAAATTTCACAACATTCCACAATTGTCTAGTATTCAATCCAAAATTGTTCTAGACTTAAAAGATACACTCTCTGAGAGAATTTAATTATTAAGAACCCCTATTCATAATAAACAATAAATCTACAACATACATTTTATTGGGTATCCTTATTTGTTTCATATTGTTGAAAGTTTTTATTTAAACGATTAAAAATTTTCATAAATACATATCAAAAGGAATATATTATACAATAAATACATACGAAAGTATATTTATACATAAAAAAACATGCGAGGATCAGCTTTCTGTGAAGTAACCCCATTCTTCATTTAATTAGACTAAGGCAAATGGTTTAAGCCGCCTGATGTCTTGCGAGTTGTCAAGGAGTTGAATGGCAGCTTTGTTTGTGTATAACCTTAATGTCTAGTCATTTTATGGGTAAACCATAGTTTTAGATATCGACTTAAAATGTATAAAAATATGTTTATAATGAAACTCAATGATTATAAAAGGTACTTATTATGTCTATATGATTGTCTTACTTAAATATACTGTTGAGTATGCTGAGAGAATCGTTTAATATTAAGAAATCACCATGGTTTTTATCTAGTGCGTTTACATTCATAATATTATACTGTCTTACTAAAAAAAAAGACGGTAACAAGAAAAAAACGAGAAACAGGAAATGTGTAAAATTCTTTTTTACTTGGTTTAATCGGGTATTTATAATTTTTTTTATCAAGTTACGGCACTTTTGCTTAGGAGGGCAGTATACTCCTGTCTATCGTTAGCGCTAAAGATGACAACATTGTTGCCCAAATATGTATACGCATAGAGTGTATTATTTTTATTGTTAAGGGTTTAAGTATTCATTTCTCTACTAGTATACACCTGTTTGATCGAAATAAAAAATAACCAGTGGATTTAAGATGTGTATAAAATATTTTCCACATAAGTAAAATCCTGAACGGTTTAAAATGGAAAAAACAAAATTGGTTGACTAGGTAGTATGAAAAAATCTAAGTCCTTTTAAGTAAGAATTTAATCAGTCTTTGTGGAGCGGGGTGGCCGAGCAGATTAAGGCGGCCGTGCTGAAGCAATGCAGATTCTTCTAAAATGCATTGGATGGTAACTATGTGAAGTCAACAGAGGTGGTGTGAAGTCGAGGTTTAAAACGGTATATACTTAGCAGACAAGGGTTTTCTTCGAGATGGCGACACAATAGCGTACACACGATAAAAAACCACTATAGTCTATACATATTGTGCACAGTGTACTCAAGTTTCGATCCATGTAGACCGGTTCTCTTCATTCATAGTGCCGATTCCGTAAACACCGGTTGGCTGTCTTTGGTCTTGAGGTGTAATGTGTGAGCGTACTTAAGAAAATCATAAAACTAATAATATGGCGACGAGTTACGCCATGTCGCCGGTAATCATAGTGCTATCAATATTTTGTAACTATTTCGCTTCGAGTTTGGTAAGTAGAACCCAATCGTCAAACACATGATAATTTTTATATTACTCTGTGGAATGTCTTTGGTGACTAACACATGTCAGTGATAATAATAATAATAACATGTAGCATGATGTGACGTTAGACGTTATCGTTCATATTAGTAGTACCACAAAATGATCACCAAGTCATTTAACGGAAAAGTACATTATTATTTGATTTAAAACTTGATCGCGAGTTAATATTTAATTATAGCAGCTATATTTAGAAAGCATTCATCCCTTAAAATAAAATAAAAATCGATTTGATTCAAATAGCTTGCTAACGGGCAACTAGAGAAAAGTAAACCTAAATAATGTATTGAAGACTTGCTGGTTTTTAGAAAATTCGTTTGTATGGAACATCTTAATAAATAGTATGCTGTTATAAAATTGTTTTAAGCACGAAATATACTACAAAAAGGAAACGATAATTTAGATTTTTGTTTTGTTTCATCTATGCTTTTGATAGCGATTTAAAGTTGAGCCCATTGGTACAACTAGAAGGGAGAGGGGCTTCTAAACTTCGTTAGGCTCTCAAAAACTGCCAGCAACCAATCGAGTGTAGTTCCCAAATACCGTTTTTAATTTTTACAGAAATTGTGATGGAGCTTTAAGAGTTTTTAAAGTGACTGAATTTGCTTACAATATGTATAAACATATAGAATGCATTTTGCACTAATCAACATTACAATTTAATAACAAATTAAAATTTATAATATATTTATAATTATATAAATATAGTTTATATATATGGTAAATGCATAATTAATGATTTTTATTTTGAATGACAATTCAATAATTAATAATTATTATCTATTATCGCCTAAATAAACAAAACAAATCTGGCAATCAAAGTGTTCAATAAAAAAAAAACGGTCAAGCATTATATGGTTATTATATTATTGAACCGTGTTTACAAAATCGATATTGTTAAGTGAGACATGTGATTTATTTTATGCAGAGTTTGCAAACGAAAATGATTTGCGCTCTACAAAGTTTAAAAACTGCACTGTCAATCAAATGACTATCGTTTCCTAGAACAGAGAACTGAATATGTTTTAAAAAAAATTTTTTGGGGGGAATTTAAAAAAAGTGTTTGTCTCTTATTAACAAAGAATAATGTGTTAAATGAATTATTTTTTTTTCAAAGTGGCCATTTGATGAAACAGTATTAGGTGTTCATATTGGATCTATTGTGCATTTTTAAAATACAAATTTGAATGTAATAAAGCGTTGTTAAGTCCAATGCATAATCATCCAATCAAAACTTGTTGCAGAAAATCGATAACACAGTTGTTGATTTAAACTAATAAAAAATTTTCAATACGGAAATATTGAAAAAAATTCGTAAATTCTTGTATGTTTACATATTTGAAATATTTTCAACTGATAAGTTGGCGTTGCACCGTGTATCGGTGTATGAGTGTATCTGTTATAATATGTATACATCTAATTAGTGTTATTACATAGTTAACAACATACTAACAATAACAATAATAATTAATACCACATTGATAATACAAAACTAACAATGTTTGACAATATAAAAAAAAATGTACTCCTGAATATAAACCTTTTTGAGATACAATAAAATGTGTTTTATGTTATTTTAGGCTCTTGAAAGTACGTGTGTTTGGTATGGCGAATGCGATTATATTGGTGAATTGCCTTTAAACTGTCGTTACGATGGACCTCCAAAACCGTTGACCGATACACAATCGTTGGAAGTACTTCAAACATGGTGTCCGGATTTTTTAAAGGATAACACGGACGGTTAGTTTCTTGGATACTATATGTAGAAACCTGTATATCTTTGAAAACATCACTACGAGTCTTTTAAAAAATTAATATTTGAAATTTTGCATTTACGATTATTTATATGAGTAGTAGATATTAAATATTAGTAGTAAATATTGGGATTCTATATTAATAACTCGCTGAAATATATTATGTAGAATCATTTTCTAGTTTGCTTTCAATACGTTAAAAATGCTTCATAATTAGTATATTAGTGAATATTTATCAATGTTATCAAAATGGTTTATCTTTAAGAAATGATTTCAATTGCACAATATGAATTAAGGTTTGGTTATTTTTTTAACTGTCATTACAATACCTACAGATTATACACATAAGACGGCGTTGAAGTAGTTGGTGCTAACATTTGTTATTATGTGCCGGAATCGGGACATTAAAGATAATTATGGTTTTGTAATACTAGATTGTATAAAGAAGTATTAAGCTTAGTAAAGTTAGGTTATTAGTTGAAAAGAATTCTTGTATTTGCACTCGAAGTTTACAATATTTGTTAAGACAACGACCTCCTAATCAAGCATGTACCAAACAAATATAACTTTTCATTTATTTAAAAAAAATCAACCCGATAAAAGTTAGTTAGGTAAAATACAATTATTACATTTTTACACCTTATTATATTTTAATTAAATGCTGTATAACTAGGTACCAATTTGATATAAAACAATATATACATATTTTACAAAAATATAATATTACATTTACACGAGTACATCAAAAACTATTTTCCATTTTTTAATACATTACTTAATTACATTTTTTGCTTTATCGAAATATTCTAGGACGAGGACATATTTGTCTACTTATTAAAAGTTTTATTTTACTATAAAAAGGTTGTTATTGTTTTTCGTAAATTGAAATACTTAATTTATTCAAGATTGGCCTAATTATACTTTAAAAATTATGGTTTATCTTAGGCTAAAATTAATAGGAAATTTTTTTTCACTTTGAAATTATAACTTAGCAAGTAGAATTTGCGTGTCGTTTATTCGAGGGCATAACAAAGTCTGTAGACTATCATTGAATGTATAACTGTTTGATTATTAATTGTGACGTCAACAATTTATAACGGTTATGACCGAAGCCCGTTGGCCACAAATCAACACAGTTTCTAACGTATTTATGTATTATATAATTATTTATTAGATACATTGAGTTTGTTTAATAACTAGCTTAAAACCAGTTTCTGTAGTCATTTAATCGTTTCATAATAACTTGTTTTTTTATGATAGTCTGTACTCTTGTAGATAAATTCATCGGTTCTTTTTAACAACAATGACCGTTAGTCAAATGCAGGAACCCCTTTTGGGGTAGCCTTGAAGTAGTCAAAAAACAATTGGTACTAGTTTGATAGTAATACTAATTATATGATAGCTTCATCTCACATTGCCAGGAGTTTCTTTGTCGTTGTTGTTATTAAAAAAAAAAAATTATCTTTTGTAACATTACAAATTAGGAATTATTATTTTCAAGTTCAAGGTTCAGGAAACAATACTTGTTGTATCTAATGCAAGCTAATATAATGTGCTCGCATATGAAATTATATATTATAGTTTGTACTACTTTTTATAATCATATAAAAATGATTCTTAATTTAATTATAATAGTACATAATATACTAAAATATTAATTTCTTTATTATAAATAACCATAAGTTGCTAAGTTTTTTCTAGATAAATTTTAATAGCTTTATTATTAGTCATCCGGTTATAAACCCTCGTCATTGTCGAAACCACTACATTTTTATTTTATGTAGATAATAATCTATAACTAACATTTATGTAAGTAACGATCGAATAGATTATAACTAGTCAGTAATCGTTTGAAGTATAGCTAAACATCTATCCTATTGAGGTACATGCACCTGCAATATATTAATATACGTTAGCGTTAAGAATGTTATGCGATGACGAACGTTGACCCGTATATTGGATAATGTGACCTTATGTCAACGTAGTATTAGTGATAAACAATATAATTGGTAAACTCTTAATATTTTTGAGTTTTGTTCAAAAGTTCCTAAATTCCTATGGCGAACCTAAAACTGCCTTTGAAATTTTTCTAGCATGTCAAGTTCCCGAGAAAAAAGGGGAAAAATCCCTAAAAACTCAATGTTTAAAAAACAAAATTTTGTTGAACCCAGAGGTCGTTTTCATAATTCTGTCTTTTTTACAATTTTCACGAGATTTGATATTAGTAAATTATTTTTATATCAAATTGATTGATGCATATAATATTTATGTAAATTTTGTTCGGATATTTTCCTTATAAAACTGTTTTCCATTGGTTACTTCTTAGGAAAAATTAAGTAAAATTTTTGTTCACATAAATTATTGATATTAATTTATGATAATAAATATTTCATTGTAATTAATAAAAATATTTTGTAGGTAAATTCAATTATAAGTGGAATAGTGTTGCATGTTATCCGAAGGTCATTAACCCTACACTGTATATTAGTAAATTTTTAAGTTTCTAAAAAAAAGTAGTAAAAGTTTTAAAACGCTATATAAGTGTTTTTTTTAATTTAAAAAAATGTAATGGTTTTTACTTTTGAAACTATATTTAGCTATATGAACAGACTGCAAATAATATGGATATAATTTTCATAACGTTTGTTGCTCAATCAATTTATTAAAATTATTTTGTAAAAAACTTGTTACTCCTTAAATTGAGCACACTTTTAAAAGTTACTAGATAAGTTTAAAGTCTTTAATTTAAACTATTATAGCTTGCAACAAAACTTGGGTCACCCAGCGTTGGTTTTCACGTTAGGAACTATTTCAGAAATGCGTTTAGTCACGCGTATAGTATAATAAAACATTCATCGAGCTGTTGTTGATTTATAATATCCTTTTAGAAAATGGTACGTTGAGCACTTGTTGCGGTGCCGACCAACTGAAAACGGTCGCTACAAACATCGTACAGGCTGCAAACTTTTTGACCAGATGCCCATCGTGTATGCGAACATTTGGGAGGTATGTCTGCGAGATGGTGTGTTCGCCGATCCAGAGCAGTTTCATGAACGTCACCAAAACGAAATTGTCGGGTTGGTTATGATAATAAGATTACAATTAAATTTCCATAACGCACAATCGTATAATAAATCACTATAATGTACAATTCAAATTTTATAATGTAATCAGGCTGTAGTGTTTCCTCGGTCCCGATAATGTGCTGACGTTTATACACGAGATTATCTTATTTCAGAATCGGGAAAAGAGGCCATACAAGAATTGGATTTTTACATATCCGACACGTACATGCAAGGGGTCTACGACTCGTGCAAGTCGGTGTCGAACCCGGCCACCGGTGAACTGGCCATGGACGTTATATGTTCCGGAGCGGTAGGATGTAACGCACAAAAGTGAGTTAAGCCGTTTGACACTTATATTACAGATTTTTCGAAAATTCGTGCAATTTTACTATAAAAACGGTAGCGTGCTTAAGCACAGAAAATATATAAAGCCCCTTTCTTGCTTTTAACTTCCCCTCCTATAAGGGGGTATTATTTTAATATAACAACTTTACACAAACAATCTTAGTGTTGTTTGTGGCTTCAATACCAGGGCTGTTAATCCCAGCTAATCTCCACCAAATTACGACTTCGCTTACGTTGATATTATTCGTTTGAACAATGAAAGAGATGAGGTTTTCTGGCAGATCCACTATCCGAGATAGGACGACCCAGGGGGGGGGGAATGACGGTTTTTTTTTTACTAGAAATGTTCACGGCCAGCAAACAGAACCACATGACCGAATACCAAACCGGCGATAGTGAGCGCAAACACATTGCCGCCTTGTACATTAAGACACTCTTCCCCACTGGATTGAAGCTAACTACTTATCATAATGTTTTTGTTTAGATGGTTTAAGTTTATGGGGGACAATCCGTACTTGGCTTTTATCATTAAGTACATACCAGTTATGCAGCGCAAGGGTGCGTCTCAAGGATTGCGAGCACCAGTTACACCATGTAACCAACCTTTCGACGTAAGAACCAAGAGCGTTTCGTATGCATTTTAGCTTTCTATAATGATGCATGTTTTACTTCGTTTCGTAGAATAAAACTACCGCTTGTAGTTGCATGGATTGCGAAGAAAGTTGTCCCGTACCGGACGACTATATAGAACCCGAGGAACCGCTCACTGTGGCTGGCATTGATATTCTAACCTTTCTGTCGGCAATTTTGTTTTGCGTTATTACAATAACCTTTTTCATCTACTGTTGCTTTCAACGTTTGAAACGTAAACATTTTGTCATACGTACCCTGAAACGGTATTAAAATGTAATCTTGCGACCGTTTTCAGGTAGCCGCAAGAGTGAATTAAAGACCGAAGAGCAAACGTATTCATTTCTCGGACAACTAAAGAAATTTAAGCGGAGCAAAATGGAAAATGCGTTCTATAACATTGGAAAGTGTAAGACATTCAAAATGCCTTTAGCGAGTGGCGTTATGCAATGCTAAAATAAAAAAATGTTTAGTTTGTGCCGAAAGACCTTGGATGTCGTTTATGTTTGGGGTGTGTTTGATCACCACGATGAGTCACGGTATCCACTTCGTAAAAATCACCACGGATCCCGTTGAGTTGTGGTCATCAACAAAAAGCCAATGCCGCCAAGAACGCGAGTACTTTAATCAGAATTTCAAGCCGTTCTTCCGTACTCAACAAGTGATAATCGTCCCGAATGGCATCGATAACGTAAGTTGATTGCAAAGCTGCTAGCTGTTTATTAAGGTGTAGCCAAAACTAATTAAAAGAATTCGGTCTTAGATTCACTATAATTCTTCCAATGGATACGTCGAATTCGGACCAGTTTTCAATCGGACATTTTTGGGGGCCGTGAGAAAGTTACAAGGACAAATCGAAGCTGTGAGTGACGTTAATTATAGCCAGCAGTTGTTGCGTCATAATGTTTACATTTTTACTAATGATTAGCTCGGAAGTCCTGACAATGGGCTGAACAAAGTTTGTTTCGCGCCGTTAACGTCAAAATTCACCGGCCCGCCCAAAGTGTCCGACTGTGTCGTACAGAGTGTTTGGGGTTATTTCGGGAATAAGGAATATAAAATGGATCGCGTGTCTCCGAATAAAGATGGGACGAAATATACATACTTGGACAAATTTATGACGTGTTTTCAGTAGGCATTTGACGAGTCAGCTTAATTGCTCTAGGATTAATTAACGATTTTTGTATTCGCAGAAATCCTTACAACCCTTCGTGTTTGGCTCCCTACGGTGGCCCGATTGATCCGACGGCCGCGCTAGGAGGGTTTTCCGACTCCAACGAGGCTATATCTAAAAAATCCCCTTTCCAAAAATCTACCGCCTTGTTGCTAACGTTCGTGCTCAACAATCACAACGATAAATCGATGTTGAAGGACGTTCTGCTCTGGGAACAAAAGTAACCGATCTGCCAAAGTGTTTGCTGCAATTAGTTAATTGAACGTTGAATAGGTTTTTACAGTTTATGAAGAACTGGACCGAAGAATCCAAACCGCCCTACATGGAAGTAGCCTATTTTTCAGAACGGGCGATAGAAGACGAATTGGACCGGGAATCCCGATCGGATGTATCAACTATAGCTATCAGTTACATAGTGATGTTATTGTACATTGTTCTGGCTCTGGGTCAGTCCAAATCCTTGTTGGGCTTTTTCGGCGTGGTCTTAGTCATCGCATCTATTATATGCTCTGTTGGATTCTATGGTTTGATCGGAGTTCCGCTATCTTTAATCATACTCGAGGTAACAACCGCACTAACCCACCATGGTATCATATAATATTATTAAAAATAAACAAATTCCATGAACAGGTAATACCTTTCATCGTCCTCGCTGTGGGCGTCGACAATATATTCCTGATGATTCAAACTTATCAGCAAATGAAAATGAAAGAAAACGAAGACATTCCCGATTATATAGGCAGAGTACTGAGAAAAACTGGGCCGTCGATTTTGATTACAACGGCTTCCGAGTCCGCTTGCTTTTTAATCGGTGGGTTGTCTGAAATGCCTGCCGTCAAAGCATTTGCTCTGTACGCTGCCATGTCCTTGATGATGAACTTCATTCTACAAATCACATTTTTTGTTGGTCTTCTAGCACTCGATGCGAAAAAAGTAAGTACTCACGAATCACCAGGTTTTGTCACAATGATTGTTAACCGTTTCGTTTTAGAAATCAAAAAAAAAAGTCAAAAACAGCAATAATTTCGTCCGTGAAATATTCCAAAAGCGGTACGTTCCAGTTTTATTGAAGAGTTACGTACGGCCAATGATTATACTAGTGTTCAGTGCTTGGTTCTGCACGAGCATCACTGCTATTCCAAAAATCAACATAGGCTTGGATATCGAGTTGACCATGACTGAAGACTCGTATGTGCTCAAATACTTTCAAGTAAATACATCACGTTTCAGTTATAGCTAAAAAAAATATTAACTGACATTTCTGTATTATTTGTTAAAAAATAAATAGTTTATGAAACAATATTTGTCGACCGGACCTCCAGTTTATTTTGTCGTCACAGAGGGACTTAACATGACCAACGAGCAAGATCAAAATCTTCTCTGCGGTGGTAGAAACTGTGATCCGTATTCAGTGCCCAATCAAATATACAGAGCAGCCAAATCACCCAAATCGTAAGTTTCCTTTCTCAGTCCTAAAGAATTTGTTTTGAAGTAATTGCTTACTAATTGTAATTATAAATTGTAACAGGACATACATTAATAGGCCGTCTACTTCTTGGATTGATGACTACTTTGATTGGTCAAACTTGCCGAATTGTTGCAAGTACTATTCGGCTAACTCAAGTTTTTGTCCTCACACAGATAGTGCATGTGAGAGTTGTACGATTAGTAAAAATAGCCAGGATCGTCCGGACGGCGAAAGTTTTACCAAGTTTTTACCATTTTTCCTTCAAGACAATCCAGATAAACAGTGTTCGAAAGCTGGTCATGCCGCTTACAGCGATGTGAGTGTTTAAGATAACGTGCCCAAACCACCTCAATCGATTCTCTTTTTGAGCTGGCTTGTTCTTCTTTCACACCAAAGCATCTTATTTATTAATTTATTTTTATCTATTCTAGTCATTTCTTACGTTCACCATTTTTCGTTTAAAGTTCTTATCCATTGCCCAATATTCCGAGCCGCATAACATGACTAGTCTCACAACCGTCTGCAACCTTTCACAACCTTTTTCTTTAGCTTAACTGGCTTTATTACACAAAAACTGTGTCATTTTTTTTTACATTTCATCCACCTGCATTTGATTGTCATTCTTACCTTTAACCGCGTCTTCCATCTATTTTTTTTAATTCATCTAAAAATACTCAAATTGTTTCAGGCTGTTTCTATCTATAACGATACGGTGGGTGCTAGTTATTTCATGACGTTTCATTCGGTACTGAAGACTTCTGAAGATTTCTTTGAGTCATTGCGATCTGCAAAATCCATAGCGAATAACATGACTAATACGATTAGGGAGAAGAAACCGAACTCCACGGTAACCGTATATCCTTACAGGTATTGTCTAAACATCGAGCAATGGTAGCAATCAATGTAGATTAATCGTCAATTTTCGAAAATTATATTTCAGTGTATTCTACATTTTCTACGAACAGTATTTGAATATGTGGCACGTTTGTATTCAAAATATAGGGTTGTCCTTAGCAATAGTGACGCTCGTCGTGTGGGTATTGACTAAATTTGACCACAAATCGGCCGTCACTCTGTTGTTGGTGAGTACAATGATAACGATAGACTTGCTGGCCGTCATGCACTATTGGGATATATCACTCAATGCGGTATCGCTGGTCAACTTGGTTATGGTGAGTTTAACCGATACGGTTTTGGTGTGTTAGCTAATAGTATTGAGATTTTTGTTTTTACAGTCCATAGGTATTATGGTGGAATTTTGCGGTCACATCATTTTCCATTATGCCAAGTCGGATATTCCGTGTCCTGTCGAGAGGGCTAACAATTCATGCGTCAACGTCGGGAGTTCCGTGAGTTCACCGGATCATTGTACTATCATCATCGGTAGAATTACATGTTTAATGTTGTAGGTTTTTTCCGGAATCATGTTGACCAAATTCGCCGGACTTGCTGTGCTAGGGTTTGCCAACACGCCGGTGTTTAAAATATTCTATTATCGGATGTACATGAGCATTGTCATCATAGCTGCTTTACACGGCTTAGTTTTCTTGCCGGTGTTGTTGAGTTACAGTGGTATGGATACTTTGTGTTTCATCCTCTCTCGCAAGAACTCTAACAGTATTGATGACTAGTAATTATTATTGAAATATTTCAGGCACACCCAAAACGAATTCAAATCTTGGTCAAAACTCTCTATGGGTTGATGTTGATAATAAATCCAAAGACGCCACAGGACATTCACTTCAGCTGATAGAAGAGTGCCACATAACACCGAAGAACGGGGTAAACCAAACGACAAGTGACACAAACGTTGATGACGGTCAACAGTGTTGATCACTGGTCGTCTCGATCTCTACAGGTTTAAGTTAGAATCTAGTCGGTTTCGGTTTGGGTTGGGTCGGGTTGGATGTTGGGTATACATTTTTTTCTTCACTGCCTTTCTTATCGATTGTTTCCTTAAATAATATAATTCCTAAGTATACTATTTCTATAAATTATTTTTACTTCCTAGTGTTACAATACGTTATAATAAGATTTTATTTATGTATACAAAAACGGTACTATTTTTAGTCGTATAAGATGTTAATTTGTGTTATTATTGTTATTCTTTCAATATGTGAGACTTAGTCAGTGTATCTAATAAAAGACTATGCTGATGTACATTGTATGATTTTAAATTTCCTATGTCAACCAAACAGTTTCATGAAAGATACCTGTTTATAATACACTAAATAAAAATGTCGTTAAACCTACAAACTGTATCAGGGACAACCAAACACTTTTTACAGTTGGCCTCATTTTACATTTTGTTAACTAAATGAAAACTGACTGAATAAAATTTTTAGTTTACAATATTTATTTATTTTTAGTTAACAAAACTATAAAATTTGAATAGTTATTTACGTTTTTAGTCTACAAGACCCCGAAAATTTGAAATATATATAGTAGTAAAGTATTTTGCATTATCATAATAAATTCTCGTATAATATGTTTAGTTCATTGTATTTTTTAATTCAAAAATATATTATTCTATTAATGTTAAATAACTGAATAAAAATGCTATTAGTTTGTTATCTTTGATGCACGCTTTAACTAAGAAATGGTATTTGAAAAAGTACAAAAAAAATATGTACTGGCTGACCCCATGTAGTTGGAAATGTAAGAAGAAAATAAAGAAGACAAAAAAAATCTGTACTATATAATTAGATTGTAATTTAAAAATAGTATAGACTATTTAATTCCGGGTTTTACTAATGGATAGAGTGTTTTACGGGGAAGATTTAATTGTATTTGGGTACTTTGTTAAAATAAAAAGATCGAAATTGAAAAAAACAATCGTAGACAGGCCGGTGTGTATGTTACAGTGAAACGTTGAGTGTTATTTTATTGTTTTGTTGTTCGTCGTGGTTTTAGCACAGCATAGCTTAAAAGAGAAGGGACCCTCCTTCCAATGTAAAAAAAGAAAGTAGGTACGGCCATTTTTTATCTATACACAACTAATAATAATAATAATGTATCGTTCTGTTATCCGATATTAATTAACCCGGGCGATGCCGGGTACACGGGCAGCTAGTTTATAATAAAAAAAGTAAGGTTTGGTAGAAGTTGAAGTTGAACCGCAAGTACTCGAGAACGTTTCGCTATGTACAGTGAAACGATAGTGATAGGTTTATGTACTTCATCAGAAAGGAATGGTAGACAATAAGATAAATTATTGTATGTAAGTAGAGTAGCCAATCTAAATCCTCAAGTAGTTGTTAATGAAAATGGAAGAAGGGTAAGATAGGTAATTTAATTTAAAACAATAGTTGTGAATACATTATTTTTTTTAAAGTAAGCTTCTATTTCTATGGTTACATTTTTTCCCGTTCTTAGATAGTATTTTAAACACAAATTTTATATATTTAAATTGTATTTTACCAGATTTTTAAAATTGATGTGATGAAAACTACAGCAACGGTTAGCAAGCGTAATGTGGCCAAGTCGTTTACGACATCAAATCACATTCCTAAATTGAAAAAACAACTCTACAGAAATTCGGCTCAGCCAAAGACGTCGACGGTGATTTCGCACTCAACTATAGGATGCGCACAACACAACGTGGGTACCGTAGACCAAGTTATTCAAGAGGGAAAGTTATTTAAGGCCTCGGGTAAAATGCCAAATGTAGTGTTGTCGTGTTTGCTGGAAAATGGCTGGATTGGGAGACTGACTGACGATGCAAAAAGTAAACCGTGTCGTTTGAAAATTATTGAATTTTCGCGCTTGGGATGAATGTGTAATTGTGATCTTTTTCTTATACTTATAGGCGTAAAAACAGTGTCGTTGCATAAAAATATGCAGCGGGCTAATGTGGTGTCTAAGAAATACGATGCTGGATTGATCTGGTTGGATGAAAAGAATTTTCGATTAGACTGGACGAAACTGGATTCGAGTGTTATCGTCAACAGGTTCCCGCGGAACAGCAGTGTATTAAAATTGTGCAGTAGTTCAATGGTTACAAGCAAATGTGAACTTTTTGACGAACCAGGGCCATTTGACAAGTTTTTCCCTAGAACTTACGCAACTGACATGGGCAACAGTTCCAATCAGCTCGTCATTGATTTTTCGTTGACATCGTGCATATCGATTTTGCGGTTTTTTGTCTCTGAAGAGAGGAATGTAAAATTCGCAAAAAACGGAGAGGTAGGCAATAGTGTAGTATCCACCATGGCTCTATCAGGGCTAAGGTATGATGCATAATCATATTATCAAGGGAAACATGACTTCAACGCACGAATAATGTTGAATTCACGATGGAACTAATATCAGAATTTCTAAAATATCTGCTTATTTTAATCCGGATTTGAATCCAACACAAATTTGAATTTTACGAATCATTCGGATAATCTAAATTTAGAATAATTTCAATTTGTCAAATCCGGATTTCAAAATGCTGATTTTCTTATTATTAGTATTACCCTGGTAGAAATTCTCTCTATTTACAGCATTATCCAGTATTACTTACCTAACCTCGCCATTTTTTCATCTTTGCCTATCGTCACCACCTAGGCAATACCACAATAGAGTATCTACCTACTATATATTATTCAGAAGATCATTCTGACACGAGTATTATTGATGCCAGGTTCCTTTGTCAACAATCCGGTTTGCGTTGTCTTCGTGTCAGCGATTCATTGTTGATGGCGTTCATTCGGAAGATTTTTTCATCGACAACGAATCTGACTGGGCGACGTTCTTTGAAAATATTCATAAAAGTATCAACTGCAACAAGGCGTTTCTGGTGTCGGAGGACCATCAAGAGATACTGGAAGAGTTGAAAGAAAAGAGTAGGTCGTTGCTCAAAACAGTGTGGTTCACACGGCCGCAAACCTCCATAGACGGATACAACAACTTTTGGATAGTCAAGTCCAAGTATCAAACAAACGAAAATCCAATTCTGCTCAACAAGTTGGAAGATATAACAAGCTTGTGCTTGCAACTAAATAATACCGACTACGTGGTCCAAAAATATATAGAAACACCATTGTTGTCTGGCAACAATACCAAGTTCAGTATAAACACGTGGATTGTGGTCTCCACGTTGGACGACCGTCTGACCGTTTGGTTGTATCAAACGTGTTGCATTCGATATTGCCTGCACGAGTTTACTCTATCCAACGGGTTACCATTCGCTCATTACACTAATCCCAAATCAAAATTGACATTGCACCCTACAATTAGCACTTGTTCATTCAAACGATTAAAACGAGAATTAAAAAAAGCAGGAATTAAAAAAAAATTCGAGTTGCAAGCGTTGGTTTCGAAAATTCGCAAAGCAATCGTGACGGCGGTGACAGCTAATTTGGAAACCCTTAACTGTAGGCCCAACTGCGTTGAACTATTTCGGGCGTCATTTGTTTTAGCCGAAGATTTTCATCCGTGGTTAATCGAAATCGAATCGGATTCTACTCTTTCGTACAAATCACGTTCGGTGTCAGGCGTGCCCGAAGGGTTGTCTAAAGGTTTTATTGAGATAATTATAAACAAATGTAAAAAATCTAAGATAGGCATGTACGACCTGATACACGAAAGCTCGATACCACAAGGATTTGAGCCATGTGCCTACGTGTACGAAAAAATAGCCGCCTATAAACGGTTTAAGTCCTTCGTATTAGCCGAACAGACCATTAACGAAGAATCGGGTAAACAACCAGCGTACGGTTGGGACAGTTTTGACTTGATCGGTGGAACATATATGGAAGAGATTCCGATGAACAACGAAGTCGACGATGAGCTGAAATCGGAAACAATTAAATGTACAACTGATCTAGAAATCAAAGCAAACGTCACACAGAAAGTGCTCCCAGTTCGATTATCTTTGGCAGACCTCAAGGAATCGATGACTCGGCTCAAGACAGGGTCGAAGATTGATTCCGACGAAGCGACGCGTTGTTTGATTCTGCTTGACAAATGGAAGACTAGAGTTAGTTCAATTCAAAGTTTTTACAAAAAGGTTTTAGTTAACAATATGAATCATTAAATAGCAAAATTATTAGTTGTATGTATGGTTGTCATTAATGAAATTTAAGCGTTAATACTGTAATTATATTTATTGTATTATAAAAAAAACTTGGTTTTGGGCTGGAAGTAAGGTTTGGTTGAATGCTCAGGCCACTTAGCTATATTCTAAATTTTTTCCAAAACATATCATAGCTTGTAATAGCTAAGTAGTTTCAGATATGACGTTTACTAGGAAACGGTAAGTTGCATCATTTCAAATCAAATCAAATTGTATTATTTAGGGTATAATATTTTATTTTTCTCTCGTTATAGATAATTAGCTAATGTTTAACAAGTTAAACACTATAACAAATACATATGAACATTTAATCTGGTTAAAAGCTAATCATAACCTTTAATCTGTAACTTGCATGACGAGAGCCGTCCCTTTTAATAACCAATAGCTTTCAGGATATTTGGTTGGTAATAAGACAGCCAATACAAAATTATTACTTAGTCTTGTAATCGGTATTACTGTTGCTTGGTTAGTAGTTCTGTAAAGTGGACAATGATAGTGCGGTGTAATCATATTCGAATCTATGGTCGGCACAAGTCGCATAACAGGTAAAGAAGAATAAAATTGACCTTTGAGCAAAAATAAACAAAGTTTGATTTATCTTATTAAATTTTTACTATTATTGATTTATAATTTCCATACGGACTATACCTGCATACGGGTCTACTAGAAGCTTGCTGTGTAAGTCTATTCGTCCATTATCTAAAAACAAACCGTGGACGTATATGCCATTTTCTAGTTTATCCAAGTCCGCGTAAGCTTCGTAATTTTCATTTGTGATTTCATCTTGTCTCAAAATTGTAGCGGTTAATTCAAAGTCTATTTTCAAACTATCGAATTGTACGTAGTACTTTCTTGAATGTTCTTGGAGGCAACCAGCTATGAGTGCTTGTGGAAAATACAGACCTGATATCCAATACGATGGGGGATTACCGAATCTAAGCCAACCCTAAAATAAATACAAACGTTGTATGTACTGCTAATTGACTTAATAAATAACCAAATATATATTTAGATACATAATTGAGTAAGTAAAATTTAATATACTCACGTTTACAAAATCTAATCTCATAATTAAATCTTTTACCCAACTTGCCAGAGTGAGTAACGAGGGGTACGATTTTTTCAACCAACTAGTCGGCACCTTTGAAAATACAAACCATTTTATTAAACTTTATGCTTGCAAACTCTGGTAAGGAAAACATAAAGTGTACTAAACGTTAAAGGAAAAATTTGAAAACTAACTCCCATCATTTAAGTTAACTACTATAATTTACAATTCACCCACACTAGGTATATAGATAACTATGAATTTCATTTATCAAGTATTCATTCACTTCATATCTAGTCTACATTTTACAATATTATGTTGGGAAATATAAAATAGTACTTTTTTCGCTTATAGACTTAGAATATTAAAGGAAGTACTTTACGCTTACCTTATTACGTGTAACGGATAAGTAAATTTCTTCTACTCTCGTAGACATGACCTCTAAGCCTTTAATTACATTGCGCAAGTCATTTAGCGAAATATGTATTATTTGAAGTAGTTGGTTGAAATATTTGACTTCATTTAACAACACTGTAGATAACGGAGTTAACCTTCCTCTATTATCTTTTTGTAGTAAAGTTATGTTAGCTTGTTTAATATCAATAAAAGGTATTAGTTTTCCAGTTATATCATTAATACAATTTAAAACAATGGAATCATCTGGTTTTACTTTTGAACCACTTGTAATTTCTTCGTTCACTTTCAAAATTGAATCTAAAAACTCTTGTGTTTCTTTAGCCTTTAAAATAATAATAAATAATAGACAAATAATTTTTCTATTAAATTGTTTATGTACCTATCGAGTATTTAATTAAATGACAAATTTATTTACGAAATATAATTTTTCTTGGTATTTTGTTATTGAAAAAGTCATTAAAAACCGGATAATAGAATTATCCTAAAACATATGGCACCTAAGCATAGTTATTCTTAGCTGGTTTGATGCATTTAATATCCATACAATTACGTTATTTATTAATTAAATATGTATGTAACTAAAGAAATTCCTAAGATTTGATTGATTAGATTGATATACAATAAAATAAAACAAGTTACCAACCTGAAATTTTAGCATAGCGTTTTTGTGCATTTTAAATACTTCTGTCTCCACAACGGCGGGGAGTCGATCGATGAACGACTTGTATTCATCAATACTTTTACACTGATTCGCGTTTGGAATGTAGGAATTATTATCCGAATTCAGACTGCATTCATTAGTTTGTAATTTAAATAAATGCCACATTACAGTATTCAAAGTTCTTTGATTCCAGACATCGGTAACCCTACCACTGTATATTATTTCTCCGGTTAAGCAACGTATAGCCTCCCAAGACATATGTGTAGCTGTTAAGCAGTATTGTTCTAACATGCGGATAGAGTATTCTCGATCATCATCAGTAAATGCATACGTTACGTTCCAATCGAACGATCCGAATTTTCTTCTTTCAAGTACAATCGCGTGGAAGAAACACAAGCGGTAAATAATACCCTTCCATTCCTCTCTAAAAGCTACACGAAAAAAAATATGTACAAAGGTACATTTTTAAAATAATAATGTTATGACAGGAGAAAATCAATAAGAATCGTTCATTACCATTCTCTTCGAAAAATGCTATACTCATATCATCAAACGCTCTTTTCATGTTTGCTCTAAAATTACTTGGAGGCTCGATTGTAACTTTCAACGAGTTTTGTAGCAGACAAGTAGGTAAATCATTCGACGGCAAAGAACTCAAAAATAATCTAAATTCTGATTTAACGGATAAAGGGTTTTCAATTATTTCTTCGACGAGTACTTTCAACCTTGGCATCCACCATGGTGCTAAATGACAATTCTGAAAGCATTAGATGTTTTATACTATATTGGTGGTGTCAATGTTATTAGGAATGGGTATGACTTTTGCTATAATTTAATTTAAATACATCGAAGACCGTACCTGTAAAAATATCCATTTGCCTTGTTCTCTGCCATCCTTAATGAGTTTTTCAGCCAGTGATCCTTGACTTTGTCCCAATGATAAAGAATGAAAATTGTCTCCAACTCCGAATTTAACTGCAAACTTTTTGAACGAATTGAATGGATCATAGCCGGGACTTAGTATAAATAATATAGGCACGGTTGATGTTGTATCGTTGTACAAATGATGAAATGAAACGTCCGGACTTTCTACGAACATCTTACCGAGTTCACAGCTAACATAATTTTTGATTGCAAGTACTAACTTGTCTTCCCTAAATGTTTTGATAAGCATTAGTTTCTCAAAAGGGAGCAACACAGAGTTCCATTCGATTGTCACGTGGTTGTAACCAAAACCCAGTTCTAATGTTTCCTCGAATTGGCCTAGATTAATGTTTATGGGCCCGTGGCAATTTTCCGGAAGCATTTTAAACTTTGGAAAATGTTCGGACAAGTAAAGGACAGAGTGCCACACTTGGTCTTTCAGTTCAGCTTCATTTAATTTCTGTGTTTTTTCATTTTGTACACGGGTTGGACCATGTAGTAAGTAGTCTCGTTCGGAGCTAGTAATTTTTTTCGTCTCTAAGCCAATGTTGATGCTTAGTAAGAAACTAAATACGAGTTTGTATCGTTCTGACAAACCTCTAGACACAATTGTATAAGTTCTTTTAGTGATACTGTCAATCATGATTGGTAACTTCATGTCATCCTCTAAAGTCTTATCGATATCATAGATTGCATTGCAAAAAATCTGGAATAAAACTTATACGTGTTTTCATTATAGAAAAACCGAAATTAAAGACATTAATCGCTTACCGATTTTAAATAATTTAAAGAAAACTGATACATCAAATCGATTTGAATCAGTTGATTTACAGAAAAATATAGACAAGATGCTCTTTTTGCAACTGATCGGTATTTTTTTCGTTCAGTACTAATTTTATGTTCTGTTTCTTCTGCATTTACGAGGCGATAAGCAATTATCAATGATGTTTCCTGGAAAATAAAACTCGAAGAGATAAAAAAACACATGAATTTTTTAGGGATAAAAACACTAGTACTTTATTAAGATTAAATCTAGTTCCAAAGGACCAAACTTAGAGTTCGAGGTAGGAATGTATTGAGAAAAGACGGTAATAAAAACCTATGGCCTAAACTAATTTTAAAGGATTTTCTTCAAACTACTAGTTTCATAGTATTATCGTACTCTGCAGTTGTTCAACTTATTGATTAGTTCTTCGTCGTCTAAAATATTCCCTTCAGACATGTACAGCATTTTCAAAGTTTCGTCTTCCATTTTTGTCAACATATTATTATCATTATTTATACATACGGTAGAGGAGAAATATTTTTCTTCGATTTCCGGTCGTTCTAGTTTAACTATTTCTCTATAAGAAAATGAAATATAGTATACAAAATGGTTTAGTTTGCAATTTTTATTAATCACTCTTACTGTAAGAAATAATCTTCTAAGCCAGAAGGAGACACTATGAAGTTTACTAGAGTCGTATGTTTGGTTATTTCCGGTGAATAATGGGGGTTTGTCAGTTTAGTCGTCATGTATAATCTGAAACTTGTATTGAATTTGATGTTGGAATCACCAACGCGTTTCAAAATTTGTTCGTCCTTGGAATGATAAAAAAATTTTTAATAAATTGCAAATATTTACTCTAATTTAATACGGGTCTGGCTAACTTTTGCAAAGGTATCATTTTCTAAAATTGACTTAAGTGTTGTGTCGACGCTTTCTCCAAGTCCTTCTATTAGAACTGGATATCCTCTTCTCATTCCGTTTACAATAATGTTCATCAATTTATCATCAGTACTTTTACATACTTTCAACATGTTTTCAACTTCGAACGCTTTTATCCACCTGTTTGCCTGTTCTTGCGGGTCAATTATCAAAGGCTGGCGAATTGACCTCGTGACGATTATTGCATTGTCTACAGATACCGAATCTCTTGGCAATCCACAAATATGCCAAGATCGTTGTTCGAACGAGTCGATCAACACCGAAGCCAACGTGTAATTCAGGGTGTGTAAAATATTGTGATAATCTAATTTTTCCAGCCAAAGAACAGTTATTTCTTTACGGTAATCATCAGTGAACGGTCCTAAATAGTTTACGGATCCAGCGCTGATTATGATGTCACCAACTAACGTTTTCAGTTGTTGAGAAAACATCTGAAAAGTATTCATTTGTAAAAGACCTTTGCTGTTCATAATCTACAATAGTTATTAAAAATATATTCGTGAATAAAACTATATTAACTTTGACATTTTTTTCCCATTTCCTTTGCTCATCGCCCAGTGCCACAATAAGTAAATGAGAATGTTTCAGACGTGATTGCGTTCTGTTAATGTTTGATTCTAGGTTGTTTTTTTCTGTTACACATTGATCGTATTTGCCTTCAAGTCTTTGAAGTTGCTCTTCAATATCAGCTAACATTTTTTGTTTAGTTTTAAGGGTTTTTAACACTACAGCTAGTTCACCTTCGGCTTCTTCTTGTCTAAAGTTCAACATCATCAAAATATTATTATTCGGTGTTTTAAACTTAAATACATGCATATTTTATAAGTTTTTACCGCTTCCTTTTCGGTTCCACAATTCGATACACTAAAGAATAGCTATGCACAGCTCTAACCCACATACATAGAGCCTTGGCGACCTTCGATTGAGTAGCTACTACTTGTGGGTTGAAATCTGGATCTTCTATGTAAGGTTTAAGCTGATTAATCATCTTATCAGACACATTATCGATATCATAATCCAGCAGCGTTTTTAAAAAATTAACATCACTCAACACCAGTTTAGCGGATGCCCAATTAGTTCTAAAAAAAAACAGAACAATGAATTTATAACATTTAAATATTCATATTATATTAAGTTTATACTTTTGGTATAGCATTAGGCATATAGATTGCATCACGTTTTGAATGAGTTTAGGTGGCTTACTGAAAATTCTAAGTTCATTAATGTCATTTTTGTTTAGAGATTCTAAAGATTTTCTTGCTGCTTCTAAAGCGGGCATAGCTAAAATTAAATCTCGTTGTGCATCTTCAGCTATTTCTCGAGCAACGGTAGCTTTTACTTTGGCTGCAGCCTCTTCCGCGAGCACAACTTCACGTACTTTATCAACACCAGCTTTTTCCTTCGTCAAATCTTCCATTAATTTTAACGTGGCTTCAGTTTTTTCTGTTAGGGCTGGTGTCAATGTTTTGAGTCTACTTTTTAATTCGTTTACCATATCGAATGTTTCGTAGAGCTTTTTTAGACCGTTTGAAAAACGATCTGAATCATTTTGAATTTTTTTCTTTTGCAGACAATACATTTTTTTAAACAATTGCAAGTGCTCCAAGTAACTGCTGGGTGTAACGTAGAAATACCTCCGCATTTGCTCAACAAACCGTTCCGCCTTTTGACTGACAGTTTTGTGTATATAATTAAACATGTCTGGCATGACATTTACTAAGTTTGGAGTTAAGTTTTGTTCTGAAAATGACTCCAAGTTAATTTTAGCTACTGACAAAAGCGCGTCTGTCGACCAGGTGTCTATCCAATCAACTGTAGTACAGTTAACCAGCGAAGGAAACAATCGACATTTCTGTCGAAACGCGTCTTTCATTGGATTCATAGAGATAACCAAATGGAGTTTAGATCGAACACGGTTTAAGAAAAAATTAAAAATAGCTTGTTTGTTGTCTGCAAATCCCAATTCAATAGCCAGAGGTCGACAGGTGTCAATTAGTTGTTCGAGTTCATCTTTTTTAAATAAATTTGGCACTTCTCCTGAAAAAATGTTAAATCATAAAAAATGTATTAGAATTTTTATAAAAACAGCGCAATACCCGCAATAAGAATATTATTTATATCATCCAAAAATTCTTCTTGAGCAATTTGAGTATCGGTAAATAGAAAAGTGGTATCTTCTAACTTAATACCAGCTCTTGAGTACAAACTACTTAAGTCTTCGTGAAATGATAAATAATCATACGATTTTGTCAGTTCTATTTGAAAAAATCTAAAATCAAGCAAGTAATATAAATGTGTAATATTAATTGCTTCAAAATATTTAGTCGCATTACTTATAGTCGTTTAAATGTGTGGCCAACTTCGTTAGTGTTTTTTTCCCCACGCCACTAACTCCTAGCAATAAGGCATTCCCTCTATCTGACCTCAATATTCTAGCAATACGCGCTGTATGTTCAATAGCATCAACGAAAAATATTAATTGCATGTTTTTATTATACACCGTATTGAAATCCACTAAGCTCTCAAGCAACACAGATTTCAACTTATCAACATTGGTAATTTCTTCGTAAACTCGGCGACCTTTGCATACTGGGTTCATGAAATCTCCAAATAACAAAATAGGAGGATTTTGTAAGTTATTCACGTCGGTTTGGAAACATTCAAACAACGGATCGTCAAAAAATCGTTTAGAAACCGTTCTCATTATTTTTTGGAAGTAAGTTTTATCGTCTTGACAAACTAAACGGTCGTGATAAACGCGTAGTGACTCGTGGTACCATAATCTACGAAAAGAAAAATAATACATCATACATTTTTATGTAATCGGTAATAAATAAATAAAGAAACTAAAAACAATAAAATCATGATAGAGCAAAGCTCAAGAAAATAGATTAAAGAAAAAAATAATGAATGGAATTTTTCGATTGACTAATGAAATGGACGGGTAGAAATGAATAAAACAATTTGAAGGCTTTGATACCAGTATATCGGTATAACAAATGTTGGTTGGTAGGATTGCACAGAGATAAAAATTCGATTTTGAAATGGTTAGTTAAAAGATAAGGTAAGATAAACAAATTTTGAATTTAAGTGACTAATTTTGAAACGTGATAGAAACCTGTATAGCGTTGGAAGATCTGGTATAGTGATTACGTCTGCTTGTAGAATACCTTGTAAAGTCTTAGATAAATCTCTTAAATTAAATATGTAATGAGATTTTGCTGGTGTTGGCAAAAGTACTTCCTTGACACGTTGATAAACCTCGACGCTTGCTTCGACCAAAACGTTACTGCATTTAGCTATGTTTGGTGGAAAATCTTTCAAAAATTCTTTTAATATCGAGGTGAAAATAGTCTTCATAGTTTTTTCGTTAGTAGTGGGTATACACAATATGGAAAAATGTCTAGAAAACCTTGGCGTTAAAGGATTACGACAACCACCAGGAGGTCCACAAAGGGTACACAAAATTAAATTTTCTATGTTTTTCCAGAAAAACTGTTTTCTGTCGTATAATCCACCATAATCCAATATTTGCCTCAGTAGTTCAATTGGAGGTTGTGCACCATATGTATCAGAAATTGGCATATTGACGTCATCTATGACTAATACTAAACGTTTATTGCCTGGAGCCCCAAAAACGTTTCGTTTTTTCATTTCCAATTTTAGTTCTAATATTTGTTGTGTTCTGTTGCTACTGGTTTGAGCGGAAAAATGTATCATTCCAGACATCCAATCTCCAGCTAGAGCTAGATTGTGCACAAGGCAGTTTGCTATTAATGTTTTACCGGCTCCTGAAATTATTTTATATCATTAACATCAATACTTTTAAGTAGAATTATCAACCATTACCCGTTACTCCAGATAACATGACAGGCTGGTTGGTTTGTATCAGTTTCTGGCTAACATATGAATACCGTACGCTGTCAACTGTAGGCACGAATAACTCAAAGAATGGAGTTTTTCGGTCATAAACGAAATCGGGAACAATACCAGACCAATCTTCTAATTTATTTTTTTCTATATTTAAGTAAACATTCCGCAACTCAGTTCCTGGTGAAATTGAGAAATTGGGGTTGTCTTCGAATTGATCGAAAACAAACGAATCAAACAAGAGTTGCGACGAATCGATCAAATTTGAACCCAATGCCCATAAATAGGCGAAGATAAAAGATTGGCAAATATATTTGTGTACTTCAGAACTGTCTAATTGCTTGCTGATGGTTTGTGGGTTCGTTAGAAGGGATTCTAGTAGAGCGCACATCATTACTGCTTTGCTCATTTTTGTCTAGAATAAAATAATATTAAATAATGATCAAGAATCTTTACCTTAGACTAACCTGTAGAATTATAAAAGAGCAATTTTTGTCGATAAATGTAAACCCGTTGTCGACGTATGTTTCGATCAATGACATAAGATAGCTTCTATAATCTTGATTGCCGAGAAACACTTCATTATTTTTTTTATTAATCCAAGATTTGACATATGGAAACCATCCTAGTTCTGACGGATCAACAAAAACCATACCACATCTACTCACCGTCGAAGGAGAAGCTTGAGAAAGATCATCAACTTCAAATATCATTCTGATCTAGTGAAGTATGGAAATATTTTAAAATAAAATTATATTTGTATTATTAATCAATATATATATATATATATATATTACTTGCTAAACAAATTTGAATAAAAATGTTTACCCAAGGTGTTAGTTTAATACGCTCTAAATTAGTGAGACATAACATTTTGTTATCATCGAGCACTGTATTTAGCCTTTCCATCCAAACCGGATCTACCGGACCGTCGCAAACGATCCATTGAAATTCTTCGTTGGTCATTTGAACTGTACTCCTGACAATCTTCCCGAGTACTCCATCTCTCCATTCCATCGTATTTAAATTTACTTCCCCATATAGCTCATGTATAGTTATTGCTTTTGGATTAATAGTAAATATATTTACAGGTCGGCAATACTGTTCATTTAAGTCGTTTTTATTTGGTTCGGTTAATGTTTTAGCAAGAATTTTTAAAATTGTCGTTTTTCCTCCTCCAGTTGGCCCAACTGTCATTATTCCGTGTCTAACACTAATAGTTTCCAGTAATTGTATAATTTTAATACAACTATATTCTTCGGTTTGATAACCATTCATCTCCATAGTACGTTTCACAGCGCACAAAAATTGCCCGTAGTCTTCTTTTGGTAACACGATTCCGGGAAATAAGTCATTTAAAATTGTCTAAAAAGACAATAAATAGTAATAAGAAAGACAATTATTTAACTGACTAAAATTGATTGAAATAAAAGTACATACTTGAAATAAAATACAGTCATCGTTGAGAAATTTTGGTTTATTATTATTTATTAAAGCCTTTATTACAATTACATTTTCATCTGTTGTAGGATTTTGCCGTTTTAAACATCCTGCCATTGTTAGCATACTCTTGACAGACCTTAAACATATTTTGGTTAGCTGTTTATTACAGATTATTTAAAATTTGTATACACAAAATACGTTTAAAAAAGGTAAGTTACCTCATTCCAAAATTGTAGTGATCTTGAACCGAAAGCTGTTCATCGCATAGCTTAAAAATACTGGATATTTTTCGAGCTAAAGTTTTTGATGACTCAAAACCCTCGGAGTATAAAACAACTTCTGCTATGAGTCTATAATCGGGTATCATCATTGAAATAGGTCTAAATAGTGATTGTAAATTATTTGGTAGTTCATTTCGACCGAAGTTCCCAAAATTCATTGTTATGAATACTGTACAAGTGTTGACAAGTTTTATTTCTCTACCCTCGAAAATAAATCGTTTGGCGTTTTTGCATTTAGCGTTCATTATTGTAATTAACTGTTGAGCAATAACAGAAAGCACTTCGGTATCTATGCGGTTGAATTCGTCGAAGCAACACCAAGCTCCGGATTGAGCTAAGCCAGCAAAGAGTTTTCCTGTCATCTGCAAATATCCATAGACTTAACACAAAATGTGTAGCCATAAAGTATCATAATAGAATAGCAATCATTACTTTGTAGTCCAAACCGTCCGAACAATTGAATACAACACATCGAGTCGCTAAGGCTTTGGCAAGATCTTTGGTGGTCTCTGTTTTCCCTGTATCGGCAAGACCAACCGATGCTCCTCCGAGATTTAACTGAAGCGCTCCCATCAAACACAAATAACACTTGTCTGTTAAAGGAGTTATGACCAAACGGCTGGAACATCCCAAATATTCAAATGCATACAACCAGCGGGTATTAGCCATTTGAACGACGCAACTGTCGATTTCGTCCCAATAGTAACGCAACTGCTTTAACCATTCAAAATCCGTAGCACTGTTGATATTGTTTCGAACCATTGAAATAATTATGTCTCTGGTATGGACTTGACTTATTATTAGTGCTCGTATCGCCGCCCTCTGAAGTGCAGTTAGATCCTGCCGCACCATAGCAACTAGGTCATCTAAATACTGAAAATAATAACGCTGTGCTAATTATATACACTTAATAACGTCATAGTTTGAATATTCAGCTCACATCCACACATTTTTTTTCAAAACTAGAAAGATTTTTGGAAACGTTAGAATCGTCTTCGAGTAGTATTCGGTGTACGTCACGACACCACATCATCTGCGAGACTGCTAATATAAGCTAAAAACAAGGTTATAATAAATTTCCTTTAAGTTAACTTGAAATGTTAGTAAATTACTTGACCGGTATGCAGCAATGCCCATTTGTTTCGCGGCATATTGTTATACTCTTCCATTGCTACAACCATAAGCAGTCTTAGTGTTTCTACCATAGCTTCTTCCACCCTGTTTAACCAAAACTCGACATTACCACGAGCTTTCACATCCATTGAAAATTTGACGACTTCTTTTTCAGGAGATATCATGGCAGTAATATTAATTGAACGATTAATGTCATTATTGTTTTCTCCCGGATGAAATTCATCCAATTCGCTATCGTTTTCAAATTGAATTCTCCATATGGAGTCAAAAAATTTACTCACATGTGGTTGCAATGCTCTTGGATTCCGAGCTTGAGTCATAATACCTAAAAGTTCTTGGTTGGATAAAAAATAAAATCTAGGAAAGACTACTCTTTTGGATTCTAGATAACATTCCAAACATAACATGATTTGATCCAGAAGACAATTATTTTTCTTAAGAGAAGTTAAAAGCTTCGAATCGGTGCACGTAGTTAACGTCGTTGGATTTTTTGATGCATTTTTCATTATAACCTTCCATGAATTATTTACTTCGTTGAAAATGTTAGCTTCGTTAGGAAGTTGTCTTTGTATATCCGATGTTGTAAATAAGGACTCTAAGTTAACCCACGTGGTTTGGCATGTGGTCCATTCATCCTGAAAAATACAAAAATCTACTATTAGTTTGTTAGTAAGTAAATTAATTACAATAACTTGTTATGCTTACGAGAACGTTAGACATAATTTCCATAGTTTTGATCCATTTTAATACTTTTGGTTTTATTTCTCCTTCGTGTTTGGATGCTAAAATTGTGTTCAAGTTTATATTAACTTCTTCTATTGTCAATTGAATATCTTCTAATGATCCAAGAATGTAAACGTCGCTGTAATTTTTATAAGGCAGTACAATTAAATTTAATCCATCCCAAGACTTCTCAATTTTTTCTAATAACGACTCTAAAGCAAATTCAGAACTAGCTTGCGCAGATATTTCCGTCAGTGCACAGCTATGATTAAACGCATCTAGTTCTTTCAGCATTGCAAGTGTTAGGGATTGATTCTTTGGCAATTTGATACCAATTATTTGTTCAATTTTATACCAATGTTGTTTTTTCAGATTTGGGTTCCTTAATATAATGATTGTTGGCATTATATCTTCGAAATTGTGTACTTTTCTTTGTATTTCATTAACGAGTTCACAACCGGGTAAACCATTTTTTAATTCTATTACATATTTTAAATTCAGTGCTAGGAACGCGTTGATTTGTTCAACGTCCAAGTTATGAAAATTGTCATTTTCCCAAAGTCGCATAGATTTTTCCCATTCGTCCATGGAGTTCCAGAGCAACATTCTAAGTCGAACAGATTCACACGCTTCTTCTAGAATATCAAAATTTGTAATTTCCACTTGAAAAAAATGTTGGTAAGATTTATATAAGTTTGATTTCTCTCGACATTGGATTAAACGGTTGTTCATTTCACTTAAAAATGCCTTGACTTCTTCACCGTTTGACTGCATGTCCGTTAACCATTGTTCCTATTCAACAAAATACCCACTAAGTTCAATACAATTGTTTTTATTTGCTTAGGACCAAAGCCAAGCCAATATTGGTTACATTTATTTCACTATTGATTTTATCAACATCTTGGAATAACCTAAGTACACTAGTGTTGGTTTTTTTTACAAACTGCTCTGTAAGAAATTCTTGTTCACTATTGATTCTCGTTATCGTCGACCGTAGAACGTTCATTGCTTCTAAAAAAGACTACAAACCAACCTTTTTATTTGGGAATAGGCAATATTTGTATTTATGACTAAACAAATACTGTTTCAGTTTACATAATAATTGTTTATTATGTCGTCCGGGATGGTTACTTGAAATTCATCCGCCAAGGCAAATAAGTCTTTTAGGTATTCCGACTGTTTATCAAAGTTGTCTAACTAAAACGTTAAAAAAAAACATACAAAAATTGATTTGTTACATTAATTAACCATGATTTTTAGGTAGTTAGGTAAAAAAAGCAAAGCTGGAAATAATGTTTAATAAAATTAATATCTTTATTTTGAGTTTACTTTAAAAAAAAAAATTGTTTATATTTAAATTCTAACATTAAAATAATAAGATGACATACTTTATTTGGACAATCTTCGAGAAATGATTTATAAACAGCAAAGTCTTCGGCCTTCACTGGTAATAGTTCAAGATATTTTTGAGTATCGTTAATTTCTTTTATGAATTTTAAAGGTAAGTTTATACTCGCCCTACAACCGGAAAACATTTACAATTAATATAATAAATGTACTCAAAGTAAATACAAAATTACTCGACAATTCCTTGTTTAATTGTCTTTAATAGTTCCTCGCATGTTGGTCTCAGAACATCTTTTAATGTATTTAGTTTTAATTCAAATATACTCAATGTCTGCGAAGGTACCATTTTATCCACATCGGCTAACTGTTTTATATATGTTTCTAACATTTTTCGAAAATGTATTATGTCTGAAATTAAAATACATACACATTCGTTATCGCACATTTTGTTTTTAAATTAATAATATAACTTACTAGTTTCGCTCTTAATTGATTGCAGATCTAATTCTTTGTGTTCCTTTAACATGATCCGTATGTACTCCAATCGCTCCACATACGTGTAAACCATTTGATAGCCCATTTGAAAATAGTGTATTATTCTATCCGCGGAATTCTTGAGCGTTTGGTCTACTTCAAATACAAATTCTAACGACGGACCACGGTTGCAAAATTGGTCACACATTTTACCGCATACTATTGGCCTACACACGAATAACGCACATAATTCATATGTAAATTATTGTTATTGTATATCGTTTCAGAATGGTCTTTTGGTCAAAATCGTCATGCAACTTAGGAGGAAAAGTTAAAAAAACTCGTATGCACGTTAGTATAAACTATAAGCAATGCTGACCTGGTGAAAATGTCGAAATCCTCATCTGAGATCAAAGGCGGCATTTGTGACACCACTGACTGTTTCCAGTTTTCCATTAGAACGCACACGTATGATATAAGGTCTTCGGGTTCGACGTTAACTCCAATCGAATCGTCAGTTAGTATTGCTTCCAAAACAAACATAGGCGCCTGTAAGCAATGCGAGAAAAAATAATTCCTTTTTTTTCCGTAAAAGATGATAACATAAAAAAATTAAACATTGTATACTTTTGGATCGTCCGAACACTTTTGAATGGTGTTCAGTGTGGCCTCGTCGTTGACAATAGTACCATTGGATAAGCGCCGGAAATGTTTGCGTATTTCGGCCTCAAACACGGTCATTTGATTTTGAACGATTTTATGCAAATGAGATTGTATTATCACATCGATGTACGTTATGAATCTACAAATTCTCTGACAACAATGTGCCATAGTTCTTTGTTCAGTAAACGACATGTGTCGACGACCAATTGGGTCCCCGTGGGATTTGTTTGGCATTGCTCCTGTGGCTTTCTCGGTTGACAAACCGTCAATGGTTAAACTTAAACTATTCAGGGTCTCCTCGCAGGCAGCCAACACCCATTCTTTGATGGATTGTCGCAATTTTTTTAGCACACTTAATGCCATGTCAATATTTTTCTCCTTAAAGGGATTTTTAATCAACGAAATAATTACAAATAGTGTTCGACATAGGGTAGGCATAATTTCCGTTCAAAAATTAAAAAGGTTCGAATTTGGTTTTTGCTAAAATAATTAATTTCTACCTACTTTAAACTGCCAAGAAGGTTAGAAAGTTTTAATTTACATTAACCATGTAATAAGTATTAAATAATACGATCATGTTGAAGTAATTTAAATAAAGCAATAACTCATTCCAAAATAATGTAAAATATAAATATTGTTTAACGACCAACCATTTTCTAGAGTAGGCGGTGATTTAGGTTCCTAGTGAAAACTTCTATGATATATACACGATGTTTGTACTATGCATTATACTTGCATGCATAATATATTTCTTGTATATTTTCAATTTAAATATTAATGAAAGTCAATTATTTATCATTAACATTTCTTGTAAATATATTCACTCAATAAAGTGTTTAGTTATGGTAAAAAAACAGATTTCTTTTGATGAAATGCATAACTTTCATAAAATGAACTTTAGGTGAAATTCCGCTAAATGGATGCGATATATTAGGCCATTACCGCCCTGGTCCTTATTTTAACTTTTTTTAAATTTTTGAACCTGGATACCCCTCAATTTTTTTGTTTTATTTAAAAACGTGAGTATGCCAAATTACATCTTAACGATAAGAACACGTGCCTCAAGACCTTCGAAACACCATTCATAGTGTTTAACCAGCTAAGTAACAAAAATATTGATAGCAATGACTTAGATATAATTTTATTGGAACCTATATAAAAGGTAAACATGTATTTCGCTGATCTAGTGATTCAAACAAAATACATGAGTTATGAAATGGTGAAGCATCAAAAATATGAAAAATCTATTTTTACAATATTTTCTATTTTCTATTATTTTAAATAAAAATAAAAATTGAGTGATTCCAACTAGTAGTTAAAATAAGGACCACGGCAATATATAAATGTGTGTTGAATTTGTTCGTAATTTATTAAAACAAAATTCTGATCAATACACGACTAATCATAGTGTATGATAAAAATGTCTTTATAGTCTATATAAATAGTTCAATAAAAAATTCTCAAACGAACCGCAGCAATTATTTTAGCGAAAACCAAAACTCAAATTCTGACAAGAAACGACGATTAATAACATAGCTAGTAGCTACCGACCTGGAATTCGCTGAAACGCTTTAACGTGACAGCTTCGGGGAATGAACCTTCGAACATGACCAACCCAGCTGTTCGACTGATTGCATTTGTAAGTCTTAAAGATGCTTTTCGGAACGGGCCGCAGAGTATGAACAGGGCAAGTGGATTTTCGATCTGATCCCGCGCTCTGCGGAACTTATCCAATGCAATTTGTTTGTGCCAAACGTATAAGCATTTCCAAAGCAAATAGTTTTTGAACGTGTCCAACTAACAACAATAATTATTTCCCCATGACAAACACAACACAGAAATTACACCCGTTACTATATTAATATGCAAATTTTCCACACGTATTCTAACTATATGCATGCTCTAATGTTACATGAAATGCACTTACAACAGCATGAACTATCATGAACACATGCCATGTAATTGTATAATGTTAGCAGTCTGCACGCGAGGTTAGTTTTTTATAACCTAACCTTTGGGTTATAAATATCGAATCGTAACTAATTCAATTATTATAGGCACTTTCTCACAGTCTATTTCGAATAGAAAGGAGAAATTAATTAACCGAGTATAGCTCAAAATATCTTTAACTTAATAGCTAGACGATTGTTTCCTTAGAATTTTACTATAATCTGTTTGTAACCTTTTAATATTTTAGAATAAATAGAAAAGTTAAGACAACTAGCAATATACATACATATTATAATCTTTTAGCGTGTACTTGTTACAATTTACAACTATAATATATGTAATATGAAATTGTGATGAATGTGATTTATGACTTGAGTGCCTCAAACTATGTAAGAAAAATTACCAAATGGTATTGTAGTAAAATGGTAGTTGAACCGTAATGACTTAAGAGTTGTACTAGTTAAGTTGCAATTTGGTACCTTAACGATTTGTTGATAGTATCTATATTCTTCTTCAAATTGAGAGAAAGGAGTGAAATTGATTTCATTTTGCATGTGATACATTATTCCTTCGTTACTCAGAGTGAAATAACAATTTTTGTTAATGTTTTTGTATGAAACTATTTTGAACGAGTACGGCGTAAAGTATCTAGATGTCTTGTTGTAAGCATAAATCAAGTATATAAATTTATACTCCTTCGCCGACTTGAACTCTTCGATGGCTTTATCCAAGTCCAGCACATCCGGTCGTTGTTTAGGAAACAGTCCGTGTACATTTTTTTCTTCCATAATATCACACTCTATATGTTTTACAAAATTGCCAAAATTAGTTTTTAAAACTACTATTTTTCTTTCAACAGTTTCTAGTAAGTCCTGGGTAGCGATCATAGTATTGAACTGTAGTAGTTTATAAATAAGGGTATATATTAATATTCTATTATATATTATACCGACTTCGTATTGAAGGCAGAATTCTACAGTTATTTAATATTTACCCTTGTCTTTTAAAGTGGAGTTAATAAAATATTTAGATAATAATAACAACAATGTAACATTATTTTTATAATTTACGAGACTCTTATAAATAAAAATAAATTTTGTTCGAACTTACACTCTAGCTAAACAGTGAAGGCGAAGTCACATTGCAAATGGAAACATAATGACTTACTGTAAGCCTATTGCTGTATTTGAGAACAGGAATAACGTTTTGTTTCTGTGCTATCGATTTAAGCGGAACAGGGTCGTCGCTAAGGATACTACACATCTATGTATCTATAGGTACTTTTCATAAGAATATTGATACAAGACGTTGCAAACGTTTTACATTGGAGACGTGCACGTATGCCCATACTGATACAAGTACATCTGGACTAATAAAATACAACAGAAAAAAAAATCTAACGAAAGCAGCATTTAGTAATTGCATGCATGAATATTAAATTTAAAAATGATTAATTAAATAAGATTAATTTTTATTAAAATACTCTACACAGTGTTTGAGTAGATTTGAGTAGCAGTCCTCAGTATTGATCAATCAGCTACAAAAGCAAAAAGCTATAAGTAGCAGTTAGGTATGAAGTTCAGTAGAGAATGCTAGATGTATTTTTGTGTATCAAATATTACACACAACATTGCTAACAGAATTTAAATAATTTATATTATTAAATAATATTCAATATTCATAATGATATGGTTTATAATTAATGAATTTTTGGGTCGAAAAAATTATAGTACTAGAGATATTTCTGATTATTGAAATCAGGATACTTTAGATAAACGGCTCATTAAAAATATATTTACATTTCTTCTTTTTCTGTATTAAAGAACGAGACCGCTAAGCAAACCAAATATTTTGTAAACTGGTTTTTAAAAAAAATGTTTAGCCTTATTTTGTAAACTGTTAAAACGATAATCTTGTATTATAATTTACGAATAATAAGGTAAATCACATTTTTTAACACTACTATGCTAAATATCATAATTAATACTTCTGAAGGATAACCGAAGGAGAACAAGCGGCGAAAAAGCTTTGACCTTTTCATTTTTCATAACAAATACAAATGATTTAACATTTAAATTAAAATTGAACGGTTTTTACTGAAATAATCAAATATATTATGCAAAAATGTTACCTGAGAAAAATGAACTCAAAATTATGTAGAACAAAAAAATAAAAATGTATCATCCCATTATTTTGCAACACGTTTAATAGTGACTTAAATTGTTATTTCATCATATAGTGCAATAGATTTTATTTTTTAATTAGTTATAGCTGCATCTGAACAAAATTCAGTTTTATACAATCATTTTGCTATAAACGTTAAAGGTACGTGATACAATACACTGATTTTAAAAATATATGGTGGTTTTCCCCGGGAATTAAGACTTTATTCTGTAGTGAGACGGTAAGTAATAATGAGGGTAAGGATTATATTGTTGTTAATTATTACATATCATCGTAATGCTATTTATACATCCATAAGAATAATAGTTACATTGTTTTTAAATTTTGTACACATTGTACATGTTATTACAACAATAGACAGTGTAGCAGGGTTAAGGGTATACAACCTGATAATATAGTATTCACAATTTTATGAGATAACTGATAATATTAAAAAATAATAAATATAGTACATACTACATAGTAACCTTACTTAACCTATGTAATATTATTACTAACAACAAAACTGAATGAAAATTAAACATTGTTTACATCCGTTCGAAAAAAATGTAACGATTAAAAACATATGTAATTAAGTAATAACTGTTAATATAGAAATTAACTAATTATACATCTAAAATAAATATGATATTTTATTTCAAATTTAATGTCTCCTATAGATATTATTATTCTAGAGTGAAGTTTTAGGTTTTTGTCTATTAAATATATACAGGGCGATTCATTAAGAATAAGATTCATTTTTTTCTTAAAATAAATGTAATTCTGTACTTTTTGAAACACTTTCGTCGTCGTGTTATTTTACAATATTCAAATTTGTATCTTATTTTTTTTTCCAGGGCTCTTTCAAGTTTTAAAATTTAATAGGTAACGTACCTGCATATTTAATTAACTTTACAAATTAAAAATGATTTGCTGAAAATGTTGACTGGTCGTCACCAGCTTAGGATAATTAATTTTAAAGTTTAAAATACAGGACAGGAGGTGGAGTGTGGTAGAGTAGTGCTCGCAGATAAAAATACTACTGTACTCCACTCTTCCTCCCGTCCTTAATTTTAAGCTATTCAAGTTATAAATTATTATCCAAAACTGGTTATCGACTAGTCAAAATTTTCAGTAAATTGTAATTAATTTCCCTAATTATTCTTAATGAATCACCATGTATAACTTCTACCTTTATTAAGTTTGAACACATAGTGAGTGAAAAATCCATAGATCAACTAAATAATATTACTATTTTTTAATTGGTTTCTCGCATTATAGCAGGCTGGGTGCGCACCTGCGTTAATGATTTTATTTTTGTTCTATATTGCGCAATCCGTTCGGGTATGTTTTTTTAATATGCTAATTCGAACATGACTGGTCGATCCAACGGGACCTGTAAAAACGAACTTAACTAGCCCCGAAAGTGTTGTACTTATTTGCATAATACCGACAAAATGTGTACATAAATGCCTACAGACAAGTGTTAACTACTCAAACGACGCATGTTAAAACTTATGACCGGTGTTCTATATGTATTGTCTATTGTCTATTTATCCAGGTCTCTTGTCGTCGAGTAACTGTAGCAAAGAAACACGTTTAACAGCCAGACTTCTAAAAAACACCAGTGTACTTAATTCTTTAGCGAGAGACGGTGACTTCTAAAAGCTATCATGGATTCAACTAGGGTCGACGATCAGCTAAAGGAGCAGGAACTGGTATCCAAAGGCGAGCCCGAGAAATACGTCTACAAGCGGCAGATCGTATGGTTCAATCTCATCGGATTTTTAGTGCTGCATTTGGTCGCAGTCTACGGATTTTACCTATTCATAACATCATGCATGTTACTAACCGCGTGGTGGAGTAAGTATTATTAAAAATACGTTAAAATATCAACTTATATAAGGAACTTCCTTAAAGGAATTTGCAGAAATTACTAAGCATATTATTCGGATTGGATTCGATGGCCCATTATGAGTATTATACTTGTCCTCCTTCTTTTTAATAGTTTGTTTTAAATTATTTAATAAAAATATGTCGGATTAAGGTAGTACCTAAGCAGCTTGTTTAAACAGGACGCACCTGCCCGTTGGCGGTCGGTGACACATTGCCCGTGACGAAGAGCCCATTTATCTTCATATTATAATTCCATAAGCCGCGGGCACACAATGAATCCAAATTGTTAACAAGCAAAAAATATTTGATAGAATAAGTAGATTTCAAAAACATCAGCTTCCACTACTCAGTATTAATGATATAATATACATTAACTCACATTACTTACATTACTTACAATAACAAAATAAAGTTGTCTAGATTTTTGAAAGTTTAAAAATACATCAATAAAAATTTGAGTATTCTTTAATAGTAACGCTAAGTAATTGTGTTATTTTTTATGGCAAAAAGTTAAGTTACAATTATATTTAAGGGGATTGCATGCGGTCTGTTTTAAGGAGTTTTGTGTTGGCAAAATTTAAGAAAAAGATTTTTTAATAAATTTCGACCATATCAATTGATTAAGCGGATAATTTGTATAAGTTTTAAGGTATTATTTTTAATTAAAATAATTTTTTTTATGAGTAAAAGCTATTTTAGTTTTTAGTTTGGTGTATTTTAGACCCCAGACAACATTTCGACTACATAGGATGGTCCAATTTCAATTCTGTGAAAATATACGAGTTCTTTGGCTACTCTACTATGTAGGAAGCCGATTTTTGTTTAAAAACTTCAGTTTATAGTAATTATATAAATTCAATTTTTCCAATATTAAAACTCAATTTTTTTACATAAAATAATCAAAAATCCGTTTCCTCCAAGAAAAGTTGCCAAAGAATTTACAGAATTTAAATCGTACCATCTCAAGTATTCGAAATTTTGTCTGGCTTTTTGGTCTAAAACGTCAAAAAAAAAACAGACCGTATGCAATCCCCTTGAGTAACGAAAAAAGTAGTTTAACTACTACTGTTGTAAATTAAGGAGTAAACTAGTTCCATTATATTACAAAAGTAACTATGCTAGATTGATAAACGTTGTTTTTATCATCCGCTTTCAGCGATGGCTATAGGAGTTCTATCCGCTCTAGCCGTGACAATTGGAGCACATAGACTTTACACGCACAAGACATTCAAGGCCAACAAGTGGATAAGATTCGTTTTGGTCTTTGGACAAACGGTAGCGGGACAGGTAATATATTTAGTTGAAAACTGATAGTTTTTTGTTTATTTAAATTTCAACTTTTTCAAATAATGTTATTATTTATTTTGCAGAACTGTATGTATATTTGGGTTCGGGATCACAGACAGCATCACAAGTACAGCGACACTGATGGTGATCCACACAATGCTTCTCGAGGATTCTTCTTCTCGCACATAGGATGGCTCATGGTGAGAAAGCATAGGGACGTAATCGCCAAAGGCAAAGATATCGACATGTCCGACATCGAAGCCGATCCGCTTGTCATGTTCCAGAAAAAGTAAGCACTGCGTATTAATTTTCATAAATAAAAAAAAATCAAGCAATCTCTTTTAAATAAACTTCTGTCAGTTTTCAACTTAAGTAGCTGTTTTCCAAATTATTATTATCCTCTCTATTTTTCTTAAAAAAAAAAAAAAGATATTTAGCAATGTTTTTATAATCTGCCATAGGTACTACAAGACTCTGTTCACTCTCTTGGCCATACTCTTACCCGCATTAATACCTACCGTCTGGGGAGAGACCTTTTGGAACGGTTTCTTCGTGTGTTTTGTATTCCGTCAGGTTTTAGTGCTCAACTTAACGTGGTTGGTCAACAGCGCTGCGCACTTGTACGGCAACAAGCCGTTCTCCAAGTAAGTGTTGAAAGCCTATTTTAAAATATCCGAAGTATCCAACAGAAAACTTTACACTTCTACACTAAAGTTCCTTTGAAAACCAGAAAAAGCTAAATAAATAACTGAATATTTAAAAAAAATTCAAGACATATATTTTATGTAAAAGTAACTGAAAATATCAACACACAAATCTGGCAGTTGGTAGCTGTATTACTTGTTAATAGTCTAATGTTTTCTCTGTATCAGTTAGTAAGTCCAGTCTTGTTAAAACTTTTTTAAAATAGATTTAAAATACGTATTCAAAACTAATTTTAGGGATGCATTTAAATAAGTATTTAAAATGCGTTTCAAATACTTCGTCCAAAAACAAGACTGGTCAAGTCATGTTGCTCCTAATAATATCGTACTTAACCGATAACTTGATGGTGTCACTTCACAGGGACATCTATCCCGTAGAGAACATTTACGTGTCCATGTTCGGTCTGGGCGAGGGATGGCACAACTATCATCATACATTCCCGTGGGACTACCGAGCGTCTGAGTTCGGCCAGTACTTCAACTTGAGCACCATTCTGATTGACTATTTCGCCGACCAGGGCTGGGTTTGGGACAGGAAGAGCGCCACACAGGCCATGGTGCTGAACAGGGTGACCAAACGGGGCGACGGCACGCACTACAAGTATGGAGAGCAAAAGGAGTTGGAAGATATGCCGGACGATCATTACGAAGAGCTATTTTGGTTGCAAGAGCGTTTAGAGAAAGCTCAAAAGGGCTGAAGGTGTCATGCATTTATCGACACTGACGATTTCAACAATTTTGTTAATGTACATATATTAAAAAAAAAAAAAAATTAGTTCTAGAGATTAAACTAATTATTGCATCAGTGTGTCCAACTATGAAACGATACCGTTTTTTATTCGTTATAATATGATTCCGTTAATAAAAAAAAAATATTAATTTATCACTAATGTAACTAATGTATCGTTTATTTATTTAAAAACTGGCACCTACGAAGCGACACACAGTTCTTAGTGAGGTACTGAGGAAAAAGGCTGAACCGCCGCATTCAGTACCTATGGACTTAAACTTAGTCCTCCATAATAATCCGGTAAAACTCTAAAGTATTATGCTTCAATTGGTATAACCGGGTAAAAAAAAAAGGGACCACGAAGGGCGGGGTAAAGCGGGACCGTCATAACCATAGTGGTAACCTGTTATCATTTCGGATCCTATGACCATGGGAACCTACACAGATATATATAATAAACTAGATAATTGTACATGCCACCAATAGAGAAGATTTGAAGCAGCCACTTTCCGCCATCTTGGTGGGAATTAGAACCTTATCACATGAAAATATGCTTATAACAATATAAGAAGTTCAGTTGATAACGCAGAATAACAGTTATATATATATTATTTTATACATACACAAATCCCACCAGAATGGTGGACCGTCGGCTTCAATCTTTTAATGATATGATTCACGAATCATCTTTATGCCTTGTTTACGTTATGTAGACGAGTTCTCGGCCGTGACAGTGATCTCAGCCGAGTACTCGACCATCTAAATAACACAGGCACATTACTCGGCCTTATAAATAGAAACAGTTTCTATTCGCTCGGTCGAGAACTCGTATAATGTAAACAAAGTATTAAGGCCATGACCCAAGTTCTAAATATGAAAATTGTGAAAAACAATTGATTTATTTAATAATAACTGTTTAAACGATGACTTGTTAGATGCCATGAAAAGTTGAATTGTTCAAAATTAAATTAATTATTTTCATAAATATTATAAATTAATACCTTACCTGTTTATCGTAATTTATAGTGCAATAATGCCATAGTTTAGTACTTCAATCCCATATTGTTAAATATTGTGACACCTACTTAAATTGTTATTAAAAAACAAACATTTGAGTTGTATAGACATTAATGTATTTTTTTTTTAAGACACACAACTGCTGCTAACTCGGTATACTCTCGCTCTGAATAAAGTACAGCGAATGGAATTGTTAAGTACATTCGTAATTTTCACTTAGCACAATCCAATGATCATTTATTCACACTTTTATGAATACCATATAATGGCTTAGATAAATACTTGCATTAATCCGATTTAGATGGACGAAAACTTGTTGTAACTAGTAGTATACCTATATTAGTTACTTTAATTAGCCCTGCAGAAGCTGATCCCCCTTCACAGGAATACTTTCACGGTACCTTTCCTTGACGTAAGACAAATGGATGGAGGAGACCTGGAGGTTGAAGAGTTGGATAGCTGTTTCATCAGTCGCAATATGACTGCACACATGTGCAGGTTTGCCCAACGGTTTTTTTGTACAAATTAGATACAATAATACCATACTTTAGTACTTCAATCCCATAATGTAAATTGTGATACTTTAATGATTATTTAAACGTGATTGTTATTAAAATGTAATTCTTTCTAATGTTGAATACACTTTTTAAACATCTCCTCTTCCTCAACACAAGCATTGCTCGCAGAGGGTGGATGCAAATTTGTACATTTATTTCATTTTATATTTATATAAATAACGTATTTAGGTAATTTCGTAAAAATAAACACAACTTTTAAGCGGTTGATTTACAAGTTTAGTTCGCACAAGCTAAAAACATTTTTTTTTCTATTATTTGTGTACCTGTACAGTTCTTATCACAAATTAGATAATTTATATTTTATCTCATTGCGGGTTTTATCAAAAATCATAGCCTATTGTTATCAAAATTATATTGTTGCTTTCACGATATTTAAAATTTAGTATATTTCCGATTTCATCCAACGGAAATTTCATTTTACAAGTGTATTTTTATATACACAATACAGTATCAAAAGTAAGGTTTTGATATTATGCCAACGATATATTTAAAATACAAATTAATTTACATTGTCTAAGGAAGATGGGCCGGAATAAGTGGAAAAGTGGAAAAGCAAAGTTAAAACGTCATTCATCACTGTAATAACGATTGAGTATTATTTACATTAAAACAAAAACTATTATAAACTCTACTAATTATTTTAGGGATGACTTAAGACCGTATAGATTGCCGATCGATCGTAATCAAATTCGTGAAGAACATGTTATCGATTGCCCTCAAAATGGGCATGAATACCTTTACATGGCCAAGTAACTTAATCTTTTAGCTCTAGACATCTGTGATCTCAATAGACAATAGTTATAGTAAACATTACTGAAGTCGATTAAAATTGCATTTTATATTTATATTTTTTTTAGGAAAATTGATAACAATTTGCCTCCGGTAATGACTGCAACAAACAAGGAATTTCAACAATTTGTTAACAAATCCCATAACAATGCACGTGATTATATTGTTGTAAGTATAAAGTTTATATAATAAATAAAAATGTGTTAAAATTAAAACCCACTACAGTTTGTAAAAATATTACACTGTTGTGACATTTTTTTTGGTGCCAATTATTTGATTCTTATGTAAAAATGAACTATAAACTTTTTGGCCATCAATAAGCAGAATAATACTGTGTAAATAATATATTGTTTAAAAAATATTAAAAAAAGTTACTTTTGTTTAGTTTCAGTTATTAACTATTTTTATTTTCAGTTCTAAATTTCATTATCTGTGTTTAAAATTGTTAAAAATGCAAAACTTCTCCGCCCTACAGGGGTTACAGATTATATTCTGTATTAGTTTTGTTCTCTCAATTCAACCATTTTTTTTTTTAATTTTAAATAAGTATTTGTACCAAATTGTGTCTATGATTATTTAACAAAAATGTTTAACTGTATGTATGTTTCAGCCAGCCTTAGAGCTTCCTGAAATCAAAAAGAAAAATTTACTGCCAACCAAAGCAGAAATAATGACTTACATTGAACAATATGAAAACGCTAGACTAAAATATGAAGAATGCCGAAAAGACTTATGTGACATCCCTAAACATACACTGGTTAGTTTATTGCTGTCGTTATTTAATATATAAGGGTGCTCAGAATTTCATGTAACACCTAATTTTTTGATGATATGTTGAAATTCTGAAAAAGTTACTTATGTACAACATTTTTAATTTTTATCAAACAATAATAAATTTATAGTTTTTGTAATTTTTCAATCAGAAACTAGATTTAAGGGGGAGAGATATCATTTAAAACTTAAATGGTAACGTGTGCATAAGAATAATTTGTTGACAATTTTGACTGGTCAATAACCATTTTTTAATTATCACTTCTCAAAAATATTTGAGTTCAAAATGTAGTATAGGAGGTGGAGTGTAGTTGAGTAAGATCTCTTTCACACAAAGCCACCAAAATGGAAGTATAATGGAGCTAGCAACGAAAAGTAGGAAGTTTTGGGTACATCCATTAATGTTTGACTGTTCTACTAAAGGTTTATTTATTTTTTAACGATTTAGGAAAGTACGAGGAAAATTTTTTAAATTATTTAAGAATGCCTATTAACTCATTTGATGCAGAGTTCCATATTACCGACCAGGTTTTTAATTTCTAGGATAAACTTTTCTTGTCCATACATATTTAAAATATTGACAACGAGACCAAAAACAACGTCAACACACGCGACTGGCAGTGGATCGAATAAAAGATTGCGCGTTTTTACATTGAAACAATATAAATTTAAATGGTGGCGCTACTGTTCTGGTTGCACGTTCAGCGTGTCTGGTCGTTAAATTATTTATGCAAAATTATTAATGTTTGACAAAAGTTAAAAATGTTTCATATGTCATTTATTCAAAATTTCATTCTTTTTTAATATGTTTATAAATATATATATATAATTATAATTATATATTATATTTATTTAACCAATATTTTTTTTTTAGCCTCCATCTTATTCACCTACGATTTGGTTCACTTATTTGTTTGGAAAACAAATGAACACTCTAGATACAGTAAATCCTGTACACAACATAGATAAATGTATATTTTTTACTCAGGTATATTGTCATTCATTAAATGACTTTTTTATTTTAAAAATATTTTTTTTTTTTATATAGGAACACTGTGCTTTTGTTATATCTAATTTTGTTAAATGGATATTGAAGAAAGTGATATTGCCTAGTGATGTAACCTCTTGGACGTTTTCATTGTTTGCAGTCATGGACTGTGATCCGTCTGAAACTTTATTATCGGACATGCGAATACTTACTCAATTTTTCATAAACGCTCGATCTATAATTGTAAGCATATATTTTTTCATTGTGAATAGTAATACTAAATGTAATTCTTTGTAAAATTTCAATGAACACAGTAATTACATTTGACTTTTTTGTTGTTCTACAGGAAGACCATTTGGATGTGTCGGTATTAAGGTACAGTTGTTTGATAAATATAGTCGCTGAAAAGTTCAAACAACACGATCTTGGAGACATTATTAACTATAAAGAACATTATTCTGGCAATAGCAAAAGCCAAAAGACTACATAAAACCATAAATAAACATATTTTAGAATTGAGCTATTGTTTAATTTAATTGGATTTTATTATTATTATTTTATATTTAAATTTAAAACTTTATTATTTTAAACTGAGGCAATTTAATGCTAAAGGTATGCTCAAGAATATTATGTATTAATGTTCCTGGGGATTAAAGATACCTCGTTAATTATTGTTTGTAAACACATACATTTGAGTTTTAAAATATTTAAAATTCTTATTTGATGACAAAATGTTGTCTGGAATCATAATTATTATATTACTCATTACAAATAAATGCCCACTTAAAACAATATATATAAAAAAGAAATAAACAGAATAAAAAGATATTATTTACATTTTTTTATATTAAGCAATTTGATTTGGTTTTATTGAAATACAACAAAATAAAAATTCCATTTGTAGTTTAAAAAACTTTTGGTTAGAATTGATATTTTGTTAAGAAAATATACTAATATCTGTTCATTGTTATAAAAACGTATTATAATGATTAAATAATACTTAAGGGTTATGCCTCCTAGCATGCAAAAAATAAATTATTTATTTATTAATGAAAAACAGAGAGAAATAGATGTAAGACGATTCTATACTTTCTTTTAACTTTGAAAAACCCCATTTTTATAAATTATAATTTCTTAAAAAAATAAAAAATATTTTAACTTGATAATGAAATAATTTATATTGTTGTATTAAAAAATAATTAAGAAAAATATTCTTTTATAAATTATGATACTTAAGTACTTGTCATTTTATCAGGATAAATAATTAAATGTAAGAAATGTTATTATAAGTTATTATGGATTGAATTTATCATCGTTATTTAAAAAACAAAATTGTTCCTCAACTTTTCCTATTTTACGATAATTTTTTCTTTTTTATGTAATATGACTAAAGAATAATTATTTTTAATCATAATTTAGATTTAGCAGCCGAGCTGCTGTTTTGATCATTATACAATGTATATTATATGTATCATTATACAATTTTATAATTATGTAAATACTGTATAGCAGCCCAATAATTGTTTTATATTTTTACTGATTAATTTATACCGGTTTAATGATGGTGTCAGCATCGATATAGCTAACCGTATCGGCAATACGGTCAGGAAAAATGAACCTGGTACCACCAAATTATGATACCGGTTATCTTAATGAACTTCTGGAATTCACACAGGTTTAATTTTTTCACACCGGTATGAACTATCGAATTTCTTATTTGAACAGTGATTTCGCGTTAAATCAGTAAAATAAATTGGAACTTCATTCATAATGTGTAGCTAAGTGTGTTTGGTGAAAATCTATTAAATCTTAAACAGTCTGAGTCCCGATGGTCATTGGAGGGTTTACATACTACAGGCATAGATTTAATACATATGTATTTAATCTATGCTACAGGCTATAATATTATGGTCTTTGCACTGAGCGTAAATTGTGTAAAAAACAGATTATTTTGTGAAACGTGAACATTAATTACTGATAAGTGTATTTTATTATTACTTTGCAAGTCAAATTTCAAAGGCTTGTTATGATAAACCAAGGTTAACACAATATCTTCTATTTACATTGATAATAAACTAGTAAAAAGGTATTCCAGCAAATTTCCTAGCAGATAACAACCCCTCAGTTTGTCGGATACCACTTGCCATTGGTTAAATACGACCAATAGGAAGAGTAGTAGTACTTTTTTGTAAGATATCTAACCTAACTCGTGGTAGCGGGCGCCGGGCAAAAGCTAATGCGTGAAACGCACCAAAACTTGTAAGCTCTCAAAACACCTATCTTTTATGATATCATGATTCATGAATCATCCTTAAGGTAGCCCAGCCATGACCTATCACCTAAGTCCTAACCATGAAAATTGTGTAAAACAATTGATGTTTTTCAATCATAACTGTTTAAACGATGATGCCATAAAAAGTTGAATTGTTCAAAAATTAAATTAATTATTTTACATAAATATTTTAAATTAATACCTACCTTACCTGTTTAACAGACGGATTCTCAATATTATTCGGTGTTTTTTTTTTGTATTGTACAATGTTTACGGATGTGAAATTAGAGCAAAGTTTGGTTGTGATCTCAGGAACTCCAGCATCAAATTCACCAGCAACACCCACAGATTCGCCGCGATCAAAACCTCAAGTAAACTATTTGGGCCTGTTATTGGCTGCAGTATCTTCATTGTTCTTTTCGCTTACCTCTTTAATTGTCAAATGGCTACACGATGTGGACCCGTTGGAACTAGCAACTGTACGTTTTGTTGGAATTTTGCTGCCTACATTACCTATCCTAATCTATAAACGACAGCATCCGTTTCCTAAAGGCAAACGTCTCATGTTATTACTGCGCTCTTTTTGTGGAGCAACTGCACTTACCCTGACTTACTATGCATTTAGACTTATGCCTCTTGCTGATGCGTCGGCTATTGTGTTCAGCGTCCCGATAGTGGTAGCAGTATTTGCTAGAATATTTCTTAAAGAGCCATGTGGGCTCTTTCACTATTTTGCATTATTTCTAACTATGATAGGAGTGATAATGATAGCCAGACCACCAATTTTATTCAATGAATCTATGGAGCACTATAATTTCTTTGGACCTTTAGCAGCCATAGTATCGACTATATTTGCAGCTGTTGTGTATATACTCCTTAGAGCTTTGAAGGATGTTCATTTTACTGTTACCATGGTGTGTTTTGCTAGTTACTCTATTATACAGACATCAAGCATGGCTTGGGCATTAGACAAATTGAGCTGGCCAAAATGTGGAACTGAAAGAGTTCTATTTGTCACTTTGGGATTGTGTAGTTTTGCCGGACAAGCATTGTTAACCTTAGCTGCCCAACTCGAAGAAGCAGGATTGGTAGCCATTGCAAGATCAGTCGACGTTGTTTTTGCTTTCGCGTGGCAAATTATATTCTTTAATGAAATACCCAGTTTGATGAGTGTCATCGGCGCTGTGTTGGTAACTTCGTCTGTTGTATTAATTGGCCTGCGAAAATGGATAATGTCTATGCCTGCTACATCAAGTTTAAAAAAAAAGTTAGGTTTTCTATTCTTATGACAAAATTGGTACTTTTTGTTTGTGCTTTGAGTTATGTACCAACATATGATGAACAAGTAATTTATTTTTATTTAGTAATTACTAATTTTTTAATTTTAATTCAATACATTGTTATAAAGTGTCATTTTTAGAATTAGAACTGAGTTTTGTATGTATTTTTTCATTTATTTCTGTCCAAGAAAAGACTGCAGTGATAGGATAGTATATAAGCACAAACTGTATCATCTTTATTATGGTATCCATAGTTTTATAAAATATACAATTTTTATTTGTTGTAAAAATTGAATTTTTTTGTTTAAATTATTTTTATGTGTAGGTATAGTTCTTTTAGTCAATGTTATGAACTCAGATTATATAACTTGCAATTATTGTTAATTACTTATCTTTCATGTATACATAAAACAAATTTGTTTATAGAATACAATTGTATGAGTTAGTTTAAATGTTAAATAATTACCATATTATAATTTTTAATGAAACTTACTAGTATACTTCAGTGCAATTTATATTACGAACAATTTAAAATTGAATACAATAACATCATAAATACGAGTAAAATTAATTTAATCAACAAGATTAATACTACGTAATAAAATAAGGAATTATGATTAATGTAATTTATAGTGCAATAGTACCTTAGTTTAGTACTTTAATCCCATATTGTTAAATATTGTGATACTTAAATTGTTAGTTAAACGTGATTGTTATTAAAAATGTAACTTTTTTTAATGTTGAATAAACAAATTAAAAAAACAAACATTTGAGTTGTATAGACATGAATGTATTTTTTTTTTTAAGACACACCACTATCGTACAATGTAGATTCATTGCAATAAACATTAAGACTGAAGGTAATATTAATTACATAACTAAATATTATAATATTCTGCGGAGAAAAATTCTGAGCGCTATTTTTCCTCGTCAACTTCATAACCTTGAGATGTGGCATTCAATTTTGGATTGTGGAAAAATGTTTGGTCTCCATTTCCCCATGGGAAGCGCTAAAAAAGAGGAATCATAGTAGTTAAGTTTTTCTGTTAATTACATTTTATTTATAATTGTTACAATTAATTTATTTTAGATTTATTGCTTATAATAATAATAAATGAAGTATAACAGTCCGACACAATGGGACATAACATGTTGAGGTATCATCATGTTTTCATAAAATATGTAATGCAATACAAATAAGCAAATGTTATAAAAATGTTCATAATTCGTCAAGATATAAAAAATAAAATTATTGAGGAGGCTTTTATGTTAGATTTTAGTAAAATGTGACTTTTTGGACATCATGTTTCAGTGTCAAGATTTGCTTTTAAAATCTTTGATTGAGCTGATATTCACCATGTCCGAGGTGTCAAACAGACACACATTGCAGTTCAACAGAAGATGTTTGAAGATGGACACTTGAAGTGTCAAATTTTAAGAAAATGGACATATAACCAACAATTTAATAATGAACTACTACAATGCATTAAAGTTCCAATAGAAGATGTATTTCTCATACATGACATAAAAAAAAAAAATATTATAGATTGAAAATCAAATCGCACATTGTTATATTTTATTGGAAATAGAATAGGTGTGAATCTATTTATGGACAAGATTCTGCGGAAGTCCTACACTAATTTCTATTTACTTTACTCGTACTTTGCCTTCGTGTAATTGACAAGTTACCTAAATAATAATTCTGAATAAATGCTATTTACTAAACACCATTAAGATATCTGTCATATTGAAACCTTTTTATATAGGTGTTTTTTCTAAGATCTTCCTTACAAATAATATAACTTTGTTGTTAATTGGTACATGTAATATATAAAAAAATGTATGAAAATAAAATAACTTCTAACCCGTGTTCTAATACGCAAGTGTTCGTATGGCACAAATTCTGATCGCTTTACATGTTTTTCGTGTTCCAAATGAGCACCAATACAATATATGGAAGCTAGTAGGCAACCAGGCAATGCCAAATAGAAAGTAAAATTCTTCCACATTTTAACACCTTGGAGGACTTCTACAAATCAAATATACAAAGTCAATAATTCAATTCAGACAATTTACAAATTTATACTATTCAAACCTGGTTTGTTGAATTCATTTAGTTTTTCTTTGGTGAACTGTTCTTCTATAACTGCACGCAATTGTTTGCTAGAGGAAAATTTTCTTGAAAATACTCTCAACGCCATTGTTAGTTCCGAATGTAAAATTGAATGATTAATATTTTAATTATGAAAATTCTTCTATTTTTGTTTTAACTAGGAGCGCCGTTCGGACAATGATACAAAACTGAGAAAAATTGTGAACTCAGGCTAATCATATGTTCAATGTTAATGGGCGACTCACGAATAGCGTAGCGTTAAAGCAAGGTGGTGAGTTGAAGGTTATGATAACTGATAAGAGATAACCGCTCCATCGGTGAATCGATTATCATTTAATATTTATTAACGTTTGCCATTTTCCCACCGTTCGCATATTTTGAACTTTGAAATAAAACACAGTAAAATTTGCACAAGCTAAACCTCGTTCAAACATCAATTCAAATATTTATAATAATAATAATAATAATGACTAAGCTTAAGTTTTACTATGATTTGCTTTCCCAACCGAGCAGAGCTCTTTTTATGTTTTTGAAGAAGAATAACATTCCTTTTGAGCCAAAGCCAATACATTTATTAAAAGGTACCATAAACTATAATTGTTTACCTAATCTTCATCAAATTAGAATTACGCAAATATGCTAACCTGTCGACACTTTCGTTTTTAGGAGAACACTTTTCGCCAGAGTTTGAAAGTATTAATCCATTTCAAAAATTACCGGTTATCGATGATGGAGGATTTATTCTTATAGAAAGGTTCATGGTTAAGTTCATTACTTAAATTATTGTTTAAAATCATAGGTATTACCTAGTTATTATTAAAAATTATCATTTCGATATACATTATACACCGTCAATCTAATAAATGACGCTGTGTAGAAAGTGAAATTACAACACATAAATAATAAAATATAAATTATTGGCAATTCTAATGTATAGACTTACGGTAATATTTTTAGTGTTGCTATTCTTCGTTATTTATGTCGTACTCACAATGTAGCCAATCATTGGTACCCCAAAGACTTAAAGCAACAAGCTCGAGTCGACGAGTATCTTGAATGGCAGCATTTAAACACTAGAGCTCACTGTGCTTTATATGTTTTTCAGAAAGTAAGTTATAAAGTTTACACATTTTTATTTGTTTTATAAATAGATAAAAAACAACATGATGTTTTTTTTCTAGATATTTGTACCTATAATAACTCAAAAGCCGCCCAATGAAACCGAGTTAACTAAATTGGAGAAAAATGTAACTACAACACTCAATTTGTTAAATAATGTTTGGCTTAAAGATAAACAATATCTATGTGGCAATGAAATATCAATAGCTGATATTCTAGCTATATGTGAAATTGAGCAAACAAGTAAAAATTAAAAATTAGTAATATTTCTTATTTCCTGGTTCGAATGAAGGGCATAATTGTTATTATTTGTTTACAGGGATAGCCGGTGTGGATCCATATTTTGAACGTCCAATTTTATCCAGCTGGAAGGCTAGAGTTGAAACATTTTTAAATCCATTTTATGACGAGGCTAACATGGCTATCGAAAAAATGGCAGACAAATATAAAAATACAAAGAATATAAAATCAAATCTGTAACAATTGTTTAATATTTATACGATATTTTTTTGAAAATTTAATATTCCATGTGGTTGAGGTTTACTATAAAATATATTTTCTTAAATAAATATAATTGATATTTAAAATTTGTTTGGTATGAACCGGGTCCGAATTTTAGCTTACAGTGTTTCACTTATACTTAAATAACATTTAAAATTTGTTGTAAAAAAAAATTCATAAAATTGCTTATCAAGTATTATAAATACACTAAAACGGCAATCAAGAAATATAATATTTAGAGAAGATACAGTTTATTTTAGTTTATCAACCTTGTGTCTAATTTGTATTTTAAATAATAAATATAGAAAGGAAAATAATAACCTTGAGTTAAGAATACTCAGATGAGCAGTTGAAAAATTTCAGAATAAAACTAGTGATTGAATGACACAACGATCTAATATTTCATATTAAAGTACACTGCTGCAAACTGTTAAAATACAACATCTATTTGCTTAACCATTTGTCATCAGTCATCACACTTACAACCTTGATTATTTGTTGAAATTATTTAGAAAAAAAAAGGAATCATGAATAAATAATATACATGAATCCAATAAGTTGATATCCATTGACACTGAATAATGATTCGATAATAAAAAATATTATTTAAAATAAAGGAATAGGAATATAGTTATGCAAATAAAAAAAAAAATAAAAATTTTCTTAAACTTACGTGTATTCAAAATGCACCAAAATATTATTGATGGTATCGAAACATTTCAAAAAAAACATAACATCAATATATTATGATAAAGAATAAAAGAAAATAATAAACCAGAAATATTAGGTTTACAGTATGAGAATCTTGCATGATTTTTTTTTTACATGAAATAATGGTCTTACTTAAAGTTAAAAGAAAAAAATAACCTTGATGGCCAATGGTATTAGATTATTAGATAATATACTTTTTTATTACAATACTTTTTTTTTGTATAAAAAAAAAAAAAAACCAAAAGAGATAGTGGAGAAGTAATAGCATTTGGCAGTTTATTTCTTGGTGGTCGGATGCGGTTTCACGTTTTCTTCCTTCTTGTGCGTCTCGGTGTTTTGCAATTTGGTAAGCAATTTCCTAGTGTGTCCATTGGGATCTGAATGATTGGTATGCTCGCTAGCTTCTTTCTTGCTCCTATTTTTACCTGCGAACGCGAAAAAACCACGTTACTAAAAAAAAAAAAAAACCAACGCTAACCTCGCCACGCAGCACAACTCCGATAAACCCGTCAAAATCGAACGCTTTATTATTATTATAATAATATTTTCATTTTAATAATTACCACTGTGTCCGCTGTTGACCAGTTTGTCTTGGTCGTAGTTGTACTCTTCGTAATCGTCCACTTCGGTAGAAGACATCGTTAACACTTTTCGAATAGAATAACGACAGAAATTAAATACTCGTTGCGATGGTTGTCAGTCGTGTGCGTTATACTCTTAATATTATATTGTTATTGCGTTCGTTGTTGCCTGATTTTTTTTTTTTTTTTGTTTGTTTCTCTCCACTCCGCGGCTGAGAAACGTTACTCGATCAGCTGTTGTCCGAGATAAGCCATATGGCCGTCAACCTAAAACGGTGACGCCAACTTAACGCGGAGAAAAATGGCTTGGCGACAAAATTACCGTACACTCTGATTTCCCTCCAACGGATATTTCTGAAGTCGACATTATTATTGTAAAAAATATAGACAACATTTGCGGTACACATATTGTGTCGTAACGGAACACATAATATGTTAATTTGTAAATTCCAGAATTTACGATTATTAGTTTCAACTTGACATTGACTTAATAATAATAATAATAGTAGACTAATAAAAAACCGTAATATTGGTTATTTGCAGCAATCCTAGGAGCACTTCATAATTTAGGCAAGGGATTTTGTAATTGACTTTACAAAATTTGGGATATTGGATATAGCGTTTTTTAACTCGCAGAGAAACTTCCTTAGTGTTATTGTATATACTGTACATTTCTTTAGGATAGGTGTCAAGATATTACATAGGAAGTAAGGCATAGGCTTCTTTAAAATCAAGAGTCATATCTATTTGTTATTATTCGCACTAGTTTTTGAGATACCACAACCAAGCCCCGGAAACTGATAAAAATTAGCACAGGGAAGATACTTTTCACACAAAAACGCGGTAGCCATCTTCTTTAGGCTACACCACTATAATGTTACATTTATATCTATACATTAATATTATTTGTTGTGTATAGATATAACAATATGTAATACTAAATAATCCGTCACAAAATGGCAGTTATTTTTTTGTTTACATTGAAAGTGACCCTTCTGTTTTTATCTATTCTGTGATACAACTAGCTGTTACCAGTTACTCGCATAGTTTTTTATTTATTAGTGCTTGCATGGACTTGCATGTTGCTTGACCTGATTAGTGGTCAAATTCAAAGTCTAGTTTTCACGATAATCATTATGCAAGCATAATATCAACATACTGCACTGCATAATATACAAGTTTTAAGAGTAAATTCATATAATACTAATTCGTAAATATACTACTTTTAAATTGTTAAACTATGATAAGTTAACAAATTACAATTTACAACTTATATTAAGTAGTAATAAGCGTTGTGCCATATCTATTCACTAAAACGAGAACCAGTTGGAATACAATTTTTTCCTCAAACTTATTTTAAAATAATTAAAAATATATATTATTCATACTTTAGAAGTATATACTATTTTCGAGGCGTACGGAATGTGCATTTACTTGTGTTTTAGATTATTCCTACCAATACAAATGTCAAATTAAAAAAAAAATATTGTATATTATGTATGATATTTTATCATTTTGGCAGTATTATAATACACAAAATATACATCTATTGAGGTAGTCTAGACTAGTCATTGAGTGCTTTTAACTTACAACTTTGGCATCGGTATAAATTGTAATATTGGTAAATTAAATGGCTACACAGAATTATAAAATTGCCCATTAATAAAAAAAAGGTTATAGACTGCATATTTTATTTTTTTTTGTAATAAGGTATACGTCTATAAAATGTAGATCAAGTAGTAGACGAAGTTATTTCGAAATCGTATATACAGCTGGTCAATGGCCCAAATTTCAAAATAATTGTATGAAAAGAAACTTGAAACCTTATTTACATAGTTTATATTATGCTATATCAATAAAATTAATTTTTTCGCTTGTTTATTGGTTTAAACTATTGTCATTAAAATGGTCAAAATAACTAAATTATGATTTCAGATTTTTATGATTGTTGTTTTACCTATATTAAATTTAGTAATTCATTTGGTACAGACAAAGTCCAAACACACTTGCTTCATTAATAAACATCTAAAATTGTATATCAAATACACTTAGCACACTTATCCATCGAAATATTTTTTAAATAGTTCTTATTTATAAAAATGAATAACTAAGTACAGATTGATTAAAGATTTGTATACACATACAATATGTTATTTACAATATTTTCGGACACACCCTGCACCCATACTTATGGTTTGATTTTAAAAACGTTGGCGAAGCCTAACTGTAACTATGACTGTACCAGAAACAAATAATAATGTAAAAATATAATAACAGTTGACGTTAAAGTAGGTTTAAAAAAATATATAATTTAGCAATACTCAAAATAACAACGATTATCGTTCTCACTGCCTAATTACCGGAGTCCATTATTATCGGTTGTTTTATATTAATATATCGTGATGGAAAAATTAGTGAAACAATTGCATATTTACATAATGAACTGTCAAAAGGGTTGTCAGTGACACTATATTATACTAATCAGTAATATAGATTATATTATAAGAATAAAAATTAAAAACAAAAATATAAATATACACATTATGTCAAAGCAATGAATAAATAAAATAAAATAACAAAAAAAGTAACTAATCAAACAAATAAAAGTTACAAGTATTTATTTATTATGATATAGATCTTGGGAGAGATGATCAAACTGTGATAGTAGGCAAATAATTATGCTACGATATTGTACTAAACTATATTTTTATAATACAGGTACATTTTTGGTAAGAAATTCCACTATGCGAAAGGAAAACGGAATCAATGATCTTAGCAAAACTTAATGCAACGTTTAGGTTGTCAATGTAATATGGCTAACGCATATTGGAAATGTAACTGAGTTGGCAAAAACTCAATTAAAAAAAAAAAATCCAAACCTATATTTTTGGTTAACACCAAATATTTAATGGGTTCAAATAAAATAACCAGTAGGTTTATTTTAACTTTCTTTTTTCGATAACTCTAAATTGTACAGGGAGGTAAATGGTAAGCTATAGCAGGTAAGTACATACTAAAACCTATAATACATTTATACATGTATTTCGTTTTTTATACATTATTCTTTAATTTACGACATGGTATTATTTATAGCGGACAAATCGACATCGTCATTCCGGCGCAGATGCCGTTGGTCGTTTTCGCTGTTTTCCTTCTGCCTTTGTTGCAGCGACAAACGTAGCGGCTTCTTGGGCGGCATTGGTCGCCTGCCTGCGGAATGTTCCGAATCGTAGTTAAGTGACCGGCTGGGATGAGGCGAACCGCCGGTGGTCAGGTGCGAGTAATAGTCGTTGCTCTTGAGCCGCTGGTCCGCCTCTAGGTCTAGCGACCGGACGCTGCCGCCGCTGCCGTAGTTCTGCGGCAGGTAAGGGGATCCGGACGACTCGGAGTCCAGGAACCGGAACAGCGTCTGCTGGGCCTCGCGAATGTGCCGCGTCCGGCTGCTGCGGCCCGGCGGACATTTGTTTCGTTTGGGCGAGACGGCCTGTAGGTCGTCGAACGACTTGGCGGCCACCACTGCGTCGGAGGCGGACGACACCAACGACTCGACGGACGCCGAACTGCCGTAAAGCCGGGGCACGGTGCGGATGCGCGTCTTTACGGGCCCGTCGTGCGGCAACGGCGGCTGCGGTCTGTCGTCGTACACCACCTGCTTGCGCTTGTACTGCTGGATGGCCGACACGCCGTGCTTGGGGCTCTTGCTGCGCACCATCGCCGAGTTGGAACCCCGCTGGAACAGCACGGGCGCCGCCGACGACCGGGTCTTCATTAGCTCGGACACCTGGTCTTCCAGGTAGGACACTCGGTGCGACAGTCGCAAGTTTTCGGTCTTGTACGCTTGCCTCGACCGGTCCGTATCATCGGCCCGCAATCGGCACTCGCCCAGCTCCCGTTTCAGGGCCGCCACTTCAATCTGGTCGACCGTGGGCCCGTCGTGCATGACCACAACGCGAACCGACGACGGGGTCACTTCTAGCAAACGGTTGAGATCATCCTTTTTCCTCATCGACAACACTACTTTGCCGTTCACCTCCAGTAACCTTTAAAAAACAAAAATCAGATTCACATTAAACAACGTACTTGGTTACAATATATAAATACATTTATATCTAGATGTGTATTAGGATCGTCGTTGTATGGGCTTTTGGAGAAGTTTTATTGTTGAGCCTTGAAAAACGGTTCCAAACATTTAAAAAAAAATACTCAAAACTTTATGGGATTTTTATTTAAAACTTTTCGTCTCACTAATTGAGCAGAAAATTTTGAATAAATGCAATTTTTTCGTTTTTTTTAATGTGCTTTTATTTTAACAATATTACAGCACAACAATTACGAATCAATATATAATAAAAATATTTTAACAACTATAAAAACAATAAAAAAATGCGAAAAGAAACAATTAAATAAGAAATCCAGCTTTGGAAAGAAATGAAATTAGAGGACAAATGCAATTATAATCCCACTAATGGTGTCAAATTTTTATTTATGGACAGTCCAAAATTAGCATTATCAATTTCATTATTATCTTTTCAATAACAACTGTAACAATAACAGGCAATAATATGCAGACAGGTTTATAATATAGCAACTGTCAGCATGGGTAGAAACAACTAGTACAAATTTACTTAATTTCCTATCTACTTATGACCGAGTACGTGTTCGAATAGTAAGGTTCGTAAGATCAAGATAGAAAAAAAAACGTCAAGTATTTCGAATTGATCTTCTCGAGGCTAAAAGCATATCCATGATTTAATTTGTTTCACGATAAGAGAGATACATTTTTTACGTTAAAAACGACAAATTCAAATTTAGGCGGTCTAATTTACTTAGTTTGCAATTATCAAAAATTACAAAAAAATTCATAAAAGTTAACGTTTTTATTTTCAAAATAATGGGTATTTTAATTGTTGTTTTCCGTAAGAGCCTTTGTTAATTTAAGAGTATTTGGACAGTACCTGTCTCCTTTGGTGAATCCCGTACCGTCGACGGTCCATTCGACGAACAGTCCTGGTTTGTCTTGGCCGGACCCGACGCCAAACCTGGGACTCTTCGGGTCGTATTCGATTTCTATCGCCCGCAGACTCATCACGGTGCCCGGATTCGATGTCAGGTAACTGCGAGGCAAAAACAAAGGGAAATGGTTACCATAATGTCGACCAAAGCAAACGGGAAACCATATCCGGGTACTCACTTGTACAAAGTGTTGTTTTGATTTTGTTCGTCCATTTGGTCGATCTCTTCGAGGCGGCATTTGTGTTTGCCGGTCTCTTCCATCAGGCTCAACAGGTTCAGCTCTTCTCTGCCCAACTGGTATTCGAGTTCTGCATGTTGAATCCTCGTGTCGATGTTGCTGCGAACAGAGAAAAACGCCATTTAAACGTCAGTCTTTCGGTGGCAATTATTGTCACTCGAGTGTTTTTAATTTTATACACAGGCGGACAGTCTCTTACTCGGTGACATCTAATTGGTCCAGCGACAGTTTGATGTTTTTAATGGCCAATCGTTTCTGGTCCATATCGTTTTTCAGACTTTCTATTTTCTGGGTCAACGATTGTTTTTCACTTTCGTTGACCGTATCGCTGTTGCAGCCGCCGTGCTGCTGCTGATTGGTTTTGTTTTTCTGATGGTGCTGCTGCTGTTGCTGCTTCTCCTTCTCATCCTCCTCCTTTTCGCGACCACGGTTTCCGTTGACTAGATAATGTTGGTTGATCGGCGGTTTAATAGTACTGGGAAAATAAAACATTTTTTTTTTTTTTTTTTATAAATATAACCGATTTTTATTCATCAGACGTTAGTCAACACTTACACGTTGTTGCGGATAATGTTTTCTTTGTCGTAATTACTGTCCGCGTTCTTGGTGTAATTATTGTTGTTATTGATTTTCACTGGGGGGTTGCCGGTTTTTTGGGCAACTTGCATCGTGGACGACGGAGGCAACGGTTGGGGGCTGACGGGCGTGGAACTCTTTTTAGGTCTCTTCGACGTTGTCGACAGGGATACTTCGATGCTGGCCATCTAGACATGTTATTATTGTGTTTGTATTGTTGGTTTTTGTAGCAGAAGGTCTTACAATATCGATGAAAAATCGCCATTAGACTGCCGCGGTAAAAGTAGCACATCAGAATATTATTTAAACGATTTTCGGTTTGCTTGGAAACCGTTTACTATAGCCTCGAAATGAGTGAAGTTTTCAAACTTATTGAACTTCTTTTATTGACAATCATATTGTTGTTTTGTAGTCTTTTTAGTCTTTTACACTTTGATAACATTTCAAACGTCCGAGTACTACTGCATAGTGCAAATTCGTGTTCATAACTAATTGACGGAGCTTTTACAAGCAAAATTATTGATAAGCGTTTGAAAATCCGTTCTATCGAATATCAAGCCGAGGATAAATCACCGGTAGTCAAACGGAACACCTCGATTGCGATTAATGTCGTGCATGGCCAAAAGACCATAGTTTTCGAACTATGCACTATGCAGTAAGTACTCGGATCTATCAAAGTTCAAAAGAATATTCGAAAAAAACTTCGAAACAACTACATACGCCGACAATATGATTGTCATTATAACATATGATTATTATGCTTTAACGATAACCAGGAAAATATTATGTTACAAAATCAACTCCGTCCCAACGTTGTGTTTGTACGGGGCCCCGACAACAGTATCGAATTCGAAAATGTTTTTTGTCAATATTCAATTTCTAAACACCGTTCTTCGGTTAGACCATCAATAAAATACGTTTTTGGACTAATCAGTAAATGGCATAATCCCGAGTATTTTTTTTACACGAGTCCAAAAAATTTCACGGAGTTCCACCGAATTCGGATGACGTAACAATAAATTGTTTAATCGCCAACAAATGTATTTTAGCTGCCTCTAGTTAAGTTTAATCATTTCGTTTTACCTTTGCTTCCAGGGTCTCGAGCTGTGTCAGTCTAGGTTCCATGAATTGGGTCTGCGGCGGATGGTGCAATGAACCCTGGAAAACAGTTTAACACAAATTGTTAGACCGTATAGCAGTTGCATACAAATAATTATACAATAAGCATATAATATATTAGATAGGCCTATAGAAAAGAAAATATAGATTTCGTATTATCAATTGTTAAAAATCAAAAGTTCAAATATTGTTATTTTCTATAACAATAGTAATAACGTACATGTGACAATTTCTTAGTATTTTTTTTTTCCTTACAAAGGAAAGTTGAATTTGGGGTTTGAATCAATATTTCTCAATTTGTCTGTACAAGACAAGTTTTTTTTTACGTTTTTGTGATTTGGTTTGGAGTTAATGTACTATTTTAAAATTTCTAATGGGGGTTTTTGTGTGCAAAAGACAATTTATGGATCACATAATATTATCATAAATAACATTATCCAAATAAGATTGAGTTATCCAAATTAATACAGTTTTTAATTATACGTTTTCAAATAAAATTAGAGTTTTTTTATATTCTATATTAAATTAATTCACTATGTACTATGTAATATATCAAGCAATTAACGTTGTTTTGCATAACACAATCGATTCAAGTTTATGTAACTGAAATACCCACATATTATTATCATTATTTTATATTATGTCTACATTTAAATTAGAGGCGTCTGCTCTCTGTACAATACACTTTCAACCGATCGCTATCGCAAGTATCAAACAATAAAAGTTTTATTAATTACACCGTTTATCTCGTTTAATTAATCATCGACCATTGAAATCTAAAATTATATTACCAAAACACAGTACCATTTTTTTTTATCATACTAGTTGTATAACTTAGAGGACCTATGCGCCTTATTTTAATAACTTTTGATTGATGCTACAGTTTTAAAACGATCGAAACCGGTCGTTAATAATAAGGGGGAAATAGAGGCAATATATGTTTAAACCCCAATTTCAAAAGAGGATTGGTTTAAAAATTAACTTTTGAAAGATTTTTAGACTTGGATAGCTTGATCAGTGTTTAAAAAAAAGAGGCAGCATTATTTTTGTACCAGTGCAGTGATAATATACAATTCTGATAATCACATCATTGGTTTTTATAGTAATGAATAATTACTAATGATAATTTTGTGTTGTGTAAATGTCCGGCCCCAAACTAATTGAGGTTTAAGTACTGATTCATAAATGCATTATCAAAATATTACCACATTTATTTGAGATTTGGGTCACATTTGGTTTTAATTGGACAAATCCAAACTTGGATAACGTTAGATCATAATACCTATTATTGTTGTGTAACGTGATTAATGCGTTCCGAATGTTGGGTTATTATAAATGTATAATACTATTGAAATGTAATGTGTTGTTGCCTTTTTGTAGGTTATGTTTGAAAAGTTTTTGGTGCGTTTAAAAACGATTCGTTGCGGTTACACCACACATACATACTATAATTTCTGGTAAAACCTATTAGCTATTTTAATTATATCATTTAGTAAATTATGAGTAGGATTTTTTTTCCGCGGTCATCTTGATAAAAATTGTTATCATGTACATAACATAATATAATATAACTTGAGAAATAGTAAAGTATAAATTGTGTTACTTTTGATGTAAAATATTTTATAATAACCGTGAAAAGTAATAGATGCTGTCAACCCAACAGCAGTAATAAATCGCATTCGATCCGTATACATTTAGATATTATATTTTTTTTCCTTTGACTTTATATACCATATAATAATATTATTATGTACATTCTCAGATATTAATGATACACAAATCCGAAAACAGGTTTTTGGCGGATAGACTCGAGATGTTATTCCATAACGTTTGTCCCTCTACCGTGGCATAGGTAATAGATATACCATAATATCACAATAATAATAATAATTCTATGTGCCTAATTATGAAATTACACTGTACACGGTCACGGTTCTTTCTATAATCAGAAAATGAATAATAATATCTAGCATAGTTTACCTACAAATTTTATAAAAAATCTAGATTTCTTCTACTATTGCTTTTAGATATTCTGATATATTACACTTAAAAAAACAATTTTATCAGGTAAAAAACAAGACATTTAAAAGCCATAATAGAAGAATTCTAGTTTTTTCCCTAAAACTGTTGGGCCATACTATACAATTTTACTACTTATTTTCTAAAAATTTGAATATGACCACTGGTTGGGTCTAGTTGTAAGTACCGGACGAGTGTCTGCACTCTTGACTAAACAGTTTGATAGACTATTATATTAAAAAGTATACATTGTGCAATCTGTTTCTCCAACATGGCTGTTATATTTTCGTGCAATGCGATGACAACACTGAACTGAAAGACAATGACAAACATCTGTTGAAAAGTCAAACGAAAACTCGCGTGTGTGTGTTTGTTTTTATTTAGTATTGTATATGTATATATATATATTTTGTAATTCGCTCTGTGACTATACCGGAAACCGTATGCGATTTGAAGTCCTCGAGGCTACGAGCGTTGCGACATGGGAAAGCGACCCAAAAAATAAATGTTACAAAAATACAGTAACAAAAAAAATACTAAAACACATAATCGAATTTTACTAAACTTTGTAACGTTAACCATAGCATCGCCTTTCTACTGTAATATAAAACATATCGAAATAGGACCAAAGTACAGTTAGGTCGGATAAAAAAATATAATTTAAAAGTTCAAGTAAACCTAAATACTAATAGCGGTTATTTTACTGGGCGATTAAAATAAATAATTGGACATTGTGGTATTTGAAATAAATGTATATTTTTATTTTTTATTTACAATAAGACTCAATGGAACAAAGACGGATAGATTTATAATAAACTCTAGTTTGTGTTCCGTTTACTGGCAAGTACGGTTTATGATTTATACGAGGAAACTGGAAACGGAAAGCGTAACAATCAATCAATAGTGCAGTGCGATTCGGGTTGCCGGCTTGAACGGAATACATCATAATTAAAATTGACGAGTAGATAGGACGAAGTGCAATAATAGTAATAATAATAAAACACAAGAAGAATGCCGATAAAATACATCTTCGGATTCCGTTATACTCGCTTGTACAGTGTCTGCGCCCATTGCTTAACCCAATTATACGTTAGCGGTGTAACAATTATAATATATTACATATACCTAATATATATATATATAAATTACTTGGAACCGTTTCCCACATACTTTTACGACCGATTAAAATTGCGCATACATTATTCATGAGAAGATCGCGCTCTGTTAGACATAAATGTAGAAAAATAATAACAATTAAAACCGCCGAGGTCGAACATTACTTCAAGTCGAGTGACTTGAAGCGCTTTTAAAGTGTTTTGGAGTCGCTCGGACAAAACGTTTACAGAACACAATAATTACTGTCCACCAACAGTGTTATCATTGTTGTCGCAAAGTTACGGACTCGTGTTTCCTATTGCACTATGACAAACATAAAAATCATTTTATTCGTTTTTTTATCAAACAATGCTGGTAATTCGCAGTCATAACAACGTGTATATTCAAAGGCATTTTGAGTTTGATAATAAACTGGTATATAATTATACCTAGGCAAAGTGATCAACTCATAAACGCACAATTGGTCGTGCGCAACTTTTGTGTATTTGTTAGTAATTATCATTTATCATTTACGCGGTGTTATGTTTGTTTAGACAAAATCAACATTGTTAAATATATTTGAAAAATGTCTGATTTGACTGTATCTATATTGGTTTTAAATGTTGTTGGACGAAACCAGGAAATTGTTTTAATGGCTGAATGCAATTAATAACTATTGGAGATTGGACTGAAAACCATGATTTCTAAAATATCCGGATATCCGGATTGACAAACTATCAGGATTTGCACATTTAATTGGTTAATTCGTTTTTAATCCAAATTAAATAATTATACTATCGCTGCAAAATGTGTATATGTCTACGTTTATTTAAAACAATTATATTATTAAACTTAATTATTCTTTTTTAGGTGTTGTTAATTTTAGACGGTGGTAGGGTTTTTACAGTTGAGGAATGGCTCTGTCAAGCATCTGTTTCGGAATGTAGTATTCTATGAGCTGTCCTGTGAGGGTGATAGTCTATTTTTGTAATTACCTTGCTTTAGCACACTATTAATAATTAAGATGCTGCCACAGACACGATTGCTACACGACTGGCAATGTTTGGGTGATTATATAAGCACCCTTGTAAAACCCTCACTAGTATAAAATATGCTATTCGCTGTTATTTAAAATTGTTAAAAATACATGTATTTAAATACTCGAGCAAGGCGAGCGCACTTACCAACGATATTGTCCTTTGCGGTGACATTTTGGCCCTTTGGTCGACGGCCGCGACCATTTGACTGGCGTACAAGTTGTTGTAGATATCCGCAATGGTCGAGTTGTTCTTCTTCGACGACCTGTAACCACAGCAAGTCGCATATGAATGAGCTGGTTTAATAAAAAATAAAATTTTGCATTTTTACACGCGCATTCTACACATTATACCGGTCGGCGTAACTGCGTTATAATTGCATCTACGTTTGAATAATGTATAATAATACCTACAATGTTATGTGTACCCCTCCATAAAAAAAACTAGCAACATAAAACTTAATCGGATTTCAAGGTAAAAAAAATCCTAAATAATAATAACGATAATAGTTAATAATAATCGGCAGGTATAATACATAATAATTGGATGTACACGAGTTGGGAAATTTAACCTATAGGAATCTCCAGACCGTAGGTATAATCTTTTTGCAGCTGTAGGGCAATATGTGTGAGTGTGTATGTAATACTAGCATGTCAAAATTATTGCTGTATTTTTACACATATTATTATTGTTGTTATTCGATATTTTCATATTTGTGTTTTATCTGAATAAAATCAGAGAGTCTTAGTCCGCACGCCGTAGCATAATCCCATATAGTGCGGTTGCCAAGGCTGACGACGACGGTGAAAACTCAACGTCTAACGCTGTAAGGTCGTGACTCCAAAAAATATTTCATTATAATTGAGGCGTTATAAGCAAAAAAAAAACGCAGGTATAGTACACGGGATCACCTATTCTTGTTGTGTATACACCTTTTTTTTGAAACGAAACCACTCAATTACAAGTTAGGTGGTGTACATTGATAGGACGGTAGGACTCACTCGATGCGGAATATATATATTTTGCGCCTACACATAAACCAATGTCTATTAAAATCAAAGTTCATAAAGTTCACGGTTTCACGATCATTATCGAAAAGTCCCGAATTAATTAGTCAACATAATTTTCTAGTTGATTGTTGTTATGAGTAATGAGCACAAAAGTGCACTTTCACGGCCAAAATCATACATACAGTCAATCAAACAGTCCCTATGTTATAGTGTTTAGCATTGCTGTCCATAAAAACAAAAAGGCATAACAGCCTTGCACTTTAGAAAATAGGAATATTATTATTTATTAATATCTTTAAGCGGTCGTGATACCTACATTTAGCATATTATTATTGTAACGCTAAAAAGTCGATTCATTCATTTTATACAAGCAATAAACATTGTGATGAACTTAATGATAATTTTGCAAACCGGTTTAGAAAAATATTAATTTTGTCTAATCCATTTAATCGTTTAATCAATAAAACTAACGAAAAGTAATTTAGTTATCACGATTTCGACGAAATAGAATGTTTGCATGTTAAACGCTAATATTATAATACTAATTAAATCTGAAATTGCACTCGGGCCCGCCTTTTCCTAAAACCTTTTGATATTTTCTTGTAGTTTTAATCTATGTTAATTATACCTTTTAATTGATTTGCACTGCTGGATAGGTTATATTTTTAATTTGCAGGAATATTATTTTTTAATTTTTATATGGTAGTCGATAATGCGGTTAATGTGTTTAAAAATTAAAGCTATTAGCTTTATAAAATGTCCAATACTAGTTACACGGCAAGAGTTAAGTTTTATTATGTTTTATAGGAGACGCTACAAATTGTACGTATTTCCTTTTTCAGTCGAAAGAAAATATGAATGATTAAAAACACACAATGACACACTTATAGTTTGTCATTGGGTTCATCAGTAGAAACCTATACAAATATTAAATACAATTTTGATAGAAAATGGTTAAGTAATGATTTTTTTAGTACACTTTTGTAATCACCTTTTGCCACATCTTCTTAGCAAGTTGAAGTCACTAATTTGAGAAGCCGTAGAACTCATGACATAAATTCTGGGTCCTAAAAAAACATATAGAAAACAAGACAATTAGTTAATTGTGTAATAAGTCGTCAAGTCTAAAACAATCATGTTTTTAATAGTAGTTCTATTGACTGCTGTTTGTTAATGATTGATTATATTGATATTGTTAATATTGGCCGTAATACATACAACATTAGTGATACTTTAAGTGTCGTTAAACAGTGCCAAGAGCGTAACCTGACAAGTTTTTGGTTTTTTTTTTAAACCGAGTTTTGATCCCACAATACAGCGTTTTGCGTTTAGGTCGTATTACATTGGGATATTACAGTATATTTGTCTTGCAGCTATTATTATACGTATACTACATGTATTATATTCGTATAAAGCTATTCGTGACCGGACGAATTATTATGTTCGTCGGATATTTCAACATTTCTTCTTCTCCTCCACCACAGTATCACGCACAAGACTTAACTCCTACTCTACCTCACCCAACACATACTCGACAGACACACACATGAAGTTTTTTTGTACCATGTCCGAAATGAAACGATTGTGCGGCTTCAACGTATCATCAAACAATATATTATTATACACATACATATTACACAGCCTATGTAATATTGTTATGCATAGTGTAGCCGGTGCAGTGACATAACACACATTTCGATTGCTCGGGGCAAATTCAAATTTCTACTTAACAAGATGAAAATATATTAATAGACAATAGAGGAATATGTGTGCGTATATTATAATGAGATCTATAAAAAAAAAAGGTCGTGTCGATTGTGAGAGTGTATGTATCGGTATATGTACCAAACCAAACGAACAACAGGTACAATAGTACTTTTACATTTTGACTACATATTATTTCCTAATCTAATATGGTACTCTCGACATGATAACGGATCGCACATGATAACAGCTCTCTTATCATTCGCGCTTCTCCGACGTTACAAGTTCAAAATTACAGGAACAGGATAGCAAAATAAAAAATATATATACAGTATTGTATAATCGACGGTCATTAGTGTTTAGTGTGTTTCGAAAATTGTAAAATAAATGCAGGTAATAAAAGCTAATACTGACAGATTTTATATGCCTGACCAAACACTTGTTTTGGAAAATATTATAACTATTGTATCGTTTTGAGTTAATACATTTAAATATATTATTTCAATTTGAGATCACCAAAAGTCTAATTGCGCGATACCTGAGCGAAAATTACCTGTATGGTGCCATGAATGTAGCGAAAATGTAATCTAATATAAAAAATAATATATTATATCTATTCATATAATAATTATACATGCATTTAGATAGCCCTACATGTGCTGCAGTTTATATTATGTAGTTTTTTTAAGTGTACACAGAAAACATATTATACATTCAGAACTGATATATTATCATAAAATAATAATAACGATATTTATCAAGTAGTATGCTAAGCTAGTCTTGTGAGGGCCGGTCGTACTCGTCCAGATCGTGACTAAATTCAATTATTATTATTACTGAAGTTATGTTAATAGCTAGTACTGACCGTAAATATTATTATAGATCAAATAGATTCTGACTCGCACACGATTCGAGTAGGTATTTTAATACTCTTATTTTCACCTCGGATAATACTTTTGTCACGCCTATTATTGTTTATGCTAATGAACTTTTTAACGATATTTGAGTTTTTAAAAATAATAATTAAAGCCATTTTTTTCCACAGATGTGACAGGAAAAAAGAAATACATTAAATAATATGCCTTATTAATTCTGTAAGTAATAGAGATAATTCACTTCAATGTTATATTATTATGAGTGAAGTTGCTAACAGATTACATTTGTTTTCAGGAGTTTCGACGTTCAGTTACAACTAAAAACTCGTCTCGAAACATATTTTTTATTTTTATCGATCAAAATTGAATTAACAGAAAATAGGTTAGTATTTAAAAACTTATATTTTTGTTATAGTTAATTTCCTTTATATTTGCCTATGTTACACTATCTATTATAAGTAAATGCGTGAGATCAGATAGATGGAGATATAACAAAATCCTTAATAAAGAATCTTCTTTAAGATTGGTTCGAACGACACGATTATGCTAAGTGATGGAAAATAAAATACCATAAGTAAGCCATTCGGCCAACCGGTTTTTTATTTGGCTTAAAATTAATGGGATTAATATATATTTTTTCTAAATGAAACATTACATATATTCTACGGTTTTAGTGAAAACTCGGTTTGTGTTCTTATTATAGAAACAGTAACTAGTAACGCCACGTAAAATAAAATTACTTATTTCAATTTGCCATTCGAAAAACATACAGACAATTAATAAAAAAAGTAAACGATAATTCTATCATATTTGTTTTTTTAGTTGTAATAATAATATTTTAGTAGATAGGTACCTACAAAATAAGAAATAACAAATTTTCAATAATGTTTGAAAATTAAGTACAAACTGAAAAGAAACACGTACCTATTTATACCTCTAAAAATCTACCCTCAGAACACTTGGAAAATATTAAATGGTTAACTTTATTCATCAATGTAACAATGACTGGTATTTTCTCTTACAGCCCACTTAAGAACATGATATATATTTGGTAAAGATTGTACAACTATTTTTGGTAAAATTCAACTACTGTCGCTATATGAACTTAATCAAACAGTTGGTGGGCCAAGAGGAAAAATACAAGACTTGTTCGAACGCGGCATCTCAGTTGTACAATAATTCCAATATAACGTTGTCAATATCGATAAGTACAATTTCGGTTAGGTTAGGTTTTTTTTATCGCAATCCTCTAATAGTATTCGACATATCCATAATTACCCCCTCGTTCAAATAAATGTGTAAATTTATTTTGGTGTAAGTGAAATACTTGGGAAAAAATGGTATTTTTTGAAAAATTATTGTGCTTATATGAATAGTATGACCATGATTCTAAAGAAAAAATTGTCCAACAAGGTATAATTATCTCTACTTTTTTAGAACAGAGTACAGAATTCTCATTTTTTTTTTTTAAGTATATGTTTTAATTGAGACAAAAGTTTTGTCACAATACCCTAGTTAGAGTAGTAAAATGGAAACTCCTTGGTAGTTTATACTTGTCTCCTAGCTCGGACTCCTCTGGAGATACACAGGAGTCATTTGTGCAGTGAGGGTATTGGTGTATATAACCTAAGTCCTAACCGACTTGTGTATAGATTTTTGTATACACTGCATAATGATGGACCTCGATCACGACTCGTGCACAAATATGGATTTACCGTGTGGACGCTAGGTAATAATTCAATGAACGCTCCGCCGAGATTCCTTCGTGGAGGTCGATCATTACCGACAACAGGTTTTTTGAACTTAACCCTCTGTTATAATATATATATATATAGGTATGAAACCGACAGCAGCAGGCAATACGTCAGGTCGTACCCCGTACAGTGTTATGGTACTCCTAATTGCAATAATTGTCCATCGACACATTCCTCAACGGCGCACGCCGATCGTTTCTACGTCAGAATTGAGAACAATTATAACTGTTTTGCCATACACAATTTGTACACATTTAAACTTATTGCATTTAGACTGAGAAAACGGAACAGCTCTTTTCGTTTGCGGTTCGCGTGTGTTGCAATGTAAACGACGACCAAGCTTAATAACATACAGCAGAGGACTTTCCCACGGGATACAAACGGCATGTGTCCTCGGCCGTCAGGAATTCGGTTACACAATCATTCATACACGGTTTTATTTTTTTATTTTTGCTGTGCAATACCCGAAGACTGTAGCAAACAAGTCCATATAGTAACTTGGCGAAATTACAAATAATTATCAATTTTATGGATGTAATGGGTAGAACGCATTTATCATTTTTGTAGTGTGTGTAAAAATTAATAAAAGCCACTCAACAATATATTATTTTTTCCTAATCGGTTAAACATTTGATGCACCAATCATATTTTATCGAAAAAATATTATGTAAGAAATTAGCAACAGTTCCTAAAAGCAATGTAGTCACGCAAAGTAATTTAATAATGAAATTAACTTCTTAGCTTTCAGCATTTTGTAGGTTACGACTTTTGATAAATTTATAAACTACCTTGTTAATCGGGTCAAATTTAATTATAAACTAAGCTATTTGAAATCATAAACACTTATTGTTAAGAAATTATCAGTAATGAATTTATGTTTTCATAAAACATTTAATACATGGTATGAGTAGTGTGCTCAGATAAAAGATACATTACACTGCTCTTTTTCCCAGTTTATTATTTTATTTATTAATCGAAAAGGAGTTCCTTTAAAACTGTCTATTGAACATTAAAGTTTTTCAGTAAGTCGAATGAGCTTTTAAATAATTGTGATACCACAAGAGTATAGTTTCGTATCGTCATGTCAGTTATACATTTATTGTTGTTGTTTACTTTTAGTTCCGACTTCTGACTTGGCGACTCTCGCCGGGTCATCGCTCTCCGCCGCCGACGTCTCGGACTAGGAAAATAATTATCACATAAATATTATATTGACATTAACAACTAGATTAGTATGTTAAGCAATTGCCTCAGCCACTGTGAACCATTCTCGACCTATTTTTTTTATCGTTGCACGTCAATGTTGGTCAAGTGTATTTTAGTAAAAAATAGAGATGAAGATGCGAATCGTTTTTTGGTTTATAGAAGAGCTTAGTTAAAACTATTCTAGTTAAACAATTTACTAACAATATTTAAACGGTATTACAATATTGATGTAACTGTCATTCTTATGAAATCCTCCGATTTTAAAATCTCAATATTTTTTTTTTCATGCCTTTTATTACATTTTCATACACATTCTTTACTTCCTTCGTTTGGCAACGTTTGTAGGGTGCTAAAACGGGGTTGACGATTATCTTGTGCGTTATATCGGATCGTACTCTATCTAAACAGATCATCTTCTGGAATGCGTTGTCTGCCGTACGTTTATACACATCGTGTGTGTATATAAGTAGGTACTTGCATCGGTGCATGAGCGTTGGTATATTATTATATTTTCTGCGGTAATTGCCAGTCAGCAGCAGCAGCAGCAGCAACAGAAGCAACACACATCAATCATCGCAACCCAACGCTAATGATGAGGACGCGTCGACGACGAAAACGCACAACGAATACCTTTTCAATCGTCCAAAACACCTATCTGTCGAAAGACATCACACCCACCCCATCTCCTCGTGGAGCCATTTATCGACCGAACGAATCGCATAGATTTGCTGGTAAAAATACCAGACTTGCCTAAAACGAAGCACCAAGAGCGTTGGAAAAAGTTCATCATCGTTTACAGACAATAATAATGACCGTCAGACTTCATCGCCGGACGACCTGCTATATTCGACCGATCGTGTCGGATTCTTGAATGAAATAATAATTGGTAAGAGAATATTATCATCTATTTTTATGGCCGTCTTTTCTTCGACCTACATGCGCAAACCAGTTTTTCTCAAAACATCTCGCAGTTCCGAGTCCAACGCCACTTTATTATGAATTATTATTAATATCATACAGCTTAATATCAAATAGCTGCATTTGTGACGTGTAAAAAGTAAAGCACACGAGATCTATGCCGGAGTCGAGAAATCAATAAGATCTTCGTCGGATTTCACATTTTGTTTCTGGGCATTATCGGCGAAAAGAAACAGATCAAAAGATTGGTAGAATTGCCTCTCGGTTTATCAAGATGGTCATTTATTTCACGGTTTGCATTTATTATTTTTTCCCTAATGATAAGTGTCAACTTGTAATTGTATAGACAAAATAATAAATTACTTGTTATTAAAAATAAATTGACTGGTCGGTTGAATTGATTAAAAAAACTATTATTTTCTAATACAATTTATCAATTTAACTATTCACTTGTATAATTACTGATAATTATTAAGGAAGTTAGTATACTTTATAAAACCATTGTAATTAATTTAAACTCGAATGAAAGTTCGGTTTTGGAATTTTCCCCTTAGTATTGTTTCTCTTCGCCATACATAAAAAGAAATTTTAAATAGATTGCCCAGTGTTTTCAAGGGTTCGATACGTTTCTTGGTTAGGTAATTCAATAAAAACAATATCATGTAAAATACTTCACTACTCGTTCTTGTAGGCGTAATTTATATTTTAAAATATACATTTTATCATACACTACATCACACATTTTAATTGATAGGTTCGTTAAAAATAAAAAGATGCGTTGTGTGAAAATGTTTGCGAGGAACCCGTGGAGCGTGTATTTTTATTTTTATGAAAAACGATAAATTCCTGAAACAATGTCAGTGCGAATGTTGTTCGCACAAAGTATACTTCTGCTTTTGCATACAATTATGTTAAGTACTCGTTTTCTTTGCATACGATTAATATGCATTGTGTAAATACTACGGAGAGATATCGAACAGTCTAGAATTACACTGGTGTGTACACAACAGTATACATTAGCATAACCGTTTAATAACACACGAGGGTAACTAACGAGAAAAAAATTACTATATTATTTTAAAACCAGTATGGCGGATGTGCGGGGTCGACCCGTTGACTCATTGTGCTCAACCGGAACACTAACCGGAAGCAAACATATTTCCTGGTATAAGGGTTGAGGGGTTGTTATTAGATCCGGCCTGTTGAAATCCATAATAATCTTGTACAATAGTCATTATTATCCCGACTTATTAGCTATTGTTATTACTCACAAGACGTTGAGTAATTATTTGAGTACTTCATTACTTTTTTTTGTTTTTAATTATGCAGTTTAATGGGATATTATAGTGGCTGCTTTAACAATTTGTCGAGTATTTATATTTATAACAAACGAAACAAAAATATAATACAAACCCTAATGTTAAAATTAAATATTTGAAAATGACAAAAGTCGATATGCACTATATACACAGGAAACCATTAGTTTTAGTCGTTTAAAGTAGGTTTATAATTTTAGCTTCGACGCGGAGCAGCGATGATGCTATTGGTTTTTAAAATATATGTTTTATTTAATAAATATACAGTTTTATACATACCTCTTTGATCGATCTATAAATTGGGAAGAAACGTTGCAGTAAAAATTGTAAATGGATCAAATGTTCCGTACAACCTGTAATTAATACATAAAATAATATAGTTAGTTAATGTTTTAATTAACAAAGGGAAAAAAATAATTATTATGTTAAATTCGGGTAGTGTCAATCTACAGGGATTAGTACTCATCATTTGAGCTATTTATATAGTATCTTTGTCGGTTGTTCTTGCAATAAGCTAGGTTACGACGACGGAAACCCTATTATGTCTTTTCATTAGCCATTTGTTGTTGTTCGGGTCAATAACTCCTATCGGTTTTTCATGAGTAGCTCTTTAGTCGTTATTTAAATTTGTATTGTTCATCTAATAAAGGGTTCTTTTCTTTATTTCTTTGGTTTCCATCATTAATCGAGGGTATTATCAAATAAGTGCAATCACGCATTGCACGTCTGAAAACAAACAGCAGTATGACGAGCCTTATGGGTTTGGTGAACCGCAAAATTAATTGTAAAACGTCTGAAGTAGTTTTTTATTTACTATTTTCTTTTTCCAAACCAAGTACAGTCAGAGTAGGAGACTTTTATAGGAACTTACAAGGGGTGAGCTATTACTAGGGGAAATATTTCCTATCGTTTTAACACAAAAAAACGCTTGAAAAAAAAGTAAAAATTGTTGTGCATTTTATTCGAAAGTATGATGACAGATGAATAAAATGCAGACGTACTTAAATGAGGTTTTTTGTTTAAATTGTAAAAAATACCTTATTGTTCAACGCGTATATATATATGTAGTAATTCATAATTGTAAATTTGTTGATTTTGTAGTTTAGAATTCTGTACTATAGTCTAAGAACTTTGACACAGTTAAAATAGTTAAAACTTAAGCCCACTGTGTTAATGCTTTGGAATTTCATTGAGAATTCAACGTAGGAACCTTGGCGGTGGTTTTGGTAATCGAGTATCTTCTCTAGATGATATCTGTATATTTAACTGCGGTTAACATTATTGCTTAATTTGTGTATCTTGATTTTTTCGTTTTGGAATTCCGCTCGCGTTTTTATGTTTGTTTTTATTAGTGTTATATTATATTATACAGCTTAATAGGTATTATATTTTATAAACGATCCGAGTAATGTATACGAAAGTGGAAACTAACAGGACTTGCCTACTACTCCAACTTGGGCTATTAATTGTGCCTACGCACATGCCATCATTTATTTATTATTTTTTGTCGTTTATTAGGTAGTATGGTCTAACGAAACGCAATTTTCTCGTTTTCAAAAATGATAATAATACTAAGTATTTACAAAGTTGCGCTTCTCTATTCTCTGACAAATATAATATATTGTATAACATATTATCGTAAGCACTCGAGCACTGGGTTAAATAACTGTTAAATAAGTAGAACAGGTCTCGATAATTTACCGGAGTCACTAGACAAAAAACGCGTTTCCTATTATTCAATTTTAAAATATTATTTTATAGATATTACCTACTTAATTTTTAGGCATAATATTACACATTTGTTTTGTTATATTATTGCTTTTTAACAGATTTCAAACTGCGAGGCGAGTGGTTTGATCTCATAGTTGATGCTTGGACTAAGATTATTATATTAAATCCACCGCCTCCTCAATAAGCATACTACACTGCTATTCACTTACATTTATTTAGCGGTCGCCGACGGAGAGTTAAGGTTATCTGTCACCTAACGCGACGGCTGTGGTCGAGGCACCGTGACGACGGTTTTCGAGTTCCTGGATTTGTTATGTTAAAAAAAATTAATGAAAAAAAATACAAGAGGATGTTGTGTATAGAAATGATGATGATAACAAACCCGAAAAAAAAGGAAGTATTTAATCAGGACGAGAGATTCTGCGGTGGTGCCGTGACAAAAACCATTGTTTTTTTGGATTAAACATTTCCGGCAATTGAACGATATTTTTGTTATCATGCGGTTGTACATAAGTCGTTATGGTCACGTTGAAATTAATATGTAATACTTTAGTTTCCTGCAACTTTCGGATGTCCCACGTACCTAATACAATTCACATTCCACACCTACAACGAACATTGTATTGGTCAAATCATTTTTAACACATATTATGTAGTGAATAAAAAAATATATTTTTTTAATTGTACAGAAAATCGATTTAATTACCAAGTACAGTATATAACTTTAAAATATCCTAAATGAAAAAATATTCATACATCAAACACCACGAACATAAAATATTATAAGTTTAACTATGCTGATTGTTTTTGTACCAACAATACAAAATATAAATTATGTTTTTTTTCACCTCAATGATTATCTTTATGTCATTTATAGCGTATGACATTTAGTGGTGCTATGACGACCACGACTGCACAACGTGTCCTTCGGGCAATGTAAAACAATTATTAATAATTATTTAAGCCATTAAATTTTAACGAAACGCCTAAAGATCTAAAGTAGGCACTAGCATATTATGCTATCATTATTAGTTTGCTCCGAGGCCGAATGTGTTTGCATTATAGCCGGTTGGGTCATAATATTACATTTTCCCTCGACTCAGGGGCCGAGTAAATAAAGTTTTCATTAACATGCCGCCGTTCACACCCCGAGGGGCTCGGGCCTCAATTTCAAAGTTGAACGATAACTAATGTTTGTACGGGATCGAGGGACTTTTGGGAATAATCTTTAAACGAGTTGCAGTTATTAATATTTAAAATTGTATTTTATTATATTGTTTTCCCGGCGCTATTTCAACTGTCGTTCATTTTAATGGTCTGGTTATGTGCTAAAATTGTAAATAACGTTATACTTGAAATGGGTAAAAAACGGTCGTCAGCCACTGGTAGGAAAATAATTTTCAAAGAAACGACAAGGGAGACAAATTGTCATGAGGACATGAGTAAATAAGTTGTCTATACGGTTTGCGTTAGATTTACACGTAGTAACGCCGACGTTGTTTTTTAGCTTTAATTTTAAACACCACAGCAGGTATACTAGTTTATCAAGCCAAGATCTGTTCGGTACTCGGGGGCATCTACCGGGATACATAGTGTATGTAGTAGACTTAATGATAATCACAGGAGCGTCTTGTATTATATGATTGTGTATAAAGGCACGGTATCAAAAGCAACTGGCGGCCGTGAATAGGTACAACACGATGCGCGCTGCAGGACGGATAGTTTGCTAGACTTGTTATTTATTATTATTTTCTTTCCTGCCGGTGTAATAATTGCATCCGGTACACACAGTTAGGTGGGTACCACCGCAAATCTACACAAACGGCGAACCACATCAACAACAACACTTTGAGTGTAAACACACGGTGGGTATATACATAGGTACTACAATATTTGAAAACCCATTGGCTTTGTGTGTACAAAAGGTAAAAACGCGTACCAAGAAGCTAAGCGATAGTAACAACGCGGTATAACGAATTAGCTCTGGTGAATAAGTAGGTAAATGTTTTTTTTTTTTTTAGGAATCGACGTTACCTCGAAAAAATGGCTCAAACGTGATTCGCACAAAAGCGAAAACCGCGACCGGCGACTGCACATTGAACACATTCTGTAATATATTGTATAACAAAGATATTATAGCTAGTAAACGCGTGCATTATAACATTGTTGTATTGACACAATATTATTTTCCAAAGTCTTGTGAGAAACGTTTGTAATCACTACAAATGGGTAGCGTGTATCGCGGCGAATGCAAAAAGAAAAGAAAAAAAAATATATATATATATATATTTAATAGTATTGAATGCATATACATATCATCATCCGGATTTTTGCATACTCCGAATAATGTATATAAATCACTGTCAAGTTTATATAAATGTTTTCGATGTCGTTTAGCCGCCGCCGACGTCCGCTTTAAACATGCCGCGCATTAGACGAATACCGTTTGAATAAAACATTTAATAATGAATATGTTATTTGTATAGAAAAACAGCGCACACGGCAAAGTTGTCGATTTATCGAATCAGACTTTTTCCCGACCGTGAAAACCCGTTTTGAACTGGGGAAAAAATAAAATAAAATTATACGTTGACAAAAAAAAGGCCTAGTGTTCGTACATGACATGTTTACGCCTCCAAATAAATTGTAAACAAATTTTAACCCCTTCCAGACCAGTCGTTTTTAAACATTTTTACACTATTCTCATTTTGTTAAGTTCGGTTAGAAAAGTGTAATTCGTCCGGGAATTTCCCACGAAAACTTTTTTTAGATATCATTATCATTTTTTCGGATACTCAAGAAAATCATTTTTACGACATTCCCAGCGAAAGAGGTAAAGTATATTATTAATAAATATTCCACCATTTCCCAATGCAATTATATTCAAGTCTGAAAGCATTGTAATATTTCGTTTTTGCTTTGTCATAACTTAGGTCATTGCTCATTGGTGGACAGGTGGACCAATGCAATATTTTTACTTTGTTAAATAGCTGGAAGATTAAATGACACCCAAAACGTTTTTTTTTTTATAGAAATTACGAAACCTTCGTCAACCGTTACTGGTTAAAAAGAGTTTCAGAAAAAATCAAATTCAATCAGGTGGCCTCAAAATGTATTTCATTACCAAATTATTGAGCTAGCTGGTTTAAGTTAACGGTTGAGGATGAGCTTCTTGACTCACATTCATTGGAAACTTTTTGTACATCATCTACTGATCAAAAATGTATATATAAAAAAAAATTAGATTCGGGTAGAGCTAAGATATTAAGCGCTGCTCTAGAAATGATTCGTAACGTTTATGCGACAAGCCGTGACCTTTCAATGTCATATTATGTACTGTTGTACAGCGTATTCTAAGTCTAAGCCTCACATTTTGGAAAGTTCAGAGAACTTAAGTGTTATATCAGTAAAAATAATATCGGACAACAGGTGTTAAATACCTCAAATTTTCTTATTTTTTCAAAAACTTAGTTACCTACGTCTCAGATTGTATAGTTGAAAATGATTCGAATGAGATAATAGGACAATTATTTCAGTGTTTTGGGAAGGTATTAAGCCAGTGGTTTTTCTCCTTAGAAAGCATCTCTGTTGTTGTTGTTGTTAAATATTACCCATATCAAGT